ATCAGGGAGAACGGTTCGGGCATGTTCTACGGGCGCGATCGACGGACGTGATCGACGGGGCTGACCGCCGGGATGGCTGGTCGCGTCGCTCCGACAATAACATACCGGAGTATATAGACGGCGAACTTCGATGGAGACCTATCCATACCATTGTATTAGATAGTTCTCCATCCGTTATACAATCCGTAGGCTTAGAACCTAGTACAAGTCCCGCGTAGAGGAGCGACTAAGGGCATAGCAGGGCTCACCCTTAACATTCGCCAACTATTATCGCCGATTCATCGAAGGGTACTCGAAGAAGTGTAGGCCGATGCATGACCTTACGAAGAAAGGTCGGAAATGGGAGTGGAATAAGGAGGCGGAGGCCTCCTTCCAGGAACTGAAACGGGCGTTCACGACGGCGCCGATCCTCGCTCATTTTGACGAGGATAAAGAAATTTTGTTGGAGACGGACGCCTCCTCTGGGGCGATCGGGGCGGTGCTGTCCCAGGAGGGAGCCGACGGAAAGATGCACCCTGTGGCTTTCATGTCGAAAAGCCTGACGTCGGCCGAAAGGAACTACGACGTTCACGACCGCGAGCTTCTCGCGATCGTGTACAGCTGCACGGTATGGCGGCAGTACCTCGACAGTGGTCGACTCATTCGGATCCTTACGGATCACAAGAACCTCGAGTACTTCCGTACCGAGAAAATGCTGACGAGGAGACAGGCGCGGTGGTCGCAGCGGCTGAACCAGTTCAACTACACCCTGGAGTACAAGCCCGGGACGGAGAATGGTAAGGCCGACGCATTGAGCCGCCGGGAAGAACTGATGAAGGACTCCAAGGTCCTGGAAACGGAGATTCTGCTACGGCCGCAGAACAGCGAGCTGCCGATGCAGCTGGATGCTCTCACGATGGAGGAGAGCGAAGGGGCGCTCCGTCGGAGCGTTGCGACGGACCAGCGCCAAGGAGCTCTCCGCATATGCGGAACCTTGCAACTTCCGGAAGAAGAGATCCAGCGTCTACTGCTGGCGGAGTTGAAGGAAGACGCCTTCGTCAAAGACGCCTACGCGGAGTTGACCGCCGGAGCCGAGCGGGTCTCCCGAGCGCCGGAAGGTAAGGCGGAGGAATGGACGGTGGACAGCGACGGGTTCCTCCTTTATCGAGGATGGATGTATGTCCCCGATAAGGAGGTATTGCGCAGCAAAGTGCTCGCGCTATGTCACGACCAGAAGCTGGTCGGGCACTATGGTCGGGACAAGACGACGGAGATGGTTCTCCGGGAATTCTGGTGGCCCCGGCTAAGAGAGACGGTGGCCGAGTATGTGGCGACCTGCGACGTATGCCAGCGGAACAGGAGACCGCGGGCAAAACCCATGGGGGAGCTGCACCCACTGCCGGTACCGGAAGGGAAATGGAAGTCGGTCACTATGGACCACATCACGGGGTTGCCCGTGTCGAAGGGGTTTGATTCGATCCTCGTAATAGTGGATCGTTTTACGAAGAGGGCGCATTTCGTGCCCTGTCGAAAGGATGACAACACGCATGCGCTGGCGTCGATATTCGTCAACGAATGGGTGCGGCTCCATGGGTACCCTAAGGACTTGTTGACCGATCGAGGGGCGTTGTTTACGTCGCGATTCTGGAGGGACGTGTGCAAGATCACCGGGATGAACCAGCGGCTGTCAACGGCGTACCACCCCGAGACTGACGGGCAGACGGAGAGGACCAACTCCACGCTGGAACAGTACCTCTGAAGCTACACGAACTTCCAACAGGATGATTGGGCGGAGCTGATCGCTATGGCGGAGTTCGCCTACAACAACGCGTGGCATTCGGCGATCAAGATGTCACCGTTCATGGCCTCCGAGGGAGAAGATTTCAAGTTCTCCCTTCGCCAAGTCCCGGGGAGCATCGAGTCGGCAGCAGCCTTCCGGGAGCGTATGGAAGAGGTCCGCGAGCAGGTTATGAAGTCGCTAGAGCTCGCGCGGACCAATATGGCGAAGTACGCCGATCGCAAGCGACGGAATGTGCCGACGGAGGGGTACGAGGTCGGGGACCTGGTGATGTTGTCGTCTGAGCACATCACCACGGTTCGACCGAGCAGGAAGCTGGATTGGAAGACCTTCGGCCCGTTCCGAATTACGGAGAAGGTGGGAAACTCGGGCCTTGCCCGACGATTGGAGCTGCCTAGCAGTATGAGGCGCGTGCACAACGTGTTCCACGTATCGTTGTTGATACCGTACAAGGCGAACACTAGGGAAAGCCGGCGGGTAGATCCGCCGCCACCGCCCGAAGTCGCCGACAACGGAGAGGCTGCTTACGAGGTGGCGGAGATCCTAGACTCCCGAGTGCGTAAAGGTCGAGTTGCTCGAGTCGAATACTTCGTCTCGTGGAAGGGGTACGACATGGCGCACAACGATTGGGTCGGAGCGGGAGAATTCGACTGGGACGACGACGTCGTGATATCGTTCCATCGCCAATACCCGGCGAAGCCAACCCCACGCCGGTCGGAGTACCGCAAAGGGGGTTCGGAGACTACCGACTGACACATCCGGAGTTTGTGTCTAGACGGGGGATACTGTTAGAGATCGACGCGGTCGAGACGCGGGGCGCGCCGAGACGCGTTCCGGCGGGCCATCCCGAGGGCGGACTCCGCCGTATTTGTTGTTTACATTCGAACATTGTACTATCACTAAAGACCGGATGCTGGGCATCCGTTATTACTATATAGATGTATACTCCTACCCTCGCCTCTCTCCCGCTCACTCGTCCGGCGGACCAGCCCGGGGCAGCAGCCCGGCGAACTCGTCGCCGTAACACTACCCAGTCATAACATTTGGTGATCCATTATTCTATAAGGCCCAGCAATTGGCTTGCGGAGCCTTGGGGCGATAAGGTCGCAGGACTGGGGAAAGGTAACGGTAGGCATAGTAATGTAATAACGGATGTTGAACTATTACAAGGTACTAGTTAGACATCTGCAAGAACATCTACTAAAGAGTCTCCGAGAGGGTCTCCGAACGAGATCCCCAGGCGATGCGCACCGTAGGCCGCGCGTCACCGTGACGCCTATAATATCTGGGATCGGTCCATAACAGGGTAGGGTTGTTAGAGATCGACGCGGTCGAGACGCGGGGCGCGCCGAGACGCGTTCCGGCGGGCCACCCCGAGGGCGGACTCCGCCGTATTTGTTGTTTACATTCGAACATTGTGCTATCACTAAAGACCGGATGCTGGGCATCCGTTATTACTATATAGATGTATACTCCTACCCTCGTCTCTCTCCCGCTCACTTGTCCGGCGGACCGACCCGGGGCACTAGCCCGGCGGACTCGCCGCCGTAACAAGGGTAACGACTGTGATAATGGATGTCTCGCTACTATAGGATACTAGTTAGACATCTCCAAACACATCGCCTAATAAGTCTCTGAGAGAGTCTCTGGGAGGGTCTCCAAACAGACCTCTGTTGCGCGCACTTGCGTGATGCCTACTAGAGAGAAGACTTTTCAACTTGTCCATCTCTGCAGTCATCTTCCCCACATATCATCATCTCTCTGTCATACATCCTGTCTGCTTCTTTGCCGTATGAGGTGAAAACCTATGCACCGCATATGTACGGCATGCATACCACGGATGTATATAATACCCGATGTTGATTGTCCTGTGACAGTGTATCTGCTGGGAAGTGAGCAGTTTGAAGCAATCAAGTTTACAAATGTTCTTGTCGGGACCTTGGAAGATCAGAAACGACATAAAAATGTGGCCGTACCACTTGGCCACAGGAAACTTTACTTAGCTATAGAATTGTGTTGATATATGTTGTCAAGAATACGGCGCTGAGTCAATATGTCCTGATCGTTGCAACTTCAGCCTGTCACCCAGGTGTCCTGAAGGCATCACATTCGACAGCAAAAGGGCAACAACACCGCCCCATTTTGTCTCTGGTGAAGCTCTATACAGCTTTACTTCCTGAACTTCTCTCGTCGCTGCCGTAACAAGCCTGAGGTCATCCCATAGAGGAGGCAGATGGTATGCGACCGGATTAAAGTGAAGAGATCGGATCTTATCATCTATAACCGGTGCAGATGGCAGAGAACGAAAAGATCCAGTTCAAGGTTGGAAGGCTGGAGTATTAGCCTATCTACTAGCTACTGGGAACAGGAGACACCTACTATCAGGTTTATCTGCCGGGAAGTGAGCACTTCGAAGCGATCAAGTTTACGAAGGTTTCCGTCAGGACCTTGGAAGATCAGAAGCGACATGACAAATTTTATGTCGCCTCTAGCTTTTAGCCATACATACGTAACATCGTCCACCATCAACCTTGACCTAGCAACGATCAGCATATCTGTCCTGTACATCGGTATCGACGTTGTTCACCCGGTCATTTATGTTTGATGATTTCTCGGTGAGTACGTCCTGTGGGTACGCTGTCACTCCGCCGGCATATCGTCGCATCTTAACCACCGGACATGGCACTGAGCTACATCGCCAGGATCGCTTACTCCACAGCCCTTCGCCGGAAAGAAATCACGGCGCCGCCGCCTCGCCGGAAGGGCTACTCCACAACGGGGTTCCTACAGCGAACGTCGCCGTTTTGGCCAAGGCGACAGCCCATCGAAGGCATTCATTTGAGGATAGGGTTGCATTAGCGTTTAGCCGTGAAAATTGCCGTCAAGTGTCTGAAGGATCGCAGACACCTCAGAACTCCAAAGACGCGGCGGGCAATAGTAGTGTAAACAGGGTATCGCTTATTGTTGGCGATCACAAAGCGGGTATACGCCAGTGTAGGGCACTTGGCTTCAGTCCGGTTTCATAGCGCTTTCAAGTAGTCCTATAGCCCTTAAAAGCTTACTCCTGTAGAACGGCATTCGAAAGCCCTGCAGTAAATGCCTCACCTCGTCTCTTCATTTGGGTTGAATATACATCACATCCATACACATCACCATAGTCTCTCACATTCACAGGGTGATACTACATGATGAACAAGTCGTCTTCAAGCCATGACATCTGTAGCTAGACCTCCGGTTCTTCCGGTTCCTTTGCCTCTTTGTCCTCGGCGCTTCTTTCAGCCTGGGCAGAACTATTGGCAGCGACCCATGCCGGGCGTATCACATGAGGATTAGGGTACTGCAAAAGCTGCCGAGAGATCGCTTCACTGATCAATCTGAAATGCAATCCATTCAGTTCCTCCTTATCCCAGTATACAACCAGTATGGGATAGAAGTTCAGCTTGTACTTCTCTTTGAAAGCCTCGGTGTTGATCTCGAAGACGTGTAACTGTGTCTTGGGTTCCGTCGTATCCCCCTCAATCGCAAGGATGAAAGGTTCTTGCCATTCCTGCGCTTTTCCGTCCTTCCTTTCTGTAGCGTGTGTTCCTGCTCCTGGGGCTGCAATCAAGTTCTCGATAGCTGCGTGGAAAACGTCACGCCTTGTTCCATCGTGACCGACAACCCAATCGCAGTTATCTCCAAGGGCTGCCTCATAATAGTTCTCTTGCGCCGAGTCCGGGTCTTCCCCCAGGTTCGACTCGTCGTCTGAATCACTTCGCGCATCGACAGACGTGTTCTCAGTGATCTGAGTGGGATACGACTTGGCGGAGACAGTGGACAAAGGACCGATTGATACTGCGTCGTCGTCGGGGACAGTATTCGAAGGTTCCATCTTGAGCTTGAGTTTAGATTGATATGGTGTACGGCAAACAGGAAGCGGATGGGATACTGAATACAAATCACTCAAGCGAATTTGTACTGTTACATCGAGTTCATGGTCACTACGATATATATATATGTTCCGTATTAAGGCGTGTTTGTCGGTTCCTTTGTCTATTATTCAATGCCACCACTGGGCTGCGTTGGCTGCGAGAGGGGATACAGTACAGCCAAAGGCTTGAGAGGGAGCGTCTCCCTGCTGCTCCACCGAACACGATAACAGCATCATCTTGTGTTTCCTTTGATGTATATTGACGAGCTACTGGTGCTGCCAGCATCGCAATTCGCTATGTCAGGCGATATCGCTCCATCGAGGTTTTTGGCCAAAGTTATCGCGAGCGCCCGGTGATATCCCCTGCCCGACCTGTCCGCTTTCTGACAGAATTATTTGGTTCTCACGGTGGCGTCATAAATTAGAATCACTGATCCTGCCTTTCAATTGATATATTCTCGGCCGAGACTGGGACGAGTGTTTGCACCAGATGTCATCTTCGCAAACTGTGGCGCGCTTTCACCTTTGTTCTCAAGCGCGTGTCGATCCGCCTTCCTGTTGTGCCATTTCACCTTTGACGACGCAGCGTTTGCCCGGGGCTCATCGGCTGGGAAGCTATCAACCATATTCAGAAAGACAAGCAGCTGACCTCTGAATTCGCTGATCGTGCTCCATATCATGGACAGCGGCAAGCGCCACATCTGCTGACCTCGGTGTCGAAGGTGGACGATCCCGGCGGCATCCTCCCCACTCTGGCCGATGCCGTAAGAATTCGGCTTGGCGTTGTACCGAGCAAGTCGGCCATATTCGAGGGGACATCACACTCTCTCAAACTTTCAGACTTCTATCATTTCTTTCCAACCACCACTGCCTGATCTTTTCGGACCGAGTGTCGATCACTGCTTCTATTTTCACGGGCCGGATCATCCAGACTCGCCTGGTCACGAGAACACCTGTCAGCTGTGAGCCCCGCAACCTTCACCCGTATAAAGCATCAATTGGGGATTGTTGACATTCCTTTGACCCCCTCCTTTGCGTCGACTCGACATCATACGGATCAGAACGATCACTTAACGACGACAGAGACGAAGTTTCATCATGTCCAAGCTCTTGAACGCCTACTCCAACTACCTCGCTAGGAAGCCCCTTCAGGGTAACGTCGTCACGGCCATCGTCAGTCCCCCCTCCATCTTGTCGTCATTGTGATATGAAGACTTGATCAGGATTGACATTCCCTTTACATTTCGACTGACATTGCAGGGTCTGTTTGGCATCGGAGATGGGTTGGCTCAGATGATCGAGGGGAAGCCTGGTTACGACTTTGCTAGGACTGCGTGAGCCTGGTTCTCGAGCCATCAAGAGAAAGGATGCAGGAGCTCGGTGACTGATACGGACGTTCGACTTGGATCTCACAGCCGATTGTGCACCTGGGGAGGAGCCGTGTGAGTCCTTCGAACCTCAGCTCATTCTATGTGTGTATGTTGCTGACACCTTACCAATGCCGCATCCCGTAGCTTCGCACCCCTCGTAGGAGGCCTCTGGTTCCCGATCCTCAATCGAGTCAACCTCGGTAACAAGGCCACGACCGCCATCACCCGCGCTTCGATGGACCAGTTCATCGCCGCTCCGATCGTCCTGGGTGGGTTCTTCGCCTTTGCGGGCATGTTGGAGGGGAAGAGCGTGGATGATGTCAAGAAGAAGGTCGAGAGCGTGAGTCGGCCAACTGCAAAGCGGGAGTGGGGGAGAGATTACGAGGATGGATGCTGATAGAAGGGGTCTTGGAGGGGTAGTCCTGGTTGCCGACGTTGAAGACCAACTGGTACGTCGACTAGGATGATGTAGGAAAGATTAGACAGCTGAGCTGATCCTTGTCAAATGGATCTCGCCGACAGGATGGTCTGGGTGCCCTTCCAAGCCATCAACATGGTGAGTTACCGCCTGACCTGCTGTGGGACAGAAAGCTGGTTCTGATCTATGCCATCACCTTCCAATAATCATCGTCTACCATTATAGAGCGTAAGTCGACTACATCCCACAGTGATAGCCGACCATAGGCCTTAGCTGACAACCGCCGTCTGCACCTTCCAGATCGTCCCGCCTCAATACCGATTCCCAGCCAGTTTGGCCATGAACATTCCCTGGAACATCTATCGTACGCATTCCAATATTCGCTATTACACCTATCAAGCATCATATACTGACATCGTCCTTCTTGCCTGTTATGACACGAGACAGTCTCGCTGCAGAACGCCAAGACGTCGTCGTCCGCGCCTGCAGCCGTCGAGCCACCCTCCAAGCCTGTCAAGGTCGCTTTTGGAGATTAGAGGATGAGGGGATACATGACAAGCTTGAGCATAGGATGGATCTGCCTCTATTTCTTGCGACATGTACGATATCATTTGCGGTCTCCAACGAGGTTCATCATGAGGGTCTCCCAGGTGTGGTTTGAGCGGGAGGCGACGTCATTTCTCGGTTCGGCCGCGCGCGAAGCTTGCTGGGAGCGAGAGCCATTTTCAGCTGCACCAGTGTACCCATTCGTATCATCCCGGCAGCCGTACGAGGGACAAGCTACCCCATCCCCCACCTCCTCCTCCATTCAAGTGGTACGATAGTGGGAGCAGTAGTATCTACCCCGCCTTTTCATTCATCAGGTCTCTTTCCCCGCGACCGGTCGCGATAGAGCGAGACGACGCGGCCGTAACTATCACGCTGTGCTCCGTAGGTCACAGGTCTCCGTCGATATACCACAACCCATCGACATCTCATGCATCTCGCCGTTGAACGCCGAGAACATCAATGAGCAGCTTCATCTAGGATCAGAATCCACTCTGTACCAGTCACAAAACACAGGGACCTCTATCTGCATCTGCTTCTCAGCTCGCTCGGACGAGGACGATCTCTGGATCACGGTAGAGGGCGAGCCCCCTTGCTGAACTTTGACCGGGATGCAGCAACGACTAGCTCAAGCCCAGGCTCCGGCTAGACCTCCGAGACGAAACTCCAGGGGTGAAGGATCGTTGGTCGCAGGAGCAAACTCGTATGCACTGCCGCCAGGAGCAGCACCACCTTCGGTCGGGTCAAACTCGGATCTCGCTGGGCAAGGGTTCGAGGACGATGTGACACCCAGCTTTCAACAGTTTGCTTCGCCGTTGACCGGACTGCCGCCGTTACTGGCTCCTCAACTCGGAATGTCTTCGTCTCCTTCGACTAGCAGAAAGTTGCCGCCGACCGCCGCTATCCAGAGTGAGTCCAGAAGATGGCGCAATGCCGAGTTATGCGGTTCCTGACCACAGCGACTCCTGTAGCCAACTTTAATCAAACGAATCGGCAACGGGATGACGAACACGGCTACGTCTCACCGAACTCGGCTCCTCCTACTCATTCGACATTCGCTATTGACCTCACGAACGCCCCACCGCTTCCACCCCTGGTCCAGTACCATTCTCCTGTCAGCCCGACCAACGGCGGTAAGCCCGCATTCCTCAGACAATCGTCACGAAAGGGCTCTGGTTCGCCTGTCAAACAACCTCCTAGCCAGCAAGGCACTCCGCCTGAACCTGTGACAGTCTACTCGAGGACCTCTCCGACCCCACCGAGCTCGTTTGGCAATGCTGGGAGACGAGCGATGAGCCCGATCCTGGCCAACACGTCAGGGTCCCCTCTCCTGGAAGCGCCTCCGAGGAGCTCGTCAAGACAGGGATCACCTTCACCCTCGCCGTCTTACCGGAGCGTCTCCGAGTCTTCGTCTCGGAACCATTCGTACAACAACAGCACGGCGGCGCAACCTTCGATCCATGTCATCGCTTCCTCCCATCCATCACCTGCAAGAAGGCCGTCTGCGACGCCATCCGGGTCTGTGCCGGGGTCCAGGTCGACGTCGGCCGGATCCGCCGTAACCAACAAGGACCTCCCTCGGTTGAATATCGCCAACACTGCCGCTCCTCCTAGGTCTGGTAGTCCTTTGAATCCCAACGCAAACATGGTCAACTCACCTACGGTCATGTCACCCACGCTGGACCTACCGCGACGTGGAGCATCGTTAGCGGCCAGACCGGGGATGGATTCGGCAGAAGGGATGGTTTCGCAGATGGAACCCCAATTGCGTCAACCTCGACCGCTCCCTAGCGTCATCCAGGGCCAGGCTCTGAATTCGTTTTCGCTCGGGTCGAGGCAGACGACGCCTGATCCGGTGGCCATGATGGAGAACCTACATATGGCACCCGATTCCAGGTCGACCCCGCCTCCAACGGCTGGGACCGACGCCGAGGGTAGCATACTGAATCGACCCAAACCTAAACCCAAATCGTCGGCCTACCGATCATCTCCCTCAAGGTCCCCTGCCCCACCGTCGGATGGGTTCCAACCGCCGTCCTACTCGGAAGCTCGGACGCTTTCCTCCAGACAAGGCCCGCAGGGAACGACGGGTCTCGAACGTATCATGATGGAAGACGCCGTGCAGGCGGCAATGCTTCCCCATCTCCCCATCTCGAGCTTTCTGGCACTGATGACGACCCTGGAAAAGGATACAAGGCATGCGATCAGCGGCGAGCTGGTCGGTCGTTGGGTAACTGCCAGTTGGGGTATGGAGCTGGGACCGAGAGACGTGCATCAGTGGCCCGGGTTGGGCGTATGGGAAGGGTTCCGTAAGTGGACATTGCAGCGACCTGTAGAATGCCCGGCTGACGACGGCGTGGCGATCAGTGGAATCGCTATTACACAATGCCGAGGCGTTCAGCACGTATCCGGCTCATTTCAAGCCGCTGCTGCAACATCTCTGTCTGTCCTATTCGCTCGTCGTCTTGCTCTTACGGACCCTGCCTGCCGAGGCATTTCCTTCGACCCCGCCTTTCGCGTTCGAAGAGGAGCAGACGTTGGCTGCGGCCGGGATGCCCAAGTCGATGTCGAGCTTGAGTCTCGCCAGCGCCGCACACTCTCGGCGGGCTCAGGGTGGCGCTGTTGGCGGAAGCTGGGAATTGGGATCTCGACCGAAGCACGTACCAAGAGCGGAAAGGCCGGTCGAGTTGGTCATGCCCGAGCCGTTAGGTGCACCGAAGAATCAGGGAGACGAAGTCGAGACCATTGTTCCGCCGCCAACACCGCAGACCAGCTCGCACCATCGTCGACGTAGTTCCGGCTCGGCTTCGATAATCTCGTGGACCAGCAAGGCGAGGCGGGGGAGTGCACCGAGTGAAGCTGGGATCAGGTCACCAGCTATGTTGAGCGACAAGAAGTTTCCGCCCGTATCATTCCCATCAGCCAAGCGTTACGTCTTCAAGGGATACGGCGATCCGGTAGCACCTCGTCAACGTACTACATCGGAGAGCGGCGGGAGTCGTCCTGGATCCATCTTCTCGGTGGAAGAGTCGATTGCGCCGAGGAACCGCGCTCCCAAGTTCAATAACAAGCGATCGCCGAGTGGGATGGACCTGAATTCGACCTGGGGTGGCAGACCGGGCACTGGACGCAATTCACCCATTGCTCAGTCGTCATCGGGGCTACGGTTCACCAGCATGACCAGCGAGCGCAACCTCAACAGCTACTCTCCCGATCCATCACGTTGGGGATCCAGGACGCCAGAACCGATCGAACCTGCGTTTGACAAGCCCATTCCATACGTTGTGGGAAGGGCGCCCATCCTCAGGGTCTTTGTCCCGCTTTCCCGAGAGATCCCGGCTTGGCCTTGTGCCGAGGGAGCTGCACAGGCTCGTCGAGAACTTGAGCGGTGTGGCGCCTGGGGGAAATTGAGGATCGGAGACGTTATCGTGAACACCGCCTTGCAGGAGCCGTTACTGCCGCGACACCTGATGCTCTACATTCCAACGATGCAACCCTTCCTATGTCCGCTCGAATACAGGTTCGGCGAGCAAGGTCACTTGCCCGGCTACTTGGATGCCTTCACGATCCCACCCTCTTTCTACTATCCACTTCTTTTCTCGGGGCCCTACGTCATCCATCTCGACTTGGGTCCCTGGGCTGATGCTGCAGTCGAGACGCTGAGATTGGCTTTCGCAAGGAGCGACATCACCACGACACGAGGCGACAAGGTGACGGCCAAGAGGTACCTGCATGTTATCGGGTTCGAGATCAACGCCCAGACAAAACACCAGGCGGTGGATGATTGGTTCGGAATGGTCAGCATCGAGGCCGAGGGGACGGCCGAGGGTAGAAGGGAGCTTCTTCGGCGACTTGGAAGGGACGGTCAGGGTCGGCGCGTAAAGCCTCATCGTGGGCCTTACGAGGTCGTCCGAGACAAGTCCCTTGGAGGGAACATCTGGTTGAGGTGAGCGGTTCCAGATGATTCCAGGGCCGAAGATCGTGCTAACCTTGCGACGTTTTGGCGCACAGACTCATCTCCGAGACCGCAAACGAGCCTCGTCGTCTTTAATCATATAATGCACGTGAACAGGCTACATATGGATACAACGATTGTCATGAAGTCGCTTTGTTTTCTGATAGCGACTGTAGCATCATCCTCGCCGCATTCTTCTGCGCCTCTCTCTTCCTGATTCCGACACCAACAAATTGTCCCAGTCCGGCGACCTCTACCGATTCGTGCCACTCTGCCGATCTACTCGAGGGTACTTTCACCGTCTTGTACCGGACCCGTCGCTTTTGTGTATGTTGCAAGAGCATGCTTTTCGGATCCACAACGTTCTGTAGAGCCAGCTGCTGTAGCTGGGTCGATTCTTTCCCGGTTGCTGACTCGGTTGGCTTATGAACTTCGCTTGATTTTGGCACGTGCTCATCGCTTAGCTTGAGCTCCTCGACCTGGTTCGATAGTATCTTTTTGATCTTGACAAGACGGGCATTTTTTGATGTGCCCGGCTTTGCTTTCTTGATCTGTGTAGCCCGTTTTCGCAGTCGTCTCAGTGTCAAATTGCTCGTAGGTGCAGCTTCCTGGGCAGCCTTTTCATCGCCTGGCGCCCGGATCGTGCGATGCAACGCGCCTCGATGGCTTCGCAGGTACGCTTGGATTATGCGGTATCTCTGTTTGATCCGCCTTCCGGTTCTGACCATGCCAGGCCGTACGCGGACATTCAAGTGATGTCTATACGTCTTCCAGCGGTCTCGGACGTACGCTCGAGCTCGAGCTAGTCCCGGGGTGATCTTCATCCGGTTGGCCACCCCTCGGGCTGTTCCCAACACACGGGGCCGAATCTGGAACTTCAACTGGTGTCTATACGACCCCCAACGGCCTTTCACGTAGTTCCGAACTCGGCGTATGCGGGGAACGATCCCTAAGCGATGCCAAAGCTGGCGACGCTTTCGTATCCGGTGATCCAGCCTTTTCCTCCATCCCGTCATCCGCCCGCGGACGATGACGAACAGCTCGGCCCACTCCCGGGTCATCTTTTTGTACCGTCGATGTATCCACGTCCAGAGCGGAGCGGGGTGGAAGATGTTCACCGTCTCGTCAACGTTCACCAAGACCGGTTGTGGGCCATGGAGTCTCCGCTTGTTTTCCTCCAGTAAATCACCCATCACGGATTCGAGCCAGATATAAGCTTCTTGGTCCCCTAATTCTTCGGTCATGACTGCCAAGAGGGATTCCATGACGTCTTCCAGGACGTGTTGGGATAGTTTATCTGGGTGACAGCGGATGTGTTGGGCTAGGCCGATCGAGAGGGCTATCCGTGATAGGGCCGTTCCACGGACTACCGTTTGAGCCAGTCTCTGCGGGGGAATGAATTTCAATATAGACTTAGCACTGTGAGTTCAGAAAGAAACAGTCATTCCGAGTCGGCAGACGCCGACGTACCGACTTTTCGCCCAATTTGAGCTTGGGATATCTTCGCGAGATCATTCTCCGAGCCAACAACTCCAGCGCAGCGTCTCCGACCCATTCTAGCTCTTCGTAATTGCAAACAGAGTCCACAGATTGGTGCGTGAAAAGCTTGCGTTTCCCTTCATCCGACAGCCTGTCCAGAACCTTAAGCGGTCTGTCGTCGTAGATCGGGAGGGATTGACGAGGCCAGAGGGGCTTCCATTCGCCGACGATGGATTGGCTTGCGGGATGGGCCAGGTTGCCGCTGCCGTAACCAAAGAGAATGCGCCGGAGTCTATAGATCGCTAACAGACCATCAATTTGGTTCAAAGCGGACAGTAAGACGTACAGCCTGACACCGACCTTGGCAGTAGATCGAACGATCTTTGCGTCGAAGATCGCCTCTGGCCGATAACGATGGGTCCAGGTACTGCGCGACACGACGTCGTCGTCCTGATAATCATGACCGAGTATTTCTTGCAGAGAGTGATCGCTCCATGTCCATATATATTTCCCGGATAGAGCGGGTATGAATATGAGGTCGTAGTAGTGGAATGGTGAGGTGGTGTGCACGTTGCAACGTCAAGGTCAAGTATCATCGATCGAGGCCATCCGAAGCTCCGAAGCAGATTTGTTTACGATGTGCACCCACCCCACCCTCAGGGGCCGCATGCAAATGTGACGACTAAGCAAATCCAAGCATGTTGAGAAGGTCCGAGATGGGATATATCGATCAATCCGAAAACCATAGAGGCAGCCTCACGAGGTAGGCCGTGCGATAGATATTACATGCGATATCTAGCGGAATGGAGAAGGAAAAAGCACCGCCAGGGCCAAAGTCCCCCAAGCGTATTATAGGACTACTACCGGAAATGAAAGAACCGCAAGGAAATAGAGAGGAAGTGTCGTCAAAGATCGTCTAGGGTACCGTCAAGAGGAGACCGTTCAAGCCGAGGTTGCTACAGGCTTGACTACCTGGGTTTCGGTCTGGAGCGTCCGGACGAAGGAGAAAGATGGAGGAGAAGGATTAAGTCTTGGTGGGCGATGATCGGAAGAAACAGCAGCTTACCTGAGCCTCAACGGGAGCGGTGACTTCCTCCAAAGGCGCCACAGAGATGGGAGGAGCCAGCTGGTTGCAGAACTTTATTAGAGAAGCTATCTATATCGTTTCGGATCTCCGGCAGCCACTTACGACAGGAGCGGAATCCGTCTTCACCTCATCCACGACCTTGCCCTCTCCGGCAGCGGATTCCTCTACGACGGCAGTATCCTTCTTGACGGGAGGAGGGCTGGCGGTATCTTTCCTCTTGTCACCGAAACGGGTGTCGATGTACTGGCCAATACGAGCGGAGATTCGCCTATGCATCTTGGGAGTGGAAGGGGAGGACTTGATCTGTTTTCGGAGGCAAGCACGTGGGAGAGGAGATGGATTTCATTAGTACGATGGAGACAATATGGAGATAGAAGCCAAACCCAGCTTACCTCGGGCCTCTTGTTATCGGTGGTGTTGGCGGTGGTGTGTTCTGGAAGAGCTGCGGCGGCCTCGGTGGTCTCGGTAGCAACGACGGGAGCTTCGACGCTGTTGAGGGTCGAAGTTGTCAGTCCAGGTGTTCCGATCGCCAAGTATTCAGGACGCATCGGTGCTCACATGTCCTTCTTGGGCTCCTCGACAATGTTCAGGCCGTCGACACCATCAGTCAACTTGCTGACGTCTTCGGTGACTGCGGGCTTGACAGTCTCGTCGGAAACGACAGCAGGAGCGGTAGCTGTAGAAGTAGAGGCTTCAGGGGCAACGGCGATCTCGGTCTTCGCAGCATCGGTAGCAGTGGTAGTGGCAGGGGTGACAGCGGCTACCTTGGAGGAGGCGGCTTCGGTCTGTATCATCGTTTAAGTCGTGCTGTCAGTTAGTATGTTCGAGATCGAGGCCTCTTCGGCTACAACATACCTTGTGAACCTTGTCCTTCTTCTCGGGCGAGGAGATTCCGAGAATCCCGGAGATTCGAGCGAAGATGCCTTTCTTCTCCTGATTCAGACGGAGTTGTTGTAGTCAGATACCTTCATGACCGCGAGATAATCCACCTGATCCCGACTCACCTTCTTCGGGCTGGATCCAGCAGGAACAGCGGCAGCAACCTTGTCCTCGACCTTCTTGTCCTCAACACTGGTCTCCTTGGCGATCGGGGCAGGAGGGGTGGCGGTCTCGGTGGCTCCTTCGGTCTGAACGACGGGCTCGATCTTGTCGGTAGGGGAGACGACGTCCGCAGGCTGAGCCTCGGCCTCGACTACAGCAGGTCCCAAAGCGGGGGCAGCAGCGTCGAGAACAGGCTTATCATCGGGGACCGTAGGAGGCTTCAAAACCCGGCAAAGACCGTCATCAGTCCTCGCCTCTACCAAGCTTGTATACCGTGCGAACCCACCTTTGAGTCGACATCCATCTCATTGCTGGTGATGGGGACCTCTTCCTGCTTCTTGGTCTCGGTCTCGACGTTGGTAGGGGTTTGAATGGAGGACATGTTGATTACTGAGTGTCTGAGGGTGTTTCCAGCGAGTCAAAGGGAAGAAAAGGTCAGACGACCGAGCCAGATTTGATCAGACCATGATGGAAGTTGAGCTCACAGGGTAGATGGCGGTATGTGCGAGGAGTGTTCAGAGAGTAGTTCGTTGGAATATGAGGCTGGTAGTCGTCGTAAAGAGTGTAGGAGTGTGTCGTAAGTGAGTTCGAAATGTTATGGCGAGAAGAGAGGCAAAGTGATGGCAAAGAGGAGGGAAAGGGGGGTCCCGATGAGTGGGTCGAGCTATATAAACGGCTGCCTCTTGATCACGAAGGGCGAGAGCGAGGGGGAAGGCTCACTGATTTTCTCGCAAGATCCACACACACACACACAACCCAAAGTCTTGGCCGTGCTGATGATAAGAAACGCGAAAATGGATTTTTGCAGCAGCACAACAGGGAGGGAGGGAGGGGACGACGAACGATTTGCCCCTTGATCAATTTCGACTCCCTTTGTGTTTGACGACTTTGATCAATCTCGATCAAAAAAGTACCTCGATCCCTCTCCTCGTCCTGCCTGGGCGATGATGGCCGAGGGCATGTGACTCGAAACTGCCTCCACGCGCTTGCCCCTTCCAAACATGTGACGGTGGGCAAAAAGCAAAAAAAAAAAAGCAACGACCGGTGGATCACACAGCATACAGCGAGCAGGCGGAAACACGAACAACCAGAAAATTTACCCCTTGATGGTGGCGTTTCGCGCACGGGCCCTCGTTCACCTGCCTTCGCGCCCGTCGCGTTTCAAGACTCCTGACACGAGATTGCGGGGTAACAGGGTTTAGCGCGGTAGTACGCCGTTGTGCGTGTCGCTTAGCCGGAACTACAACAAGGGACAGTCGTACGGAGAGAAACAAAAGAAGACGGGTCATGCGGGTCAAATGCCAAACGCTGTGAACGACGGGAGGCTTGTCGCTCGGACGCATTTGCCTGCCTCTGAACAAAGTCCCGACTGATCTCTTGTCTCCGACGACTAATCTTGATCCATCGAGTAGCGACATCGTCCTTGCTATCCACATCATGGCTCGCTCCGACGGCAGTATACAAGAAAACCTTGACTTTATATTCAGCGTCGCACTGGGCTTTCAATAGGCTGGCATTCCATTCCCGTTGTTGTTGTTGCCTGACGTTGACATAAAGTCCCACCAGAGCTGCATCAACAGCGAGTCGTCCCCTACCATGCCCGACGTCGAGATGGGCGGTGCCATAGCCATGGTGTCGAGCGGCACAGGATAGACCTGAGGGAGATACGTGTTCTGATTGGCCATCGTAGGAGCCTGCATGTTATTGACCATGTGAACGTCGAATCCGGTAGGCATGTTCACCTGGACGGCGTCGTCCTGGACCGGCTCGATCCCTTGCTCCTTGTCCCACAACGTTTGTGAGCTGGCTACCAGTCGCCTCAAAAACCGAGCGTGGAGCGAAGGTGCATCGGCTGCAAACATCGATGAAGCCGTCAAGGCGTCGGCTGCTTCCAACATCAGGTCGAAACAGTGTTGCCGTTCGGCTCTTTCCAATGGCACAGCAGCGGAAGGGGCTGCGACCTGGATAGTCACGTCAGATGGCATGTCAGCTGGCTGCTATATCGGTCTGGAGGCACAAGTGGTAAGACCACAGGCGACTCACCGTGTATAGAAAGTATCCTGCATAAATTCTGTCATTAGGTATATCCATGCAAACAAGTCAGCTATGCAGATGCATCATATCCTTTGCCTCCTGGCTCACGTGAAATGCAATAACGTATCACTGGCGAAGGTCAACAATCTCGCTGGTAGAGTCTTTATCCGGTCCAGCAGATCCGAGGCCAGGGCGATGGAATGATGGAACGCCTGAGAGCTCTGCATGCTCATTCTTGATTCGGCAGGCATCTTGCTTTGTATCTGGTCGATCTGATTGCTGACCGTAAGATTGAGGTTGAGCAGGAGGGCATCTAGCCAGATATGTGGTTTACGAGAAATGGTACCGGTGACTGCGTGGGGATGTCAGCCTAAGAACGCCCATCGGGATCGGTTCAGCGTGACCTGCTCTCACCTCCGCTAATCTGTTTGATCCAAAAGTCGTTTGTGATTCGCATATCCTGGTTCATAGTCCGGGTCAGAATCGATAACGAAACCAAGTTCGATGTCGACGACCGTGTCGAAGTGTCGTTTTCCATATGACTGGCGGTAATGTCAAGTATCGACTTGTAGTGTAGATATTTGATACGGAGCTGCACCGATGCTACGAGGCTGATGTCGGTTCCGATGTCATTCGATCCATGGTAGAATGGTTGGCTGTGAACCGGAAGTTGCGGTTTTAGCTATGTTACGATCCTCCGGCATGCCATCCAGCACTTACGAGCATGCCACCAGCAGATCATCCTGTGAGATCAACAGAGGAGAGTTGAACTGCATCGCAAAGACTGTGTTGACAATGAAAAGACACAACCTGTCGAGCAGCTTCATCAGGTGCTGATCAGGCGAATACTCTTCGAAAGGAATGAGACTCGCCATAACCTCTGTGTCGCTCTTTGCCACCTCGCCTCTTCAGGGTCATCAGGAGTTCCAGCTTCCATTCGGTTCAGCTTCATCTCCTTGGCAATCATGACAGCCTGGCCTCATCAACGTTTATGGTGTCAGCTTGGGTGTCAATCAGAATTCACTAGGAACCGACGCACCCGGTTGAATCGATGTGCGGCCTTGTCGTCGTCGGCCTCTTTCCAGATTGCGAGCAGTACAATACCCTGAACGACATCGAAGGATGTGATTGCGGCGTGGAAGACCGCGGCTTGATGCCGATGAGCGAGTGTCAGACACCGATGATGAATGCTCTTGGCTTGCTGGGGCGGGTAAGGCAAGTCGACGTCCGGGCGCGTTTCCAACCCTCCTCGAAAGAAGCGTGCCGTAACGCATAAGACCGTAGAGAATAGGAAAGCAGACTGTTGTCGAACCCAATCGAACGTATGTATGTCCTTATCTAACACTGGACAAGAAAAGTTGAGTTCGGCAAAGAAGCTGTAAAATGAAACGAGGCTGAGCTCATCGTGATACCACCGTCTACAGAGACCTTTGACACGGTACGCACATTCGGAACATCTCCCTCGCTTGGATCTCGTTGACGATCCCGTCAGTTATAGGATCCTGATTCGAATAAGGATGATCCCAGGGCTCATCATCCCCGCGATCCAGTCGCCGTTTCTTGGGCGGCAGCTGATCGTCGTGCGCAAAATCTATCGAACAGAAAACTCATCAGCGGGCCTTGTCTGTCCGGATATCGAAATATCGACGGACCTTGTTTAATGACGCGTTTCTGTCCGACAACGTCACCCTCATGGTCACTCTCCTGCTCCCTATCGCTGTGCTCAAGAGGATCCTCGTCCACCGGCTCGACCATGTGTCTGAGGCTAAACTTCTCTCTAGCCGATTTCTGGTTGCTACTACCCGACCCGCTACCCTGATCGAGTGGAGGCAGCTGTCGGGAGGGATCGTGCGATCCAACCTCGCGCGTGATCATTGGCGAGGCCTTTTCCGAGAAACTGCCCCGATGATGCGTGGAATCGCCATCTCGGAACCCAGCGTTGGCATTGAGGAAGGGGAACTTCGAGTTCAGAGTCGGCAAGATGGGCGACCTTGCACGCCTGGCCTCGCTCGTCTGACTGCCTTCTTCCGAACGCATGCTGACGGGGGTCGGGACGATAGGTACAGGCAGGGCTGAAGAAGATGACATTCGGGTCGAGCTCTCCGGGTTGTTGAGTGGAAACGAGAGGGTGGGTCCGTTGGTAAAGTTTGGTCGATGAGGTGACGAGAGCGGGACAAGGCGGTTCTGATTCGAAGGCACGTCGATGGGCAACAAGGACGGGTGTGAGTGATTCATGAACGGCATGTTATCGGGCGGCGGCAGAATTGGTAATCCCGAGTGCACCAGTCCGTCGACGTTATTGTTGGTCATCTGCCCACGGTACCCATCCATCGACATGGCTCCTGGTAGGGGAAATCCGATCGATCTGCCCGTATCTACCATGTAATCCGTCCCCATGCCGTTCGCCTGAGTCATCGTATCCTGCTGACCGTTCCCGTTCCCGTAACCTCCTCCATTTATCATCGGCATCCATCCAGAACCCGCAGCAGTCGACGTCGACCCGCTCGGTCCCGCCTGATCCATTGCGCTATGCCTAAGCGATCGATCATAAGCCGACGATGCAGATCCCAGTCCCATGCTCGAATCGTATCCTGTCATCCCCACACCGAAGCTGTCCTGCCCCTGTCCTAGACTACCGCCACTGCCAACTCCAGCACCTGAACCAGAAGCCGTACTGGACCCCAACTTCATCCCGGCCCGCATCTCGGGCGTAGGCCTGGCTTGCAAGTGCAGGTAACTGATGGGTTCCGCCATCAGAGGTTCTCTCCTGAACGATCCCGGATAGTCATTTGCCGTCGTCGACGAGATCGGTCGACCGGACTGATCCATCCTTGGCGGTGGTGCTGGTGGTGCTGGGGGACGATTCGAGGACGTTTGCGGCGGTCCTGAAGGACTCGACGTACCCGGATGTCGTTGATTGGCGGAAAATCTCCTGCTTGTTGATCTAGATCCAGGTCGGTCCGTACCAGCCTTCTTGCTCGGGGGACTGGCCTCCCTGTTGACTGTCGTGGCTGTCGTCGACTTGCCTGCTCCTGCGCCTTCATCCTTGACCTTCCTCTCAGACCCTGGCGCCTTGCCGCCCTTCTTCGACTCGCTCTTCCCAGCAGCGGCAGGCACCGAACCCGCTCGTTCTGACCCGGAGGCACCAGCACCCGCAACACCTTCGGGTCTTTCCTTCTTCTTTCTGCCTCGACGATGTTGTAGGTATTCGCACGTCAGTGTGTATCGCGCGCATCGTTTACATGGTTCGTCCGGGTCGTCCGAGGGGAAACATTTGATCTGAGGTCGTCAGATAGTGGGTCGAGGACGGAAAGAGGTCAAGGATGTCGCAGTGGAGAAGTTGAGATATATGTACCGGGAAGGAAAGTCCATTTCAGTCCATTACAATCCGAAAGTGTGTCAAAAAAGAAGCATCAGCTACCACTTTCTCCGGCCTGTTTAACGAGCAATGTTTCCGAGACTGACTTTTTGTGACCGGCAGTTTGAACAAGCACTGTGGTGTGTTACGTGCCCGAATGCCACAGCCAGCAGCGAGCAGCGAATGAACGCCGAGAGCCAGAGAAGACCAGAATTAATGAGGGAAAGACGAGAGACGGCTACGGTCAGCCTTGGTCGTCTATCAGAACGGCGTTCCTTCCCGTTTCAACGGTGACTTGCATGATATTCCTCGCTGAATCCCCTTGACCCTGACCCTGACCTGTCCGCTGAGTATCTGATTCTCCGCCCGTATCCTTCCTACCGAGGCCTCGGTCCTCCTCTTGCATGTTTGTGCCGGGTTCTGTCTGCCCTACCGGTCTTGTGTGCCCGTACTTTGAGCTAGCTTGTTCTTTTGAGGTATATGACGATCAGTCCGAGAGGCAAGACTTGAGGGCTTGAGGCAAAGACGATGTTACGAGGCCGAAATTCGGTGGTCCGAGTCGTCGATATCAATGTACTCGTGCAAGGCCCAGGACCCGAACGGTCTCGCGTGTGATCGGGGGGAATGGGGACCTGCCTGGGTGGAAGTGGGGTATGACCGGTATGATGATGATCGGAAGAATCACGATCTCACGCGAGCGACCGAACTCTTCGTTTCTTGTCTTTGGCCACAGCGAACCGCCTGAAGTACGAACGTCCTGCACCGTATAACCCACCATGCACATCTTGTGTGTCTCGATTCCACGACGTGCTCGATCTCCCCGCTTGCGATGTCAAAATGTCGTCGACGACTGCGTGTCCCTCCACCCACCTCCCCACGTCCACCCATGCCACCCACCAGCTACCAGCCGTCATTTAATTTGATCCCGTTTCATTCGGCCAATCCTTCAAGCCCGCGCCCCCCGCCTGTTCCTTGGCGTGCAAGCCTTTCGGTCATTCGCTCATTCGGGCTGGGGTGGTCTTTCACTCGACACGTTTCATCGTCGACCGCTGCGATACCGTTATTGATTGAAAAAGACAGGTGGAGTCCCGGAGTCAACAGAACGGCCAGTCTCACAGATATGAAACGCTGTTGGTCCTATACCGCTTTGCCCTTCAAGAGTAGAGTCCGAGCCGAGCAAGGAGGACCCGCGAGCGCAAGTTGTCTCATCGCTCTCGCCTAACACCACGATCAGTCACTACTAAAGACGTCAACTGTCCTTAGTTTTCCTGCACAATGAGGCGGTCCTTCTCGGACCAGATCGACAAGACCCACGGATGATCCGAGATCATAACTCAGGCTGCATGTTTGAGGTGATCGCTCCACTTCCAAGATCCATAAAGAGGCACGCTTGCCAATCACATCATCGATCACCGTATCAAGGACCCCGCCAACATCGCAGACTAAGACGAGTCCTACAGAAAAAAACTGGCACGTCCTCCTGTCATGCAGAGTAGCGACCGACTCCTCGACTCTCGGGGGGTTGATCTGTCGCCCTTTGATTTGCATCGGATGTTCAAGGTCACAAGGCTGTATAAACACCACAATCCGCTAAAGGGTCTTTCGTTATATGTAGAGTAATAACATTACAAACAATCATATCGGGGCATGAAGGTCGTCGTCACTGATATGTGTCCATCTCCATTGATGTCGCATCTCTTTTCGTTTCAAGCTGTAAAAACTCCCTTTGCTTTGCTTCCCATCTTCGAACACCTTGTAATTCCGAGACCGTTGAGGACGACTCGGACATCGTGCGCATCGATTTGGATATCGACAAAGACGAGCGCTCCAATCGGATGATGGTCGGCGCCAATGGAGACGAACCCATACAACCTGGTGGACTGATGAATCGAGAATATACAACAAGACATCGTCAAGCCCTGGTTCCATGACAACCATGGTCATGCTCATGCTAACGTCTAGGAGGCTTAGTGGCGTACTGCTTTCCCGGCTGTCTAAGTTCGAGGCCGGCGGACTTCTCTTTCACGCCCTTGTGCGGCCTTTCCATGAAGTCATGGCGTCTGGGAACCTAGGAAGATACGGCTATTCAGCGCGTATTATCCGACCAGCATTCAAAGTTGTATCTGGATTGGACGCCGTTCTCATACCTTTCTTCCTCCTAGGCTTTCCCACTTTCCACATGAGCGCTGATCTGTGCGGTAGATTATGACATTGAAATTATCGACTGCCCATTTGCTCAAGGATATTATCGTCGTAGTTTGGTTCCTTAGATGAGGGAGAGCGAGTCGGCATGCAACTATAGAGAATACATTGCATTAAGGCTTAGCCCGGCAGATGGCAAACTGTTTTCATGTCGACGCAACAGCATCTCGCAGATCCCGTATGTGATAGGCAACGTAGAAGGGGCCCAATTGATATACGCAAAGCTGTGTCTGAGGAACTATCTGATATCGATCCTCTGAAACAGGCCCGGACGATCAAACATGAGTCGATTGTTTGTCGGGGCTGCTTGAATACAGTAGAACGATACCGGGTTTCTCTGCACGATATGACATCACCCAGCCTGCCATATTTTGTGCATAAACAGCGAAGCAGTGTATACGTCCATTTGGGACATGAACAATGGATCTTGTCCTCCATTGATGCTTGCGCATTTTCAGGTCAATCGGATCCGACTGCAAACAGATACGCATCGGACCGTAGGAATACAGTAAGTCCGTGCGACAGGCAGGAGACGAAACACGCAGGTGTACGTCATGACCTTTCCCCTATGTCAATACGACCTGGGGGATATGGTAAGACTGTACTATAGAGTTCCTTCGGCTGCGTCCTGTCAGTGCGCCAGGTTGTAGATGTCGGCCACGACGGATGTGTGTGAACTCTACAGTGCGCCTGGGAGGACGAGCGCACCCTCGCGCGAGAAACCGTCTTGTTAACGGCGTGATTCGAATTCAAGTGGAGCGATACGAAGAGACGACGAGGTGATTACTACATGCAATTCGAAGTCGTATGTAGTACCATGGGCTGAGCTGCCTGCACAGCTGCATTGCCCCCTTTATTGCAGCCTCAAAGTGACAAGAACGTGGACGACGAGATCGACGCCTCGTACTCATTTCTTGTGTGACGGATTTGAGCGAAAAGTGGGTTCGTCACGCGCAAAAATAGAATTCCATCAAATGATTGGCACAGCAACCTCGATTTGACGACAGAGATCAGAGAAAGGGAGGGGACCATCCTTCTTCTTATCGTCTGCCATGAGGGTAGTAGACACATCAGCGATGCGACGAGTCAGTCCATCAGTGGTCCGCACATCGCTTTGCTTTGCTGTGCCGTGGTAGCCTTGCTATATGATCCGTGGCAAAACGCCGACTCCCATCCCATCCCATCACACACACGTACCTCGCTCGGCGAAAAGCGACCGGTCCCCCGTTTCGCGTATCGATAGTCACTCCTTGAATTCGAGAGTCGACCCATCGTCACCTATAACCTCACAGTACTGGCTCGTAGATCGCATAGCTCTATCATCAACTCTCAACTCTTCAAATATAACATACCACTCGATCACTGGCTAACCGTCTTTCTCATCTATAACCGAGTCGCAATCATCGTTGCGAAATTTATCGCCAGACGAGGCACAAAGGACGAAGGGATCCGAGTCACCCTCGTAGCGTGGAGCCGGGACAACGACGATAAGACAAGTCGAGTCTAGCACTCAAATGAGCGTCCCTGGTCGCAAACCTCCATCGCGATCGGGATCCGGATCGTCTCAGACCCACGGTCCAGCCTACTTGCAGCACTCACAACCGCAACAAGGCATGTGGAATAATCTATCGATGGTCTCGAGCTTCCCGCCTTCAAACGGCGGCTATGACCGCTACCCGGGTCCTTCGCAACCTCCCTCAATGTCCCGTATTTCCATACCTACTTCCTCTTCCTTTCATCAAGGGAACGGACTCCCCATGAGCATGTTCCCGCCTCAAACTCAACAGGGAAACGGGTACGGCGAAGGTCCGAGGAGAGATTCTCACCAAGCGGTCGAGATGGCCGCCTCTGCTCTTGCCAACCTGGGTAACGGGAGCTCGACCAACCCCAATCCAGGACCGAGTGGTATCAAGAACGAAATCACAGAGGCCGGTCCAAGCCAGACGATTCGCAGACAAGTAGATGAAGCGGCTGGACACGAGTCGGCTGCAGGGCCGGGCGCAGGGAACAAGAAGAAGAGGAAACCGAAACAAGGGGAGAATATGGATGAGGATGGGAGACGAAAGACGGCTCGAGCGTGTGATCAGTGTGTGCGTACCGAACATTTCCCTTGCCTTCGTAAAGTTACCTGCGAGCTGACTTTCGGAAGACGACCTGCAGCGGACGAAAAAGATCCGGTGCGAGATCATCATTGCACCGGACTCGGAAGACGCACATCCCAGAGGAATGTGTAAGCACTGCCAGCATACAGAAAACGAGTGTACATTGTGAGTGAGAGTCCGAATCAGTTGACTCCAGTAGGTTACTGACACGGGGCATCAATATCTCTGGCAGCTATATGCCCATCGCGGAGACCAGGTTCAAAAAGCGAAAAGGCAAGCTGATAGTGACCGTAACCGTGTCCACGGTTTTTGCTAACCAAGTGAATGCATACTGATTTGTCATACTACAGTAGCGGAGGAAAGCCAGACCTCTTCGCCTCAGAACAAGTTGTCTCCCGAACCCCATCCCACAACTGTCCCCGAGTCCACCTTGGTCAAAGAACGAAGAACAAGTCAAGCGGATGCTCAGCAATATGGCGCACCGTATACACTATCTCCGAACGAGCTCGGCCCACCATCCATCAGCAGCGATCGGGTCGAAATCGGTGAACATCAGGTCTTGGTTCCCAAAGCAGGTATGGCAGGCAGAGTGCTAGGACATGGAGGCCGAGTCGAAGGTACGTGGTAATGTCACGTCTCTTAGCAAAATCATTATCTGACTCGGTGGGCTGAAGACGCTGTCCGTTATACAGGCCCGACGTCGTTGTCGTATATACTGCATTCCACCGCTTCTCTCCCGAGACAAAATCTTCAAGAATATGATATAAGAAATCACCAGACGTGGCAGTTTACCACCGACGACGGTGATGGAATCATCAGAGTTTGCAACCCGCCTACATCCTCCTCCTTCAAACAGGGGAGCGGTTATACAGAATCATCACCATCGGAAAGCTCGAATCAACCTCAGAAACCGGTCCTCACCGCCGCTCTCATCTCGACACTGGTCAATTCCTACTTTACCCATATCGCACCCTTGTTCCCGATCGTAAATAAGAAGGAATTCGTCAAGGGCGGCAATCCACCTCCGCTGTTGCTTTATGCGATGGCAGGAGCGGCGAGTACCAGGCGGGGGGTCAAGAAGGAGGTCTTCAACGCCATCAGGGCGGTGATTAATGGGTTGATTCGGAATAATGATGTCCTCAGCGACCCGTCCCTCACCAACGTTCAGGCCCTGGTACGTCCTGATGAGGAGGAGCTTCCTGTTGAGTATAGGTTGAGCTGACGACGCAACACGCTCTTGTAGCTCATTCTGAACATGGCGGCTGACATTCATGCTCAACCGACCTCGACCGCGATCGGAGCTTCTGTAACGCGAATATCGGCTGCCATTAGGATGGCGCAGAATTTGGGTCTACATCGAGAAAGCGTGGCCACATCGAATGACCCAGAGGAGATGACCAAGATCGAGCTCAAGCGACGGGTCTGGGCGGTCTGTGTCATTTTCGATCGATGGTGAGTACTAAACGGATTCACTTTGGCCTGGCCGCGATGTTCAACTTGACCTTTTGTCACAGGGTCGCCGCTTGTCTTGGACTGCCGATGCTCATCGACATTACGGATTGTGACTGCCTGTTGCCTTCGCCATACGAAATCACTTCCAACCCGGATGGCACCACCGCTTGGCATATCACCGAACACCAACCATACGCTATCTTGACAGAACACCTCAAACTATCCATCCTGTTGGGTCGTGTCTTGAAATGCGTGTACAGGTGAGCTCGTCGAGGTTGCTCAACGAGATAAACGATCAACATTGACTCGCAAGCGCACCCTGAACAGCCCGGTAGGGTTGACGCAGACGACGAACGAGCAGCTTAGCAGTCTGATCAACGACATGAACGAATGGCAAGTCCAATTACCTTCCGAGCTGCAACATACGGACCAGGACAGCGACATGGGTTGTGGACTGCTGCATCTCGGACACGTAGCGATGCAATTCCTCTTCTGGAGAACGTTCATGCGTCTCAACTATTCTCTGCCAGCACACGTCAAACTGAGCATGGATGTAGCCACTTGGAGTAAACTCGTCAAGTGGTCGACAGACGCTATCAACTGGTTGCGGAATCACGAGGAAGCCATTGACACGGTCTTGTAAGCGAGCGTGTCTCCACCCGATATCGCCCGAGTCTGACGGATCGTGCACAAACAGTATTTACGCATACGCTATCAATAATGCGGCCTTGATTCAGGTAAGACGCTGTGTACGAAAAGTAGCTTATATGGCGAGGCTGACATGCTACTGCTCTGGCGTTCATCAGTATCACACATGGGTCAGACGGTGTACGCCAGAATCGTTAGAGATGCTAAAAATCCTACGTGACGTCGTGCAGCGGTGGGAAGATGCAGTGCAGCCCGGTACGTCTGCTTCTCGGTGAATTTGTCTTGTTTTGCCTGACCAACTTCTTCTTATAGATCACATGAGCATTCGACGGAAGACGATCGAAATCATGACATTGCTCTACGAAGCAGCAAAGAAGGTGCACACGCCAAACGGGGGCCTAGGCACCGCTGCCTTGAATCCCACACCGGGACTTAAACGCCGGGACCCTGAGCTGTTCAAACGCATCATTTGGAAACCAGACCCCGATGATCCTGGAAAAGGCGTATTTGTGGCTACCGATATGGGGTCGACTTCGCGCCAACTGGAGCGTGAATTACCACCTGGCATCCTGGTCACCCAATCAGCAATTGCAACCAATCAAGAACCCATCCTTCAACCAAGCAATAATCCTAATATGCAGCAACAACCCGGACAACAACCTCACATGAATCAACAACATTACAACATGCTGAACGGCGCCAACGGCGACCACCCGCAGACAGGTCCGAACATGACTCAACTGGCGAATCAAGGAACGAGTGTTTCGACCGAGCCGGTGTCGTATCTGGTAAGCCATATCACCCGCTAAATACCAGACAAATCGATCACTAAGCCCCAGACAACGACTACCTTGCTCAGAACCTCAACCCTGGCTTGCAATACTTTCCTCAACTGCCCAACGCTCCAGAAAATGGAGAGACGGATATGACTATGCTCCTGAGCATGCTGGATCAGAACAATGCCGAAGCGCTTACACAGGCCCAGCTGCTGGACAACTCGCTACTCAGCGGACTTCCACCCACGTTCGATTTCGACGCTTGGTCCGAGTATTTCGGACGATTCGACTTTGCCAATATGCCCTTTGATCAGAACAGCAACTTTAATCAGAATTTCGGTTACACGGCGCGATGAGCGCCCTTCGTCCTGTACCAGGAATATGAATGTATCCATACCGTACAAGGCTGTCATCGAAGATCCGTATAGACTACAGCTTCCCTCTATCAAGCTATTTCCACTGAATATGTTGGAAACTATATCCAGGGTGCCCAACCACAGTGTATACTGTATTGACGATGATAAAGCCGGAACACGACGAAAAGTGCACAACCCATGCCACTACTCTTCGGATCTTCGACTCTGCCATCGAATTTAGAGCAGAGATGGAGCAATTCATAGGAGACTCCCGCGAGGATAAGTTGGATTGAAACCTTGCGGAGATCGGAACGCATTAGATTACGCGCTATAGTCCACGCTCGGAGCTAGGCTGATTACATCTGACATGTGGAGCCCTGAACCCCGCGGGTATAAGAGGATGAGTGTCGCCATGCAGCTAATGGATGGCAGACTTGTCATGCTTCGTGTACAACCATAAGACTAGAAGAACGACCAGTGACAGTCAAGTACAGCATGTTAGCTTGGCTAGCGAACCGGTTCCTAGTGTGGTCAACTACCGAGCCACCTGAACAAGGTAGATCTCCGCCGTCTTTCGCGCTGTTATATTCAACTCCTGACGAATTGATGTGCGATAAACCGTCACTGCAGGCGCTCCAGACGAGACATCCGAGATATCCGAGGAGAGGACTCAAACCCCCAGAAGTTTTGCAGATGTGACTGCGGTTTTGACTCTGCCAGTCGGAGATAGCGTTCGAGATCGAGAGCGTGACCAGGAGTTGAAGGGCACGCTCGTCATGGATGAACATTCGGTTCGTTTTAAATTTCGCTTCATATTGATATCCAAAACTGAGTCTGACAAACGTTTCTCGACAAGATCCGAATGATTCCCGGACCGTCTTCACCTGTCAGCCCATCGAAATCGCATGAGCCCTTGGAGATCGATATGGTAAGCGGCGAGACCGATCATCCGGGCCTCGTCGGAGACGGCTGATACCGCAATTCGTCACCATAGGTCGACCTGCGATCGTGGAGTTTCCATATGACCTTGTTCTTTTTTCCTGACGCGGTGGAACTGAGATATACCACCAAACCGATATCGAAGCCTGTGAGCGATACTGCGAGAGCAACTTTCACGGAGTCGACGGCCGAGTCCTTGTCTTCCTTACGAATCACTTGGGACCAAGGCGATGTCAAGGAGATTCACAGGACAATCACGTCGCTTCGCCAGCAATGTCGAAGAAAGCCGACGACGTCTTCTTTGCTTGAGCGACCGTGAGCGACAAGAGGTCAGATGACAACGGAGGTGTTTCGAGGTCGAGATCGGCCGGCGACGAGGAGGCTATCAAAGTCACAGCATATCGCGATCTTCGAGCTTTGTATTCACATCCCATACCCAAGAAGCAAGGAATGTATCGCCGTTGGCAAAAGGACAATTACGGCCGACTGGGCATTCCCCGTGCGATTTCGCGGCATCGCACGCGATTGTCCGTCGCTTGTTCTATGACGATATCCACCGAGGTAGATGTCCTGCAGTTTCCACCTCACATGCCCGGCACAGGAGGCACATGTTTGCTCAGCCAAAGCTTGTCTTAGGGGACGGTCCCGACGAACTCCCGACTGTTCAACCGCCGGGCCGTGTCGTCGTTACAGGTTCACTGGCGGAAGAAGGGGGGTCCAAACCGGGCGACGGGTTCGCAACTCGATCATGCTGGCTGCATGCTGGGGTGTGATCGTGCTGACCCATCAATCCGAAGTGTGAATCGGGGTCTGTCGCAGGAAGAAGGGCAAGCAAGGGGGTTTGCAATTCTAATTCATCACGGGCTTTCGGTCTCGGTTCGACGACGCAGAAAGGGAAAGGAACCAAAAAACGTGGCAGGACGCGCGCGGGGAACGACTTGTTCTTTTCAGGAACGCCACGGGGCACAATGGGTCTCCGCACGCGGGGAATGCGGGGGAACAGCAGAACCAAAAAGTCTTGGCATCAAACGTTGTCGAGACATGCAGACACACAGTCAGTCCGTCTATATATCATCGCTCGATCGAATCCCCTTCCTCCTCGTCCTCGATCGTCACTCCCCCACCCCCTCATCTCCCGACGAAACAGTCTGCAACACCTCGACCCCGTCAATATGTCTGAATATCAAGAGAAGGAGAAGATCTCTCCGGTCGGAGAACACATCGAGTACAGCTCGGACGCCAGCCTCGAGGCCGCTTCCAACGTCAACGAAAAGGCCGTCATCCGAAAGACGTGAGTAGATCAGCGCGCGTCATACACGTGGATGCGTCGTAATGGCTCGCTGATCTCTTCGATTTGTGCGCTTCTTGTCGTCTTTTAGAGATCTACGGATCGTCCCTTGGTTGTCTCTGCTCTACCTGCTTTCCTTTTTGGATCGTTCCAACATCGGTAACGCCAACCTGTTCGGTCTCTCCGCGGATCTGGGCCTCTCGACCACGCAATACTCGGCATGTCTCGCCATCTTCTTTGCCTTTTACGTTCTCTTCGAGGTTCCCAGTAACATGGTGATGAAGGCTGTGGGTATCGGCTCTTGACTGATCTCGATCCGCGATCGTTCGTTCAACTGACATTAAACGCCTTGCCCTTCAAAGTGGAGACCCTCGATGTGGCTGCCTACCATCATGTTGGCATGGGGAGGTGTAATGATCGGGATGGGCTTCGTTGACAGCTTCAGCCACTTGCTGGTCACTCGAGTGCGTAAAATTGTGCTTCGTATCTAGCTGTTGGCTGTACTGAAGACAGGAACGTCCTTTCTCCAGGTATTTTTGGGCATTACTGAGGCTGGTAAGACGGCCGAATCCACCGTTTCGTGTGTAGCTTCACTAGGCTGACCTCGAATGCTCTTTTTCTAGGTCTTTTCCCTGGAGTGTCCTTCTTCTTGACCCAATGGTACCGACGATACGAGATCAACTTCAGGATCGCCCTTTTCTTCAGCGCCGCAACCGCCGCTGGTGCCTTTGGTGGTCTCTTGGCCCGTTTGATCAACGAGATGGACGGTGTCAACGGCTACGAGGGGGTATGTTTGCGCTTGCCATAAGGCTCGTTGAACGAATCCATCTGACAGGAAGTCTCATCTTTCAGCGATGGATCTTCATCCTCGAGGGTATTGCTACCGTCATTGTCGCCGTCGCCTCTTTCTGGATGTTGTACGATTACCCCGACACCGCCAAGTTCCTCACCGAGGATGAGCGTGCTTTTATCGTCGAGAGACTCAAGCTCGACAACGACGGCTGTTCGCAAGCGTACAAGAACAAATTCATTAAAGATGCCTTCCTCGACTGGAAAGTCTGGGTCGTAAGTCGGTGGCGGGGACCAGCGGAACCTATAAACAACACGGTTGACAGACTGGCCCGATTTCGTACAGTTCGCCGTGATGTTCCAAGGGTCTCTCATGCCCGTGTACGCATTCGCTCTCTTCAGTCCTACTCTCACGGCCAATCTCGGATACACCGCAGCAAAGGCTCAGTTGGTGAGTCCACGTTGCCTGGTAGTCTGTTTCCTCGGGAGATTCAAGCATTAAAGCTCATTGCCCTTTCCTCGCTCGCAGATGTCGGTTCCGCCTTACTGTGTCGCCGCCGTCACCACCGTTGTCGCTGGATACGCGTCGGATCGTCTCCAAAAGCGAGGCATCGTCGCCATCGGCTTTTCCGCACTCGGCGCTCTCGGATTCCTCATGCTCCTGGTCACCCCCAACCCTAACGTCCAATACGCCGGACTGTTCCTCGCCGCCGCCGGTGTCTACCCCTTGATCCCCATCGTCGTCTCGTGGGGCTCGAACAACTGTGGAGGTTCGCTCAAGAAGGGAGTCGCTACCGCCATCATCGTCTCGTTCGGTAATGCAGGTAAGTCGAGTTCCGATCAATATCAGCTGATGACTTCGGGTACTGATAGCGACACTGGTTTCATAGGTGGTGTCATCTCGTCTTTCATCTACCCTAGGGAAGACAGGCCTCGATACATCAAGGGTCACGCCATCTGCTTCGCATACTGCCTCATCGTGGTCGTTTCATCGGCGATCATGATCATGTATTTGAATGCGCAGAACAAGAAAAAGGCCGCTCGCATCGCCGAGAGGGATCATCCTTGGACCGCCGAGGAGAAGCTTCCTTACGAGGACGATGGCGACAATGTTGAGTGGTTCAAGTACGCCATCTAAAGATTTTCGTGCTCTGGCAGGTGTCGAAGTGTTACTAGCCAGTTGGCCGTCATGATGTAGGGCCCCGACTAGTATTGGGTGTGGCAAGATATATTCCGGGTAATTACAGTTGTATAGAAAATATAAAAGGAAACAATAGTCTGAACAATGCTAGCCATGAGAACACCATGATCGAGCGTCGAAAATGGATCACGGGATCATCGTGTGTGCAGCATGTATCCGCAGCGCTCAAAGAAGGCTGCCCGGGAGACGAAAGGAGACAGACAGAAAGAATTATAATTGTAAGTAAATAGCAGAAACACAGGTCGTGTACAAGGCGAAAGTCTCTCAGTAGAGGCCCTGGCGCAAGGGGTATTGAGCAGTACGCAGAACCGGAATCCGGTCGTGTATTGCTAAACATTCGCTCCTGCCACAATCTATCGTCATCGCTTCTCTGTTTGCACAAGAGAGACGCGTTGGCAGATATCCTTCGAAGCTTGCGAACTTTGACACTGGACTTACTGCCCAAGACTTTGGTCAAACTGTTGCGGACGGTGTTGGCCATCTTCTCCGTCTCCTTCTTCGTGAACGCTGCGGAAATCATGATCTTGAGACTGGGCGCCGGTTCAAACACTTCCTGTCCACGCAGACGTGCGGCGCGGCAGATCAAGACACCTTGACCGAGGGCGTCGTCGACAACGTCTTGGAGCAGGCGCTCCTCCAGCTCGATCGACTCGGGTGGTGACAGCATGTACACGTGAATCAAGGCCGATTGATGATTCGAAGGGATGTAGATTGTCACGCCCTCGAGTTTGGCGAGTCCTTGTCGAAAAGTTCGGATGTTTTCGGCGAGCTGACTGTAAATTTGAGGTGAAGTTTGCATGATGTTGATGGCAGCGGAAGCAGTGGTGGCCAAAAGCCCTGGCATAGCAGCAGAGAAGACAAAGGCTGCTCCGTTGATACGCTGTGGATGTCCCAGGCTCGATCAAGTTTCCTTTACGTTTCGATGTCGCTATGAACTCTTACCTGATGATGAGTGACGTGTTCCATGCCAGCACAGAACCCGCCACCTGCGTTCAGTCCGACTGCCATCGATCCTACCAAAAGGTCGATCTCGGTAGCCTGCGCAATGGCATCCGGATGAGCACTAGCGACTCGCCAATTCTATCGATGCTGAAGCTCTTACCGGAACGCCAAAGACTTCGGTGACTCCCTTCCCATGCTTGCCGACCATACCGAACGAATAACTCTCGTCCAGTATAAGACGGAACTTGTACTTCTTCTTGAGCTCAACCTGCGCAGCCGATGCTTAATGACCTGATTTACCAACCGCATAGCCTGCACTGACGACTTACCACTTTCGCCAGATCTATCATGGCTCCATTGTTTTCAAAGACGCCTTCTGAAACGATGAATCGTCGCTTCAAAGGTCCACCCTTCCTCTTGGCCTCCTTCTCTACAGCCTTCAACTGCCTCTCCAGATCAGCCATATCGTTGTGCTCGTACCACTTGACCGTGCATCGAGAGATCTGAAGACCCTTCTGGATGGCAAAGTTGACCGATTTGTCGGCCACGACGACATCTCCTCGTTTGGCGAATGCAGGAATGACTGAAGTGATGGTGGAGAACGATTGCGAGTAGACGATGACCGAGTCGATCCCGAGGAAGCGAGCAATGTCGTTTTCGAGCTGAGTGTGAACGTCTGCAGATTCGTGCCAAGATTAGCACTTCGAAACTAGGTTTACCCATGTTGATAGACTTACCCAAGGTACCGTAGAAACCAGGTGGTCCACATGGCGAAAGGCCGTATCCTCTCAGCGTACCGATGGCAACCTCTTTGATTCTCTCATCCTCCAACAAACCAACCCAATTAGGGCTGGCGAGATTGAGGACGGTCTTGCCAGTGGCCGCTAGTTTCGGTTTGTGTGAAGCGGGTCCAGAGATCACTGGCAGAGAGGGTAGGATCGTATGTTCGAACTTGGTAGTCGGACCATCTACCAAAGGCATCGGTTGCCAGTCGTCGACGAGTTCATCAATTTCCTGTGGGAGCGGTCGTCAAGGTATGAGCCGCGACCCCGACACGTAGTTCTGGAATGCGCAAGTTGCCCACTTTTTCCGTCAATTCCACGAAGTTACGCGACTGCCCTTCGCCTCGAGTACGGCGACTGAAGATGGTCCTCAAAGCGAAGACTACGAGGAATAGCTCGAGGAGCGACCGGTAAGGATCATTCTGATTTGACAAGTGCTTGATCGTTAGAGATTGTGTTCAGTGCGATGCATACGACTGGTACCGAGACTTGCCTGGTAGGAACTCTTGATGTATCGGATCAAGATAGGGGATCCAGGAATGGAATGGAACCCGTTCTGAACCTTGACCAGCGTCGAGGTCAGGACTCCAATCAGCGGTAATACGGGCGACGGGTCTGCCGTTGTGGTGGTGTTCATGGCTGAAAGCGGTATGTTTGTTTATATGCTGATTTCGGTTCCGACAAGCGTCCGGAGGTTGAAGCTATCTTATACTGTCTAGCTTGAAGGAGAACAGTATGCTTGGACGTATTCTGGCTGATCGCTGACTGAGTGGACGTTGAGAATGCTGGTAGCTGGGTGCTGCAGGTCGAGGATGCGCAGATAGCAATTCAATCAAGCACGACGGTCGATGGTTCCTCGTTTCTCATTCTCGAGTGGTCGCCGTCTGATGCCGATCCCCAAGGCGCGCGTCGCTCGGACCTCGACCTCCGGATTCGATCTGATGGGGGATGGTATCCCCCCTGTGGTTGGGAAAAAGATTGACTTTTGGGTGTAGTGTCCCACTGGGTTCGCCGCTGTCGAATTGACAATTCTCGCATATATATTGGGGTATGATATCAACATAGTTACAAATCCAGTCTGGGAAGACTTCCGAAATCACGCCAACGGTCATCAAACGAGTCCGCCCCAGCTAAGTTGACGAGCAATATGAGCCTGCCTGAATCGTCTGTCACGAAAGCGAGAAACTCACCTGCCGAGCCCAGCAAAGAATGCCGCTAGCGATACCACCAAGCTCTGCAAGGTACCCAAGTCAGACAGCTGACGCACTGAACGGACGTCATTGTACTTACTCCCCAAGTCACCGCCGACAGCCCTACACGCCTAACACCAACGGCCCAGACCCAGGAGATGACGAAGTGAGCCAAGGCCACTCCGGCTACGACCAGAGGAAAGAGTCTATGCGGCTTGAGCTCATCAAGCGGAGTCAGGCCATATTTGCCAGAAGGCAAGCTCGATCGAGCCGAAAGACGGTGATAGATCGGTTCGGTGTTGTAGTAGAAAGCGGATACGATGAGGGTGAAACCCAGGTTGAGGAGTATCGTGTCCAGTCGCCAGAGGATATGCACAGCGACCGCAATGTTCTGGTAAATCGGTTGCTTTAGCTATATTGGAAGGGGTCTCGCTTGGTGAAAGCCTGCTCACTGGAAACGGTTTGCCCAACGCATCTTCCAGGTCTGTAGGCAAAGCATGCTTCCGACTTCAGAATTACTCTTCTCACAGAAGGAAAGCGATTCATCGGCCCACCTTTCCTTCCGCGCAAGCGCTGCAAAGCCTCAATCTTGGCTAACAGGTTATCTTCTTCATCCTCAAGACTGGAAACGGAAGACTGATCATCCGCAACAACGACCTCTGACTCCATTTGCTGAGATGTCGCCGTAGCATAATCTTGGGCCGTCGACGTGGACATGTTCCTCTCAGGATCTGCGACCGGCTCAACTGACACCTTGTCCAGCAGATCACTCCAGAGTCGTACACCGCTGAACCAACCCCGCGTAATTCCCCAGAAGGCTTCTGCAGCTCCCCAGCCAATGCCGAGGTAATACGACTGCTGAAACAGCCGCGTTGTAGTAACCATAGTTGACGAGTGAGGTTCGCAAAGGTAAAGCGCAATCACTCGAAGGAGTTCCTGCATCGCAGTGTGAAGGAAAATGCCTCTAAAAGCGGTTCGTCAGCACACCTATCGACTCCACTTGGTGGTCATGATCATGACTTACAGAGCAGCGAGTAGAAGCAGCCGTATTGTGCTCTTTGACCTGCTCGCAGTGAACCCTGAACGCGAGAACATCCTGCCGAGTTGTTCAGGTAGCATGCTGATAGCTTCCAAGACAGGGTCTCTCAATGCCTGCATAGTGATGCTAGCGAGAACTCCGATGATGAGAGGCGGCCACAGGAAGGGGTGAGGATACCGAGGCCTTTCGGCCGGGGGCAGCCGACGTTCGTTACTGGTTGGTGGCCTGCAGTGAACCTCAAGTGTCAGTCCCGTGCGACATTTGAAGAGTGAAGGTCAACCCACCAAGCGTATACAGCCAGCATGACGAGAGCCCAGCACCCAACGAGAGTAAAAATGGGCACCAAAAGGTATGTCGCTTTCAGGTAGGTGTAACTGGCTAGATCAGGTTGTCGCTCATCAGTTCAAAGTGCCAACCGCTCAAAGCATGGATTCCTCTCACATTTTGTCAGCTGCTGTCGTCGACGAGTATGCTCGATGGAGGACGCTCTGTCGGAGTACGAGCGGACGCTACGTATACTTCCTCGTCCATCCAGTCCTCTGCCCTCGACCGACTGCCAAACGTCGGCATCGTTCCCGTCCAGTCGTGCCTCTTCCCCAGCGTAGTCCCTACTCTGAACACCCATTCCAGGCGTTGGATTCGAGGTAGTTCCATAAGAGGTTTGCGGACCATCAAGATGGCTTCTCTCAGAGGTCGTCCTTGAAGACCCGAGCAACCGTTCGTCCTCTGCGTTGGCGTGGTGTTGTTGCTTCTTGTCACGGCGCAACGTCGAAGTGATGGCCGAGACCATACCGTTGCTAGACATGGTAGGCAAGGATGCGATGTATGTTGTCTAGCCAACGGAACGTATCTACCGCGGCCACTTTCGGACGAGAAAGGGTTGCTGTTGAATTGATGATGATCAAGTGCGCAAGTGCACAGGTGAGTTGCATGAGGTTGACCATCACACGGCGATCACGGCGTCATGGCGCGTTATTCGTCATGATTCCAAGTTCACGTCACCTTGTACCCGGCTCAGCGGAGTTTGTCTACCCCACGTGTCCGTAGACGACTACAAATAGTGTGGATGATAGATACGGGAGACAATCAGGATACAGAGCACCGACTTCCGGCTTAGAACTTGAACTTTTCCTTTTCCCGTCGGTCCCGATCTCCACCCCGACCCCTTTCACTCGTCCGCGACTTCTTGGCCTGAGCGATGACATCGTCAAACTCTCGCCTGTCAACGTCAGCTCCCGGTACATGCACCCGATTGCTCTGCGATTTCGAAGCGTCGTAGCGGGCCCGAAGTTCTTCCTGTGAAAGTCCCTCGAGGTCATCCGGGTCAACGGCCATCTCAACTCCAGCCTTGCGCTGGTCAGAACAGTAGGTGAAGACATCGTCAGCTTGTTGCACCCGCACCGGAACAGCAGAGGCGTTACTGACCTTGGTACCTCGATCGTCTTGACCCAGAACCCTAGGCCCCCCAGATCCACCGGCTCCAAGACCAGCAACATCGTAAGTCGTTGAACTGCCCATGAAACCTCTCGAACTCGTCTGCCTCTCGGGAATAACCTGATACAGCTCCCGTGGCACAGGAGTTGCCGATACCTCGCTCTCGGCGGGTCCGGCATCCTTTCTGAGTTGCAAAAAGTCGGGCGTCTCCAAACCGCCAGGTACGGTCGAAATCGCTGTTTGCATGCCAGATGGTGTTTCCATGCCAGAAGGAGTTCGCAAGCCCTCGTCCGGTGCATGACCCGAGGTGATGAGGTCCTCCTCGTCCTCTTCTTCATCCTCGGATTCCTCCTCTTCGGATTCTGTCACAGCATAACACCTTGTCAGACTTTGATCAAAAAAGAGCTTGAGCTATGATCTCACCTTCAGCTTCTGGTTCGAGCTGTCCCCACAACTCCTTCTCAATATCATCGCCCGACTATTAAGAGAAGCAATCAGTTCATGATCCGATGATGAACCGACGAGAAATAAGCGGACCGACCTGTCCGTCCTGGTCTCCTAAAACGCCGAAGGGATCGCCGTATAGCGGTCTGTTGTACTCGTCGACCATGGGTCTGCCCCAACCACCCGGATGGAAACCCCACTGAGCACTATACTCCAAAAAACAGAATCAGCTTTGTTCATACCGGCAACCTTCTGTTGTTCACTCACCCGGCAGGAATGGGCGCATTCAACCCGGCAATCCTCAGGTTCGGGTAGCTTGGAGGAGGCCCATACCTCTGCATAGCAATCAGCCAGGGAGGAGGCGCGAGAGGGGGAATAGACAATGCTTCCTTGAGCTCCTCGGACAGTTCACCCGGTTTCTTCATCTTCAAATCGGTTTCGAGCTCCTTTCCCTCATAGTACCTGGCAAATATAGGAAGAGCCAGGGTCAATGCATGTGATTATGGGCAGAGGCGAAAAGACTTACGCCTCTCCAAACTTGGACATCGAGGGTTTGGTCTGATACCTGAAAAAGGCATCGTGTAGCTTTTGATAATCAATGTCGATCTTGCCCATTTTCGGCTGCACCCTTTCTCTTGTCTTTTGCTTCAACGACATTGTCGCCTCCTTCTCCTTGATCGCGTCTCGCTGATCCGCGATCCCGGTGTCGGCGATCCAAGCTGTAGGAGAAAGCATGAGCAGGGATAGCATCCAAGAAATAAACGATGTCACTCACGTGGCAACTGGAAGGGCGCCTTCTCGATACCTCGTTTCCCGGACAAGTATTCTCGTTTAGCTGACCAGTGCACAGGAACTGGCACAGTACTGTCAAACACAAGAAAATCAGTGACTGCTGAGGGTCGCACTAGGCTCTGAGTAACAGGACTGACTTTCTGTACGCCTTCAAACTAACAAGCAATCTCGGATCTCGGGCATCGCAGTCGACCCATTCTACCACTTCTGGCTTGCTGACCAGCTGTTTGAGCTCAGCGACCGATAATTTCTGCTCGACATATTCACAAACAAACATTGTCAGGTCCAGGCCATCGCATCTAGGACACAACATGTGCGACCGACTCACGGCAAGCTGACGCTTCTTCTTCTTGCTCAGTCGTTGCTGGTTCGCCAGAGCCCGTTCACGGTCTTCGTCGTCGTCATCTTCTTCGTCCGAGTAGATGACTTCTGCTTTGTTTGGGCCGCTGTCGACCTGACATAGCAAGACCGATGCGAAGGCGTCCGTCTTCAGTGAATGCTCCAACTTTCAGAATCAAGATGCCCCAGAAGCGAGACTCACGGCTTCGTCAGACATGATCTGATCGACGACATCGCCCTGAAACTTCTGGAAGACGGAAGAGAACATGGCCATAGCAGGATCGTTGGGATCCAATGACATGGCTTGCGAGGAGACCGAATCCTCAGACGATGCAGGCATCTTTTGTGAGGCAACAAAGGTCGACGTTGAGCACATCGGGAACGCAGAGCCCACGTGAATCCTCGACCCTTACCGGCACATCGTCCTCTTCCTTGACCTGATCCTCCTCTGCTCCTCTTTCGACCTTGACACCGTTGCTCTTATCGATGCCCTGATCGGCGATCTTCTTGGCCTTTGCCTTCATCCTCCTCAACTGATTCTTCGACTTGGCCCCTCCTCCAAGTTTAGGCGGCGCAGAGGGCATGGCGCCATCTCCATCTTGCGCGGCAGTTGGGATCAAAGAGCCTGCCATACTAAAGCTCTGTTATGTTGAAGTCTGGTTTGATCTGTACAGCTAGCTTGAGGTTTTGCTTATATGACCTGCCTGGTTGTATATCATCTCGAGAACTCCAGGATAGCTAGGATATCATCCAGGTACCCAGGTCGATGCCCTTCCCACGACGAGACCCTCCGGCTGAGGCTTGAAAGGGGCGACGCGCACATGCTAAATGTGGAGGTCATCGATATGATCGAGGACATGAATCACCCTCTCAGATGGTTGTTGAATGCATGTCGCATCGAGGTCAGTCAATCGGAACCTTCCTTCAGATTCAGACTACGATTCATCTCTGTGACTCCCACAGAGAGTCATAGTCAGTTCCAGGAAAGGGAATAAAGAACCAACCGCATTTCAGCCGCGACCTCGTTCGACATGGTTTCTCAGCACGGCAGAGCAAGCAGGAGTCAACAAAGTCAACAACGGGAACAGCCGGTCGAGGAAGATGCTCCAGCTGCTACACCGAGCATCAGGGACATCGGCAAGTCCGGCAGGATGACTATGAAAAGTGTTCGTGTTCTCACATAGCTTTTGATTGCTCGGTTTACGTAGATGAGAGCAAGTGAGTTCTCGATCAACCTACCTGGCTTGGCCGGTTAGTCAAAGGTTTGACTTCTTATCTGTGATTCCACTTGCTATTATAGCTGTTTCCGAATCCTCATTGCCACAGATAATCATGTAGGATACAATGAGAGGGACCCAATCCGGGGGCAGGATTCGATGAATACCTTCCGGGAGATTCTCGAGATCGCCAAAGAACGCAAAGTCAGTATGCGGTCTTACCGGCTGCTTGCTCGTGCATAGAGACTGATTTGAGTTTGGTGGTATCGCGACAGGTGGATTTCATCCTGTTGGCCGGAGACCTTTTCCATGAGAACAGGCCTTCGCGAGCATGTCTGCATCAGATGATTGCGCTATTGCGAGAATACAGCTTGGGTGATCGGCCCGTCGAGGTGGGTTACCGGCTTTGTTTCGCGATCACGCGGTATCGTTGCCAAACTGACGTGTCTTTTTGGGTCGAAGATGGAACTGTTGAGTGATCCTATGGAGGGAAACACTCCTGGATTCAAGTAAGCTTGAGCGGAATCGCTTATTACATGCTCTATAGCTGATGCCCTGCACAGCTTCCCGGCGATCAACTATGAAGACCCGAACTTGAACGTAGCGATCCCGGTATTCTCTATCCATGGCAATCACGATGATCCACAAGGGACTGGGCCGGTGTGTATTATCAATCTGAAGCGTCGTCTTCCTCTTTCTCTGTGCTGATCTCTGCCGTTGTCGTTATAGGAAGGAGCTCTTTGTGCGCTCGACATCCTCGCGGCAGCAGGCGTAATCAACTATTTCGGTAAAGTCCACCTCGCCGCTTCTGAAGAAGACCCCAACGACCCCAATTCCTCTGGGATCAAGATCCGACCCGTTCTCCTGCAAAAGGGCGGGACCAGGTTGGCGATGTATGGAGTAGGAAATGTCAAGGACACTAGAATGCATTACGAGCTCAGGAGCAACCGGGTGCGAATGTTCATGCCTCAGGAGGATAATCAGTCGAACTGGTTCAACTTGCTGCTGGTGCATCAGAACCGGTGAGCACGGAGGCCACTTGGTGCCAATCGTTACTATTGGGGTAGACGACTTACCCAGTGGATGGTTTAAAGGGTGAAGCACGGCCCACAGAACTCTGTCCCAGAAGGCATGTTTGACGATTCAATCGACCTCGTCCTCTGGGGTCACGAACACGACTGCAGGATCGAACCGGAAAAGGTACCCAACAAGACGTACTACATATCCCAGCCTGGAAGTTCCGTGGCTACCAGTCTGGCTCACGGCGAAGCCATCCCTAAGTGGGTCTGACAATCACGTAGCGAATGTCAGTTTCCGCCCCCTGACCGCAAGTTGTTGAGTGTATTAGGAAAGTGGGGATCCTATCGATTCAAGAAGGACAGTTCAACATTGAACCCATCCCACTGAAGACGGTTCGACCGTTTAAGATCGGTGACATCGTTCTCGAAGAAGAGGCGGACAATGAGGAGAACGGGATCGATATGCAAAAACGGGAGACAATCACGGCATTCCTGAAAATCAAGGTCAGTCTGCAGCCCGTTGCACATGGAGAATCTCGGGGTCACTTATGATGACCTTGACTTGTAGATCGACGAGTTGATCACCGAGGCAGAAAACGAGTGGAAAGAGCTGCATCCTGGGACGAAGGAGAAGATGATGTTGCCCTTGATCCGTCTACGAGTCAGTGCCCCCGGAAGTTACCCTTCATAGATATACAGCGCTGACTCCAAGGCTGATCGCAGGTCGAGACAACCGGAGCGAAGGAGTTGACAAACGGTCCGCGTATAGGTTCTGATTTCAAAGAACGGGTGGCAAACCCGAAAGACGTGATTCAGTATCACAAGAAGAAGGCATTTGTCAGCAAGAGTAAGCTCAAGCTCGACAATGTTCAAATGCGCGATGATTGCTAAACACGCGCTCTTGCATGCCCTTACAGAGGACCGGGTCACGGCTGATCAACCTGACCTCGATGAGATGGATGAGGACGGGTTACTCTCCAGCAGTGGTACCGGCGAAGGACCCTCGAAGATCCGGATGGGAGAATTGGTCAAGAAGTATCTTCAAGCTCAAACCTTGGAAGTGCTGGGAGAGGACGATCTCGAGGACGCCGTGACTCGTTATGTGGACAAGGACGATACGGATGCCATCAAGGAGTATGTCACGTTAAATTGACATCGTAGTCGACCGCTGAACCTCTCTTTCGATATTCAAAGCTTTGTGAAGGAGACACTCGAGGGAATGACGGGAGGTCTGAAGAAGAACGAGTCGAATGTGGACTATGACGACATGTCCACTTTCAAGCAGTTGGTAAGTAGATCATCCTATACCTGCAACATTGCGATCTTGGCTGATGCGGTCGACTTCTTTAACAGATTCAAGACCAGAAGGAGAAGCAAGCCACTCAGCCTCGGGCGGAGAGGAATAAAGGAGGTAAACAGGTATGTCTGACATGCTGCATATTCGGGCAGGCGCTCCGAGCTAAATGACGCTCGCCCTAGGCCAATCGACAGAGAAGAGCCGGGAGCGACGATAGCATGTGTAAGCCACACTATCCTTTTTTTCAGTCTTTCCGACGTACTCGATTCCTGATCACGACCTACCGGTTTGCAGTGGAGGACGACGATTTCATGGGCGAGGAATCTGATGATATTCCTCTGCCGGCAAACCGTGCGACCAAGACGGCGGCGGCGAAGAAGGCTCCTGCCAAGAAAGCTCCAGCCAAAGCTCCGGCCAAGCGGGGTGCCAAAAAGGCCGCACCGTTGGTGAGTCCGACAGTCATGTGCAGGTTGAAAGAGGTACTGAAGTGGGGTTCATCCATTCCACAGTTTAACAACTCTGATGATGATGACGATGATGAGGAGGAAGAAGAGGCGGTCGAGTCTGACGAGATGGACTTCCAACCTCGGTCAACCCCTGCGGCGGCCAAAAAGAAGACTACGGCGGCGAGTGCGAGCCGGGCCGCTGCAGGTACGAGTACGAGAGGGAAGAGGGGAGCCAAAGCTGCGACTGGAGGCGCTAGACAGAGTCAACTTAGGTGAGTCCCATGAGTGTGGTATGAAGTTGTCCTCGGGTTGATTTACACGCGAAACCGTTTGATCGAGCAGTTTCGGAGCGAGTGGGAGCCGGCCTCCAAGGAGAGCCGCAGCGCAAGTGACCGGATCCGTGAGTGCAAGCGGTATCTAGTACCCTTCGGAATGGTCCTGACATGCGCTTTGGTCATGGCCGACCTTGCAGATCGAGATCTCGGATGACGACGAGGACGATTGATCCAGGCGCCGGTCCCTTTGAAGGGCAAGATGAGGTGTCTACCTAGCTACCTATCAGAGATTAGAGACGAGCAGAGCTCGGGAATGCAGGACAGATACTTGTCATGAAACATCTTTACGTCCATACTTTATGCTTTACGAGGATATGATATTACGATCTATGAACGCTCAGACAGCCTACATCTTGCATCTGATGCGTTGGTGTCGCGGGTAGGAAGCTATCAAAACGCTTTCCCGGAAGCGGTAGACTTCCTAGACTTCCGAAACAAAAAGGACGGTACGCGTATAGCTTCCGGGAGTGGCAGGGGTCGGGCAGGAACGTGCGGTGAACCGAGCCAGGAAGGGGGACGGCAGGACGGAAATCACGCTAGAGGCTAGAGGATCGGAGGCAGGCAGGCAGGGAAGGGCGAGGGCGGAGGGGGGGTACCGGCGAAAAAGGTAAAAGTCACGCGCGTGCAGCCCTGCCTGCCTCTGCCTGGCCAGCCACTAGCCCAAGAGCGATGTTTGCTTCCGCTAGACCTGTTGCTACCGATTCGATGCTGGCGAGAGAGCAACAGCAACGGCAACAGCAACACACGGACAGGATCTCAAAACCCTATCGACCCTTTCAAACATAGGCTCTTGTCAATTCTGACACAAATTTCCTTTCATCCCTCTCTCGCACCCAATCCTTGGTGAGCAGTCTTTCCCTGCCTTAACGATCCATCCTAGCTGTTTGCTCACCTTTCCCCGACCCCTTTTCGTCCTGGTCCATCTCGACTCTTTTTCACCGTCCTCTACATCTCTATAGAATCACCGCTTCGTCCTCCCTCTTAACCTTTCCCCCCCACGTTCTTTTGAAAACACACACTTAACAAAATGAAGGTGAGTTCAAGGTTGAGTAGGCCGGAGTCACCCATGAAAGCACGACTGACGACGCTCTCGCTACATCCTGGCATGCTAGGCTTTGATTCTCGTCGGTGGTGAGTCTTCGTCCCGGTATAGGCATCCTGGCAGGCCTCTGGCTGACAGTCCAATGCTCTGATAACCAGGATTCGGTACCCGTCTCAGGCCCTTGACCTTGACCCTCCCCAAGCCTTTGGTCGAGTTCTGCAACAAGGTGGGTGTCGTTGGGTTTACCAGGAAGACACGTTTCTGCCGTTACGGCGTTGAGCGTGTCTTGCAAACCAGATGGAGACATTGCGAAGAGCCTGAGCGCTAACGAGAATGTTGATCTTGTCTTGATGTAATACAGGCTATGATGTGAGCGCTCAGACGATTCGGCCTTGACCCGTATGAATGGGAGCTAACTAGCTTTAACCCGCACGATGTCTGAATCAGCTTGCACCAGATCGACGTGAGTCGTCATGCAGGCAAGCTTGCTAACCTATAGTCATTAGCTGACGCTGCTATTCATCAATCTCGCAGGCCCTTGTCAAGGCTGGTGTCAAGGACATTGTCCTCGCCGTCAACTACCGACCCGAGGTCATGGTCGCCATGCTCAAACAAACCGAGGAAGAGTACGGCATCACCATCACCTTCTCCGTCGAGACCGAGCCTCTCGGTACCGCTGGTCCCCTCGCCCTCGCCCGTGAAATCTTGGGCAAGGACGATTCCCCCTTCTTTGTCCTCAACTCGGACGTCACCTGTACCTACCCCTTCGAGGCCTTCCGAGACTTCCACGCCAGCCACGGATGTGAGGGATCAATCATGGTCACCAAGGTCGCCGAGCCTTCGGCTTATGGTGTCGTCGTCACCAAGCCCGGTTCGACGGTGATCGACCGATTCGTCGAGAAGCCCGTCGAATTCGTCGGAAACAGGATCAACGCCGGTATCTACATCTTCAACCCCAGCGTTTTGGACAGGATCGAGGTAAGTCGTGCTGGTCAGCTATCGCGGCAGCAGGAATGCTTACGACTGGTCTCTAAATCCATGCTCGCGCAGCTCCGACCGACCTCGATCGAAAAGGAGATCTTCCCCGCCGTCGCTGCCGACCACCAGCTCCACTCGTTTGATCTGCAGGGATTCTGGATGGACGTCGGTCAACCCAAGGACTACCTCTCGGGTAAGGCGCCGTGTCGGCTTGATCGGCGATGATGATCATGGACTGACATTCAGATGGTCATTTTGAATCTCATCAGGTACCTGTCTCTACCTCTCTCACCTCACCGCTACTCACTCTCCTCTGCTCACCGACCCCAAGCAGAACAAGTGGGTACACGGAGGTAACGTCTTGGCGGACCCCGTAAGTCGGCCACAAACCTCCTGCGCTCGATTCCTACTCATTCAGAGCTCGCCTTTCCTGCTCTACAGACTGCCGAGATCGACCCGACCGCGTTGATCGGACCCAATGTCGTCATCGGACCCGGAGCCAAGATCGGACCTGGTGTCAGGCTTCAGCGATGCGTCATCATGGCCAACGCCACCGTCCGGGATCACGCCTGGATCATGTCCTCTATTATCGGGTGGAACTCGACCGTCGGGCGATGGACCCGGGTGGAGAACATTACCGTCCTCGGAGACGACGTTTCTATCAAGGACGAGCTTTACGTAAACGGTGCTTCCGTCTTGCCCCATAAGAGCGTGAGTGTCTGATTGATTCGAGGGCAAGGTGTTGGTAAGGCGACTCGAGCTAAGTTTTTTTGCCATTTGCCCTTCCCTCAGATTTCGAGCAGCATTACCGAGCCGAGGATTGTTATGTGTAAGTGTCCACGCGCACGCCTGCCCAATTCGGAAGCCCAGATCACTTACACACGTGATGTCTTCGCCTTGCAGAACGACGATTCGAGCTCTTTGTATACGATTTCTTGCCCTTTAGATGGATTGATCATGGATTGCCTTGCCCCTTTTGTTGTGCATGACGTTCAGCTCGTCCGTGATGCAGTGTGAAGTGAGGGACCCTGGGCCATGCTTTCTCTATCTCGTAGCCGTGTTCCTCTTTTCGTTTGCTCCGCCTTATACGGGGCTTTGGATACCCAAGGACGATAAGAAAGGGCTTTAATCGAGTCTCAAATTCTTGACGTTGGTGACGGCTGAAGATTGAGCCATATGTTACTTGAACATTTGAGATCCGTTTCACCGAATAATCAATTGCCTACTCCACACTGCAACCTTTGTATCATTATTTGTCGCAGCAAGAGGTGCTCTTATCCTGCCGCCAAATGGGACGATACGGTGCGTCACATCACAAAGACACATAACTTTCGACCGGCAGTGTCTGATCACGAGACTCGTTACAACAGCAACAACAATGCAGACGTTGGGGTTCAGACTGAGCTGACTGAGAGCAGCAATGTCTACGGCAATTCCAAGTCGGCTGGGTCGGTTCCTTCGGCAAGCAAACTCGAGGACCTCAAGGCGTTTGGTGACGAGTTTGATTGGGTTTTGAAGTTAGAGTGGGAGCAGGATTCAGGATTGGGTTTCTGATGCTGAGTTATTACGCTTGAACTTGATGGTGTCCCGTCGTCTCTCACCTTCTTGACCTGTCGCGCTGCGTACTCGCTTGAGCACAGCCCGCAGCGACACCATCTCCACGAATGCTAGGATCAGCAAGCTTCCAGGCGAGATTGCAATGCACCTACCGGCGGACAATTAGCGTACAGACTTTTATCGTTCGTCAAAGGCGTCTCAACAGCAGATAGAGACGTACAAATGGATGTTCGAGGCCTGGCATGAGATTGTGGTTCGACTCAGCGGGGAATCAGCGGGTCACACCAATTAAGCAACGTTGTAGGACCTCGGGCTTAAGATCGCGACTCGCAATCATCGATGAACATGGGCTATAGAGTCAAGAGGAAGAGCCTGACAAAGCTGCCTTGTTGGAACACATTGCCGCGTGGTTGGACATCTCATGGTCTGCATCACCTTCATGTCCACCTGGGTCGATCTCGATTGCATCGCTTTCAATCTCGTCATCGTCGTTCTCATTATACTCTGACGTGACGTCGTCGAGGGCAGTGGTCGCGCGGGCCATTCGCCCAGGGCCGCCTTCTCGGTTCAATTTGTCTTAAGCTTGTCTTTCTGACCTAGCCCTACGTATCGCCTGAGCATATGCTATCGACTCGACTTTGTCATTACCATCATCGCGGAGAGTGAATCTTCCGTTTCTCGATGTAGTCAACACTTGAGACATGACTACCCGTTGATCAGCAAGTCATGAACACTACGGACCACACAAATCGGGATCGATTTATCATGAGCACCTAATATATAGGTCAAGTGTAATAGTGGAGGAAGCTCCTCCATTGCCCGCTTGTGTAGCAGGAACGAGGTGAGGACAGACCTGGGGCGTTGATTTGCGATGAATCGTCCAGAGTTTACGGAGCTTTGAATAGGGTCCGCCAGGAACGAGAGGAAGATTTATCCTGTCTCGCTGACATACCACGGCTAGTAAAACAGCACATCTTGCGAATCATCTTTGGTCATGTTTAGTGGTGGCGAACTTGAGTCGTGTTTTCGGAATGAACGTGAAACACGCCCAGAAATGTGTCATGGACCAATCAATGAGTGAGCGCGCGAATCGAAACGCGACGGGCCACTCACGGGGGAGAAGTGCTCCAAGCAGAACCATCCGTGCGACATGAGCAACATTCAAAGATACCGCTAACTCAGGCTGGTCGACTGAATGATCGGTTTCATCAGGCGTTTCATCTCGTCTTGGCGGCGCGATGTGGCCGGAGCCAATGGGAACCTCTGTATTCGGACAGTCACGGCCGAAGCGAGAGGAGGGGGGGCGACGCGCATCTGTCGAATGAATCCATAGAGTGCAGCCGCTCACTCGGTTGTGATAGAAACCGGTTTGCCAGGGAGGTAGCTAAGTTATAGGGTGAGAGGCGATAGTATTATCAGTACACACAAGCACACGCTTCCTCTCACAGGACCGTAGGACGTCATCTTTCAGGTAGAGCTCCACTCGAACACTCGAACACCATGCACAAGTCGCGATCGGCCGCAAGGTCTACCTTGTCGCTCTTGCGAGCGCCTCCCTCGACCGTCTCTCGATCGCCTGTAGCATCGACATCCACCATCACCTCGTCAGCTCGGACGCTGCTTACCAGCGCATCATCATCATCACTTAACGCTCGAATCAGTGCTACTAGCTCGAGCCGATCCGCCTCGATCGCAGCGGTCCGACGAGGATTTGCCACGGTGACCGACCACCCGGCCTCGCCGATCGAGGAGGAGTCTGCCGAGGCTGAAGAAGAGGTCGAGAGGGCGGAGGATGATGTGGACGTCTGTATCGTCGGCGGAGGACCTGCTGGCTTGTGTGCGGCGATCAGGCTGAAACAGCTCGAAGCTGAGCAAGGGAGGGAGATTCGGGTCGTCGTTCTCGAAAAGGGAGGCGAGGTCGGTGAGTCCGAGTCGATGTGGCTCGAATCTTTTGTCCTGTTCAACAACTAAAATCTCTTGAACTCTGCTCGTGCAGGCTCTCACATCCTCTCCGGAGCCGTCATCGAGCCTCGAGCGCTCAACGAGCTCTTTCCCGATTTCATGAATATGGACAATCCGCCACCCATGGGCCAACCTGCTACATCCGACTCGATGCGTTTCCTCACGTCCACCTCTTCCTTCCCTCTCCCTCACCCACCTCAGATGTCCAACACTGGCAACTACATCCTCAGCCTTTCCCGGCTGACAGCCTGGTTGGGAGAACGAGCCGAGGAACTCGGCGTAGAGGTGTATGCAGGGTTCGCAGGGGCCAGCTTGGTCATCGCAGAGGATGGCAAGTCGGTCAAAGGTGTTCGGACGGGAGACGTCGGGTTGGACCGACAGGGGAAACGAAAAGAAAGTTTCGAACCTGGCATGCAGTTCAACGCCAAGTGCACCCTGATCGCCGAAGGCGCACACGGCTCCCTCTCCCAGATCGTGCAGAAGCACTTCAACCTAAGGAAAGACTGTGACCCGCAGACCTATGGACTGGGAATCAAGGAAGTATGGAAGGTCGATGCGGAGAAACACCAGCCGGGAAAGGTCACCCATACGTTAGGATGGCCGTTGGATATCAAGACGTATGGAGGTAGTTGGTGTTACCACATGGAAGGCGGGTTGGTCAGCTTGGGTTTGGTCGTGGGGCTGGATTATCAGAACCCGTATTTGAGCCCTTACAAGGAGTTTCAGGTGGGTTCGATACGGATATTATTCTGCATCCAGGTCGCAGGCTAAACCGACGATTTTGTTCTCATTAGCGAATGAAACACCACCCTCTCTTTGCTGACCTGTTGGAAGGCGGAGAGTGCATCGCTTATGGCGCAAGGGTCCTGAATGAGGGAGGGTTGCAGAGTATCCCCAAGTTGCATTTCCCGGGAGGAGCGCTGCTCGGCTGTAGTGCGGGATTCTTGAACGTGCCCAAGGTATGTTTGCATGTGCGCTCGTGAAAGCTCGGTTCGATATGCAGGCTCATCGATCTGCTTTCGACTCTCCGGCAGATCAAGGGGACGCACAATGCCATGAAATCGGGGATGATGGCCGCAGAGACGGCGTTCAACGCGCTCCACCCTGACAAGGAGGTCGAAATTACCAAAAACTCGCTGGACCAGCCTCTCGAAGGCTCTGCTCAAGAAGCGGTGGACATGTCCCCTTACGAGACCGCCTTCAAGGAATCCTGGGTGTACAAGGAACTGAACGAGGTCCGGAACTTGCGACCGTCGTTCCATAATCCTCTCGGTCTGTGGGGCGGGATGGCCTATTCAGGAGTGGACAGCTTGTTCTTGAAGGGTAGAACCCCTTGGACATTACGAAACTCGTGGGAGGATCACGCTGCCACGAAAAAGGCCTCAGAGTGTCAACCGATCGATTACCCTCAGCCGGATGGCAAGCTGAGCTTTGACATTCTGACGAGCGTGAGCTTGACGGGTACGAATCACGCCGAGGATCAGCCGGTGCATCTGAGGTTGCCCAAGGACGAGGGAGCTCGGGCTCGACATACCGAAACCAACGTTAATGGTGAGTCGCAGTCTTTCTTCGACGATCGATTTGTACACGATGTGTAATACTCGTACCTTTGCTTTCGTTCGTAGAATTCGCCGGTCTCCTCGGCCGAGCCTGTCCTGCTGCCGTGTACGAATACCAGGACGCCGAGGGCGGGGCCGCCGATGCCGCTGGCAAGAAGTTCGTGATCAACTCGCAAAACTGCATTCACGTGAGTTCGTGTGGGCCGGCCGAGTTTCATGGTGCTTGGCGTGTTCTCATCGTTTCCTATCGACAGTGCAAGACGTGTTCGATCAAGACGCCAACGCAGGATATCACGTGGTGTGTACCGGAAGGAGGCGGAGGTCCCAAGTACAGTAGGTTTGAAGAGAAATCATTATATCGACTGTTCCGCATGCTGATCAACCGACTCGTCTCGTCATCTACCCGTATCTAGACATCACGTAAGAACTGTATCCCCGCATCGATCTATTATGCCATGTTGCCTTCGGCTATTCGCTTTGCCCACTCTCCGGAAGTGCACTCCCAACCCCATTGCCAGCATACCTGTCTTAGTACCGTTCCTACCTCTTCGTCCTCGACCGACGTATTCTTCTCGATCGCGCCGCCGGAACCGGGATCTGCCGCGATCTTCTTCATCAGCATTCGAGAGAACCGGCCTCGAGGTCCGGCCAAATTCAGCCCTGTCCGCGTGCGACCAGTTGATGTGTCGTGATCAGTTCCTCGCTTCGGATGCGAAACGACGAGAACCGGTCGACTCACATCGCATGACTTGTCTCGTATCGTCCTGACACCGTCTTCCTTCGTAGAAACGGATATACCACTGCATCCACCCTCGCGGATCGCCTTCCCAGATCCAGCCGCTCTTCTCCCATTCTTTCAAACCCTGTCCAGCTAGCTTCTTGTACCTGTTGACCGAGGGATCCTGTGCGGTGGACGTCAGGTGGGTTTCCGGCGAGAAACCCTCGGACGGGGCCGTGTAGGAGGAGGGAAGGGCAGCGAGGTCTTCGGCAGCGGGCAAGTCCTTCTTTAAGACGTTCGAATAGTCGTCCCTAAAGATGAAAGTTTTATCTTCAATGAACTATTAGCAAAGACGTGACAGCGACAAGAACTCACTTGAAATAGCCACCCGCAAAGGCTCCACCTCGCAACATCTCTTCGGGTGTGACGTTTGGCTCGAAGACGTCCTTGAACCGCCCGGGGAATGACAGCCTGTTCGTCCCATCTGCCGCCCTTGTCGGCTTCTCGTAGACCTTCTCATAATCATCCTCCACTTCAGCCTCATCTTCTGACAGCTCCGAAGCCTTTCGCTTCGAACGGCCCCCCTTGGACGACGATGCGACGTCGACGTATCGAACGCTCGGCACCTCGATCCGTTTTCCCATTGGAAGCTCCGGCCCATCAGCTTGTCCGCGCCTCCTTCCGCCTCTACGAAACAAGTCCCTATCGTCTGGTAGATCTAGGATCTCCGGGTCGGCTTTGACATCTTCCTGTAGAGCCTTGATCCGGCCTGAACGGCGAGTCGGCTCGACGTCCTTGAACGGTTTGGATCGAGGTTTAGACAGCGGTCTATCGATGCGAGGCTTTTTTGGAGATGGTGGTTTCGTAGAAGGGAGACGATCGAGGCCTAGTGACGCTAGTAATTCTTGGTTTTGTCTGTTCAAGGGTCTCCGGCTGTCAGACCATAGCTTGATTATCAGCCGCGACGTGATGGCATTACGAACCGGATCGTTTGTAGTCGCGCCTCTTCGTAGTCCATGACCTGCTTCTCCAGATCTTCGTCCCCACTATCATTCAGCTCGATTGTACCCTCCCCTACTTCTGGACTATCATGCTGCTCTTGCTCTGCAGGCGTCGTCCCTTGTGTAGGCTTTGAATCCTCCGCATCGACATCGAGCTTCTCAAGTCCGTCCAGGCTCGACGCCGCGAAATCCTCGGTAGCAACACTAGCCATTGTATTAGGCTGTATTCTCACAGAAAGGCCGTAGAACAGCTCGGCGACGTATATATCTAAGCCTGTCTGCAAGGTGATCTTGCGAAATTGGTCTGATCTGGGTAGCCGAGTAGCTGAGTAGTCGCTAATGTCAGACCGGCTGGACAATCGATTCTCAATCAACCGATACGGAAGTAAATTGTAGATCCGATGACGTAGATGCGGAAGTAAATGTTCGACCTTTGGTATGCCGCTTCACTGAATTATCCTCTCAAATTCCTTGAAACATCGAACAAAGCGAACCAGATAGAATGACTGTGCCAGGACACTTGATCAGCATAACCAGTGACCTCAAGCTTACAAGTGTAGGGCAATCCGTCGTAAGGATCTGCTCGAAAGAACTCGACCAAGGCAATCATCACGGGATAACGTATCGTATAGAGAAACCGGCGACAGATTAGACACAACGTTTGACATGCGACTGCAAAATGATACGAAGACTCTGCGACATTCCTAAGCACCCGAAATCACGTCGACGAGAATCGTCATGATTCCGAGAATAATCTCGACACCGATCAACCAGATGACGATGGTTTCTAGGCGCTCGCCGTGACTGCTGTTCACACTCTCTTTCAACAAGGTAAGCATGTCTTGCAAGACCTGAGCAAGGGTTTGGAGCGTGAGTAGGTTATACCGGGATGAAAGGAAAGCACAAGACTTACCTCAACACGAGCGTTCAGGAGATCGATACGAGTGCCAATCTCGAAATAACTTCGCGTAGCTTGATAGAGGGGTTCAAGATCGGGGTACGACCAGAAGAATTCCTGTAGGAAAGCGATGTTGGGAAGTTCAATATGGCAACAGTCGAGATACCACATTATGTCGAAGCTTACGGGAGTTTCCAGGATCGAGCCTCCCCAATTGATTCGCAGAATGAACAAGCTGCCGATCTGCTTCATAATCTCTTTTCGAGGCATCTGCGGCGATATCGTCTGGTCAGGCGGGATGCCTTGTGCTAATCAGATCCACCCAATACTCACCCCGATCTTTCCGCTTTCACTGAGACTCTTGGGAAGATCCTTGGTTTGGTCGATAGTTGCCGTAATCAACTCCTCGAATAGGGAGATCTTGACACTTTGCGACAAGGCGTGAGAGAGGGAAAGTTTCGTCCTATAGAGAACGTAGCGGATCAGTGGCTGCAAGATCGATACGGCAGGCGAGACATGCCGTACATGAACGAACTGCCTTTCCTGAGGGTAATCACGTCGTTATAGATCCGCGAATAATTTGCGTAGTAGAAATTTAGGTCCTCCATCTCGATATCCTCGACCGAGAGCTTTTCGATCTCAAACTTGCGACTGAAGGGAAGATCGAATTGCTGGTCAGCATACGGATCGAGGTGCCTGAGTCAAAGAGAAACCAAGTGTGTTCTTACAGATTTGCCAATACTCTCTTTTCCTCACGCTCCGTCATTCCCCAAATAACGACAGTACCATACTCAAAGATGAAGACGTCCGGAACCCATTCCTCATCTCCATCTTCGTCCTCTCGATCGCTCGCTTCGTGTTCGGACGCACGACTGTTCTTCCTCTTCCTCCTTGGGGGACCGGCATTCAGAGCCGAAGGTTTCGTCGCGAAACCCGTGACCCGTTTCGCCATATGTTGTCTCCTCCTCTCGTGCACTTCCCGATCGTTCAGCTCTTGAGCCTCTCGCTTGAGCCTTTCCGACGTATTGAAGGCGTTGTCGGGGTTATTTGAGTAGGACATTCGACGTCGGTCGTCATCCTGATGGTGCTGTTTTGTCTTTAACAATTCTTCGCTCTCGTCGATCCCCTCGGCGTGATGATCCCCTTCGCCGACAGCAAAGTGAGTTGAATTCTGGTTTTGCGAAGCGCTTTCTCCCAAGTTCAACAAGTCCGCTTCGGGAACAGCGTCCCGGTCATTTCGTTTCGGGCGGAGGACTGGCGAAGCATCTAGATGCGACGAACTCGGGGCTGGGGGCAGGTAGGGGGTATGTAAGCACTCGGCCTCAAACAACCGGGGATTGCACCTATAAGCCGACGAGCGGGAGAGGAAGTATGTCTGTAGGGCAGGTAGGTTGAAACCACTGGCAATGGTATCTCGTAGGGGTTAGCATGCAATCGTTCCTACGATTACAAGCTCGGACTCACGCCGCAGTGCAGTAAGCGGTGACTCTCGGAAGTCTGGCCTTCTCAGTCTTGGTGAGCCTCATGGCATCTCTCCTAGCGGATCCAGCAGGGATGTGCGATAGGGCGTCGTAAAACTGTTTCAAAGCGACTGGGTCGGCTCGACATTCGATCGCTTCGACAAGGTTCCCACTTACGTGCACTCCATCACCCGGGCTAACATCTTCGTCATCCTCGTCATCGTCATCGTCGTCCTCATCCTCATCCGTCCTCACAGCAGTCTTTGACTGGTCCGAATTCTGCTGCTGAGATGCTCCTGTTCCTTTCGTCGAAGAGGTGGGCAAGACCTTGAGCTTGTTGGCCGTCTTTGAAGTTCTGCCTCGGTCCAGATCAAGAACGTGATCAGCTGATGTAGCCGCAGTGCAGCCCTGTTGTGCTGCTCGATCAGCTTGAATGAAAGCCTTACCTATTGGGACCCCTGGTCTCCTTCCTGGCAGCAGGTACACTCGGCGTTTGGGAATACGGCAAGGGCAGAGCCGAACTGGACGGCCTGTTCGTATTTGATGCGGCCCCGGCGAGCGATGTCGATGCAGTCGAGATCGGTTTCGACATGACGAGTCGGTAGGGTTGATGAGCGGTTCCTAAAGCAGATATGGGAGCTTCAGGCTTCAGGTCGATAGGCTGAATTAGCTGGCAGCCTGGATCGAGATGTCTAAGAGTTCTAGTGGTTGAACAGCAAGCAAACCCAGGTCAGATCGCACAATCCTTGGCAGCTGCTTTGTGGCGCGTAAGTAATCAGCAGAAGTTCTCGCTCGCTCGCCCAAGCTACTTGCGTGCGTTGCACAAAACTGCCTCGCTATCGATTCTCGCAGTTCAACCTAGGAATTGCGACAGACATCACCATGCGTCGTTACATTCGACGGGCAAGGCATACCTTGAATCCTCGGATCACGAATCATGGTTGGCATCTGTCAGTTTTCAGGGTCTGGGAGTTCATTGAAACACATCGGATACGATCAAAAGGATGCAAAGTCTCTGTAAACAAAGGCTACTACAAAGACCTCGCTCTCGTCAAACTAGTCCGAAAAGAAGTGTTTCCCCTTCTTAGGCGTCGGAAGCTCGCTGCCTTCGTCGCTGGTCACGCTCCTCTGTAAGATCGACCAAGAAACAAAGGCGTCAGTTGGCATGTTACGAGACAAACGATAGCAAGACCCCAAACGCACCAGCAATCGAAAGCTTGACACCCTTGCCCTTGGGCAAAGAGACGAGGGGCTTGTTACCCTCACCGATGACGAAAATGTTGGACAATCTAACATTTGCAAATCGAATCGCTACTGTCAGTTGAAGCTCCTCGACCCCGGTTTCACCATTGTCGAGACTCACCGAGTAGCGAAGGTCCTGTCCAAAACATCCTTGACGTGGACAATGTCGAATCCACCCTGGTGCCTCTCCCTGTGCACAATGACACCGGACCTTCCCATGTTTCGTCCTCCGGTAACCATGACAACGTTACCGACGTCGAACTTGACGTGGTCGACAATCTTGTTGTTGACCAAGTCGAACTTGACGGTGTCGTTGGCCTTGATGGCGGGGTCCGGGTATCGGATGGTTCGTCCATCGTGGGTGATGAGGTAAGGAACACCCTTTTGTCCGAGCTGGTGAGCCTTGACCTTCAAGAGCTTGAAGGAAGCCTCCTCGGGGGTGATTCGGTGGATGGTGAATCGACCCTTGACGTCGTAAAGGAGACGGAAGTGCTCGCCAGACCTCTCGATCGAGATGACGTCCATGAAACCGGCGGGGTAAGTCTCGTCGGTCCTGACCTTGCCATCGACCTTGATGGTCCTCTGGGCCATGATGGTGGTAACCTCACGGCCGGTCAAGGCGTACTTGAGACGGTTTCGGAGGAAGATGGTAAGGGGAAGGGACTCTCGGAGCTTGTGGGGACCGGGAGAAGGTCGGGGAGCCTGAGAATAACAAAGGCAGTACGGGCGTTCAGAATGGCTGATCTAGGCGCAAGCCTGTCGTGACGCCAACTCACGTAGGTACCCGACAACTTGTCGAGCATCCACGAGGAGGGAGCTGCCAAACGCTTGAGGTGCTTCTTAGGTCCACGAGCCTGTAATGTGATCCAAACTGTCAGTATGGGGAAGAACACCATGTCCGCATGGTCGACCAGGTTGTAGGAGAAGCAGGTATGCGAGGTACGTTGTCCAGGTCGATCGAGACCAAGAAGTCGTGGATATGGTTCTTTCGCTGTTCACCAAAGGCAGGTGAGGTGTCGAGTCTAGAGCAGCCGCAGAAGGACCGCCGTGACCATCCTCGTCTCAAGCTGCTTCAACATCGTATGGGCAAGCTCTCTCCGTCACGAGTTGCACCATTCCAATCTCGATTCGCTCAGCTCCGCCGCCTCTGGACCGCCCCCACTGCCTGCTCTGCCTCCATTTCCCCAAGAACCATATCCCGTCTTCGCGTTCCCTGTTGCCGATACGACCCTGAAGACGTCTTGTCGTCTGTGACCCGTGATTCCTGCTCCTCCCTGCTCCTGGTCGATCGCAAGTGCTGTTTCCGAAAAGCTACGCACCATCTTGATGTTCTATACTACTCTTTCTTGACGGGAAAAGGTAGAGGTAATCCTTCTTTTGGTTGGCGGTACGATCACGATCAATAGTTCGATTTTCCCCAGGACGAGGTCTATGATCCGAAGGGGTCGAAGAGATCGATGTCGTCCCCCGGGTCTGTCGCTCGCTCGCTGTGTGTGTGGGCGACGCTCCGCCAGGCCACCCAAGCCCTAGCGAGAAGCACCGAACCCCCTCGTCTCGCGAGAAGGCGACAAGCGGGTCAGGCAGCCAGACTCGCGCGCTTCGATTTGGCGCGTCTTTTGCTGCTCGACGCGTCTCTCTTGTGCGCTTCTGTCGGTGATAATTTTCTCGCGCGAAGTTCACTGCGAGACTGACATTTTAACCCCAACTCGTGCGTTCATCTCGAGTTTCACGTCAGATGTTGTTTCAGGTGGAGACCTGCATCTTGCATCGAAGCTGTCTACAGACTCTCACCTTCCCGCTGGATATGTAAATCTCAGTAGATTGACCAGAATTTGTACATCCCAGACTTCGTACACCCCACCCAGGAAGCGAGACGATCTCAAATCTCGATTCCGCGTCAGAGATGTCGACGAGGCGCAGATCCGACCGGTCTGGCTTTGAAATTTTGTATCATTGCGATCATGTGCAAGTCGTGGCCAATCTGGCAGAGAACACGAAAATCCTCTTATTGAATACAGCCCTCGATCTCGCCGCGCACAACAAAGAAAAAGCTGCAGAAGGGAATGCCTGATATTCCCGCGCGCAATAAAGAACAAGAAAGAACGAGGTGCAGAGGGTAAATGAGGGAATGGAAACATGGTCGCCTCGCTGCTTGGAACGGCGAGATGCTTGACCGTCTATGTCGTGAAAATACCAAGAATCTTGAATGGTGGTGCTGTGGAAATGAAGGAAAGGTATCAAGTTTAGTATGCCGTTTCTAGATTATGCATATGCTCGTATGGCAACTCACTGGGCTGCCCTTCCACTCCCAATCTGGATTCCAGCGGAACGAGCATAGCGAATCGTCAGTAGTCAGTTCGTCCCACGGTATCGTTCGGGTCATAACTTACAGGGCACACTCTACGAAGTGCGACCCTCGCGCTACGTGTCGGTCGATCATGGTGAGACTGTATGTGACGTCGCGTCCAGACTGGATTAGTCTAGGTAGGCCAAAGGCTGTTCAAGCCCCCCTAATGACTTACGTAGGCATGACACTGGGCACATCGGCAACACCGGAGAGCTCGACAGCTCCCCCTACGTTACTACAGCAGACAGAAGGACAGAGCGACCGGATTAAGAATCCTTCATTTGACATAGCCGGAACGAGACGAGAAAAGACTCACTCGTCTACCCAGCACGAGACCGAACCCAAAGGCTGGTCTTCGGGCGCTTGCAGGTAGTAGATGGCCACATCTCCGGCACCTAATTGGATGGGTACCCGTATTCGGCTGGTAGGCTGTTCAGCGTACCAATAGTGCATGTCGTCGTGTCCGTCGCCCTTGGTCGGGTGATGATCGTGCCAGCCGGAACCATAGAACAACGAGGGGGGCAAGGGGTTGATCAAATCGTTGGCTGACACGCAGAACGGCTCGATCTCCCTGAATTGCAGTATGTCCGAAGGTCGATCAGACAACCTGGCCGAAGGGACCTTGAGACCCGCGTATTTCGAGTCGGTAGCGCCAACGTTGCCGCCGTCGCTCTCCTTTTGAATGGGCGACAAGCCTTTACGCTGACCGACTCCACCAAAGAGGTTGGGTCCACCGGTCGTGCTGTCGGTCCCATCCGATCCCATGTAGGGCACGTCAAAGGCATGACCCATAGTGGCCGACCAGCCGTCGCAGACCTGCTGCATCATATAGCTGATGAGCACATCAGCCAACAGGTCGTGTCCGGTCGGGTTGGCAAGGACGGGATCGGTATAGAAGGTCGATCGAGCGGCTTCAGGATTTGCCAGGTAGTCATGATAAAGCAGTCCCTTGGTGCTATCAAATGTGAAATCCGCATCATCGTCAGCTTCATGGACTTGGCGGGGAAGCTGCAAATGATCTGCAAAACCTACCTGACGTGGGGCACGTCGTAGAACTGGGCAACCACCGTATGCAGCAACTCGGGTCCGGCGAAACCGCTCTGAGCCTGGATCTGAGGGCTGAAATGTCCGAGAATGATGATGGCAGGCATATCGGGCCGAACGAGGATTGATCGAACTAGCAGTTCAAAGTGGTTGAGCCATTCAGAGTCGCTGTCAAGGAGAACCAAACTGATCAGCCTCGTGTCAGGGTCACAATCGATCTGCGAATGTGGTACTCACTTGGGATCACTGCTGTCAAACTCGAGGATGACGAGATCTGTCTTGTCAGGTAGATGGTGTCCAGAACAATAGGCAAAGTACGCTGAATCGGATTTCCTCGTAGCACCGTTCGTCAGCTCGGAAGCCGGGTGTGGGAAAACGCTGTTCCACCATGCGAAGAATTTTGAAGGGTAACATTTAGGGTGGATGGGGTCGTCTCCAGCACCGTGGCACGCAGATACTATGATGACATAAGGCTAGTCGTAAGTGCCTCGTTGATAGCTCTTTACCACCTGGCCTAGCGCAAACGTACCTGATCCACCGAGCACGCTGATCGTTACGGGCAACCCGCTCAAGGCCTTCTGCACAACCCTCTGAATCCTGGCATTACTACCTTGATGCAGTCGACTCTTCAACAACCCCCATTGTCCTCTCCGCTCGGCAACGATATCCCCCGGCCCAAAGATCGGACAGAAATCGAACGGTGCCGGATCGGACTGTGATGCGTTTAGGTAGTCCCGAGGGGTCAAGGGATGGTCGTGATGAGCAATGTCGGCGCTACCAGCTGGTCAGATCGAAAGTACCGCGGCGTTCAGCAATCACGGCCAGATCTGCAAAGAAGAGCACTGATAGTACTTACAGACCATCCACCGTCCTACTGTTAGCAGCCCCAATACGACCATCGCGATGATCCCGACCTTCTTCGGTGAAAGCCCTGATTAGATAGATAGCAACAAGAATGATTAGCTTTGCCGATCATGGCATCATGGTCGTTTCATCTCGATCTCTTGTTCCCTCAGCGATAGGTTGGTGATGCTCCAAAGGTTTCGTCAAACCCAACAGGTGTCGTTCTTCTCTACCGATACGATGATTGTACCGCCGAGCTCCATCTCGATACGACCACATCTCCCGGGATCGACTTACCTGTACCCAAGAACCCATTTCCTGGCTGCATACTGGGCCGTCTGGATCCAGCAACGCTCGGTACACCCGTCTCGTCTTTGTGCTTGTGCTCTCGTTCTCGCTACAAATGCGGTGAAGGGTTCGAGTAGGAGTGGCCGTAGTTTCAAGGCGAGGTGAAATGAGAATGTCGACGTCGGCGGACAAGGGAAGAGGAGTCACACGTCAGGAAGGAAGATGATGAAGGGAGCAAGATATAGAGGAGATCGGAGAAACGATGTACAGCAGGACGTCGAAAAGATCAGTACTTCTCGCTACTCGTCAAACATCCGCAAGCGAGCTAGCACCCCGCGTCTTGAAATAGTTCCATCTCTCCCCCGAGGCTAGATCTCTAGTTGAGAAACGAGCAACTCACCAACATCATGCCCGTCGGTACGTTAGTAAACTCCTCCCGATCTTGAGACCCTGCGTCTCCGTATCTAACTGCCTCGTGTGTCCTGACGGCGAAGAGGCCTGTTCTTCCTGAATACGCCGAGCTCGAGCTGACGGAAAACGAAGTAGCTTGACCCTTTCGGTTGGCTAGCCTCTGATCGTGTTGGTCGAGCGGGTCTCGGCTGGTCAGAGGAGGGCTGCCCGAGGGAAGAAGGTGGGGAGAGACGGCGAGGTTGTTGTCGTTGCTCCTGTTGTGGGCGGTAGTGGTATCGACTTGTATTGACTTTGGGTAAGAGTCCGAAGTAGGTGTCGTGGCTGGATAAGCACCCCTCGCTCGCATGGATCGGCTCTGGGCAGGGATAAGGGTGTGCGGAGGAGTGCGACTAGGTAGCAACGCGAGCGAGGTAGGGCTCGAGGTGAGGCCAGGTGGACTTGGACACAGTCGTGATGTTCTTGAGCGAGAGATCGAGTCGAGATCGTCGGGATCCGACAGAGAGCCAGAGACGTCGAGTGTGAGTGAGCGAGTGAGTGAGCTGGGCGACGGAGTGAGAGGGTGAGGCTCGGTTCCAGGGGAAGGGACAGGGGAACGAGGAGGGGGCTACGGCGCGAGACGGAGAGGGACACGCTGGCGCGACACGATGCGAAGGACAATCAAGTCGCAAGTCGATTTTCCTGATTGATTTTTTTCGCTAGCAGACGAATACCAACCGTGGTGAATGCAACATGAACTCAGATCAGCGATACCGTACTATTGGCTTTGCAATACTTGCTCGCTGTTCGGAACTCTCGGTAGCAACCTTCGCATCCTCGATCAACTCAAGTGTCTATCAGCCTGGGTCATGCTGGTCAGTCCTCTTCGCGCATCTTTTGGCTGATCGGTCCACGTTCCCAATCTCCTCTGTCATCGCTGCCGCCCGCCCCTGACCGACGCGCTAAGCCCTGATTGACCACGCGACACGCGCTTTCACATTCGGAAGCGATTTACTCCCGAGCCTTTTGGCCATGGCACCATCATGATAGGCTCATGGTTGGCAACTATAGCTACACGGAAAGATGACCTTCTTGGTCATCGAACACCCTCTTACATCACGATCCAATCGCTTCATACCCGCCTGATGACCTTTCTCGCCGTCTTGGGCTTGACGGCTAGGTCTTCGCCTCCGACCTGCTTCTCCAACGGGTCCTCGATCCTCCTGAAACAACCAGCCCATTTGCTACCCTTGTTCCTCTCGACCTTCATTCCCTCCTCGGTGCTAGTCATAGCGGCGAGCAAGACAGGGTCCTTGGCGGCCAAGAGCTCTTCGGTCGGGATATATTCGAATAACGGGTGCAGGTTCAGGTGGTGCATCATCCAGTCGTGCAGGTCTATCAGGTAGCTTCAGATCAGCGTACTACCGCAAAGATGCATGCGAGACGAAAACAAACCTTTCACGTCAGTAACAGTGTAACAAATCCCGCCTGGTCTGAGGACATAAGCGTACTCGGCTAGAAGCGTCGTCCTGCTCATCGAAGCCCTGCGTATCAGCGAAGCTGCCCTTGAAGCAAGCGAAGTCGCCTTGAAGTACTTACGTCACGATCCTCGCCTTGTGCTTGCTCCGCTTGAAGTGAGGATCAGGGAAGAGGAAGAAGATCTTGCTCAACTAGATCATTTCGGAAAGTTACAGGACACGTTAACCTTTCCATTTTTCTCATCCCCTCGCTTGCGTGACGGGCAACTTACCTGACCCTTCTCGAAAAAGTTGGGCAAATGCTTCATTGCGTTGGCTCGGATCACGCTGACATTCTTGAAACCTCCGTCGAGCTTGCCCTTGAGCGCCTTTTCGTTTTCCCGTTCTTCTGCTAGTCGTTCCGTCTCCTCTTCAGCGTTTTCGGCGACAGGGGTAGCTCCGACGCCTTCTACAGTGGAGGTGGCAGGCTCGACAGCTTCGGCCGATTCCTTTGTCGCTTTGGCTTTATTAGCTGCCTTTCGGGCTAGCTTTTCTCGAACCCTGACTGCGTGCTGATGTGCGAGTACGTCCGGGTGGTTGTTCGTCGCCACAGTCGATCCATCCGCAGCGACTTCGCTCGAATCAGGGAACATGTCCTGGATCTGCCGCAGAGCTACGATTCGGTCGTGCACGTATTGCGTTACAGAGACCCGGATCTCCATACCTAAAATAGACAGCAAGTTGATCAGCAACCGCTAGGAACAGCAGAGACCGACATCGTGCGTGGCTTACCCAGCATCAAGGTGTCAGGGAACTGGGGCGCCAGGGCGATTAGGAGACCACCAAATCCACAACCGACGTCGGCAAATTCTACCTTCTTCTGGCCAGCTGTCGACGAGGAAGCCTCCGTGGGATTGCCGTCTACCGGAATTGACGGCGTCGAGCAGTAGTCCGGGTAGTGCGGTGACCAGTCCATAGTGTGAGGTGACGAGGGACTGCGAGGAATGGTACCAACATCAGGCTCGCGCAACTCGAACTCGAATATGCGTTGATTGTACATACTATTGCAGATTATGGTCAGTAAAGACGTTGGCGTGGGCTCGTTGACGATAGTACCGTTTCTGTACATATGAGAGATATGAGCTGGATGCTTCCTACGCGTTTTAGCTGAAGCCAGACTGACCTGAGGCACTCGCACGTAACCGGTCATCAAGTTCGCAGGAGGCGCCTCGGTCTCGGTCGAGACAGCTCCCGATGCGGCCTGCTCGTCCGCCGTTACGTCTTCCTGTCCCTCCCCGGCCATCTTGGCCTTTTTGTTCTTTTCCCGCTCGTTTTGCCTATTACGCTTGCGGACCGAAGCCTGGGTCAACCAGCCAGCCTCGTGGTTAGGGTAGCTGCCATAAGTCGAGTTCGCCCAGTCAGTATATCCTCACGGGCTCGAAGGGGTCCATCCGCCACTCACACCCAAGTGACATGTAGGAGATATCCACCGGTACCACTGGTCTGCATCTCCGGATGAGTTCTGCCAGGGAACACCTGGTATTTCCTCATCCAGCTTTCGGTCAGGTTGGGTGCCAGGAACTCTGGCTTTTCCTTCATCGTCTTCAAGGTCTGAGCCAGGACGTGCTGATAAGGCGAGTAGAGGACGATACTGGCCGAGCCAGCCAGGTAAGGACAGAGACGCTCGATGATGGAGCCTGGAGAGAACACCGAGGCTGAGATCAAGCTGAGAACCGGCATCCCAATTTAGCTCAAGTAAGAATCCAGTGATGACGGATCGACTTACCCATCCCAGTTGCCTTGATGCAGCTCGTCACGCAAACCGTTGAGCTCCGCCAATACGGCATCGCGCTTCCTCTGCTTGGCAAGCTCCTTCTGCTTCGTCTTCAAGGTCTTTGCGTCGTCCTGGCCTTCAACGACTTCTTCTCTTTCCGGTTGCACCATCTCGACCGGAACGTAATCCTCCTCGGCTTGAGCCCAGTTCAAGACGCCGACACATTTCTCGACGATATCCTTTCCAAAGTTCATCGACTCAAGGATGGGCCAAGCGGGGGGAGACTCGTTCTCGCTCAAGACCATGATCCTGCCTTGTCCACCCATGCGTTCCAGGATAGCAGCCAGGACCAGACCAGAAGTGTCTTCCACGACGAGGTATCGGCCTCCAGGGCGGATAGAAGCAAGGTTGAGGAGTTGTGAGATGCTATCTCGACGGATGTTCAAGATATTTGCAGATGATCTAGCGAGATGGTAATCGATCATGTTGTTGACTGTCGGTGCCAGAGGTGTCACAGCTTGGGTGTATCTTTGTGGTCGAAATGAATCTCAGCGCGTGCACAGAACGAGGGAAGGCAGACATCGATCTTCACCTTTTCTCCTTCCTCTTCTTCCACTTGTCTTTGCTGAACTCGGTTTTGAGTCCGAATCGGTCATGCCTCTCGATCTGCATCTGGATGATATCCTCAGCCGTGAAACCCTGGTTTCTCAGGTCGGCAATCTCCTCGGATGAGAGTAGTGCCGATTGCGTCGAAGTGACGAGATCGGGGTTGTCATCGATGAGTTCGTTAGTGGCATCAGTCTCCTCTGTACAGGGGTACCACACAAGTCTATGAGAATTTCTGATACGATAGTGTACAATCATATCGGGCTCACCTAGCTCTTCCATCCTCGGGGCACGCAAGGGCATCAACTTGACTTCGCTGACATCTATCACCGGCTCCTTCTCCTTGCCCTTGCCTTTGATCTTTTTAGCTCCCCGCTTTCCGTGAAGATGCTCGACGACGGCAGGTTGCTCTGCAGCACTCGCTTCTTCGCTATCGACCTCCATTGCGGTAGCATCGTTGACAGGAGTGCCGCTTCTCGAGGGCACCTCGCTGTTCGATCCGCCAGCTCCGGGAGGCACAACAACCTCGTATGTAACGTCATAGTGCTTTCCAATCAATTCAGAAGTGTTGAAAGACCCAAACTTGCCAATCGAGATGATTCTGGGTAGAATAGATTATACTTTAGCATCGAAACAGTCTTGTCCTAGAGATCGCCCGACTCGACCAACTCACCCTTCCTTCTGAACCGTAACGACTCGAATAACGTCGCTAGGTAGCCTCAGCATGACGTTATCCCCTTCCCGGATGACTGATACCCTGGTTTCCAGCAGCTGTTGCGCATTGAGAGGAGGTTTGACGACCGGCTGCCTGCGGACTGGGGTCGGCACGGCTAGATCTGCATCTACAGCTATGACCGGAACGTCCGCCTGTGCCGGAGTTTCAAACGTAGCCATCCTGATATGGTGATGTTATTGGCTCAGTCAGGTCCTTGTTACAAGTGTATTCGTCTTTACAGCTTGCGAGTTCCTAGGTTGGCGATGGTCGATGGAATCTTGAAATCTCCCAAGAGGTCGACCCCGCCGGCGAGCAAGTGCGCGGATGCAAAAAGTCGAGAATCAGCGCGCTTGCGATCAAAAAAGAAAGCCTTCTGTAGCTTCTGACCTCTGTATGTATGTGCGACATTGCGACATCAATCGAGGACCCGGTTGTCGATCTCGATAGACGATGAAAATAGCATTGACAAGGATCTCCTGGCATCTTTTCAATATATCACCCAATTGTAGAGGCCCTGGCCAGGACACCGGCGACGCCACGCGGCAAACTCGATACAGTAGCGGTGAGGCGAGATCGCGGTTAGGCCGTCTGTTTTACCTGTGGTTGTAACCAGATTGCCCTTACCTTCCGCAAGTTCATCCGTGGTCATCCGTTCCAGCGGCCAGCGGTTTGTGTTCAGTTCACCTTGCTCTTGACCTTTATCTGGTCAGATCGAAATCAGAAAGCAACTGACCAGCTGTAAACTATCGTCGTTCTGGGGAAAACACTCGCAGAGATCGATCCCGTTGAAATCCCCCATGCAATTTGGTTTCAAGGCATCATTTCCCCCTCGCTCTGTCGATCCAAGTCATAGAGCCCGGTTTGATGTAAATGCTGGATGTTTGAGAGGTATGTCAAAGGCTATGGGAGGGAAAGGCTGCACAGATCAGCTTTGCCGTGAATGAACCGTGATCAGTACGTCAAGCTAATCATCACATAGGTGGTGCTCACCGTCCTGGGCTTGCACGTATTCTTACGATTTTTATACTTCTGAGTGAGCGTTGTTGGGTTGACTTTCGTCCTCGCTCTCTCGATATTGTTGTGCAGTCCTCTTTATATAATCAGTCGGAAAACAACGCCGGCGGGCCGACCGTATTTTTGTATGCATAGGCTTCCACCACACTTCGAGTACTGTCAAGGTCCCGATGAATCGGTGAGGGAAGCATACTGTGTTTGCAACGTCAATTATCCCCGCAACATCGAATCAGCATAAGGGTAGGACCGTGACAAAGCTTGCTGCCAACGGTATGCCCGCTACTGCTGTTTCAAACGATCTGGAGATCGAAAGCGCGTTACGACAAGCGAGAACGTGTTCTAAAGCGGGAAAGATGGGCAAGAGGTTCTGTTACCGAATAATACGGACAAGCTGGACGGGTGGGGTCTTGGTGCGGAAGCTTATCGGACAACAGAGAAGAGTGATCATTGAACGGTCATGTCCTTCACACGATATCGAGTTCGTCCTAGGCTAATATCATGCAACCCAAGCCAATAATCTGAGAAACGAATCGACCACTGCTTGCTTGCCATCTGATCGGAGAAACTGGTGTATGGAGATGTGCTTTAGCTGTAGCTACAAGGGTCCATTACAAGACCAAGGGATCTCTGGACATGCCATACGTGCCGTTTGCGGGAGCCCCCTTTGAAGAATTGGGCTACATGCAAGAAAAGAAATCCGCTTCATCCCGCTCAATCCGGGATGAGTGACACATTGGCGAGAAGCGCATCATGCCGAGCCCTCGGTCGCTTCTCCGACAGTCCACCTTCGCATACCCGTCACCCGCACATCGAGCGCCCTGTCCCTACCCCAAGACCCGAGTACCTCTTGTACCGGCCGCGATTCTCCTTGGAACATCATGAACGGCTGTTCCATCAGGTAGGGCGAGATCTCCCCTTCTTCCGTCCCTGTCTCTTCAGATTGCGATTGACAAGCCGAGAAATCGGGCCGGGAGATGGACTTGGTAGGGAAGCCGACAATTTGACGGCTTACGCTCCTAGCGAGCTTTTGTAGGTCGGCACCCAGCGAGTCTTCAGTCCCGATCCGCTGGAGGATCGGACGAGCCTGATCGGTAGACTCGATGGAGAGAATGCTAAGCGCAGCGACGGTGCCCTCATTGGTAGATCCGGTAGAACCGTGAACGTAGACTCCGGGAAGGTAGAAGATTTCAGGCTTCTTTTCCGAGGAGAGCGAGGGGCTGCTTGAGAACATGGGAGGGAGGGGAGAAGAGAAGGAGACGGCCCTGGAGAGTTGAATGTTTTCCCCGGTTTGGGTGATGGCGGCTCGGATAGCCTGGGAAACGGTCTGCACTGGCGAAGAGCTCGAGCTCGAGGTGTCCTGGCCCGAGGATGTTGAAGGGTCTACCGGGATAAGAGGTGCGCTCTGCAGGTCCTCGATTGGGAAGGCGAGAAGGGGATCCTGAACAGAGAGGGGGATAGGGTCGAGAGCTTCCGATTCGGGTACGTCAAGAAACGCCGCCGTCGAGGTCACATCCTGGACCAATGTCTTGAACACCGAGTTCCTCGAGACAAAGTCCGTCTCGCATCGAAGTTCTACCATAGCCGCCCGTGTGCCCATCACGGTCACACCGATCAGACCCTGATCCGTCGACCTCTGTCCAACTTTTTCCGCCTTTTTAGCCCCGGACACCTCGAGGTCCTTTTGCAGCCATTCCAAAGCCTTTTCCACAGAGTTCTCCGACGCTGATAGCGCTTCCCGGGCCTTGGACAGCGAGATCGGGTTGAGCTTGCGCAGTTGGGCTACCAAGGCGATGGGTACCTTGGAAGCGTCCAAAACGGTTCTAGAGGAGCTGAATTGATGTACGGGACCCGCAGAGCAGGTCGACCGTGCCACGTTGCGAAGGAACAGGGACGAAAGCGCCATGCTATACACTGCTCTCTTAGAGGAGGTGGAATATCGCAGATGAAAGGGACGAGTCGAGTTTAGGAACGTCAGAGTAGTCGATGTATGTAGATCTATCGAAAAAATCTGGCCTCTAGCCTCTAGCCAACTTTACATTAGCGGCCTCCCGCGTCCCGGGCTCATCCGGATCTAGCGACCAGGAGCATTATACCGTACAAAACCACGATCGACAACCTCCGTATCGACCACCTAGCTACTAGATACTAGCTACTGTATCGAGATCGGTATAGCAGCCACGGGGGTGCTACAGATCGCACAAGAACGGCAGGATGGAAACGGCCAGCGTGCAAGCTCGACCGGACACCTGGCGAGATCCCCGAAAGCTAAAGACGCAAGCCGAGATACAGAGACACCTCACCCTGCTCTCTCAACGGGAAAACGAGCTCTCGGTGGCTCTCAACGAGATAATAAGCAATAGGACTGGCCTCGACGATAGTATAAGGCGGCTGAATACCTTGGTACCGAAAGTCAAGTCGCTGCAACAACAGGTCGATGGGGAGGTAGTCCCGGATGAAAACGAACGTCAGAGCGTGCCAGTGTTCGACGAGTTTTCAGACGACGAATTCGAGGACGAAGACTATGGCTTGGTCGAACGGATACGAAGGGTATGGGTGACGAGTGAACGAGTGGGCGGCAAGGTTCGCAAGCTGGATGTCGAGGTTTCGAGAGTCAAGGAAGCTTCCGAGCGTGTACAGGAAGTGCTCGAACTTAGAGTGAGTCCACTGCTGTATGAAGCCTTTGGCTCAACAGAATTAGCCTGATCTTTTTGGTCTCTCAGAGCGCCCTACAGTCGTTGAGGGAGGCAATACCGAAAGGTGACTGGGAACTTGCCACCCGCTGTTGTAAGCGGGCGATGGACATTCGAGAGGAAGTCATCGAATCCGCCTTCAGCGCCCGCGTTATTGTAAGTCATCAATCGTTCTTATCGTGTTCAAGTTGGTATGTAGACTCACCGTTATATCTTCCGTAACTATCAGCCGACTTCCTCGGATCCATCACCGCCACCTCAAGCATTGCGCGAACTTCGGCAGCAGCTCTTGACCACATTCAAGCGAGAGTTCGAGGAGGCCTCGAGTAAGAAGGACGAACAGGCGACTAGTCGGTTCTTCAAGCTATTCCCTATGATCGGCGCCGAAGTGAGTTGGTCCTGCTCGATCTTCCATATCTCTAAGTGAAAGGCGTACTGAAGGGGCTAATGTTGAGCATAACATTCAGAATGAGGGGTTGGAGGTATATGGTGACTTCGTTACAGGCTTGGTACGAGGTCGCAATCCAGCCGGCGGGAAACGTTAGTCAGAACATCCGGCTCGTACTCTACAATGACTCGCTTAAATCTGAGGACCTTTTACACCACTATCTCAGCTTCGTCCCCACTCTACTACGTCTCGCATCTCACTTCGCTGCTAGAGAGCATAGCACTGATCATCGATCAGCATCAAAACATCGTAGACAAATACTACGGGCAGGGCAAGATGAAAGTCGTAGTCCAACGGTTGCAGATGGAGGCGGATGGATTCTGCAAAACCCTCGTAGAAGGGTGGGAAGACGAGCGACGTGTAGGAAGATTGGTTAGTAGCTGTGTTCTGTTGGAATCATCGCGAGACTTCAGGCACAGAACTAACAGAAACATCTTCCTGTAGATCTCAGAAACGACGCAAAGCCGTTTCGATTATCTCGCCAATCCCGTTCAGAACCACGCCCCATCGAATCAGTATGGCGCGACCGCTTCTGTGCAGGCATCGCTTACAGCGCTCTCTCAAGCTCAGCACGGTCTGGCGAATCTTCCTGGAGCTGCGACATCGCTTCTCGCTCAATATGCAGGAGCGGGTCCTAAGAAACCCTTGGCACATACTGAGGAAGTGCCAGGCGAACAGCCAGACGGCTTGGAGGAGGAGAAGACCGGGCCTGATCCACGAGACGTAGACAAGATCGTCGGAGAAATGATCACTCTTAGCGGGAGGTGGGCATTGTACCGGCGTTTCGTCTGGAATCGACTAAATGTGAGTTTTCGAGGCAATGAAGTGGTCCCGACTGTAGTTGCTGAAGGTCACAAGCTTTATTGCAGTCTGACGAAGATGAAGAGAAAACGCCTGTGGAGGAAAAGTCGGACCCTGCTGCGATCGCAGAGCGGAAAGAATCGTTGTCGGTGGATGCCATTGACGCATCGGAAAGCCAGAGAGTCATAACGAATATGCTTCGCACGTATTACCAGCCTCTCGAAGCCTGGTACTTGAGGACTAGTGTACAAAAGGTGAGAGATCGCTAAATCCAACTACCAATCTGAACATTGTTGACGCATATCTTCAGGCGCACAGAATGGACACTCCGGATCTAAGCGATCGACCACACGTTTCTTCTGTCGTAGACGACGTTTTCTACCTCCTGAAGCTCGTACTAAACCGAGCTCTTACATCCGGGTCACTTGCCACGATCCGTGCCATAAGAGAAGATGTCAGCAAGATTATCGAGCGAGACTACCTTGGAGTCTTGCAGAAGAAGATGGACGCGGTGTACTCCGGCGGAGGCGCAGCTATTGGCTTGCTCGGGACAAACTTGCCTGGTGCTAACAAAGAGGCCGAGAAGGAAAAGAGAGAAAAGGAGCTGAGAATCAGCTATAGCGTAGGTTATCCATGCAGACAACCAGTTCCATCACATCACGGGCGCACTGACATGCGTTTTCACGACAATGTGGTCAGGTCCTTCTCAATGACCTCGATCTGTCTGCCAACTACACTGAGAGACTGGTAGACGAGATGGTCTCGGGAGGTCTCGCAGAACAATGGTTTTTGGAGGTGGAAGTACCCATCGTACGAGCCGAACTCAAAACGCTCACTGACATTGCCACGAGTATGCGAACGATCGCAAAGGTCAGTTCGCCAAGACGTGAAGCGTATCGATCGAGGCAGACTGGTGCTGACCGCCCATTTCTATTCCGTCATAGGCCGGAATCGACCAGCTTTTCAACCAACTAACGCGGCCCCGACTCAGAACCTTGTTGGAAGATGTGTACAAGGGTGTTACCTATCTCTTGGATGAAGACGCCTATGCAGATGCAGAGAACGAAGATGTCGTGCGAAAGCGCTTCATTAAGGGTTGGGAACCGCTCGTAGAAGGTTACCGGGTGAGCAAATGGTCAATATTGAATCGTTTGCTTGAAAAACGAGCTGACTCTAGCTACGATCTGCGCAGGCGAGCTTCACTGATACGAATTTCCAGACGTTCTTCTCGATGATGGTCGAGGTGATGGTACGGCCTTGGGAGAAGATGGTGTTAGGGATGCGATTCACAGAGGTGCGTGTCGATTCACAGATTCGTTCAGGTTGCGTCGCTAAATCCCGTTGCCTCGTCGACCTGCTTGATCTAGTTGGGCGCCATCCGCTTCGATCGTGATGTACGGTCGGTGGCGAACTACCTATCAACACAAACGGAATTCGGGGGCGGAAGGGAGAAGTTCACCCGGTTACAACAGATTGCGACCATCTTGAACCTCGATCCGGTGAGTACCGCGTGCGAACCGAGAGTCGGGTCGATCCACACGTTGAGTATCATTACGTGCATTGGCGCGGTGTTGAATACAGGACGAAGACCCTGAGGACTTTTATGGGTCTTCAGGGATCGCTTGGAGGTTGAACAAGAACGAGTATGATGGCATCGTAGCAATCAAGGTGTAACACAAGCCAATTTGATACAACATGATATCGTTATCGTTCGTAACGCTTTGAAGATGAGTCGGGTCTAGTAGAAGGAATCCCTCCCGTCATGGTGACAAACGGTCGATTTTCCAAAGCGACTGAGAGTCGCCCTCGGCACGGGTGTATCTCAGGCGATCGTGTAACCGGGACGGCTGACCGCTCCAGAATTCCACCTCGCTGTGAACCGGCACGGCCGATGTTCAGCGAGTCGTTCGTGACCAGCACACTAGATCATCACTGCAGGGCTGTGACTTACAACGGCACGATCCTCCACCCTCCCCAGAATTCCGGGCATTCGACCTTTCTCCCTTCGAATTTCTTCTCGATCGCCTTGACTCGGTCCTCTAACACATGCTCGTCCTCTAACACCTCGCTCTGCCTGCTCGCCCAAGCTCCGATCTGACTCCCTCGCGGCCTCAAGTCAAAGTATTCCATACTCTCCTCCCTGCTGACCTTTTCCGCCTTGCCGACCACCCTGACGGATCGGGAGAGTTCTCTCCAGTAGATGGCGATGGATGCATAAGGGTTGGACGCTAATTCGCGAGATTTGCGGGAGTTGTAGTTGGTGTAGAAGACGAACCCCGTGTCGTCGGCTTGTTTGAGCAGGACGACCCGAGCGGAAGGAACTCCGGTGGGAGAAGAGGTACAGATGGTCATGGCTTCCGGTTCGTGCACCTCGGGTTGGCCTTCCTGTGGGTGCAAGGCTGAGGATAGCCATTTTTGAAACTGGATCATCGGGTTCGGGTCGACCTCGGATGAGAGGAGGCGAGGGGTGGTATACTGATTATGGCTTGCCACCTGGATCTTGTTGCTCGATTTCTGGTGGTCAATCTTGCCGGCATCTTGAGCAGCAGAGGTGGGCAAGGATGGGTCGTTGGTGATGGTGACGGCGTCCATCTTGTGATAATCGGAGATCGGGGTCACGGTAAAGCTGCGAACTGGATGTAGGTAGGATCGGTGCAAACTAAGGCGAAGAGTGCAACGAGGTCGGATCGGGAAGTAAGCTCGAACTTTGAGGATAAGCATACGATTATGCTCGCGGGTGATCTAATCTTGTGAGAGAGAAACGTTGCATCAATTGTATACGTTTTTCGCCAAGTGCTGGTGATCGCTGCTGGGTCGTCGATCTCTTAAGGGTTTCGTCATGCATGCATGTCGATCAGACCCGAGACTCGAAGCGAACCATGCAAGAGGGGGGATCGCCGAACCTGTACTCGTACTCGGTAGGCAGTAACCTTTTACCTTGTATCGCAGAGCACAGACCCCCTAACCTTACAGTCTCGTTATCCCAATCCATTCATCCACGACTCCTGAGGCGAGGGCACCTTGTAAAGCAAAATAATCCCGGAACATGGCCAACTCGACGCTCAAAGGCTCGCTCGCCATCCACGGTGGAAACCCCCAAGTAAGTCACGCTCGCGATTGCGGTTCGTGAGATCGTTTGCACTCACGGGGCTGGTTTCATCCCTAATATGTGACGTTTTGCTCTTAGTTCCTGATAGAAAAAGTGATCAGAGCGAGGATATATGACAGTATCTACTGGAAAGAGCAGTGTTTCGCCCTGACCGGTGAGTACTCGCTTCGACATCGCCAGATGGACCTCTCGTCGGCATGCTGATTCGTCTCCTCATACCAGCCGAGTCCATCATCGACAAGGCCATCACGCTAGATTCTGTCGGCGGGGTCTACGGGAACCAAAAACCCACAGAATTCCTCAGTCTGACCCTGAAGCTACTCACGCTACAACCGGAAAAGGCGATCTTGTTGGAATATCTTCGGGCCGAGGAGTTCAAGTGAGTTATGCTCATGATCAATCTGATACAAGTGATCCATCAGCTTATCACTGGCGTACCATATAGGTATCTAAGAGCGCTGGCGGCGTTCTATATCCGTCTAACTTTCAAATCGTTCGACGTGTATGAGATATTAGAACCGTTAATGAAAGACTATAGAAAGCTCCGAACGCGGGATATAGGCAAGTTCAGCCCATCTCTATACACAAGTTGAATCCCGTGCTGATTCGCCAGATCCGCTTTGTTTTGCTTCGATTCGATAGGCGGCTACCATCTGTCATACTTTGACGAATTCATCGACCAGCTCTTGACGGAAGAACGGGTGTGCGAGGTCATTCTCCCTCGACTGACCCGCCGAGATATCCTGGAAGAGACGGAAGGTCTGCCTAAAAGGACGAGCTTCTTGGTGAGTCGCTTGAAGATCCGGAATGCGGCAACGTCCCCGGTCTCTCTCCGTTATCGACGCTGATATCGATTGTTCGACTCCGCGTTCATATCGCCCTTGCAGGAAGAGACCCTCCAATCCGATCGCGGTTCTCGTTCTCCTTCGCCCGTCCGCCGCCGCAACCGTTCCATCTCGCCCGACCGAATGTCCGCCGCTTCCTATCGATCTCGGTCGAGGAGCATCTCACCGGATCGAGAGGCCGATTTTATACCGAGCAGGACGCCCAGCGAGGCTTATGCTAGCGAAGGGGATGGGGGTTATAGGAGCCGGTCTCCTAGCGTTAGTCCTGATCGCGAGATCGGTCAAGCGAAGAGAAACGATGATGGCATGGACGTGGACGATGCGACGAGCTACAGGAGCCGAAGTCGAAGCGTCTCTCTAGATAGACAATAGTCGGGCGCTGAATCATATACCGGCTTCTACTTGTTCTGTACTGTACGACTTTCCGTAACGAAACCGAAAATATAATGACACTTCGACCATGATATGTTCTTGACCCGCTATGCCTTCTTGAAGAGGTCTTCCGGCACATAAAACGGAAGTCCGGCATTATAGGCCCATTGGCGGTCTGAATCCGAATGGTCGCCTCGTCTTCCCGCGGCGTCACCAACAAAGAAGGATTGTTTCATGTCTGAATAAGATGGAAGTCGAGGTCGGGGTCGAAGTGTCAAGTTCGATTTTCAGGTTAGCTAGCTCGCACTCGGATCACATCGCAAGAGGGCCTGAGAAAAGGGAAAGACGTCGAAGACACACCGATTTCGATCCCCCTGTCCGCATAGACCTTCTTGACCACCTCGAACATCCCGATTCTTGGTTTACGATACTCGTCGTCCCCTGTAGCAGCCAAGATCCTCAACGGCAAGTCTTTAGGTAGCTAAATGCGTACGTATAATCATAATGAGTGATCGAGCTAATCGTGATTGCAGAATGAGCACAGAACCTACGTCTTGACAGATCAACGGGATCTTCTTCCTCCATTCGTCGAGTTTTCGTAGTCCGCCTTCCCCACGGGTTAACTTTTGATTCGAGATGATGATCAGGTGATACCTACAGGAGATGCAAATGAAGAGTGAATCGATCAGGCTGATATCATAGCAGCATTGCCCAGAATGACTATCAACACCCAAGGGTGCCGGCAATAAGAACAACTCACCCGTCCTCGTGCCACTGGAGCAATTTCTTCTTCACATTCCCGGACCACCATTGCCAATCGTCACGGTTCTTCGGGAACGAGCTGTTCCCCCGGGTCTTTATGAGGCAACCGTCCAGGTCACAGAGAGCTAGTTTGATCTTGACATTTGTTTTTAAGGGTTCCGATGGTGACGTAGACGAGGGTGAGAGTGGAACTGAAACAGAGAGTGTATTCGTCTTCGTTTCATTGCTCGGATGGGGGGTCGGAACTAAATCAGAAGGGATATCGGAGAAGAACGACGTGCGTCTTTGATCAGCCAGCGAGAAGTTGAACAGCGAACGATCATACTTACCTGTCTCAGCCTGAGAGTCAGCAGTCAAAGAAGAACCAGAAGAAGAAGCAGCAAATGGATCCAAGTGGAGATAATGTTCGAGGGTACGCGGGCTGGGTACTTTGATGTACGGCGATATCGATGATGACGACGTCGATAGGCCAGCGCTGGTCGATGTCGGTAAACCTGGACTCGAGCCAGAGCCAAGTTCAGAAGGACGGAAGAACGGATGGACAGCTGAAATGAGAGACTCTGAAGTCAGTATATGCTCGACACCCTGAAAGCTGGCGGATAGGAGATACGAGACCCACTCGGCTTGCCAGTGGACGACCCGTCGACTTTCGAAATGTTGCGTTTCGATCGAGATGTCCCGGAAGCGAGCGAGCTGCTACTAGCGATACCATTCGACGCCATTTTGATTATTTCGAAGCGAGAGCCTAGCTTTGTTAGCCTGTGTGACATGTGACCCTGGGTGCCGCTATCTGGGCCTTTCTTCGAAAAGTCGCTCGCTCGAGTGCAAATGGATGATATTCCGTGCATCCCCCGGCGATCGGTCGAGTAAATAGCTTCCGAATCGAGCGATTTCGGAAGCATATTCACTCCTCTAGGGGCGACGTGAATCTGTTGGGGGAAAGTGACGAAACCAATAATATTCCTATTCATTCAGTCCATCGAGGGATGACTTGCATGACTTGATCGCATCGTCATGATCGACTCGAACCTTTCCCTTTAAAGCTGACCATCAACCGATCTCTGCTAGACGTATATACTACAATCAAAGGAAAACAGCCATGACTCGCCAAGAAGAACAGACCCAATACACCCCGGACACCTTCAAGGTGCTCCTCAAAAAGCTTACACAAGTGCCGGATGACTTTACCCCCGAGGACGTCGCCCAATGTTTCCGTCACCTGTGTAGGAGCGATGGAAAGGGAGCTACGGAGGCTCAGGTGAGGCGTCTACAGACATCTGATACAAGATTCACAGTCTGGAGACTGAGCCCTTTGCGATTCTTCAAACCGTGACAGATCGGATCCTTCATCACCGCATTGACCCTCTCAGGTCTAGACGCTTCCCCTCAAGTCGTAGCCGCTTGCGCCCAAGTACTCCGAGAACACTCTGTTCAGATCGGCTCTTACCTTTCTGGAGAATCGCAATCCGAATCCTCTGCCGACAACCAGAGCAAGCACACGAGTGTTGAGAAGTGGGATTTCAGCAAGACCGATAATGTAGGGGACGGTTATACCGGCCTGGTCGATATCGTCGGGACTGGCGGGGACGGATTTGACACATACAACGTGTCAACAACTGCGGCGGTTGTCGTATCCGGGACTGGTCTGAGGGTTGCCAAGGTGAGAGACCAGCAATTGAGATAGCGCTCTGGTTTCTAGCTGACTCGATCTGGTGCGATGCAGCACGGCTCAAAAGCCGCAACATCGACTTCAGGCTCGGCTGACCTTCTCATGTCCCTCGGAGCCTCCCTTACTTATCCCCCTTCAGCCCTTCCTACCCTCCTCTCCACCTCTCCCTTCCTCTTCCTCTTTGCACCGCACTACCACCCCTCCCTGGCCCATCTCGCTCCGATCCGTCGACAACTGAATTTCAGGACCATCTTCAACGTCCTCGGTCCGCTTATCAATCCGGCTAGGCCGCAGAGGATGGTGTTGGGAGTAGCCAAGAAGGAGTTGGGGGACACGTTTGCAGAGGTTTTGAAGCTCTTGCAGGTCGAGCGGGCTTTGGTCGTTTGTGGGAAAGAGGGCTTGGATGAGATCAGTTGTGAAGGAGAGACTTGGGTACGTTTGGGCTCTCGAAGCGGTACATGACCGACTGAGATTAGCTTAGCGAGAAGCTGACCTGACCCGATTATCATGTTCGCTCAGACATGGGAACTCATCGACGGCGAAATCACCACGGGCTCCATCCACCCCACACGCGACTTTGGCCTGGCGACCCACCCTATCAGCTCAGTCCGAGGATCCACTCCGGAGCTCAACGCCCTGACATTCAAGTCGATTCTCGATCCGGCTTCTCCAACGCCACCTCACCTCTCCGCACCTGCAACTCCGGATTCGCCTTCGATCGATTCCATTACCGATTACGTCCTCCTACAATCGGCCGCTCTGCTCAAGGTCGCTGGGAGGGTGGACAATTACAAAGATGGTGTAGAGATGGCTAGGCAGAGTATGTCTTCCGCAGGAGCTTTGAAGGCTTGGGAAGGATTCGCACGGATCAGCCAAGAAGCCACGGCATCTGTCGCAGGCGGACCGGGCAGGGTGGAGGAGGACGGAGGAGAGGCTGCGAAGGGTGGATTGGTTCCCGCTTGGTTACATGCCAAGGGGGAGTTCAGGGAAAAAAAGGAGAAGGAGAACAAGTGATGATTGGCGAGTCAAGGATGCGTGTTGTGCATCGTCCGTACACCGCGGGCAGTTCTCGAGGGCGAACACGAGATTGCGTTCCATCGTCTCTCATGGCATGAAAAGTCTCGTCTCGTTTCCACATCTTCTTTCGAGAAGTGGCGTCTAGGGTCGAAACGATGCAGTGTATATATGCGTGTGCGTATGCAAATTCTGAACCAAAGATTGACCGGTCGCTTTCGTATATCTAGCTAGTACAACAAATCGCTTGCGAAACCGAATCACTCCGCCTCGCTGGCTGTAACGTCGTCGTCGTCTTCTTCCCCTTCTTCCTCCTCCCCTTCCGACTCTTCACTCTCGCTTTCTTCTACTACTTGCGGTCGTCGCACCGATTTCCTTGTCGGGTTCCGTCGCGAAGGCTCTGCTGGCACGGCGCCAGCCTGCTCTTCGCTTGCGTCGAAATCGGGTTGGTCGTCTGATTCGTCCGACTCTTCATCGCTTATAGGTGTCATCCTTTTGCGCGATCTAGCACCGGCAGCACGGCGCGAAACGCCTCTAGTTGCGCTTATGATCGACGTGGATCAGCTTGGCAATCGGGCAGCGCAAGACGACAGTCACACTCACGTTCCAGCCTGCGAAGCCGCATCATCATCGTCTTCGATGTCGCTGCTGTGTACATGGGAACAGCGCATGAGCTCAGGACTAGCAGTTTGGAAACACTCCGAGTAACTCACAGTCTATCGATAACACCCCATACCGACTCGAGCGTCTCAATCCGACGCAACGCATCTTCGTCTATCGCCTCTTCTAGCTGTTCAGGATAATGCTTGGTGAGCGATTTTTCAAATCGAGAGAGTGCATTTCGCGAAGCGGCATCAGCCAGTGGGCGTCGCTGTGAAACGATCGTATTGTGTCAGCATGTGCAATCGTTCTTTCTCTGATACACACATACCGAGGCGATATTACGGATCAGGACAACCATGGCCTGCAGCCTTGGCGTTTCGACTTGATCGGGAAGATAGAGCTTTGACAACAGCGCAGTAATCGTCTTTCGCATTTCCTCTGTCAATTAGAAACGCTTGGCTCAGTATTGATTAGAGAGTGTGCGACGAAGACGAATACTTACTGTCACTGCGAGTCGCGATCATTCGGAGTAGCCCTTCGGCAAGGTAGAAATGGATCTGTTGATCGTACTCAACACCTTCTCGCTCTCTGGTGCAGGCAGATATGGGTCAGGCCGGCTGCAACCAAGTTTGTCGTTTGATACTCACACGACCTTGCTAGGATCCGTCCAGTCCACGAGTAATAGTGCCATCTGACTCAGTGGCATCGCCTGTTCGTTGGGATCGAATGCCTTGATCTGCGTCGCCAGCATTTCGATTGTCGGAACTACAATCTATCTCAGCCATGTGTACGAGTTAGTCAAGATGGCTATATTCTCTGACCGATATGACCTACCTCTTGCATGCGCCGTTGATTCAAGGGCGAAGAATAGCAATATACCGGGAAAAAGTAACTCAGACATTGGCGTAATGGCAAATTTGTCACTGTGTCACTCGACAAGAACAGTAGGACAAGTTGTTGCAAGAGCTGTGCAAGATGCACAATTCGATCAGTACCATAACCCATGGCTAGACCTTGGCAACACTTACTCCTGCATCGTAAAGCATTCCACTAAGCAAGAGCTTGGCGCTACCCTCAGCCGACACGGCCTGGAGTCCAGGAACGTCGAGCGCGAGAATATGTCGAACCAATCCGACGACTTGCTCGACCTATTGAGTCAATTGGTAAGAACGCGTATTGATGGCAAGTCCGAGTCTGACTCACCGGCATTAGATCCTGTACCAATGTGCCGATATCATGCACCATCAAGAGATCGAACAGAATCTGCGCTGTCTTGATTCGAAGATCATCATCACCTGCGTTCAACTATTCAAGCGGATCACAACCTAGTTTTAGCTCGAGCTACGAGGCCACCAAGAATCACGTGCGCTTACCTGCTGCATGAAGAGGATGAACGACTCCTTGGCCATTCTCTAGGAAAAGATTAAAGGCTGAAAATAAGCAGATGTAGGACGATATCCAGATCAACCTTGACTGACGACTTCGATCATGCAGCACAGTGCTAGGCAGATCAAACCCTGCTCTCTCAACGCCGGTTCCTCCTTGTTCCGTAGAGACGGTACGATCAGGTCGCTTATGACACCTGCAAAGACCTCGTTATCACGAAGCGTCTTTGTTCCCGACCATATGAGCCACTCAGGACAGCTTGCGAGCGGTTGAAAGCGGCAGTACTCACTCCATTGACTCGTTCTAGCAGGCTCCCGCAGACGAGCAAACAACGCAGATCGATGGTAGCAGCTTCAAGTTGTGCGGCCGGATCGTTCGCTTTGGCTAGTATACTCTGTCTCCGTCGGCGTGTAACGGATCGTACCGACGTTGCAACCGAGGCGGAATCATCGTCGGCCATCTGGCAATGGTGTCTTTTCCTATCAACATTACTTCAAGCATCGCTAAACCTGGCGGGTCACTTACAATGGACATCCCTCGATCTCTCCCTTCGTCTTCTCCCAGACGGATTTCGGTCACGACATCCACGATCACTCGAATGAGATCACGTTCGCTGTCAGAAATGCTAGCCAGGATGTTCATGCATAGGGAGATGAGCGATTCTGGCAAGGATGGCTGCGAGATCATCTCGCCTGCATGTATCGACAAATTTTAACGGATCAGTACGATTTTGGACGTCCACCGATCAACGATCTCGTCTTTAATCACTCACGCGCCAACTGGAACATCTTGCGTCGCCCGATCTCGTCCGCATAATCCAGCCCGACCGCAAGCTTGCACAATTCGGCCACCACGAAACTTTTACCGACGAAACCTTCGGGTAGATCTTCTTGATCTTCCAAGTTCCCTGCTAACACGCCACCAGGCTGTAAAGCATCCTCAGGTAGCATGCTGATGAGGGTGTTGAATTCGTCTTGGATCTTGAAGGCAAATGAGGTCACCACCGGGAGGACCCTTTCAAGTCGAGCGTCGTCCTGTTATATTTGGTCAGCCAGAACATATCGATTACCCGCTGCGGAAGAGATTTACCTTGTTAGTTGCGCAGTGATCTACGAACACTCGAGCTAAAAAGGCTCTCTCTGGCGTCATTTCGTTCCAGAACGCCTCTGACGTTCGCCAGCGGATCAATTAACATTGATCACAAGCTATGTGGCCAAAAAAAAATGCATACCATCAAACTCCAGGTCGTCGACCAGCTCTCTTCGCGTGCCAAACAGCGACAACAGCGCTTCTTCCGCTGTCTGCGGGTTGGAAAGGTCGAAGCGCTCCAGAAACTGCCAAGATAGCCATAGGGATCAGAGCCAGACTCGCTGCAAATCTATCTCGCTATCACGGGGTGATTACTCACATCGACTAGCTTCGCGACAGCTCCACCAGACTGTTCGTCTTTGACCTCTTCCCCAATCCAACCTCCGATCATCCCTGAAGCCGCGTTTCTGACCGCCGCCTCCCGATCACCCAACCCATTCTTGATGAGATCCTCCCGTTGGCCGATCGTCAACACCCTCATGTCCGGGACGTTCTTATTGTTCAGAATATTGCTGTAGAGTACCTTTCTCAAGGTCGAATCCACGTCCCTGGATCGGGCCAAGATATGCTCAATTGTCTCTGGCTGGAGAGGAAGGTGATACAAGGCGACTCGGCGGACTTCGGCAGCGGGGTCGAATCGCATCATGTCGAGTACGATCTCCTTGAGGCTAGGTTCGTCCTCATCGAGTTCTTCCTCATCTTCTCCTCCCATCAGCTTGGAGAGACCCAAGATTGCCTGGACTCGAATACTCGGTTCCTTGTCGTTGGCCCTGGCGACCAAGGTGGTCCGTAGAGGCTCATACAGGTCGTCATCGATCTCGCCGAGGCTGTTTAGCAGGACAGAGAGGGTCTGGACGATTCGGTATCGTACGGACTTGTCTTTGGCGGATGAGCCGGAGAGGAGGTGTCTGGTGAGCTTGATCGTGAAGCGGGAGGAAGGACCTTCGACGACGCCATTCTCGCCGGCTTTAGCCTCGTCTGCGCGTTAGATACAGTAGACGAATTAGCCACTATACTAATCCTACGTATCGATCGTTCCTCACCCTGTTCCGTGGTGTAGGTCACGAACTTCCCGACGAACGCAACCACTCGATCCGCTACGGCTACTCCCTTCTTGACAGGCAACACCCTCTCAAGGCACTCCATAAACTTGGTATTGAACCCCTTTTCCCCAACCAGCATCGTGCCCTTCGGACCCTGCTCCGTAATCTCGGCACATTTGTCCTGGATCTTTCTAAGAGACACTACGTTTTTCCGGTGATTAGAAGCGTTGTGCTGGACTTGTCCAAAGATGGGCGGGATGAGATCGAGGTAGTTGACGAGGTCGTCGGGAAGAGGTACCGACTCGCGAGCGGTTCTCGCTATCGTCCGTCTAGCGACTGGCATGATGGAAAGACTACGAGGTCGAGATGCTGGGCGCTGTATACTGCGATCAGTAGTGCTTGTACCTCTTGCAGATATTGACCATGATCTGAATCATCTGAATCATCTCCCACCGAGGAGAACGTTTGTTTACATTTCGGGGGAAAACCAAAACAAACCCACCCAGCTTCTACATCCGGCCCTATATGACCGCTTACGGCATGGCATGCACGACCCATCCATATCGAAAGGACAGGAGTCACGATTCGTAGCTATCTGTCACTGCACGAGACATGCACCGATACCGAGTCCTGGAGGTGATGATAGAGAGGGGCCAAGAAAGAAAGAAAGAAAGACCCGAAACAGACGATCACGAGCTCAGCCGCGACTGGCTACTCGTCGCGCTTCATAACCCAAAAGATGATGCAATCCGATAGAATCCCCTTGTACGTTTACAAGCAACCCCCAGCCAAACCCTTTCCCTTGCTCAATAACCTACAACCTCGAAGCCATGGTTCAGCTCAGTCGCTCAACAAAAATCACGCAACCGGTTAAGACTCACCTTTTGGGTTCTGCGACTGCCAGTTCCATAGATCCTTGCACATCGTTTGCAGGTCCTTCTCGGCCTTCCATCCGAGTTCTTCATGGGCCAATTTAGGATCGGCGGTGAGATCCGGTACATCACCCTCCCTGAGCATCGAAGGAAGAGTCAGCAAGGTGCCCCAAAGGGTGACAAAATTCTGCCGATCACGGCGCCTGAACTCACCTTCGACCCACAATGTCGTACTTGTAATCGAACCCACTGGCCACCTTCATCGCCTCGATCATCTGCTTGACACTATAAGCCGTTCCCGTGCCCAAGTTGAATGCCCTATACTTGCCCTTCGTGCCCGTGACCGAGTAGATGGCGCCCTTCTCGATAGCGTCCAATGCAGAGACGTGGCCCCGGGCGAGGTCAACGACATGGAGGTAGTCACGTACGCAAGTCCCGTCGATGGTAGGGAAGTCGTCGCCAAAGACTTTGAGAGGGTCGTTGATCCGGCCGACAGCGATGGCAGCGAGGAGAGGAAGGAGGTTGTTGGGCTTACCCTGGGGGTCTTCGCCGATCTTGCCTGAAGGGTGGGCACCGCCGGGGCTAAGAGGTAGCCGGTCAGCTACTACCCACGCAAAGCCTAGAGATGACCATGCAGACTCACTTGAAGTACCTCAACGAGCAAATGTTGAAATCACTGTCGGCTGTTATGGTCACCCACCAGAATCGCTGTGGTCAGTATCCTGTGCAGCCTTTATCGTCCGCGATCTGCCCGCGTCCCGTCTGACTCACCCTTGGCGAGGTCCATGAGGATGTACTCGCAGAACACCTTGGTCTTGGCGTAAGGGCTGTGAGGTTGCAATGGGCTCGTCTCCGGGATGGGAATCGTCTCGGGCTCTCCGTATACGGTAGCCGAGGATGAATAGACGAAGTTCTGACACCCGTGATCCTTCATAGACTGTACGAGACGGATCACGAGCAGGCTCGGTTTAGACTTGCTTACTCAGGGGTGAGACGCATATAAGTGAAAAAGGTCTGAACTCACGTGCAAGAGGTTGAGGGTACCTGATACGTTGTTCTCATAGTATTGCAAGGGCAACTCGTTCGATTCGCCAACAGCTTTCCAAGCCTACAAAGCCCCGTTCAAGATCAGCTGCAGTCTCTTCCCGTGTCCCTCGTAGCAAATCCGCTAGGACTTACAGCCAGATGGATAACACCCCAGATCTTTCCCTTGCTCTCATAAGCCTCGAAGAGCTTGTCGATGGACGATCGGTCAGTCAGGTCGGCTTGGTAGAGGTCGATCTTGGGGATCTCGCCGCCGAACTTTTCCTTCAAGCTGCAGAAATACGTAAGAATCGTTAGCCCTTTCAACCTACAGTCGAGAGTGATGTGCAGGTGCTCACCCAGGCTCCTCGTTGGCGACCTCTTGTACCCGGGCGATACATGCCTCGGCCTTTGAGTTGTGCCCGTTGTCGAGGACGACGGGGAGGTATTTCCCAGTTCGCAGCAGTTCCAGCAAGATGTGGCTACGTAAAGGTTCCAAGACGAGGAATCATCAGATCGGTTGTCATGGTATACAAGATGGAGGAGGACTTATCAATGTAACCGGCACCTCCTGGGCAGAGTACACGCTGGGGATGGAGATCGAGATCATGGATCATCAGCATCGCGCGAAGGATGCTCTGCAAGCCGTTTCTCGGCTCACCTTGAGTTCAGTGGAGGACATTATTATTATGATTGTTATCCGTGTCGGTATCCAGAGCTTCGAGCGACCAGATGCAGTGCGATGTGCGAAAGAAAGGGCAATAATAGTTGTGTATATGATAATTTCGCTGTTGCAGACAGAGTGTCCATACTCGGAGGTCGGTTGGTGAATTCCGACAAAGGTCCGAATCGGGAGAGAGAGGGAGGTGAGGGTGGACGCGTCGCACGACTGTCGACCGGGAAGCGGGACCGTGTGCTCATGAACATGTGAACATGGGAACATGGAAACGTCACGCATCATTTGGCATATGGATAGGGTTGTTTCAGGATAGTCGAGGTCAGGCGGTGGCCTGGAAGCAGGTACCACTTACCACAAGGGAGCTGCCTATGGGCGATAAGCAACGGATCATCGATCGATGTCAAGGTGAACTCATCGTCATTCATGACAAATGTTAATCCCTGTTTCGGATAGGTCCTAGCATCCCAGCCGTCCACGCGTGGTCCGGATCGCGAGTCTGGAAGAGAACAAGGGAATGCTGGCGATGAGGGACTATCTAAGCGCATGATAGGGCCTTGTTGGAGAAGGTTCTCGAAACGTAGGCTTCGTAGGGTGACCTTCACGCTAACACATCCAGCGCGCAAAAGTGGAAAAGAAGTGACAAATCTGTCGAGCGCTACGCAAATGTCGGTTCTCCACTGGCGATTTGTGCTTCTCGAAGTGAGGGCTTACTTGAACGAGCAATCGGTCAGCTTCGTCATTTACCGGTCTTTCAATGAGCCAAGCAACGCTTGCGAGTGTTCTTCCCCAGCCGGCGGGAAGAAAGGATGCAATTATTCTTGTTTTTGTCAGAATGCCGCAAATTAGTGGAATATTGCAGCGTTTTGTTGGGGTTGATTAAGGCTTCTTTGAGCTTGATGACGGTCTCCAATAGCTATACACCTGTTCATACGTCTAGATGTCAGATCTGGTCTTGTATATTGCCAAAGGCTGCCATGTCGCATACTTCGCGTCGTAGTCGAATCAGGAATTACGGGGATCAAGATGGTGAGGAGGGCAGATGTAACCGAGTGTATTCGCGTATACGCGTATACATCACTTTCGGTTGAAGAGGTACGATTGCCAAGATGCAGTGCCGCTGGAGTATCTCAGGCGTGAGGAATCGATTTGTTTGTGCATGTCCAAGCGAGTGTCAAGGTAGGTGGCGAGACGTGATAATCGGTCGCAAGCTCATGGGGTTGGAAGAGATGCTAGACAAATCTCGACCTGGGAACCGATCAAACGTATCTACAAAAGCTCAAGGGTTGCCCGGACAATTTCTACTGTCCAGCCCCGTGTCAGCAAATGCAAGCGCAGTTCAAGGTAAATTCATCACAAGGGTTCTTATGCCTCACCATATTGTATCCAGGCAGCTCCTGAAGCTGCTTGGGGTACCTGCACATATTTTCAACAGAACCCGAGCGCAGTCGAAGAAGAAGCTGTGTATCTGAGTGATCGCGATTGACCGCCCGCCAGATGCAAGTTGTTTTAAGCGGAAAAAGACGCCAACGAGTTATCAGATTTCTTCGCCTGTCGAAAACAGTAGTTTGCTGGTGAGACTGCGGCTGATAATATTGGACGTTCAGCTTATACATATATCACACAACGACAGAAGCTGGTACAGAAGCACAGAAGAGTATGAGATGACTGATCCGATCCGTCTGAGATGAAACCCATCCTGTTTGTCGAGCGCAGCAGGAGATGGCCGAGGATGATCGTCCAAGATTTTGCTTCCGCGCTTGCCCGAGCACCGAGCTAAAGTGTATTTCGACAATCTTTCGACGAATTCCTCGAAACTCCCCCAATCAAGCTCAATGCTTAAAGACTCATCAGCTTCGCTCTCAACAGACTTTGACCTAGACAGATCGACAGAGCCATGCCTGCTTTCCGCCGAGGAGGAGGTAACATCCCGCGAGGTGGTAGAGGTGGAGCTAGGGGCGGTGCTCGTGCTGCTCGAGGTGGTCCTCGCCTCCCCTTCACGTTGACCGAAGAACTGGGTCTGCCATCTCAGAAGAAGAGTGAGTTCTGCTTCAACCGCGAGCGGGTGAGGGGAAAGGGTCCGATCGTTTTTGCTATCGTGGTACAGAGGAATACTCTCGACCATATGATAGGCAGGAAGAAGGGCGGTTCGACAAGAGATCGCAAAACGGGTCAAGACCGACATTCGATGGTGCTACAAAACGACCTTCTCCCTCTGACCGGGAGCTCGAACGACCAGCAAAGAAACTGAAAGAGCATGTCAAGCCGGCCGTAACGAGGGATCCTCCTCCCAAACAAGCTGTTGCAAGCTCGGACGAGATTTTCATTCCGGCTCCTCGAAGTAGCGCATCTGGAGAGAGGAAGAAGATTACCGCTTCTACCTCGACTCCCCTGTCAAGGATGCTTGCATCACAAAAGGGAGGGAACAAAAATGTTGCAGCCGAATTTGAAGAAGACGAGGATGATGCCGTCGAGAGCGAAGCGGAGGAGCCGAGATCCAAGCGGGCGGCTTCGGATGACAAGGGCAAAAAGTACAAAAAGACCGCCGTAGTATCCGATGCTCCTCTGGACCCGTCTATCATGGATTCTGCGTTTGGATCTGGGCGGGGAAAGAAGGCTGAGCGGGATGAAGAACAGGAGATCGCCTGGTTGGAGTGGAAGCTGGGCAAGAAAGGGGCCAAAAAGCCAACCGAAGATGGTGACGAGAGTGACGGCCTAGATGGTAAGCCGTCCCGAACCGTACCTCATTAACAAGTACACAGGCTGATTCAAGATACACTTCGTTCGCATATGATCCCAGATCTACTCAACTTTGCAGATTCTGTGGCATTCGGCAAATCATCCAAATCCAAAGGCAAAGGCAAAGGCAAAGAAGTTGTCTCTGCATTCGATTCGGAAAACGATGACATGGATGGGTTACTTGACATGGAAGATGACGAGGAATCGATGGTGTCGTTCGGGTCTGGTCAAGAGGATATGGCGGAAGAGGAAGACGACTTCATCAGCGACGACGGGGATGTGGATGAGGAGGACGATCTGGATGATTCAATGGAAGAGGACGATGATCTGGCTCAATTTTTGACTGAAGATGAAGATGAGGAAAGCGAGGACGACGAGTTGAGACGGAATACCGAAGAAAATGCTCGAACAGCCAACTCGGAACCAGGGACGAAAGCTGTTGATGCGCCCGCGCCTGCACCCGTCTCCCCTGCTCCTACAACTGGAAAATATGTTCCACCTTCGCTGCGAAAGTTACAGCAGCAAGCAACGGCAGAGGCATCTCCATCGAGTGATATCTCAGCGACGGCAATCAAGACCATGGAACAACAGCCCAAGACGGAACAGCAAATCAAGCTGGAACGGAAAACTCAGGGTCTGTTGAACAAGCTCAGCGAGGCCAATATCGAGTCTATCCTGGCTGAAGTGGAGGGTCTGTATAGAGAATGGAGCAGGAACGGCAAGTGTTGCATGATTTCGACAGAAATTTGTTCGTGACGCTGATCTTTGCGGGGCTTGTATAGAGGTCACGACGACCTTGACTGACATGATCATCAAGATCATCTCGGATAGGGCCAATTTGCTCGACTCGTTCGTGATCCTCTACGCGACATTTGTCGCGGCTCTCTACAAGCTCAAAGGGGCGGATCTGGGTGAGTATCACGAGTGCGGAACCGATTGTCAGAGCAGCAGTGCCTGATACTCCAACACATACACCTTCGATGACGTCCAGGCGGTCAATTTCTACAGACCGCTGTCAACCGCTATTCGACAACTAAGGACGCGGCCATGCTACATTCGAATCACAAAGGAGATGATGCGGAATCACCAGAAGATCCCGGCAAGCAGCCTTTGAACATCCTGACGCTCATCTCGGAGCTGTACAATTTCCAGGTCGTTAGCTGTCTCTTGATCTACGATCTGATCAAGGGGTTCATCGATGACTTGGGGACGAGCGGCCCCAAGGGAGAGTTTGCTGTCGAGGGCGTATTGCGGGTGCTACGATGTAGGTCTCAATCGGAATGGTCGTTTCAACAGCGGTGACTGAACAAATTCGTTCGCTCTAGGCTCAGGACCGCAACTGCGATCAGACGACCCGGCAGCTTTGAGAGACATCGTTACGCTCGTCCAGGACAAGGTGTCAGGGCAGGAGAGCAAGCTTAGGTGAGTAGCGGGGTCTTTCGGCCAGTACAAGTAACGGCTCACTGACTTCGGGACGTGATCCGACTTCTCGACGTTTCAATAGCGCCCGAGCCAAGTTCATGATCGAGACTTTGACCAATATCAAGAACAACAAGGTCAAAAATCTACCCGGAGGTCAGGGACAGGTGGCCTCCGAGACGACGACTAAGATGAAGAAGTTCTTAGGTGGTTTGAGCAGGAAAAGGCAGGGTAAGAGATTCGACATCTATTTCGTTGATTTACGTTTGATAATGATTATTGCGCTTCTACGCTGTAGTCATGGCGCACGAACCCCTTCGCGTCACGTTGAACGACATTTTGACGGCGTCTACGAAAGGTAAATGGTGGATTGTGGGTGCCGCCTGGGCAGGGGACCCCGTCCGAGAACGGGAACGCGAGCGAGCGCGACAGGTCGCCTTGAAACAAGCTTCCGAGGGCAAGCAAGCCGGTTCCAAGCGAGAGGCGGACGAGGATGGGGACGACGAGACGGACTTGATTGGGTTGGGAGTTGGACAACAGGACGAGTTGTTACGGTTGGCGAGAAAGCAAGGGATGAACACGGATGTCAGGAGGCAGGTGTTCATGGTGATGATGACGAGCGATGTGAGTCTATACACTACAACGCCTTCTTCTTTCAAGACTGACGCTCACCCTTCCATCCCCTCACAGGACTTTAGGCATGCGTGCGACCGTCTCGCCTCTCTCAAGTTCACCGAAGTCCAACAACGAGAATTTATCCGGGTCGCCCTGCACTGTCTCGCCATCGAACCCAATTACAACCCATACTACGCCCTTCTCCTCTCCCACCTGACATCCACCTCGTACTCCCATCGCTTCACCTTGCAATATGCGCTCTGGGATTTCTTACGGGATCTAGGGCAGGACGAAGTCGGAGGGGAAGGGACTAGGGGGGATGTGAGGGGTACGAGCGGGTTTGCAGGGTTGGACGAGGGCAAAGGGGGGAAAGCGTTGGGGAAGGTCAAGAGGGTGGGAATGGGTTTGGGATGGGTCATCAGTCAGGGTGGAGTGGATTTGACCGTCTTCAAGGTGAGTCTCCGTGTAGGTCGTAAGAGCCCGGTATGAGACATGGGGCTGATCATGACCTGCTATGGTACAGCCCGTGGATCTCACCTCGCTCCAACCGGCGTCCAAAGTCTTCTTCAGGACGATGTTCTCTTACCTGGTCCTAGGCCTTTACACTCGTTCGCCCGGGTTTACGTTGACTGCCAAACAACGGGCCAAGCGGGTGGCATCAACATCAACATCGAATACGACTAAGACGCAGGGACAGAGGTTGATGCTGAGTGAAGATGAAAAGGAGACGATAGAGGCCATTTTCGTCAAGACCATCTCTGCTGGGGGGATGGAGTTGGCACAGGGGACGAGATACCTGTTGACCCGTGAGATGGGCATCACCGCCGGTTCATCACAGCAAGGGAGGGACGAAGCCACGGGCAAGAATAAGAGCAAGAACAAGGCGAGCGTGAATTTGGGGACGAGTCGACGGTTCGGGAAGTTGATGGACGATCTGGAGGTCGAGGATGAGGGGTATAGGGGGATCGTCTGGGAGGGACTTGGGGTTGCGGAGGAGGTCTTGGGGAAGATGATGTAGACAGACAGAGCGAGTGCCCGGGATATAATGGATTATATGTGCAGGGGGTGTTTTCGGTACAACTTTGAGTAGCCTTTGGTCGATGATGAGTTAGCGTGTTTGATCGTGTTTGATGCTGACGGTTTCGGGGCTTGACGACCCGGTGGATGTCCGGTTTCACATTCTGCATCTCCCCCCTGCTGTACGGACCTGATCGGCCGTCACGCGCAGTCGACTCTCGGCCGATTGCGACCGAGAGATGATCGATCGCACCGACGGCCGAGCGGATGCAGTTGGAACGGGATTCATCATCAGCAGCGAGTGAGCCCCACGCGGGGGAAGAGTGAGCAGCAAGCAGGGCGAGCACCCTGAGCAGAAGCCGGGGCACGATGGGTGGATGCCCTTCCTTGGCTGTCATGGCTGCATGACCTTTTGCTCAGATGCACCGAATGGGCGATCATATATATAACAGACAGCAATATCGTCACCTGACCTGTGCTCATCGTCTCGGTACTGAAAAACCACGCAACCTCTGCACACACAGAGAAACCATTTACACCTAGCCACGCTCCTGACTTGAACTAGTAGCCAGCAGCTCACCTGAAACAACTTGCTTAACCAGTCGGTGAGTACATGACGAAACCAGCAGACTCTGTCTTGATCCTTGTAGCCTGACTCTGAATGCGCTTCATGAACCATGTCAGCGACCCTTTAATCATGCCAGACGCACCTAAACAACCCTCTTCCGCTCCCGAGGCCGACAACCCACACCGAACGTTCGATGGCCAAGAGGAAGGGCACGTCCCCACCTTCCCCGTCCCCGAGCGAAACTTGGGCAAAGACGGCTACCCAGCGCCTTTTGTCCAAGGTGGACTGGACGGGTGGAAGGAAGAGTGGAAGAAGAGTGTGGGGGATCAGGGGGATGAGTGGTGGAGAAAGGCGGCCGAGGACAATTTGTACTGGCACAGGCCGTTCACCACCGTTAGGGCTGGTGGATTCGAGAACGGAGACACCCAGTGGTTGTGCGTATTGTCAGGCCTTCTCGTCTTTATATTGACTTTCCGCTGACAATTCCTCCTGTCTCACTTTCGTAGCCCCGAAGGAGGTCTCAACGTCTCCTACAACTGCCTCGACCGTCACGCTTACGCCAACCCGGACAAGACGGCCATCATCTACGAAGCCGACGAGCCCGGTCAGGCTAGGGAAATTAGCTATGCCGAGCTCTTGAGAGAAACTTGTAGGATCGCCAACGTCTTGAAAGGGTGGGGAGTGAAGAAGGGAGATACCGTTAGCATCTATTTGCCCATGACTTGGTGAGTCGCGCTTGTCACCTTGTTTGTGTATGAAAAGGTGAGGTAGCTGACACCAATTTGATGTCGTAGGCACGCAGCGGCGGCGTTCTTGGCTTGTGCGAGGATCGGAGCGATCCACTCGACCGTCTTTGCTGGTTTCTCGGCCGAGTCCTTACGAGACCGAGTACAAGATTGCGAGTGTCGGGTGCTGATCACTTCCGAGTGAGTGCACATCCCCCACGAAGCCGTTCGCCGCATCGCATGAGCTGACTTTTGGATTCGGAAACCAATCTACCTCCTGTTCTCAGCGAGGGTAAACGAGGTGGCAAGACGATCGCTACCAAGGCCATCGTCGACTCTGCTCTCAAGGAGTGTCCTCTCGTCGAGAAGGTGCTCGTGCTTCAGAGGACGGGTAACGAGGTGCCCATGGAGAAGGGTCGTGACTTCTGGTGGCACGAAGAGGCTCCCAAGGTGCCTTCTTACTGTGCGCCGGAGATCATGAACAGCGAGGATCCGTTGTTCATTCTCTACGTGAGTTCCCCGCCTGAACGATCCTTGTTTATGGGATCGACTTGGCTGACATTGTCGACGCTGAACCCGCCGGCAGACTTCGGGATCGACGGGTAAACCCAAGGGAGTCGTCCACGCTAGCGGAGGTTACATCCTCGGCGCTTTGATGACCGTCAAGTACGTGTTCGACGTTCACCCGGAAGACCGATTCGCCTGTATGGCCGACGTCGGTTGGATCACTGGACACACCTACATTGTCTACGGACCTTTGGCTTTGGGTGTGACGACAACCTTTTTCGAATCGACACCAGTCTACCCGAACGCGGGGAGGTACTGGGATTTCGTTGATGAGCACAAGATCACCCAGTTCTATACCGCGCCTACTGTGAGTTCAGCTTGACAGGCGAATGTCATGCCAAGGGCTCCCACGCTGACCGTGAAGTCGGGGTAACTTTCAGGCCATTCGTCTCTTGCGACGACTTGGAGAGGAACACGTCAAGACGCACAACTTGTCTACCTTGCGTGTCATCGGATCCGTCGGCGAGCCTATCAACCCGGAGGCATGGCACTGGTATAACGACAACGTCGGTCGGGGCAAGGCGACAATCGTCGATACCTACTGGATGACCGAGACGGGTTCCATTCACGTCACCCCCATCCCTGGTGTCACCCCCACCAAGCCCGGTTCGGCGACGTTCCCCTTCTTCGGTGTCGACGTCGAGATTCTCGACCCGAACACGGGTGCCGTACTCGAAGGTGGGGATGTCGAGGGTGTTTTGGCGTGCAAGAAGCCGTGGCCTTCTCTCGCCAGGACCGTGTACAAGGATCACGCTCGTTACCTCGATACCTACATGAAGCCCTACCCTGGCTACTTCTTCTACGGAGACGCTGCCGCGAGGGATAATGACGGGTACATCTGGATCAAGGGAAGGGTGGACGATGTCATCAACGTGTCGGGTCACAGGATGAGCACGGCAGAGGTTGAATCTGCCTTGTTGATGTTTAGCGGAGTGGCTGAGAATGCAGGTGAGCCTTGCTTGATATCAGGCTTTGGAAGCAGAAGGTGGCTCAAGCTGACAGAGTACCGATCGAACCTTCGCGCTCTTGCAGTTGTCGGAACTGCCGATGACCTTACCGGTCAAGCCGTTCATGCTTTCGTCTGCATGAAGGAAGAGTCAGATTACAGCAAGGCGCCCGAAAAGGAGGCCGAGTTGAAGAAGGCACTGGGGATTCAGGTCAGGAAGGTCATCGGACCGTTTGCTGCTCCCAAGAAGATTGTGAGCGTCACAGTCCGTGAAACAGGGACACATGACAAGGAGCTGATGCAAGACTGCGTCTGTAGTACATCGTCCGAGACTTGCCCAAGACCCGATCAGGCAAGATCGTTAGGCGAGCTCTTCGAAAGATCGTGAGTCTGGGCAGCACAAGCTCGATGGACTACGGGCAATCGTTGACCTGAAATGACTACTTTTATCAATAGGCTTCTGGCGAGGGAGACCAGCTCGGAGACTTGTCGACCATCAGCGATCCTTCGATCGTCGAACACATTATGGAGGCTGTCAAGAAGGCATAGCGAGATGTCGATCCATTACGAACAAAGAGAGAAAGAAAGTAGCGTGTCATGGGCCCAGATCACCGTCGGAGATACTATCCAGAATGTTGTACCATCTAAGCGAACAAGCACCAAGCAGCGAATGAAAGACAATGTGGAACTTTTGTTAGGGACGCGATTTTTTCCTTAGGGGCGCGATTTTTTGACGGCACAAGGGCACAAGGAAGCAGATTTACATCCGGATCTGCGCGCCGCTTTTTGAAGCCCAATTGATACATGTTACCAAGTCAAAATTCAACCTCCAACATGACTTCAAATCACCTGGATTTGCTAGGGTGAGATACTGAATGACTAATGTACCAGAATCTGCAGAAAAAACGAATTTTGAAGAAGTTGTCACTAACAACTTTGGCTGTCTCAAACACAGGCCAAGAATCGCAAAATCACGTAATATTTGGTTCCGGCGCGCAAGTTCTAGTTCCCCTCCCTCTCATGCCTCAATATTTGCTTCCGAAAAAGATCGCGTCCCCAAGAAAAAGATCGCGTCCCTAACAGAAGTTCAATGTGGCAGATAAAGCGCAAATCGGAACTTTGTGATCGTTTATCAGCTGAGAAACAACGTTGGTTCCGAAACGAAACGTCTGCACGACCGGAACTGGCGACCTCGAGATCTCACCGCAACCGGTCCGTCGGAAGCAAAGTTTTGATGATCCAGCCAGCCTCCCTCGCGTGCGCGCGACAGGTTCGGGACCTGGATCGGCAGCCGCGCAGCCGCCACGGTCAACGACGACGACGCGATCAATCAGAAAGAGATCGCGGGCCACGTGGTGGGCCCGACGTGTCTCACCCCCGCCCTGCCCTTCTCTTCTTCTTTCCTGGCGCGAGGGGGGGATACCAAACTTTGCTTGCGCGCGCACTCTTTCCTCATCTTTGGGTCCCCTGGATCCGTCCCAGTTCAATTCGCGACGCTCTCGGTGAGACGTTTTCTTCTCGGTTCAAACCAGCAGTCAACAGCTCCTATCTACCTCTCGAATTATCCAGCTCTTGACGGGTCAGATCTCTTTATTCGAGTCGAACTACACCGCTGTTCAACAGAATAGGTAGGTTTGACTGACCGTCTCTTTCCTGCAAACTACGTCGAACTGAAAATCAGCCTATCTCGTCCTCTTTTGTCTTCCACTACGATCCGGACCACCCAACCCCCCTCGCCGATGTCAGAACTCCTAGCCAAGATGTCGAAACAGTCCTTCCTCATGGCCCTTGTCCTGGTCGGGATGGCCACCCTCATGGTCCAGAACCACTTCCACTCCCGCCAACTCGCCGTCGTCACCGAGGTCGGCTTGCAGTCAGCCCAAGCACGAGACTTGCAGTCGCAGTCCCAGCTCTCGGTTACGGCCCCGACGAAACCGCGAACCAAGCGTAAACTGCAGATCATCAAGGCCGGTGGGATCCCCAAGGAGGGACTTGGATCGAGTCTCGGTTTCATCACCGCCACGGCCAACATTGCCAACCTGCTCGATGCCGAGCTAATCATCACCCAGACGGCCGAGATGATGGGTTACCGAGTGAGCGACATCCTCAACAAGGGGTTGTCGCTCGAGGGGAACGGAAGGGTCTGTGATATCATGGAAATCCTGTTGGAGGACCCTGGTACCGGAACCTTCCAGGGCCGAATGGACCGTGCCCAGGGCATCCTGGACAAGACGTACGAGCGGGCCATCAAAAAGTGCACGACCGTCCCTACCGAGATCCTCTTGAGCGACTACGCCATGAGGGAGATCAACCGATGCGACACCATCATCATCAACGACTTTCGAACCATTTCCCGAGGCTGGACCAAGTGTTCCATGGCTTGGTGGAAAGGCGCTATCGACCAGTACAGCCCGCCCGCCGAGGGCAACGACGTCGCCATTCACTTCCGATGGGGTGACATGTACCACAAGGCGTTGACGGAGAAGAAGTGGATGATGGAGATGGACAAGGTCGCCAAGGTCGTCGAGATCATCCGGGCGGAAAAGCCCAATGTGGTCGTCAACGTCTTCATGAAAAAGTCCAAGGAGAATGAGAGCGAGAACAGGATGAGGGAGATCCTTTCGCCTCTCAAGGCCCCGTTCAACATTATCGAGGCCGAGACGGACGTCGAGGAACTCTCGATGATGGCCAAGGCCGAGTACCTGATTATCAACTCTGGATCCTACTCGACCGGTGCTGCAGCGACCGGTGCGGCAAGGGTCGTCGTCTTCAACGGAGGTGGTGCTCACCACACCCTTGGAGCCATGAACTTGACCAACCTGTTCAACTACCAAGAGCTCGACGAGGGCAAGTTGAGGGCCGCCGTCAAGGGCAACTAGAGCGGCGGCCAAGTTGTAGGCGAATCGAAGCTGAGGTTAGGGCCCGAGGGAGAGTAGAACAGGAATGTGGGAAGGGAGCAGGAATGTTCGGATGTCACGGATGTATTTGTCCCAATTTTGTCATGCGGGCTTTGAGGATCATGCAATAGATTATATAGAACGTTTGATTGCTATACATATCGTTTCGAAGGATCAACAAGAGGCATGGGATAGGGGCTTCTACTGAACGGTCGCGGTAGACGTTGGGCGATCTCGTGAGGCCGCACTTTCGGCATTCTCAGCGGGATGCGCAAATGATCCGGGCTAAGACGGGACTAAGAACTGGCAAAATTCGGACTCATCGTCGGATGAATCAGAATCGTCTTCGTCGCCAGACTCATGGGTCGTATTGATCACCCTCCAAGGTCCACCGCCATATTCGAGCGGCTCTGCGAGTATGGCTCTCCAATCGCCAAATCGCCCGAGGTTCTCTCGAAACTCTCTGTTGCGAAGATCGGCTACCTTTTGAGCTTCGCCTTGCGTCCTGTAAGGACCGTTGGGCTCCGGTGGGGCAAGGCAGAGAACCGATTTAGATGGCCTTCTCCTGATTGCCGGTTCAGGAGGTCTAGCCAGGTGGCTCAGGTATTTGCCAGGCACTCGAATTCTGAGTTTCACACCTCTTTTCCGCTCGAGGGCTGAATGTTTGGTTTGTATCTGTGGTGAGTCCGGAGATTCGGAGCTGCTCGAGCTGCTCGTACTGATGCATAGAAGCACGACTATCTGTAAGCTGATGATACAGGATCGGAACAAAGGAAACGACTGGTTGATATTCACTGATACCGGAAGCTGACCAAAGGCATCAGTGAGACAAAGGAAGTTGGGTCGTCTCGCCGTACGACAAGTTGTCCTTACCGGTCAAGCACACTCCAGGTACTGTGTGGCTACAACCACACAGAGGGGGGATAGGCAGGTCACGGATTGGTAAGATATTGTTCTATATTCATACGCTATGGGGTACAGCAACTCGATTTCATCCTTGGTTCTATATCAAACTTCTCTTGATGAACCTGTGATTGCCCTACGAACGTAACCGGACTGCGGGCATATCCGGGCAGGGGTAGCGTTCTGTTGACGATTAATTTCACCATTCATCTCCGGGTTCTGCCCTCGAGTAATCAGGAATGGTGAGCTCCATCGCCTCGTTAAAAGAATTCGGTACCCCAGCCTCGTCTCCGGACGTGAGTTCTGAGTCCGCAGTCTCTACAGGCTTGTGGTCTCCTGTCATGCTGACAACCGCCATGAGGCTCGCATCAACCGGGGTCGTCCGAGCATCACCAGTGAGAACGGACGATCCTCCCGTCTTCAGGGATTCGTCCTCCGACCCAACTGCGTCATCGACTGTCACGTCGTTGTCGAGCGGATCAGAGGGTGGAAGCTCTATGATCTGGTAGCGTCTACCGCCACCTGGGTCGTTCTTGTGCATGACGTCCCATCTTCTTCTCTTGTCTCTCGGTTTTTGGGTACTCGCATCCTGCTTACGCGCTGTTCCGTCCCATCACCAGACGTGACACGCTGTCGTTTAGGCGATGAAGCTGGCACATCAGATGTTTGCATTTCCGAATGCATATCGCCACACTGGCCCAAGACGCCCCTTGAGCGTTTTCTGTTTTGTCTTTGTCTGGTCATTGAGGGCTTTCGTATTTTGTTTGGCGTGCCAGGTAACAAGGCAAATCAGGCTTCAAGGTGGAAAAGTCTGTAGTGAGACGATCGGTATTTATCCTCATTAGCCATACTCGGACACAAAGGAAGACATCGATCAGCTCTAAGCATGTCGACGAGCGCGGAATCTTTAATATCAAAAGGGGGTCACCACCCTCCCCCTTCTGCACCGGTTCCGATATCGCCATCGCTTCAAAGTGATGACCCTTACCGCTTCTGTCCGCCTGATACTTGCCAGCACTACTTCGCATTCCTTTGATTTAGCTTCTTCTCCTCATCTCGCCGTTGGGTCATCTCCTGGTAAGGGGCGTAGACAGCAGTGCAGATTCAAACTGTGTTGATGAATTTGTGTGCGAGTATCCGCTTCATCATGCGACCATCAAAGAGGATCGTGCTGGCCCTGGACTGATTTGTTCCGCGAAACATCCTCATCGGCCTGTCAGGGCACTGTAGGTACGTCTACTCAAACATGTGAATGTTATCGATCATATAGAGCTCCGAGCAAATATGATCATGCACACCGAACCATCATCGTTATCGCCCACGCAAACGAGGCTTTTGATATCCTACAAGCGCTCGGTTACAGACTCTCGTTTCGTGACATATTTGCTTCCGCAACCGGGGAGGGAGGCTCGCTCGTCATCGGTTCACAACGCCGGGACACAGACACAGAGATAGCGAGAACACACTCTCACATGTCATATCGACCTACATCCACATCCATCCATATCCTCAACCTTCTACTCCTCCCCTACTCAGAACCCGGACTCCTAGCTCATAATCAGAAATACCACGAGACTCATTCCCGCCTATCATAATGTCGGAAGGAAAGAAGATCACCTACGCCGACTTGGCAGAGCTCTTGAAAGATGACAACAAGGTCAAGGTCGGAGGCAAGTCCAGTTTTCGTTATCGCAAGGCTTGATTCACTGTACTCACCGTCGTGTCGTTATGCTTCATGTTTCCAGGTGTGGATGTCGACGGCGTGATTCGAGGGAAATACGTGTCCAAGAAGAAGTTTATGAGCTCGGCCAAACCCGATGCCGACTTTGGATTCTGCTCGGTCGTCTTGTGAGCGAGATCATCGGCACGCGAACCTCCTCATCGAGTTGATACTCATTGAATAACCTGAATGCCTGATATACCTAGCGGCTGGGATATTCACGACACTCCCTACTTTAAAGAACTCTCCATCTCGAATCGGGCCAACGGGTACCAAGACATCGTCGCCAAGATCGACCTTTCCACATACCGTCGTCTTCCCTGGGAGAACAACGTGCCCTTCTTCCTGATATCATTCTCTCATCCCGAGGATGGAAAGCCGCTTATCGCATGTGCGAGGAGTATCCTGAACGAGGTGGTCGGGCGGTTCGAGAAGGGGGAGCAGAAGCTGGAATGTCTTGCCGGGGCAGAGTTTGAGGTGAGCAGCGTCTCGCTCGAACCCGCTGATCGATATCAGGAGGCTAATGCACCGGTATACTCGTCTTCATTGTAGTACTTCCAATTCTCCGAGACTGCTCACTCGGTAGTCGAGAAGGGGCATGTCAACCTGAACGCACTGACTCCCGGTAGTAAGTCGATCTGTTCGAGCGCAATCCCGGTTTAACTCAGTTGTTGACCATCGCCTGCTCTCTCGCAGTGCACGGGTACTCGATGTTGCGGACGACCATGAACAAGGACTATTTCCTCGAGCTGTTCGACGCCTCTGAAGCCTTCGGTGTCGAGATCGAAGGTCACCGTGAGTGCAATCCGCGTCATCATGTGATGCGCCCGACTTACCCCTACTCCTACCTAATGCTCGTAGACACCGAAACTGGACCAGGAGTGTATGAAACCGCTTTGGCCTATACCGAAGCGAGGAGGATGGCCGATAACGCGGTGCTGTTCAAATTGCTCGCCAAGAGTGTGGGAATTAAGTACGGAATCATGCCGACTTTTATGGCAAAACCTTGGGCGGATGTGAGTATGCTCTCCTTCTTGGCCATCTCCACTGCGTCATACTGATCGTCAAACCCTCGACACTTCTTGATCAGCTGCCGGGATGCTCTGGCCACATTCACGTATCCCTTAAGGACCCCAAGACGGGCAAGAACGTCTTTGCCATCACCGAGGAAGAGGCCAAGGCGGGCGGGCGGAAAGATGCGCTGTTTGAAGATACCAAGTACCTCTCCCAGATCGGAGAGTGGTTCTTGGCCGGGATCATGACCGGTCTGCCTGACAGTAAGCGGCTTTACGATCACAACTCGGCCTACTTGGGTAGCTGAATGTATTGTGCATTCTGCTCAGTCATGCCCCTACTTTGCCCTACGATCAACTCGTACAAGCGACTCGTTGGAGGAGAGGCCTTCTATGCACCCAACCTATGTTCTTATGGGTACGACTCTCGAGTGGCTTCGGTCCGAATCTTGGCTCCTCCAGGTGCTCCCAGTTACGCGACGAGGTTCGAAGTCCGAGTACCTGGTGCGGACATGAACGCCCCTCTGGCCTTTGCTGCCATCTTTGCTCTGGGCCACTACGGAATTCAAAACAAGCTCAAACTGCCATATGGTCCGATCGGGGCACCGGGAGTGACCAGGGAGAACTTGCCCAAGTTGCCTACTTCCCTCGAGACCGCAACTGAGAGGTTCATGGCAAAGGACAGCATCGCCAGAAAGGTATTCAGCGATGGCACGGTCGATCATATTGGAGGAACCAGGCTCCACGAGGTCGACGTTTTCAAGCAGACCGTAACGGATTGGGAGATGAAGCGGTACATGGAGCTGATCTAAGCGGAGTAACGGGCGGGACTCTGTTGCATGTATATCCTCTAATCGCATACAATGCCTCAAGCCTTAACAGGGTCGACGATGCGTCCATCCTTGATCACAGATCCTGGCCTCGTCAGGACTTCGGCGCCAGTCTCGGTGATTCTAGAACAACAACACATGCATTTAGCTCAGAGGAACGGTTTGCTATAATGTCAAGCTCGGACCTTACAGGATGGTCTCTTCAAATTGAGCACTCTTCTTGCCGTCTTTTGTCACGGCAGTCCAGTTGCTGTAGACGGTACTTGCATCAGACGACGCGGTATGTCAGAATCGTCTCGCCTGACTCACTCTCTCCAGTGGTCAAGGGATGCGACACCACCGTTGATCATGGGCTCGATGGTGAAGATCTGACCAGCCTCCATCTTACCCGGGGTCTTTGATCCTCCATAATGCACTGGGTAAGGTGCGCAGTGAAACTTCGCAGGGAAGACACAAGAATATCAGCTACATGCCTTTTTCAAGCTCGTCCTCGAGGCTTACGAGCTGGTTGATGCCGTGAGCGGTATATTGTCGGACGATACCATAGCCCTTGGGCTTGACGATCGATTCGATCTTGTTTCCAATATCCCTGTACAGCACACCGGGCTTGCACATGGCAATTGCGCTCTCGGTAGCCTCTTTTGTGGTGGCAATAAGGGTCGCATCTTCCTCGCTCACCTGCCCGACTGGGTAGGTTGCGTTCACGTCTCCATGGAAACCTGCAAGTTGTGATCGAGTTTAGTTGACTGAACCTTCTGTCTCTTCTCATTTTGACGATTGTGCTTACCTCCGTGATCTACAGTCAGACGTTCGAATACAGACAAGCGATAAGTTTAGGGACGGAGTCCACGGCGAACGGTCGTAACTCACAAAGCGATACGTCCAGATTTACGATGTCTCCTTCGACTATTGGTTGATCATAAGAATCCGATCAGCGGGACTGAGTACAATCGGACAGGACGCAGAGACGTACCTAGAGGCCTTTGGTCAGGGATACCCTATATTGAAGAGAAACAGATGTGAGCGCCTTGAGTGACGAATAGTAAAACGGCAGGCACTTACGTGGCAGATCACTTCATTTACTGAGCTGTGAGGCAAGTCGGATCAGCAAAGCCTATCTAGGATGTTTAGCCGGGAAGCTTACATGCAGACACTCTTGGGGAAACATCGGTAGTTCAATGGGCTCGGATAACTATCCCTTTTGATGCACTCTTCATGGCAGATGGCATCCAACTCGTCACTCGTCACACCAGGTCGAATATGAGCGGCTATGGCATCCAGAACTTCCCTAGTGAGCTATGGATCACACATCGAGGTCAGAGTTGCAGCCAAAGGGTAGCTGTACAAACGCAGAAGGAGATGTTTATGCTTACTCGGCAGACTTTTCGCATGGCCTCGATTTCGGTGCTATTCAAGACCCTGTTTCGGTGAGCGCCTCGGGCTTCGCTTATACACTCTCCTTGAGCTGCAAGATCAAGCGGAGCCGTTTCAATAATGGGTTCGAATGTTCTGGACTTGACAATAAACCTCACGGTGATCAGCATAGTCCGGTCGAACGATGTGAGGCGGTACCACGCGCGTAGCGCTCAGAGGGTACTTTGGTCGTGTAGGCCCCGTCCACTTGAATCCCGACATAGAGGTTGGTATTCCCTTGGCTGCAGGTGAAATTCGAGATTAGCTAGCTGCCAGGTGTTACCAAGCAAGAATAAGGAACAGACTGACCATCCACTCCTGAGCTGACGGCTGAAGCATTGGCAGCGGCCAGCGACTGCATAAAAGCGTGCACTTGCTTATGGGTGCCCTGTAGGTGTTACGATGTGATATACCCTTGAGCGTGATATCTCGAGCAAGGATTCCAATGTTTACGACGTACCCCTAATCAAGAGGGAGATGATTAGTCTGATGCCGCCCGCACGAAGAACGAGCTCCAAGTCATGCTCACAGTTCTTCTTGAAGCACTCCTGCTCGCAGAAGAAGGACCCAGGAATTCCGAGTCTGGTGAAAAAGGCGGCATGTCCATGAGCAAGGCGATAGAGAAGCCTTTAAAGGTCGGATGATCCATAAGCGATCCACCTACTTTTTACAAGTCGGGCATTCCAGCCGTGAAGCCTCCTTGTCTTTACAACCGATGCACTTGGTCATCTTGAGCCTCTATGTCTGGTGAAAGTACGTCGTCAAGGTGTGTCTAAATCGCCAGGCTATTGTCTTAGCTTGTCCATCGACTTTCACTGGTAGCTGATTGCGATTGACGATGATTTTGGGCAACTTCAGGCCGCATTTTCGAGGACGCCCGATCGGAAGCTTTCCGAAATGCCGGCATAGATTAGTCGGAAGTAATTATGGGCGGGTTGGACATGCATTCAGAAAGGCTTCGAGTCAGATTATCCAAGGAACATGATCATCTGTACACATGTATATCTCGGTCTACCAGCTACCAGCTACCAGCTACCAGCTACCAGCGACTACCAGCGGCTACCAGCCCCAGCAGGTTTGAATCGCTGTCTATGGCTCACGACCATCACCTCGTCGCACAGCCCCCGTTTACCTCGTCGCAGATCGCTCGTATATCTGATCCCGTTCACTACTATGGCCCTTCGCCGGTAGATTTCGAGCTGCGTATCTGTGCAAGACCCTTCTCCAAGTTCAGAAGTTCTTCCTTCGAACATATGAGACTGTACACCTGTAGACTCTTAGAAGGAAGCGCGATATAATATACACGTACGACAGCTTTGGCTGAGCCACTCATGGCGAGCCGGAGTGTTTCAGTTCGCAATGACGGAACCGACGGGGAAACAGATCCTCCTCCGATGGAAGCTTCGGCGAGCAGTACTGAATCACCTGAGCACAACACCGTCCTCGATGAGGATGAAGCACCGCATACGAAAGAGTCAGAGAATCGGAGAAGAACCTCGGATCTAGAGAAGAGAAGTCTAGAGCAAGAAGATGCGGACGATGTGTACAATCCGCTGGACAAACATCTTCCGCTGTTACTCCGCCCAGTGAAAGGGCGACACCCTGGAGGTGGCCAAGCGGGATGGATGCCGGACATGAACATGGCGTCAAGGTGGATGGGGATATTCTACGATGCAAGTCATCGAGAAGTTGTCTGTCTCCGCGATTTGAGAGACTCGGGCTGACTTTTATTGTCTCAAACCCTTGCCAGCTTGCGTTTGTAGCCACCCTGACGGCGTTCACCGAGATCCATTCGATCGGCGATTGGAAGACACTCCTAGACTTCTTTGGCTTCTTCGTCTTGCTCTGGTGGAGCTGGTTCGGGCAGGTCAACTATGACATCCACTTCGAGACTGAAGATCTCGTACACCGCTTTTTCAAGCTGGTGCAGATTTGCGGGCTAGGGTATCTTGCGGGAGCGACCGGAGGGTGGGATCTCGCCAAGGTGAGTGGTCTATCCTTCCGCAGGAAGACGAGGCGAATATTGAGGAACAGCGAATTTCAGATACGGCAAGATAAGGACGTGTTTGCAGATGACGCCGGAGATCGATACCAAGCGCATACCAGTTTTGTCACGGTAGCTTCCGCTTATGCCGGTTTGCGTGCGATTCTCATCGTACAATACATCATGGGTATGTGTAGATGATCGAGCATACTTTCCCACGACGAGCTGGCGGACGCTGATCAGCTCGGCTCGATGAAACAGTTTATTGCCTAGCCAGGAGACGCCACCAACCATACCTCAAGCGTACTTTTTTAACGCCGGTCCTCTATAACGCCGCCTCCTGCGTAGCGGTCATCCTTGCGGCAGCCCTCAACTCGCACTCGGACACGCTCGTGGCTGCCAAGATTGCCTGTCTATTCCTGTCCGTGGTGTTCGAGGCGGTCGGTATCCTGATCGCCGCCATCCAGGCTCGAGGCCTGTGAGTAACGGATCATGACCTCTATTTGAATCGAAGCCCAAACCGTTGTTACTTTGAACCCACAGGCAAGCGCAGAGCGCGCGATTGGCAGATAGGCTTGGGAATCTTACCCTAATCGTACTGTACGTGCAGCTGTCCGCCCTGAATGTCAGGCTGAGCTGACGGAAACGCCTGAAACAGGGGAGAAGGCTTCCTTGGAGTCGTACGTATTACTTGCGATTTTGGTCCAAGCTTGCTAATCCGATTTCCATCTCACCAGTTCAAAGGGTTCAACAGGGCCATCCTAGGATTCAGTAAAGACAACATCGACGTTTACATGTAAGCATGTTCGGCAAGCGTACGTGTTGATGTGCCGAGACTGACGTAGGCAGAATTTGCCAGTTCGGTTTTCTGTTGCATCGTGATCCTGTGCTGTCTCTACGACTTCTGCTTCACCGGGTTTCAGACGGAACTCCGCATGAGCAAAAGACGGCTGGCGGCTTGGGCTATCCTGCATTTCCCCTTGCACTTCAGTCTCTTTGCATTCCTTTCTGGCTTGACGGTTCGTCTTTCAAGCCATCATTGCATTCAGGCGGGCACTAATTAAAGATACCTGACAGAACGCTACAGTAGCTTCGGCGTTTATCGAGGGAGCCCTATATAGTCAAGCTAGTTTTCTGGTTCCTGCATCGGCAGCAATTGCGGGAAACTCCAGCCTCTTCCAGGACCTTATATCGGACCGAAACCTCATCTTGCAATTGTCGAGTCTCCAGCTCGTGCCACCGTATGCAGAAGAGTTGAGCATTCTGGACAACAGCACCGGACTGAATCTGGGTAAGTGATTGAGTCCTGGCTCGGCGGAGACCGACTAACCGATTTATTCGTCTCGACATGTGCAGGCGTACAGGTACGGCCACGGACGGAACGCGAGCCTAGCAAATCGCTAACAAAGTGTTCCGTCTATGCGCAAACCTCACTGTACAACAGGTGGCTAAATATGCTTCGCAAATTCTTGACAAGTCTGCGGATGTAAGTTTCCGGAGTACGGGATTGATGGAATGATCAGGCACTTATTCTAGCCTCCAGATATATATTCCGGGCGACAACAGCCAGGCGTTTGCGGACATCTACGCCCAGCTTCAGCTCATAAACACCACCGCAACTGACAATGAGACCCTGTCAGACCAGCGAGCCACGTTGGCGAACGAGCTGTACTTCAGGCTGTGGACCACTGTGGTAACACAGCAATACGACGGCATTGGCTGGTGAGCAGGCGAAGATTCAGTTTCATGCCCCTTCCAACGGCTGATCGCGATGTACTTCTTAACGACAGGATTTTCCCTTCAGCGGTAAATATCGTTGCAGAATCTACGTGCCAAAATCCAGATCTTGATTCTTTGCTCTGTAGGGGTTGGCCTTAATGCTGATATCAGTCAGGAATATAACGCATTGTCATTGGCGTCCCGGTGAGCAGGAATCCATCCCGCTTGGCAGCCTCTCTTGACTGAAGTATGACCTCGTGAGGTTAGGGACAACCCTGAAGCTGCTCGAGTACTCGCAACTCGCTGTGGGATTTGCTCTGGGCCTACTGGGTCTACTCAATATCGGAAAGAGCACCGTGGACTTCTCAGACAATGTCGACGGCAATTTCGATCGCGTCTCGCCTATCTACGTGTTGATCTCGTACGACTGGTTGATTCCCACTGTGGCTATCGTCTACTTTTTGCTCCTGGTCGCGCACAAGGTTCGACATAGCCGAGTGCAGGTGGCGGTGCGAAGATTTCGGCTGATCATCTGTCCCGGTTCACAGGTCATATTGGGACTACATAAGAGACGGGTGCAGAGAAGGGCCGGATAGACCGTTCCTCAAGGCTGACCTTCGGGGGCTGGGGGGCTCGCGGACATGAAACGTCAGCGGTCCATGCGGAAGCGCGTTCAAGGACCGTCTGAAATAGCTACATTTTGGAGGTTCGACACACGTTGGTAGACCACTCCGTGATTAGATCGACTTTTGGCAGTAGGCGAGGGTTAGATACAAACTGAAGCCTACGATTTAATCAGTCAAGACCGCCGTCACACCCGCCGTGCTCATTCTGTATGCAGCTATCTATCATGTTGTCCGATGTATCGATCACGAGATGTGAGATGTGACATGCCGCTCGAAATCCTGGAAAGGTAGACAGACAGACAACGTTATTTAGGTCAGATTCCACTGGCCAGATCGAGATGAGTCACAACGCAAACGTACCTCCGCCGTTGCCCACAAAGAGAGGCACTGTGTCTGGTCCCCGAGTCTCCATTTGCAATGATAAGCCTGACCGGGTGGCCCGGTGACCATCGCGTTTGGGCGCGATGAAGGCGCGGCCTGGGATACATTCTTTGCCTTTTTTCTGACAGGCTTGAGAACGTTGACAGGTGTTCCCATCGCTTGAGTTGTTGCGGTCGCGGCCGGACGTTCTACCGCCTCGGCATTTTTTGAGATCTCGACCAAACACCGCTGTCGCCAAGCCTCCATACCAATCTCGGCTGAAAGAATCCTTTCCATTTCAGACAAGAACCGGCCTGTTCCTATCATGGCGAACGCTCTGGTGCCAAAATCGTGGTTAAGCAACGCCGTCACCAGCCGGCTAACGATCTTCAGGTTGAGTCCGATAGCTTTGTCCAGGCTCGTCTCCAAGTTTTTGACCTGTCCGGACGTAACGAGGCCAGATGAGGAAGGTGCGGGACCGAAGCTCACACCTAGGAATCCGGTTTGATCCCCTGGGTAACAGTCCTGACGAGCGGAGAGAGTCTCCCAAAAGTCGGCAGGCTTATACCTTTCGAGGGAGAGTGCCGCTTCTCGTCTCAATCTTGTTTCATCCTCTTTGCGCTTCTGCTGGATGGCTTTAGAAGTGATCTCGCCTGAGGACTGGCTCTTGTTTGGATTGGATACACCATCACGCCTAAGCGCTGCTTGTGATTTGTTTGACGCGTTGATCACCAATTCATCGAGATACCGGCCCTTAGGATCATCCTCGAAACGAGGAATGAGACAAGCAAGCTTTCTTGAGGTTGTGTCGTATCGGTTTGGGTAAAGAGGACTCGACTCGGAATCCTCGAAGGGTGGTCCGTAAGACCATATCAAGTGCGCGGCTCCAGGTACCTTGGAAGGTCCCATTTGGTTTTTGGCTTCTGCCGGATCGATGCCTGGAAGCCAACAGTTGAGGTGGGTGGCATCGGCCATGTCCCCAGTTTCTCGTTCCTGTTCCGCTTTGATGTTCAAAACAACCTTTTCGAACACGGATCTCCACCATTTGCATAGACCAAGACCGGTAAGAACCTTCTTAGCACCTCCTTCACTCGAATTTGCGAAGAGGTACTGCTTCTGGGCTCGAGCGAACAATCGGCAATACACACGAGGTGTAGGTCGAGTCCGGGCGGCGCATTGATATGTCAGGAAGGAAGTCACCAAGAGATTGGTCAGGGCTGGAGATTTGAATTTGGATGGTAGTATGGGATACCCGGATGAATCCACCTTGGAGATGTAGATGACGGTCGAGAGCGTCGCCGGAATGGTAAACACATAGACTTCCAGGGCCGAGACCATCAGAGGCGAAGTATTATCGTTTTCCGAAACTTGTCCAGCGACCGTGATGAGTATTCGGCTTTCCCAAACTTTGTAATGATCGTAAGAGTAAGGGAATAGTGTGGCGGTATTCGAAGTTTTCTTGGGCTGCGATTGCACCACATCGATACGCAGGTCGAAAGGCAAAGCAGTGGAGGCGAACGATTTCTCCAGGAATTGTAAGAGACTTGGTGGCTGCGTTATTGCTACTTCAGCTAAACTCGCGCCACGGTTGTCGACAGCGGTACTCGGTTCGGCTCCAGACGCGGCTACTGGGTTTTGTGACTGGCTAGCCGCAGGTTCCGAAAGCATGGCAGGCGCTTCACGAGGGATGGTGTCAGGCATGTCGGACCGGGAAGTCTGGATCGCGGATGCACCAGGACCGGTAAGGATGACATCAGCCGTGTCCTTGTCACTTGTTTGAGGCAGAGTATATCCCTTGGTAACGAGGTCGTCGATCGTAGGATATTCTTCGAGATCATCCTCATCGATACCGGACTCGCTATCCGATTCATCTGACGGAGCGCAAATGTCTAACTGTCTTTCGAGTCGCGAGACTTCCTTGTTGGCCTGCTTTAACGCTTGTTGCGCGTCTGCGGCCTTCCGGCGCTCCTTCAAAACTGCTTCAGCGAGCTTGTAATGTTCGTACTGCAGTTTCGGATATTGCGCAGCTCGGTGTCGGATCGCATCACCCGTCGACCGGTTTTGCTCGAGCAGGAAAGCGAGTTTGTTTTTGAGTTGCTTGTTCTCGCGGTCCACGCGATCAACTTCGGCTTGCGCGTGAAGTTTCTGTTGTTTGAGTCCCAAATCTAACTGGCTCTTCAAGACTGATAGCCTATCCTCCAATGCAGAGTTGTCTCTTGTCAGCTCTACGGCCCGATCCCTCGCCTCGCCGTATAGGTTGCGGTGGAGCTCTAGATCTTCGCTGGAAGAAGCGAGGGAAGCACGAAGACTCTCGATGGTCTGATCCGACGCCGCAGCCTGCTCGTTCAGGTTGCTGACTGTTGTTTCGAGGGCTTTGATTCTTGTAGCTTGTTCGCTCGACAGCTTTGTCAGCCTCTGCAACTCTTGTCTCGCTGTTTCGTCAAGACCAGTAGCCACTGGTGCATGTGGTATCGCATCGGGCGGGGTCTTCTGCATAGGAGGTCGTATCGATGCATTGCGATCGATCGGAATGTCTGCGAAGTTGAAGGAGACGATGTAAGTAAGAGGAAGTTCATGATAGAGGTGTAACTTCAAGGCATCACCTGCATTGCTCGCTGGATTCATAGGAGGATTTGACCTATCCGGCGGTTTAGTAGAGGTCAAATGTCCGTTTGCCTTGGGCTGACCAGTCCCGGTCTCATTGGACTGATTCAATAGAAATGATCAGCCGTCTAGTTCTATAAGGACCAACCAGCTTATCGACATACACCACATGAGGGCTCCTCAGACGTGGCAGTGACCTGAAGCTCAGTAGTATTGCGGTTCGAATTATCCTGGAACACGTCTTCCGGCAGGATCGAATCGCTCATGTCGTTACTAGCCAAACCAGATTGAGAAATTGGCGCCTGCGCCCGCTTACGGACAGGGGCGGGACTCTTGTTTGGGCTCGAAAATTGGTCGATCGTCTCCTGTGTGAGCGTCGGATCATGCGCAACTGTAGGAGGGTCCGTTTTTCCGAGTACAGACGGCCTGATGAGTGCCAGCGGCTGGAACGCAGGTCGCTCTGGAGAAGATCTCTGTACCATCCAGGCAGCCTGTAGTGTAGCAGCTATATCAACACGTGCGCGAGGTGGTCGTAACGGTTCGATATGGTTCGATGGGCCCGCATGATTGTTGTTTGTTGCGCTGGTTGGTCGATTAATTTCATTTGCTGAGCTGATTACAGCCGACATCTGACCTTGAGATGACTCGGAATCGTCTTCGTAACCATGATCTGCCATCATGGCGACAGCGGCCTGGAAAAGCTCGGTCTGCGATGCAGAGAGATCCGCGTCCAGTGACGCGTCCGCAGCTTCCGATGTTGGCATCGATTCTCTATCAGCAACTGCCGCAAGGTCGATAGCAGATTCAGTCAAGGGCTGATCCTCATTTCGAGACCCGTCAAGAGCGATCATATCGTCTGCAGGCTCGAATGCAGATCCCTCAGCCTGAGTCTGAAGCTCTTCAGGATCAGGTGTGGCCTTGACATGAGTATCGGCAGGAGCATCGATGTCATCTTCTGGAGGAGTAGGCGTGATATCGCTGAGAGTTCGGAGAGAATCGTCCCGCGGACTTGAAGGCACTGCTTGAGAACCGATCGCCTGCCCCAGTTCAGGCTGTACGTTCTCAAGAGGAGAAGCCGAGAACTCTTGGCTTGGCTGAGATGATTGAACAGTCGAGAGAGTTCCAGGTACGACCGATTCGTCGGATTCTTGTGTCTCGGCAAACGCAACACGCTTCCCCTTGTTTGCAGGGGTTGTAGCGACTCTAAGAGCGCTTTGTTGTCCTCCTGCGCCTGTTCTGTCCTCAATATCTCCTGCCGGAAGGTTCTGCGTTGCCTTCGGTCTCGCGTCAACAACCAGGTCGGCTTCATCCGATAGCTCAGCGTCCTGTATTGTTCTTGGTCCGATCTCGACAATGACCCTGTCATTGTCCTCAGAAAGCTCAGAGTCACTGCTTCCACCCAGATCCTCTGCGTTCTCGACCGGATCAGTCGGATCTTCTCCCGTTGCCTCTTCGAACTCCACGCCATCACTCCCCGTCGCGAAAGCGTCGCCGAAGATTTGATCAGCGAGGCTAGGTACAGGGGCTCGTGGACGAACAGCCGAACTTCCGTACACCCTGACCTGACCTCGCGCAGAATCCCTATGCCGACTCCCACCCAAGGGGCGGACAGGCTCTTTGCCCTTTCCGTTTGTAGGTTTGCTCACGACATCATCGTCGGTATCGTCGCCGGAGGTCAAGCTCTCAACATCGTCTTCTATCCGGGGGGTCTGAGCTTTTTTCCCCGTCGAGATCGCATCACGTTTCGATAAATTCCTTGTAGATCGCTTAGACTTGACAGGCGATTGAGACGGAGTGTCGCTCAACACTGCTGTAGCGTGTGATGCTTCGCTCTCAGCCTGCCCCTTGCTAATGGTTCCTCGTTTGCTTCTGGTAACTTTCTCGGGAGATGAAACTGTGCGTACCAATCAGATTTACAGTCGACAGCAATCGTAGCAAGCATATACTCAATCGAATACTCACGTGCGGACTCGCTGATTGGACCTGCAGACCATGCCGTCTCCACACTTTTCAGCTCTCTCTTCCTTCTTCGAGGGGTGACGACATCTGTCAATACATCGTCGGCTGTCTCGCTCCGTTTCCTCTTTTCTCCCCTTGACGAGGCTACAGATCCGGCTCGAGAACTCGCCCGACCGCTCCTTCGGGCCGAAGCAGAAGCTCTGGCCTGTCTCTTGCTTTCGGCTTCTTGCTTCTTCCTTTCAGCCTCTGCCGCTTGCCACCGACCGAAGATACCAGGATCTCTCAGCTTGGTGGCCTTCCATTCCCTGATGAGCTCGTTGGTACAGTCGCCCTTTTTCTGCCAAGTCGGGTCCCATGGCTTGCCGTTCTCGTCCCGTCCTGCCCAATCGACTAGATACTGTCCCACGGGCTTCCCTCGGATGGTTCGTGTCCTTTCATCCAAGATCGCTTTGGCTTCATACAAGAGCTCAGCGTCGTCAGAACCCCCCTCGAATTGGGTCGCGGGCTGAGTCTCGCCTTCGGATTGCGAATCCATGGTGGACAAGATGCGTGTAGGTAGCGGTCTCGCAACTCCACGATTTTCTAGCTTCCGATTCAAAGCATAGTCATCGCACCAGCCCGCACTTCCAAGATTCTGATGCAGACTAATTTCAAGTTGTTGCAATGTGAGGGATGGAATGTTCGTCGTGATGTAGAGGTATGTGCGGGATGCATCAAGCTTGACATGAATGCATGAACGGATTCCGTCAGTTTGTCGCGTCGCGCGTTCGAGATGGATTCGTCAATTAGGAAATTAGACTAATCAGAGCGAGCGGTTAGCTAATAGCTAATAGCTATTAGGGTTACTTCTAGCTTTTCAGGTCCTCGATAGATCAATAGTCATTATAAGCTTCGCAATCGTGCATCGCTTTCAGAGTCGTTCCGCTATCACTTTGCAAAGCGAAATATGTCCCGCGTACATTGTTACATCGGTAAGCTGATCCCATGTACACTGAATAGGCTGAAAATCTAGACGACGAGAGGTAGACCCTTCTCTAGAGTGTCGACGTCAAACTTCTGGTCTTGCGCGACATTGCGCAGAGCGGTGAGCGCCTTGCCTTGCTCCTTGAAGATCTACATTCAGACAAACGTGATTCAACTTCTGGACACCGGGAATCAGCGGTAAACGAAAGAACCTCGATACTTACACGCAACAGATCTTGCTCGGATTCCAAACTCCAATCGAATTTGCCGTTCGAAGCATATCCACTGTCCACCACCTGCTTCAACCGCAAGATGCAAGCCCAGAACTCTGCCAACTTGCCCTCCATCCTGCCTCCGTTACCCGTGATTTCGTACGCCTTCAATACTTCCTTCAGCAGCTTGTACGTCTCCTCTTCTTGCCTCGTCAGATCCGACCCCTTTACCGTCCTCACGAGCAGCGCAAAGTCGGCGACGTATTTCACGAGAAGCGAGAAGACTCGAGCGGATTGAGCGGCCAGCTTGTCTTGCGATAGCGACAGGCTCTGTGTGATCTCCTGATAGGCAGAGTTCAATTGCCCTTGAAGAGCCTATCGGACGATCCGGATCGACTTGTCAGCTACGGCCTTTGGAAAGAAGAAGAATGACAGTCTAGAAACTCACGTCAAAGTACGTCCGCTGATCCGCCTGGTGTTTGACCTGAATCTCCACCCGCTGCTTCATAGCCTCGTACCCCTTCAACTGGATAGGCAGGAGACTGTGAAGAATTCAAGCCTCTACTCAGTATCACTTCAGAAGATATAAGCTGGTGGGTCAGACTCACGCGCTCCTGTTCGGGTTGTGTCGCTGAGCCTCATCAAACAGCTGCTTGCTGATGTACTGATCGCCAGGCCATTGGTGTTCTTGTCCGTTGGAAGCCGGAGCAGCGTAGTACACATATGACTGATATGGCAGAGTGAAGAAGAAGCCAAGTAAGCATGCGCCTCGTGCATTGCCGCGAGATGGTCACACACCCGCAATTCGCTTTGAGCAGGATCGATCACCCCAGAAGCGATCTTCTGTAATCTCTCCTGCAAGGTCCTCTTTTTCGGTACCGACGAGCCGGAGACGCTAGCAAACAGGCTCGACCTGTTTTGATTTTGCGAGGGACCGAGGATACCCAGGGTAGAACTGTTCAAGGTGGACTGTTGAAGCGGTTGTTGTTGTTGTTGCTGCTGCTGCTGCGGTTGCTGTTGTTGTTGCTGCTGCTGCGGGCCGAAGAGTGAAGTCTGTCAGGCAGCCTCCAAGTCAGCCATCTGATGGACTCGTCCTCTGACGCTGACACATACCGAGTTGTTCCCTAAGGTACTTCCAAACAGTCCTCCCGATTGTTGTGGTTGTTGGTTTTGCTGAGCGGCCGGGGCGCCGAACAACGATGATGATGCAGGTTGAGCGGGCTGCTGCGAACTTCCGAACAGCCCTCCTCCAGTAGCCCCAGTAGTAGCAGCTGGCTTCGCACCAAATAGCCCTCCCCCAGTGCTTTGACCCAAAGTACTGGTATTATTGTTGCCAAAGAGACTGGTTCCAGTACCGGTAGCGGACTGATTGTTTTGCGTCGATGCACCACCGAAGCTGAAGCTGCTCGAAGCAGCCGGTTGAGCAGGAGCTCCTCCAAAAGAAAAAGCCATTCCGAATGTTTGCAACTATTACCGTATAGTATCTAGTGAATGGCCTTCGATCCGCAAAGAAAAGGTGATGGCTCTTGTATCAAAGTCGAATCCTGAAGATTGAGGGACATGGTCGGGTTGCGTCAGACTTTGAAATCCTCCGCGTCGCGTAAGCGACCTCGACCGACAATTCGGACCACTAGCTGGCCATGCTACGATCATGCGACGATATTCGGCTACAACGGTTCGTCAGGAAGGCTAACAAGAAATAAATACACACGGGACCACTGATTGGTTCACTTGTTCCCCCTCGGAACAAGCTTGGCCTGTCCGATCTCGTAGATCATGAGTTGACGTATCTCCAACATGTCGTCTTGCTTGAACTCCCAAGCCGCGCCCGCCGACGCATCGTCTCCATCGCCTAGCCCTCGGGCTCGGTGTTCCAGAGTCTGGCAACTGAAGATGCCGCAGTCATACCCGTTGTCTTGTTGCGGTGATTCCTAGAAGCGTGATCGAGGGCGGGTTCAGCAGGTGTACATCGATTCGGTGGCAGGGCCGAAACAGACATACTGTATCGTAGTAGTCGACCCAATCACTCAAATCTATCGGTGTCTTTTTCTTGTCCAGATGCTCGGCTTGAAGGTATCTTCTCAATCTCTGCAAAGATGAAGAGAAAACCTTGATGATCAGCTCGGCCTGGAAACGGTGACACGTTTTTGAAAGCGCTCAACCCACCTCGTAAACTTGTGCATGTCCATTGGGGTTCATAGAGTCGTAACATTCTAGTCGTTTGTCTTTGAAGTTGATCGCGCCGCACAGCCAATGGACGTTGTTCTTGTTGATGGGAAAGACGATGATATCTTTAGAGAAAATGTCGATCTGAAGCATGGACGAAGACGGATTAGCTGCGCGGACCAAATTGAGGGTGTCATTCTGCTCTGGGTCGCACCTTCTTCGTCCATCGACCGACTTTAGACTTTGCGTAATCAAACTCCAGCTTGGGATAGAAATGACTGTTGAAACAGTGGATATCCCTCCTCTTCTTCTTTTGCCCATCCACCTCTATCAGATCGTTATCAGCTCGTTCTTGTAGCAGCGCCATGTAAAAGTTGATGACCTCGTCGTTGAGCCATTGGCCCGGGTTGAGCAGTCGAAGATCCTTGAACTCGACTTGTTCCCGAAGACATTTGCTGATGAAACGAGGGTTCTTGATGGCCACCTTGATCTGGTCGTCCCAAGTGCACATCTCAGCCGTGTCGTTGTCGCAGAATTGTCGGTACAGTCACTTACGGTCTCTCGCATCTCGTCCGAAATCGTGGGAACTGCCGCAACTTTGGGCAGAGCGACACGTCGGAGGTTCTCCTGGATCTTGGCTTCAGCCTCCCGCTCTTGCTCCAAGGACGCTTCTAGCGCTTTCAGGTTGAAGGGCTCTCTCTTCGGCCTGCGGAGCGAGCGCGAGGGTTAGAAACAATGTTGATCAGATCTCGATGTGGCATTCACTTACGGTGCTTTCACCCTGCTGAGCAGTGCTGCCAGTTCTCTGCGGGCGTTCTGCTGATCCTGAGTGATAGTAAAGGCAAGGTCAACTCGCTTGAAGGGTGCGGCATATCTGCTCCTTTTGACTCACATCAACCTGAACGTCCTTCTTCATACCGCTCTTTCGTGTGCCATTGATAGACGGCGGACTACCTGAGGTCCGACCGTCAGGCATCTTAGCTCGACCATACAAGCGATCGGCGACATCGAACAGACCTACCTGAGCTCTCTGCCACCGTTACTCCGACGGCGGCAAACCGCTTGATCAACTCATCCGCGGTATTGGGCTGTCTCCCCTCGGCTCCCTTGACCTTTTTCCGCAAGGGGGGCATTCGCGACCGACCCATGTCGGGCGGTAGACCATTGAAGGGAAGTCTCTTGGTCGTGAGAGTCGGAGCGAAAGGATCGTCTATTCTGTGGGTGGAACCTTGAGCCGGAGGCGAGGGAGTGGATGGTCCTGCGTCCGATATCATGTCCTGGTACTGGCTTTTTGCGAGATCGAATTTGGGTTCAGGATTGGCGGTGCTAAGGGAGTCTACGCGAGGGTTCCTCGTCAAATCTTCCGACCCATATCGACTACGACGCTATACAGCAGACACCGACTCACTCTTCACGGTCGTTCTGATCATCTTAGCCGTATACCGGGGTCTCGCTCGATGCCCGACAGAATGTCTCAACCCATTATCGAAAGCATGATGTACCCGCAACCCCGACGGCGCAAAGTTCTTCTTGGAAGATGGTCGGGGAGGGGTAGGCGGCCTGACCTTGAGCTGGCTGAATTTCGCATTGTAGGATAGGCTGCCACCGGACTTGAACTTGTCAGGGCTAGGACTCCCATCCGACACCCCTGTCAAATCTATGACTGAGTGTTCCTGATTCTGTATCTCGGCGTCCGTCTCTCCGTTTTGCGCTTCAAAAGCTCGATTCATCCTATGTTTAGTCGCTTCGATCGCAGGCATTGTTGGTCCTTGTAGCATTCGTCCATCCGGATGGAATGCTGGTAAGGGAGGAAGGTCGGGCGAGAATCTGTCGAGTGTTTCTAGGGCTGGGCCTGGAGTTGGATCTGTCTCTATTTGTTGTTCAGCTGACGGTTATTCGCCGTTCTATCAGTGAATGCTCCAAGAAAACAGCATGTCGCGAGCGGTCCCGACTTACCTGAACTACCGAGACCGAAGAGGTTCTTGACCGATGCTACAATGCTCCAAAGTCCGGGTACGAATTGAGCTGGCTGATCCTCTACCTCGGATTGTGACGAGCTTGTTCTCTGCCTCTTGATTGTTCTCCTCTCTCTCCCGTTGAAAGAATTACCCTCAGAGATATCCGACATATCCGAGCCTTCGTCGTCTGGCGACGGGCGTTTGCCCTGTGAGTTGAGTGTAGCCATGGGTATGCCTACCGCATCGGGCAGCGTCTCAGCAGACGAGCTCGTCAGGGGAACTGGGGCAATCCCTTGATTGGTGCACAAAGGAAGAGAGTGTGTGTGTGGTCTAGTGTCGATAGGAGGTGCGATGCCTTTGCGTTTGCTAAATGAACATCTGGCAACTGGGGGAAGTGACCTTGTCAACAAGAGTTGGAATACAGTCAAGAGATCGTCAACAAGCATGACCGATGATCCCTCCCCTTGATACACTTTGACCCGAGACTCTGCGCGAACGCGCACATGAGAATGAGATCGGAATGACGGCTGCCAATGGCCAAATAATGAATGCTAAGAGACAAAAGGTCGTTCGTTACAAAGACGGCCAATGTCTATTCTACAACGAGTGATTTCATGTGGGTCTTGATTATGATAAGCCCACTTCATGCTTCGTCTTGTGTCAAATCGCCAACACCTTGGTGTCGCGTTGATTATTGTCGTTTTCCGATTGAATCGCCTGGTATCCTCATTCCCCGTTGATTCCCCTCCAACTGTGTTGTCAAGATGCGAAGCATCGTATTGTACAGGAAACACCCACGTCTACTTTTTCCGAGCGCCCGGTAACTTTCTGATCTTGCGACCACCTGGAGCGTCCCCGGCTCCGACAGAAAAGGCAGGTGAACCTTGTCTCGAATCGGCTGGCCCGGCCGCGCCAGCGTTAAAGCTGAACCCAGCGCTCGCGGTGCCAGGCGTACCAGGGGTTCCCGGTGTAGATCCAAACATTCCCGATTGAGGTGCAGGGCTTCCGAACCCGGTCGATGTCGCACCGAACATCCCGGTCGATGGCGCCGGGGCAGGCTGAGCTGAAGCTCCGAAGCCGCCGAAGCCAGACGTCGTCGGTACAGGAGTGGTAGCAGCGGACGGTTGACCAAAGGGATTCGCTGCGGCAGGAGCCGGGGTAGACGAGGCTTGTCCGAAACCTCCAAAGCTGGGTGTCGACGCGCCGCTCGCGGGGGCGGTCGAAGCTGATCCAAACATGCCGCCAGAGGCAGGTGCAGTGGATCCAAACATGTTGCTAGCAGGCGCGTTCGATGCGACCGCTGGCTGACTAGCTCCGAAGGGCGAGTTCGCCGGCGCGCTGGTGGCCGCACCGAAAGTGAACGGTGCAGGGGATGCTGCGGGCTTGTTGTCGCCGGCGCTGCCAAAGTTGAAAGGCGAAGAAGGTGCCGGGCTAGAAGCAGCTGCGGCCGTACCAAAGTTGAAACCAGCTACGGTGGGCGCCGGAGTCGACGGCTTGCTCGTGACTGCACCGAACGCAGGTGCGGCAGGGGTCGTAGTCGCGGCATTGTTAGCGGCTCCGAAGAGGTTGGTGGGAGCAGGAGTGTTCGCTGTCTCTTTCGGCGCAGCAGCACTAAAGGCAAATTTGAGCGGGGATGGAGCCGTTGCACCACCGCTGACGGCGCCAAATTTGAAGTCGGTCGAGGCCTTGGAGGAATTACCGAAATCGAGCGAAGCGGCTGCTTGAGGCGAAGCGGCTGCTTGAGGCGAAGCCGAACCAGATGGAGCTGCCGACTTGAGTCCTCCAAACAAGGGGTTGGTTGACGTTTCTGCGGGCTTTTGCGAACCAAAGAGACCACCTGATGAACCGACAGGAGCAGTAGGAGCAGGTTGAGATGCGCCAAAGGTGAACTTGCTAGGAGCGGGCGTGTCGGCGGGCTTGTCCTGAGCCTTGGGAAGGGTTGCTACCGAATCTTGAGAAGGGGTAGACGCAGCCTGAGACGACCCAAAGAGATTGGGAAGCGGCTTGGCAGCGCTAAAATTGAATCCGCTAGCAGACGGAGGAGCAGGAGCCCTACGGGGGAGACGACGTTAGTAACGCACCCCAGGCAAGGCGAACGGTAGCGATCCTTACGGGCTTGGAGTGTTGCTAAAAAATGAAGGAGGTGCAGCAGGCGCAGCAGCAGCTGGGGGCGCCTTGTCTGCCATCTTTGGCTCGAATGAGGTGACAGCGGGCTTTGAGAAAAAGCTCTGCAAATAGAAATCGCCGTCAAGTACAATTTTCGGACATCGTCCAGGACCCACTTACTGGAACTGCCGGTTTAGCTGCATCCGCCGAGGTAAGCGCAGGGGAAAAGCTGAAAGGAGGAGGTTTGGTGGGCGTAGTGCTGGGCTGTGCGGCAAACGAAAAGGGGGTTGGCGGCTTGGTTGCCTCAGCTCGCACAGGATCGGGGTTGGCAATCGGCGAGCTCGTCGGGCTAGGGGCGGTAAAAGAGAAAGAAGGAGCTGGAGTCGAGGTCGGGGCCGAAGGTCGTCCAAGTCCAATCGCTCCCATTCCTTTGCCGCCTGTCGATGCGGGCGCCTCTGTGGGCTTTTTGGGCATAGCGAAAAAGTCGGGTACCGGAGTATTCGTTTTGGGCGTCAAGGAGGACGAAGCGAGGGTGAGAGGAGGTTTCACCTGAGCGGGCGTCGTCTTGCTCAAGGCCGAGGCGTTTAGAGGAGCGGCCGCCAAGGGTGACGAAGCTCGAGGACGATTGACGCCTGCGGCGTCCAGGAACCCTCTGGCCTTGCGCACGGCCGTGACATCGACGTCCTTTTTCTTTCTCGGGGATGGACTTCGTATAGGTGCGGGGATCGAGACGGGCTGAGGCGATTGCGAAGGTTGTCGGCTCCTCGCTCCTGATGCGCCGTCGTCTCTCATTCCGACATCGTCACCTTCCGCGTCCTCCTCATCATCATCGTCGTCATCAGGAACGGCGAACTGATTCCCTCGACTCTCGGTCTTGCGTGCCGTAGACACAGCGGGCTCATGCTTTCGATGCGTAACCGCCGACTGGGCCCGCAAGGTTGAACTCGTACCGGTCCGCACGATCTTGGTAGCCGAGGGCGAGAACTGAATGTTCATCGGTCCCGAGACTTTGGTAGGTGCGTTGGCCATACTGAAGGTGAACGGCTTTTCGGTCGCGACATCATCGCTATCCTTCATCTCGTCAGGATCGTCCTCCTTGCGCTCATCCTCAGCGTTCTGTTCCTCGTCATCGTCTTCGTCATCGCTCTTAGGTCGAGAATATCCAGACGGCTTGCGAACATATGGTCGTTGCATCACGCTCCCTCCCTTGGTCTTTTCCAGCTCGAACTCCTTGGCCCTCTTCGTCCCCTTCAGCCTGGCCGGCCCTTCAGACAAGCTTAAAGAACCAGTAGTCGACAGCCGCAACGCCTCTTCGGCCGGTGTCGAAGCCTTGGGCACGCGTACGGCCATACGTTTTCGCATCGGTCTCGTCGACAACGAGGTCGGAACAGGGGGCGTTTGAACGGAAGACGGTCGACCGGCCTGGATGTTGGGGTGTCGGGAAGACCTACGCATCTCGGCCAGTTGTTGCAGGAGAGCTTCGGCCTGGACATTCGGGTTCGAATCCATAGGTGAAAGCTGAGGGACGGGATCCACGCTCATCCTCCCGCTCGTCCCACGTCGATTTCTCGCGTGATCGCGATCGGTCTCTACGTCCATACCATCATCCTCGGGCGCATCCATCAGGTACTCCTGCTCCTCGTGATCCTCGGCGTCATCGTAAGCCGGAGGCCGAACGCTGAATCGAAGACGGCTCGAACGTGTGGCTCCGCGGCTAGGAGAAGGTAGCACTATGGACATGTCCCTCATCGACGACATTGATCTGCGAGGAGATTCATCACGAGGAGTAGGCGAAACCGGTTCTCGGGTCTGCAACATCAGATCGCGATGGACTGAATGTCAGCTAAGAGCCGCCAAAGCACCATCTTCCACACACGCATGGACATGGAACATACCCTACTCGGCTCAATCTCCATCCTGCTCGAACTCCTCAATCCCTGTGAATGCGAGTGCGATTGCCTCATCGGCGACCCGCCCAAACTCAAACTCCCTTCCCTCATCGCCCTCTGCCTGGCCACGCGTTCAGCAGCTTCCTGTTGACCCCTGAACGGACTCGACATTCTCCCACTCGCCGGGGCTATGAGGCTGCCTAAGGTATTTGATCGGGGGATGGAACCTGATGTGTAGAGAGGAGATCGGGTGGAAGTGCTCAACCTGGTAGCGTTATTACTGCCACGCTCCCTGTCCCGGTCGACGTGCAAAGTCATGGTCTCTGATCGGCGCATCCCCGAGACCGAGGGTGACGATTTCCTCCCGGCATTCCTACTCGTAGCCGGAGAGCCAGCGAGCATCGATCCTGGAGGATCATTGTATCCCCCGAGTCCACCCATCGTCCTACTCCGCGTCATCGAAGAACCCTCTTCCGCATCCCCACTTGCACTCCCGAACGGCCTAGCATAGTTGGGGACGCGCTGACGGTTATGTTCCCCCTTCTGGGTGGGTAATCGAGAACTGCCATATTCCTGCACGTTGAAGCTCTCCACAGCACGACCTTGTACTTCGAATCGGCGAGATTGTGATTGAGACTGAGGAGAAGTGACGCGTTGTTTCTTGCTAGGAGTACCGGCTCGTTCGGGAGACATCTGGGGAGGAGGTCTTTTGGCTGAGTCGAGGGAGGTGGATGTCGGAATCGAGGTCGAGGTGGGATTCGTCTTTTGGCGTTCTTCTCCGTTCGACATCGACAGTGCCGAATCGCTTTGTGACGAAACGGGTCCAGGAGAGAACCATCTCGAGAAACTCCTCTTCAATCCTCCCAACAGCCCATTCTGCCCGATTTGGTTTTGGTTGTCACTGCTATTCGAGGCATTCCCGTTCGACGGCCTCTCATACGGCTTCTTTTCGTGGTGCTGACGAGCGACCGAGTTGCTTCGAGAGGGTCCGATCAGGGACGAGGTAGGGGATGGTGACCGTGGCATCGAACAGATCCAGGTCCGATTCCTAGTCCTATTTCAAAGGGAGTATGGTCGGTCGAAGTGGAATGCGAAGGCGAAATGCCGATGCAGGTCGGTATATAATATGGTTGAAGTTGTTTGACCTTCCAAATTCTCTCTCTCTCTCCCCGGAGTACAAGTCGCGCGTCACGGGGGACCTCGACGTTCTTGGCGCTATGGACGCCAGGCTTGCAATAATGTATCACAACGCAACGACCTCTGATACTCGTTCAACACCGATGCCCCATATTGACTAGATGCATCGTGTAAACTGTCTGACCTTGTAAGATCGAGTCTGTCCCTGTCGTGATGAAGTTGTGACGCTACCATTAGCTATAGATGTACCGGTCGATCCATTTTCGACCTTGACTGCTTTCCCACGCGTGACTCTTAGCGCAAGATCGAAGAAGTTGAGCAAGTCGAAAGCAGAGAAGGAGCGAAGGAGGTTCATCCTTGACAACTTCATGGCATTTCGGATCCCCGAGAGTAATCACCATCTAGCGATAGCCTGCTACGACCACTGTCACCATGATCGGACTCAAAGGAACATTAAATGTGAGCCACCGACCCGACTTCATCTGTAATCGCTGTTTGTAGGCTGATCATCCACCTCCTGCAGGTCATCGACAACTCGGGCGCTCTGATCGCCGAATGCGTGAACGTCCTCAAAGCCAAGTCTGCCCGAGGGATGGCTACTGTCGGTGCGTCATCTTCTTGCCTATTGCTAACTCACCCAGCTCCTTTCGTACTGACTCCCTGATTCCCGGCCCTTATGGATGCTCTAGGCGACGAGATTGTCGTAGTAATCAACCGAGCCCGACCCATCTCTCAAGTCACCTCGGGTCCATCAGCAGCAGCCACGTCAGCGAGCAACATCCAAAAAGTCAGGCGGGGGGATCTCAGACGGGCGGTCATCGTACGGACGAGGTTTCCCCTGAGACGGGCTGATGGGCGGAATATCAAGTGGGTCTCGGGTTCCGGCTCTGGTTTCGATTCAAAGATCTGTCATTCGAAGCTGACCATGACCCATTCCAGGTTCGACGACAACGCTTGCGTACTACTGAACAACAAGGGAGACATGATCGGAACCCGAGTAAACGGGGTCGTTGCTGCCGAACTGCGCGAGGTGCAAGGCGGACCAGAGGGAAGTGGGGGAAGGTGGAGCAAGATCTTGAGTTTGGCTGGAAAGGTGAGTGACAGCTAGGGCTTGGTCTTCTCTTCTTCCTCTGTTCCACTGTACAAGGGGACTGAATCGAATGAGGAGCTAATAGGATCCCATGTTATGCTCACGTGCAGGTCGTATAGGCGGGGAAAGGCAAGGAGAGGACCGGATATCGCTGGTCTGTAAATTCTGTATCAACACTTCACCTCTTGAACCAGCATGTCATGGGGAGGATATCCAATCGTATCGATCGTATCGACATACGCACAACATTCACATCGTATCGCATTACAATATATGGCATGGTACTGCTCCAAGATTGATAACAGGGAAGATGGCAGTGTGGGAAGCGGCCACAAGTCGGTTGGGATGCAGTACAGGCAATTCAAGTTCGCATCAGGGATCTTTTGGTTGCAATCATCCCCAGACAGATAGACTATCGGGATCAATATGCCGTCAAAGTCGAACCGCCGCGCTGAGTAGTACTCTCTAAAGGGTCAACATCTCCGTCGTCACCAAAGAAAGAGTCGTGGCGTTTTAGTCCGTCAATCGGCTTGTGGTCGGTCAAGATCGAGCCAGTGCAGGAATCGGCGATCGAACGTTCCAGCTGGGCCGATGAATCTCCTGCAGTCAGCTTTTCTGCCCTTCCCATCATTTCACGTTCCATCGCTTCCGATTCCGCTTGCATCCAAGTCAAGCCATCGCTCGTGAACTTGTTGTCGAACCCGCGATAAGCATCGCTTTCCAAAACTGTCACTGGCTTGGCCCTCGCTTTTGCCGCCTCGGCTCGGATCATAAGCCACGTCGCAGCTTCCTTCAAAACAATGAGTTCACAAAGCGCCGCTTTCTGCTGGCCGTGGAATCCGGGTGTCGGTGGGTGTATCTTATACTCTTCGGTCTCGAAGTACTCGCACAGCTTGCGGGCTGTTTTCGAGTCGAGATCGTAGGTCACAAGCTGGTCCTTTCCATACTGACGTTCGCAGAGGCCGCCAAGTGGGATTCCTTCCCAGTGGCCTTCTAAATACGCAATAATGTTTTGAGATCGCATTTTGATGGTTGATGAGGATCGCTGGCAGCAGGTAGAGATAATCCAGAAATATCTGCTCACCAACTCTTGCCCCTGTATCAGCGTCCTGTGTTATATAAGGATGGCGCGACGATCCGCACAGCTTTTTTGGGTGATTGTGACCATGAAAGGAGTTCCTAACACCGTGCTACAGCCCTTCATCCCGAGTAGCCTGCACCTTCAGCGTCAAGTGACATCGCCATACGTCACTTGAAACGTCTCCTTTCAGTATTGCATCGAACCGTCAAACCCGACAATCGTAATCGCAAGCGCCAAGGCGGAGCTCGCCTTGACATCACTCAGGCCCTTCTTGATCGATCACTTTCATAGCAAAGGGGAAGCAAGGTGATGGATCAGGAACATGAATGGAGAGGCGATCTTCCGAGCCGTTTCGTATGACGGGAAGCTCGTTTGGTTGGGCAAGTATTATCCAGGTCGATACCAACCACATCGAAACGCCTACGTAAATGACATTCTATATTCTTTGTCTGGAACTAATCGCTCCACAATAGGCGCGATCAAGCATACAAGCAGCGAAACGTATCACACATACTAGTCGACTAGCACGGACGAATCTACTGCTTGAGGGCGGGGGCGGTGGTACCCTTGGAGAGACCCTGGGTACCGGAGTAGAAGGCGTTGGAGCCGAGTTCCCTGTGAGATCAGAGGGAGTTAGCAGCGGGTCAAGAAGGCGGCAGCGGGATCAGGTCAGAGTGAGCTTACTCCTCAATTTGAAGGAGACCTGGATCGGGTGGAAGAACAGCCTTCAGCAAATCGATCGGATGAGCGGGGAAGCCGAACATAACTCACGGTTGTACTTGGCGACTCGCTCGGACCTGCAGGGAGCACCAGTCTTGATCTCACCGGTCCTCAAGGCAACGGCCAAGTCGGCGATGTAGGTGGACTCGGTCTCACCGGACCTGTGGGCTGTGGGAGGGCGGAACGTGTCAGCTTGTGTGTTGTCGACCAAGACGATAAAAGTACGCTAAAACATACAGGTCATGATAGCCCATCCTGCGCTCTGAGAGAGCTGAACGCTGTTGGCCAAGAATCGCCATGAATATCAGCAAAGGTCGGAAAATTGATTCCTGCTCGGATATGCCCCAAGGGGCGCGGATGGAATTTGGCTCCATTCCTCACGCCTTTCGGAGACATTCTTCCTTTGCAGAGGACTCACGCCTGGATAGACTCGGAGATGGTTCCGATCTGGTTGATCTTGAGCAACAATCCGTTACAAGCCGTCTTCTCGATAGCGGTCTTGATCCTGGAGGTGTTGGTCACGGTCAAATCGTCACCGACGATCTGGATCTGCGAGTTCTTGGTGAAGTGCGACCACGCCTCCCAGTCGTCTTGGTCGAAGGGGTCCTACGAAGCGAGGCAGGGCAAAATTTCGAACGTGAAAGGTCAGCTATGGTTGTCGACGATGGAGATGGATCGTGAGACTCACCTCGATGGAGACAATCGGGTACTTCTCGATGAAGCTGTTGTAAAGAGCGGCGAGCTCCTCACCGGACAACCACTTGGACTTGTCCGAGTTCTCGTTCTTGAAGCTGAGAGCCCCGCAACGCGTCAGCCTCCGGTTACCTCGATCCACAATGACGACAAACTGTACTCACTCCAAGTCGTACTTGCCGTCCTTGTAGAACTCGGACGAAGCGACATCAAGGGCGATCGAGATCTTGCCCTCGTAACCGGCGGACTTAATGGCCTCCATCAAGAGCTCAAGGGATTCCTCGGGACCCGAGACGTTGGGGGCGAAACCACCCTCGTCACCGACGTTGGTGGCTAAAACGTCGAATGCAGGTCAGCATGGACGGTCTGTGAGAAGCCAAGACGATCAAGCCCGGATACTCACCATCGATTCCGTACTTCTTGTTGATGACCTTCTTGAGGTGGTGGTAGGTCTCGGAACCCATCTTCATGGCCTCGGTGAACGATTCGGCACCGGTGGGCAAGATCATGAACTCCTGGAAAGCCAAGGCGTTACCAGCGTGGGATCCTCCGTTGATGACGTTGAACGACGGGGTGGGCAAGGCGAAAGGAGCCTGGACGCCGGCGATCTCGGCCAAGTGCTGGTACAAGGGGACACCCTTCTGGGCGGCACCGGCCTCGCTGACGGCCATCGAGACACCGAGGATGGCGTTGGCTCCCAACTTGCCCTTGTTGGGGGTTCCGTCGAGCTTGATGAGGAGGTCGTCGATCTCCTTTTGCTGGGTGACCTCGAGACCCGACTCGATGAGGGCCTTGGCGATGATGTCGTTGACGTTCGAGACGGCCTTGGTGACACCCTTGCCCATGTAGGCGGACTTGTCACCATCCCTGAGCTCGACGGCCTCGTGGACACCGGTGGAGGCACCCGAGGGAACCTGGGCTGCGGTAGGGGAAGAAGGCGCAGAGAGGCAGGCAGCGAGATTTATCAGCAGTGGTCATTGTGGCGCGACTGTGTTCGACGTCGACTTACTTCGGAAAAGACCTGTAATGAGCAACGAAAGCCACGACACATGACGAGACGATGCGAGGGTTTAGTTTTGATACAACGCCTAGACCCGCATGTAGGCCAGGCCCCCTTTGAGTCTCGCACTCACCCTTCTCGGTGTGGAGGTCAACCTCGACGGTGGGGTTACCCCTGGAGTCGAAGATCTGCATCGCACAGACGAACAAACGAGTAGAACAAGATTATCGGGAGGTGATCAGCGTCCGACAGAAGATATGAGTACACGTTCGGTTCCCGTGGAGCTGAGGGTCTGGTGGTGGAAGTGTTGACCTACCTGACGAGCGAAAACCTTGGTGATGGCCATTTTTGTGTAGTGTTTGTGTTTTGGTTCTTTTGTTTGGTAGAACAGTAATGATCTGAGGAGAGAGAGAGACAGGGAAAGATGAGAGATAGGATAGGATATCTCGTCAAAGTCGATGTCACAACATTCCCCCCAACCGACCCCCACCCACCCGACGCAAGATGACTAGCTGACTAGAGCGTGGACTCGACGATGACCTTGTCATGCATGGCGTGGCATTCCCCTCGGATGCAAAATCCCCCTTGGAGGGTGGCCGGGAGGGTCTGTCAAGTCAAAAAAGTCGGAAGGGAAGGCACGGGATCAAGTCTGGAGATCCAATAGATCGTGTCGGATAAGCAAGTGACCAAGATGACTCGAGGGTACGCGAGGGTACGTAGCTGTATTCCCAAAAGGATGAGCATGATGCGAGATGACGACGACGGCGAGAACATGTATGACAATCGGGAGCGATCCCGCCTCGCTCTTTTGGAATGATCGAGCAATTCCTCTCCCCGCATGATTTTTCCTCTTCCCCACACACGCCTTGAAAAGCTGAAAAGTCGTTCTCACGGCCCGCTCAACGAGCCATCTTGCTTGCGATCTCCCTCAGAACGATGTGAACAGCAATAGTCCTCTGATCCTCTGACGTGTTGGTATACGATGAAGCCATATCATCTGGTGAAACGCAGCGTCTACTCCCGCTGATTCGTGTTCCGAAACAGCTCGGAACAACTAGAGCAGCGCAACCGAGAGGAGTTTCGCTGAATTTGTGGTCTTGTTCGGACGTGTTCGGATCAAACGACGATCGGCTCGGGCATCGTCGCGCTTCACCCTCGGGAATCGTTCAGATACAGCGGGCTTTCACTCATTTTACCGCCGTATATCTCCACTACCTAGTAGCTTAGTAGCTAGTGAACAGCGTAGGTTCCACGCATTGAATACAGTAAACATCGGTTCAAGACAAGATCAAGCTTAGGCGACGTCTACTCTACATGAAAGGACTCTACTCGCCCTTCATGAGGAACCTTCGACAAACGTCGTTCCAAAAGATGTCTTGACCCCAGATCTCGTCCACCTCCTTGGCGATCCTTAGAACCTCTCCCCTCCTCGTCCCCTTACCATAAGCCTGCTTCGTGTCCTGAGCCCTCCACCCGTTACTGTCAACAACGACCATCTTCTCCTCGTCATTCCCTTCACTTTCACTTCCGGTGAATGCTGGCAATCCTGCAGCCTCGCCTCCCGAACAAACATAATCAATCATCCTCTCCCTCCAGCCCTTAACGACCTTCTTGACCTCGGGAGAGAGGCGGTGTTCGTAGGCGCCGAGGAGAGCGACAACGTCCCAGGTATGTGTGGCGTATTTGCCGGGAGTGAGAGGGCCTTCGAACGGATTGCCGAGATCGAAAAGCTGCAAGACGGTCCTCGGTCCCGCTTGCTTACTCGACGACGAGGATCTGCGTTCGGCTCCCTGGGCTTCGGCGAGACAAGGCGCAAAGAAACCTAGGTCGCTCTCGAAGAGACAGATCTTCTTCAACGCCTCGTCATCTCCCTCCTCGTCTTTGCTCTCATCCAGGCCGTATAGGATGAGTAGCTCATTGGCTTCTTTCGGCTTGCCATGCTGTTGGACAAGGACGTCATGCAAAATCGAACGAAAAGCTTTGGCGTGGTTTTTACGATCCTGGTTGGAATGGATCATGGTGTACGAGATCCCGCCGTCAAAGCCGCACCAGCTGACGATCTGTTCTTCCACCCATCGACCGAACTTGGTGCCCTTTTCGTTGCCGCCGGTATCAACGTCACCGCGAAGCAACGCCATAGAGGGCGTCTCGTAAGGCATCATATCCGACCTCGAACAAGGCGCTCCGACCCAAGCTAGGTCCCTGAACCTGTCCTCCCATTCCTTGCCACCCCGTTTGATCTCTTCGACCAGATCATTGCTCGACCTTCCCTCGATCCCATCATCGTCTTTGCCTTCGCCGTTGTCACCGCCCATCGTCTTGCCTACCAGTTGCCTGAAATTCGTCTCATGTTCCTCGGGCGTCTTGGCTGGCATACACAACGGACTCCCGCTGAACATGATCGACCTTCGATAGGGTTTCCACCCCTCATTATCCTTGACGAGGTTATGCAGCGAAACGCTCTCCGCCCCGGCTGACTGTCCCATCAACGTAATGTTGTCCATGTCCCCTCCAAACCCGGGGACGTACTTGTGGATCCAGCGGAAGAGGGTCAGTTGGTCGTGCAGGCCGTTGTTAGGAGGAGAATTTGAAGGGGAGTGCATGAACCCGTGGGCGCCGAGCCGGTAGTTGGCAGCGATGAACAAGATCGGTCGAGGGGATTTGGTAGCTTCGTTACCATCTTCCAGGCCCTGTAACGCCTGAGTCATGAATGTGTTCGGGTTGTAGTACGATCGATCCCCTGAGCCCAAAAAGAACGCTCCTCCGTGCAAAAAGACGAGCACCGGGAGTTTCGCCTTAACCCCGGTCTTATTAACCTCGTCCAATTCAGGTCGAGGCAAGGTGATGGAAAGCTGTAGACATTCTGTCTCGGATTGCCATTCCCCTTCTCCCTCTTGGATCTCGTCTGTGGGCAACTGTAACCCTTGGGCATCCATCTTGGCAGAGCCGTGGGGCTGGACGCTCGAAGGTCCTGCTGTGGTAGCCACGTACGGTTTCGATCCGTTTCCTAAGCTATCACGCACGGTAGATCGGGCGAGTCGTTCAGGTATCTTTCCATAAGGTAAGTTTAGAAACCTGGCGAGGTGTGGATGAGTGGGCGGGACGAGATATTCGATCTGGCCCAGGTTCGGGTGGGTAAAGATGTTGTTATTGCTGGTGGACATGGTGATGAATCGGCGTGCTGTCCTGTGTGCGGTTCTGGTGTGATGAATGAACCTAGTGAGCCTGAGTATACGAAGGTTCTGAGTAGACCACGGTATGATAAGCACGTTTAGGACAGTCAGTGATCTGTGATGTATGTGACGGGTGTCGCTTGACGTCCCTTTCGATCGATCGCGCCATGTCTTGATTCGTCATCACGCTCATCTCCGATCATCGTATCAACAAGCCAAACTCTATTTGTTGAGCGGAAGGAAGAGGTCTTCCTATCCGTCACTGCTCATCGCTGACTTTTGAAGATCTGATACAAAAGCCACTCATATCCAGATTGGTACTGTCGAACAATAGGCATCGTGATACCCCACGGAGGCGGGAAGACGAACGCATCCCTTTTGGTATGCGCTGTAAATTGCACTTCCTCCTCGCGCTGCATCATTGCTGGAAGGATCGCCAGGCTCAGCTAGCTGAGGAACCGCGCGGACTGGTGCTTGCGTGTAATGATCCTTGAGAGCTTGGATGAGATTGAGATGACTTCATGTTCATGGCGATAACGAGTCGCGCCGGGAGGCGGGCGAGAGATTGCAAAAGAACCATTTTACTGCGCCGTGACCTGTACCTGGAAACTTCGAATCCCCCTTCAAGTCGCCTTGAAAGTACATAGCGGATTGCATCGCCCAAATCCAGCAAGTGGTGTGTATTGCCAACCCGACCATGACAGGATCTGCTTTTGTTTCGAGTTACGTCACGCAAATGAACCACTCATGTCGACGAGGAAAATGTCGAAAGCTTGACAAGGAGTGATCGGCGCAAATGATCCGCGGGATTGAAGTCATGCCGGTCCCCATTATTCGTTGCGATACCCGGAATGCTATCACGACGTAAGAGGCCTTGTCCGACGGCGCCATGCCATCTTGACACTGCCGCTGAATGGTTTTGGCTTTCATACTCGGATATCGATTTGATGTAATCGAAATTGGGAAAAGAAGGAGATAGGGAATGTCTTTTAGAACTGGACCGAGGCTCGGTAGGTGTGGGAGGTGGTAGGGTAGCATTGAGATCTCAGCAACGATGAGGTTCTGGCAGGTCCATCAAGCGTAGCCCAGGTATCCAGTACCGGTCGGAGGAGACTGCCTGCCAGAGATATGCTTGGCGCTTCGAACAGTAGCGGGACAAACGAGGCGCCGGAAGGCGACCGATTTTACCGCTACGGATCAGCCTATTGCACTCGAAAATCCATTGACCTTAAAGGCACCCGGCCATAGCTGCAAGCATGGAGATTACTCGTCTAATCATCTAGATTTGCCTCTTGCGCACTTTGTGTTTTTCCACGAGAATACGTCATATCAATCGCGTACTTCACAACCAACCCCGTGTCTTTGGTCAGTTGAATCTCTGCAGGACAAGTCATGCCTACCCTTGACTTAGCCTTTCTAATCACGGCTCGGTCCCCTGACTCGACCTGGTGATGCTGACACAGCAGAGAACTCCCCCATTTCGCTCAACAAGAACTCGAAGCATTTACAGGCGCTCCAGAATGACTACGCAATCACCATTACATGCTTTTAAAGTCACAACGGGATGACAGAGATTCGGTAGATCGCCCGTTCGTGTTGGGCATGCAATTGGCTATACCGACTGCGGCGCAAAGGTTCGTCTGAGCAGATACCCATGCGGTGCCGCTTCATGCAGGTCTCTTGTAGATCGTCGGCTTGAGCTTTTCCACTTGTCAACTTTTCGCATCTATCCCCGTGGATCTCGAGGGCACCTGGTTCTATATGACATTTCGCCACAGGAAAGCTCTGCAGCGCATGGCTTGCTTTGAAGAGGAAGTACGTAAAGGCCGAGCCGAAGGGAGGCACGCGAAGGGGGGAGGACGAGCGCGGAAGTATAATCTCAACCCCCGCTCGTGTGTGTGTGTGTACCTCGACCTCAAAGGGAGTAGCGGAGTGCGAGCTGGAGGCCTGGAGAGAGTCTCGCTGGGATCGTCACCGTCGTCGTCCTTCTAACACACAAAGGTAGCAGATCATCAGCACTTGCTATTTGCTACTTGTCAACCTCATACTCACGAAGCCTGCCTCCGCACCCTATACAACTAGCAACTAGCGTCTATTCGATTTCTCTGACGCGCTGACGCCGAGCTATTCACCTCGACCTTTCAACCTCCGAGCGCTAGGGGAGCAGGAAACCTCGACCAAGTCGTTTCTTTCGCATCCTCGTTCGACCGAATCCCGTCAACTTCCTCTGGTTACTCGCTGACGTACATAGGAAGCGAGCCGTCAAGAGCGTTTCCAACTTCTGGACGGACCACTGTGGCTGCGGTCATTCACTTAGCCAACTTCGCGGACTAGCCGAGGGTTTAGGATTTAGCCGAAGACATCCCTGAGCATCTTGCAAACTGGTACGTTCAGATTGTTACATTGCTCGAAAGCTTGTGACTTGAAGATCTAACGACCGGTCCGTAATACAGTTGACGACACTTCCGAGGTCGTAAACTCGATCCCGATATGCGGTCCAAAACCTTGGAAATCAGGCATGTCAACGGACTTCTCCCGTTAAATCTCCTTTGACAGCTAACCTTCTCCCTCACGACGTTCCATTGCCAACTCATCTCATATCATCTTGCTGCGTCTACGATCGCATGAAAATCATTTGAATATTCTTATTGAATTCTATAGCTGGCACGGCACCTCCCCCATCTTTGCAGCCGACTATCAACCCTGGAGCGCAGCTCAGCTTCGCAAAGTCCTTCCCTTTCCCAGTTCCAGCTCCGGGTCGGGATCCTCCGGGCTTGAACCTCCTTCCACTTCGACCTCGGCCTCGACCTCGATCCCGGGGTTGCCGAGCACTCCTTCTCGTAAACAAAAACAGCAAGATGTGGATGGAGATGTGGAGAACCTCGCGCCCGGAACGACTTCAGCGTCAACTCCCGTAGCGTCTTCATCCTCCACAAGCAACAACAACGCTGGAGATCAGGCCACGCCTACTCCAGGAAGGGGTCGTACAAGAGTCCGAGCTGGGTCCATCTCCGTCTCCGGGTCCGCAAGGGATGTCACGCCTACTCCTACTCAGAACCCTGCGAACGTGACGGCCTCGGCAGGAGGGTTCAATGCTTCTGCTACGAGAGTCTACAGGTTGGCGACCGCTGGGGCTGATAGTTGCGTTAGGGTGGGTCCAGGCGTCCTGTCTCCTTGAGACTCGGTGTGCGAGCCGAGTGGTACGACTACTGATACCTACCTCGTCTGCGCATATCGTCCGATGACAGATCTGGACCGTCCACCCAAACGTGACTCACGGTCCAAACATCAATGCCGCCACGGGCTTAGAGATCGCTCCTCATCCTCCCCGTGCGGTCTATGCGGCCTCGCTCAAGAGACATACGGGCGCTGTCAACGTCGTCAGGTGGAGCCCGACAGGACAGTATTTGGCTTCAGCCGGTGATGGTCAGTCGCATGTTGCTTAAATTTCGGTTTTTTCTTCTTGAAAGGAGCAGGACGACGGTCTGACAGTAAGACTTGTTTCATTTGTAGACGGGACGATCATCATCTGGCACCAGGTCGAAAGTCGGGCTGATATCGCCACGTTCGGGGAAGACGAGGAGGAAGAAAAAGCACACGAAAAGGAGTTTTGGAAGGAAAAGAGGATGATTGTGTGAGTCGGCTTGAATTGGGACAATGACGACGGACGAGCGCGATGACTGATCGATGGTCTCGGACGGACTGTATGACGTAGTGCTACAAAGCAGGCTATCTACGATCTGGCTTGGAGTCCTGATGGGAAATATATCATCACCGGGAGCACCGATAACCTTGCGCAAGTCTTCTCCGTCGTCGATGGCAAGTCCCAACTGCATTATATGGATCTTGAGTGAGCGCCCAGAACTTATGTGTTCCAATGCATTGGCAGGCTCGTGCGTGCATCAGATTCAAGATCATTCACACTTTGTGCAAGGCGTCGCATGGGATCCCCTCAACGAGTATCTTGCCACGCAGAGCAGCGATAGGTGAGATTGGCATGATGGCCCGGCGGCACGATTGGTCATGAAGCTGACAAGAGACATGCTGGCGACCCGACAGATCCGTCCAGGTACACTCGGTCAGTCATCGCAACAACACCTTGACCATCAGCCCCTTTGTCCGGGACCGCGCGGGTAGGGCGGGATCTCATATGAACATGGAGATTCGAAGCTCGAGACCGCCTTCGTTCAGCGCGCTTCGACCGTCTATGGGAAGAAGAGCGTCGACAGCGTCCGAGGCGGGTTCGGTCGTTACGCTTGCGTCGGAACTGCCCGAGAGTTCGTTCCCCATACAGGCTGCGTCATCGAGCACTCCGGTCCCCTCGACGCCATTGTCCAACATGAATCCGCCGACGAACATCCCTGGGTCGAGACGATCGTCGTTCTCTTCGGCCGCCGCCAACTCGCCCTTGCTCACTGCCACGACGGGGCTTCGAGCGGGACGGTCACCTTCGCCTGCCCCGTTGCCAGCGATCCGACCGAGCACAAGCATGCCATTGACGACGCAATCGATGAACCAAAAGTTGTACCGGGACGAGTTGGCCACCAACTTTTTCAGACGGTTGACATTCGCTCCGGATGGCAGTCTCTTGCTGACCCCAGCGGGACAGATCGAAGAGTCTATCTTCCCGACTCCCTTCATTCCGGACGGTGGTGATAGGGACAAGGTGCCCGGACCCAAATCGAGCGATACTTCGAAACCGAACGATGCGTCCAAGTCGACCGTGTACATTTACGCCCGGTCCAATCTCAATCGACCACCCATCGCCCACCTTCCGGGCCATCAGAGTACTACGGTCGCTGTCCGTTTCTCACCCATCTTTTACGAGTTACGAAACATCACGGGTCCACCCGCGGAACCGAAAAAGATCATTCTCGACAAGAAGAACCCGGATCCAGTTCAGGTCAGTCTGAATATGCCGCCGCCGCCACCTCCTTCTGCGGCCGGAGCTACCGTCAAGGAAAAGATCGGTCCTGTTGCCGGATCATCTCAGCCGCAACAGGCCGGGATCTTCGCCCTGCCCTACAGGCTCATGTTCGCCGTGGCGGCACAGGACTCGGTCTTGTTGTATGATACGCAACAATCGGGTCCGATCGCCATCTTCAAAGGGTTACACTATTCGGCGTTTACAGATGTAGCTTGGTGAGTCTAAACCAAGAGGCCTGGGTCTGCATTGACAAGTGGCACAGCGGTGCTAACAGTCGCGTGATATCTAGGTCGCCCACAGGAGACTCTTTGTTGCTGACATCATCTGACGGTTACTGCTCCATTGTGGTGAGTACATCGGTGCAAAGATCAGTTCGCATTCCCCACTCACGCTCTTCTGTTTCTTGCCTTGTCATCACAGGTCTTCGACACGGCCGAACTTGGACCGTTGCACGCCACTCAACAACATCATCGTCAACTACAAGCCATTGCGCAATCACACTCCACACCGGCACTGTCGGGAGGAACGTTCTCGCACCCCCCATCGCCTGCTCCCTCCAACTCGCTGCCCACTCCGTATACTTCGAGCTCGAGGATGGAGAGGGAGACTTCGGTTAGCAGTACCGGATTCCCCTCTGCTCCGGGGTCGGTATCCGCGACACCTTCACCGTTCATCACCAAAGCCGAACCTCTCAAGCTGCCGGAGAACAGGAGCGCAAGTAACGGGCCGCGTGAGATTTACGGCCTACCAACCGGGAACGTACCTGTCAGTCGACCACCCAGCTCGGTAGCTTCTTCCGGAATCGAAGAGGTGTCGGCAAGCGAATTCAAGAGCAAGGCAGAGGGGAAGAACGGAGGTGCAAAGGACGGATTGGGAGGCAAACGATCGGCTGAAGACGAGGTCGAGCTGGTAGAGGGTGACTCGAAGCAAAAGAAGCGAAGGATCGACCTCACCAAAGGATCGTGAAGATCCGCGTTTTGAAACGCTCCAGACGTGCTACGAGCATATATATATAATGTTTTCCGATCTCCGCGTGGAAGAGTGACGCGGGATCGGTGGGCGGCTGAATTCGATTGATATATTTCATGCATCATTCTATAGCAATATAGCAATCACCTGCGAAGGGCAAAGGGTAGGGGTTGCATGATCCTGCATGAGCTGCTTGCTGCTTGCGTTTGTCTCGCGTTTCGCAGTCGCGGCCGCTGCTGCTGCTCTGTGAATTTGTATCCGCTCATCATGTGCCGGCCGATGACTGCTAAGTTGCAGTTGCGGTCATACAAGGTTAGGGGGGGGGAGAGGGGGTTGATGCACGTTTGTGGGATGGGACAGCAACCGTTTAGACAGCCAACGACTAGCATCGGATACCATTGATAACACACCAGAATCGGACAGCAGGAACTGTATAAGAACACACCCATCCCATGAAGACATAAAGCTACGACAAGTCAAACACGGTTCACTCGGCCTCAGCAGATAATAACACTACCAACCCAATCATGCCGACGTTTCAGCCTTCCGAACGAGATCGGCCTTACGATGCTCCATACTCGACATCGGGTGACCACCTTGAAGAGGAGGATCCTACCGATGAACCCATATCTACGTCCAGACCCACCGTGTCATCCTCGGAAAAACACTCTGTACTTGACGAACTCCTACCCCTGCCTACCACCACCCTCGAGTCATCCTCTACCTCCCCATCCTATTTGTCCACCCACCTGAACCTCCTCCACTCTCTACGTCGGGTAACGAGCCTCTCTATCATCATCGGCTTCGTTCTCGGGATCGCTTATATCGCATCGACTTCCCCCGCCGTGGACGGGTCGATAAGAAGGGCAGAGACCGCCTGGGGGAGGTTCACGAGGTTACATGGAAAGGTGTTCGAGGATGTGGGCAGCGATCGGGTAAAGGGGGATAGTGGGATGCAGGTCGAGGTCGGATCCGAGGTAGGGCAAAGCGAAGGAGACGGAGCTGTGCAAGGAATCACGCAAGGGACCTTGGGAGACGAACTGAACGATGAGGGGATGAGCGTAGAAGAATACGTATGGGGGGATTCAGATCCTATTGTTGACGAACCCGGTCTCGACCTAGACCTGAGCGAGGAGGGTGACGGTGATAGTAAAGGGAAAGAGGATGAGAACTCGGTCGGAGGAAGGGATTGGGCGAGGTATACGTTCCTGAGGACGTTGGGAGATGGGCACGTGGATACGAGTGTACCGGGAAAGAGGGTCATTTTCGTCGGAGACGTGCATGGAATGTATGACAGTTTACAGTGAGTGCCGTCTTCCTATCGGGATGACACACTGCTCAAGCTGACGAACGCGATCATATTGTCATCGTTCTTGTCTGTAGAAAACTGTTGACCAAGATCCAGTACGACGCCTCGAAAGACTTCCTCATCCACGTCGGCGACCTCGTGGCCAAAGGGCCCGATCCGCTCAAAGTCTTAAAGTTCATGCGCAAGAACAGAGTACGGGGTGTGAGGGGCAACCACGATGAAAAGGTCGTCGAATGGAGGAATTGGATGGTCTGGGCGGGAACCAAGGAGGCGGAGAGAAGGAGGGCTGAACGAGGGGAAGAAGTGTCGAGCGACGATATCCAGGACGACGACGATCCGGATTCGGCGACATGGCGACAATTTGTCAAGTCCATGGACTGGCAATACGGTGCCGACCCTAAACGACTCCACTCGGCGCTATCCACCTCGAACCTCCCGTTCCCCAAATCCTGGGAATGGCGGTCGGAACATTGGAAGATCGCCAGGGACATGAACAAGAAGGAATACGACTACCTCGTCTCCCTCCCCCTCGCCCTCCATATCCCTTCTATTCACTCCGTCGTTGTGCACGCGGGGTTACTGGGGAGGGACCCGACGAAATTGGCTGATGCGGCCGACCAACCATACTCGAACCTTTTTGACGAGGTCACCGAGACCGACCCCAAGGCGGCGCCGATGTCGAGGCACCAAGCCGAGCTCGACGTGTTTACCAAGATCAAACAGAACCGCCGACCCTACACCTTGATGAACATTCGGTCTGTGCTCAAGGACGGTCGGGTGACCAAGAAGAGCAACAAGGGAACCCCGTGGTCGGACATCTGGCAGCAGGAACAAGCGAGGTGTGCAGGGCCCGGGAGGTGGGCTTTGGGCGAGGTCGCAGAGGACGAGGATGAGACGGTCGGGGTGGAACATGCTGGCGTGGAAATGGTCGAGGATATGGAGAGCAGGGGTCTAGAGGTGGGGTTAGAGAAAAGGAAGAAACACGTGGTATTGGAGAGTCTGCCTCGGTTGAATTGTTCCCCGTTGACCGTCATCTACGGGCATGCCGGTCAGTACACAAGCGGTCGCTCTCGTTCCATCCGAATGATCTTGGCTGACACTCGGTCTTCACTCTTACTTGTCACCTTTGCAGCCGGTCGAGGACTGGACATCAAGCAATTTAGTAAAGGACTCGATTCGGGTTGCGTCTACGGTCATCGGATGACGGCGCTGGTCCTGGGTGATCTGACCGGGCTGGGCGTCGATTCCGAATCCAACTTGAATCAGACTCAACCTGAGACCGAAGATGCAGTCACCGAGCAGGGCCTGGGGAAGAAAGGACGAAAGGTGAGAGTAGGGAATCAGAAGGGAATGTTGGTCGACGTTGGGTGTCCGAAAGAGGCGTAGCGTCATGGCGACACTTGATCATCGATGCCGAGCCGGTCAACTCCCCGTTTTCCCACGTTTTTGTCTGTATTTAGATGTGTGCCGCTTGATCTATTGTAGCCCCTCGTTGTAAAATAGCATAGCATTGTCATCTACGTATCTACGTCATTACTATCCTTTGCAGAAATATTGCGTGGACGGGTCTTTGATCTTTGACCTGACTGAACATGTAATCTTTTGTGTGCGCATGTGTGCAGGCGTTTCAGAACTTCTTGCACCTTTCTTTCTTTTGTTGTATCTGTGCGAAGCGGGGGCGGTCGGTCAGTCGCGGCTGGTCGCTGGAGCTGGTCGTTAGTGCGGGAAGGGACAGGTTTCCGGGAATGGGAACCGGCAGGGAGGAGGAGCAACGGCGGGAGTTTTTGCTTGGTTGGTATTGAGCGAGTCGATCTTTTGGAGACAGACGTACTACTACGAGAGAGGGGGTCGTTGGAGCGAAATAGTATACGTGGACTATCCCGCCGGAACGGCGACTGCAGTAGTGAGTGACGAGGAGCGCGAGGAGGTCGTTCGTCGATGGCGTACTTTTTCCTTGTCTCGACGCAGAACGGGATCAGATGCACGAGAAAGGTTCTGTCCCTCTCCCCCCTCCCCCCCCCCCCCGCCTCATGCCGTGCCCGCTTCTCGGCACCCGGCGATCGACAACACACACATCCACCCAAGTACCCAAGTCAAAGAATTTGACGATGATGATGAAGCAAAGCAGGCAAGCAAAGCTCGTCGCCATATCATCAACCCCACCCAGGTTGAAAAGTCGTCGTCCCACTCCATTCATCCGAGGGAAACATATACCCCATACCTGCATCTAGCCAACTGCTCGAGATCGCCAGCCGATACCAACTGCTCGAGATCATCGCACTCGCAATTCTTTCGGGTTTTCGCCTCTCTCGTACGATCGACGGTTCAATCTTCTTGTTCCTTATCAGCAGCACGCGATCGAACTTGCATTCGAGGACCACACTACCTCGACTTTAACGTCTCATAACATCAAACTAGCTGCCACCAGGCCACTAGCCACTAGCCACTAGATAGATCATCGCATCGCTGAACCGGTATCATCATGTCGAGCTCCTCGTCCTCATCACTTCCCTTTATCACGCTGAATGACGGTCGATCGATCCCTGCGATCGCCTACGGACTTGGTGAGTTGGACATGCGCCATCATTTTCTTCATCTCCGCTCTTGGCAATTGCCCCTTCTCCAGATCGTCGCAAGCTGACTGGTTTCACCCACCTCTCGCTCGATGTATAGGGACGGCCAATTATGGCAAACCATCTTCGGAATTGGTCGAAATGGCAATCAACGAAGCGGGATATAGGCATATAGATTGTGCACAGGTACGTCCTCCATCCTAATCTTCTGAGTTATGGCCATCATCTCGCGGTGACACATTCGCTGACGATCTGTGAAATCCCGATATCTGTCTCGCTCTTTCGATTAAATACTATAATCTCCCGGACCACTTTCATCACGGCAGATGTACGAAAACTCGGAATCCGTCGGCCAAGCTTGGACTTCGACTGGGCTGAAACGGGAGGAGCTGGTTCTGACAACCAAACGTGAGTCGCGATAGACCATGAGCTTTGCCCTTAGTGCATGAAGATCGCCGGCTAAATTGTTGCCATGTGTGGGGTATCGCTTGATAGTCTCTGGGTCAGATCCTCGGGCGGGACTCGAGGCCGAGCTGAGATTGTGGGTCTGACGTGCTCTTCTCGGATTGGCATCATCGACCATGAGGACTTTTGGATCGATGAGCAGAGTAGTCGCGGGAAAGGCACTGACATGGGTTCCTTACCAGGCTTCGCACGAACTACGTCGACTTGTGGTTGATCCATACGCCAAAGGTGAGTCTTCTTCTCTTCTATATGTCCTCACAATAACTTCCAAACGCTGATTCGCATGGCGCCCATTTCGCCTTTGCAACGTTTGCAGTCCGTCAAAGAGATCGGTTATGGAAAAGCATGGAGCTTGATGGAGGACGTCCTGAAGGAGGGCAAGACGAGGTCGATCGGAGTGTCAAATTACATGATAGATGAGATGACGGAGATGCTCGAAACCGCCAAGGTGAGTCAAATTATCAGGTGGATTACTCCTTTACACGGCTGGGGATACTTACCACCCGTCTTCGCAATGCAGGTCACCCCCGCTGCGAACCAGATCGAGTTCCACCCTTACTGTTACCCCTACCTCGAATCCCTCGTTAGGCTCTGTCATGAGCGTGGGATCACGATCGAGTGCTACGGACCTTTGTCACCGATCACCAAAGGGAAAGGAGGTCCTCTGGATCCCGTCTTGCAAAAGATCGCTGGGCAGACAGGGTTGAACGAAGGTCAGGTCTTGTTGAAATGGGCCAAGCAGGTGTCGCGAGGGGTCATCGTTACGTGAGTACCATGACGGCTGATGTTTTGAAAGTCGGCGACGCTTATGTGAATATGACCGAATATATTGCAGCACGTCGACTAAAGCCGATAGACTGAAAGAACATTTGGCTGCTCTTCAAGCGCCCGAGCTCACGTCCGAACAGGTGGACGAGATCACCCAGGCAGGTCGGACGTCACCTCAGAGGTTCTTCAAGGGTGTTCTTCTCCAGCCCGAGCAGAAGCCCGCCGAGAAGAAGTCGCCGTCAACCAAGTCCAAGGGGCTTCCTCTGGGTAGCACCTTGATGCTCGTCGCTCTGTTCTTGTTGCTCCTGCCCTTGGCTATGGCTTCGCCCGCGATGCTGTTTGGGCGCGATGGGCTCGGGTACGCCGACCCCGCTGACAACGGGGGCAAGCTGTTGACCGTGAGTGTATCCGGAGCTGTTTCCGACTCACATGGAGCTGATCACATTCGTCATTTCCACCCGTCTAGATCGCCCAAAATACCTGGCCTGAGGGTCTCGGTGAACCCCTGAACGCGATCATCTCGACCAACTCGGACCCCAGGGTTCTGGTCGACTCGGCAGACAACGGAGGATTTCTGAATTACATGCTCGCTCAAAACTTGGGGGAAGAATGCTTCGGACAAGCCTTGGGGACACCTCAAGAGGCCAATCTGGGGGACGGGCAGGGAAACAAGAACGAGGTCCAAGTGTTGAGGTGGAACTATGGCGATATCTACATTGGGACGTGTATGGAGACCTTCAAGGGTGGTTTGCATGCTCGTTACTGGTACCAGAACACTACGTGAGTCATCAGGGGGTTTCCTATATCATCCGTTGGTGACGTTGAAGCTCAATCACGATTGCTATCACCTAGTGGCGCGATCTTCCTCGCCGTGTCGGAAGAGAAGGGGCTCGATTACAACCACGACATCATCTACAACGGCTATAACCTCGGACGAGACTGGTTTGTGGGTAACGCTACCAACCAGGACTCTTTGATCCCTACCGTGCTCGAGACGGTCAACGGGACGTGGTACTCGGGCGTCACCAATCAGACGACATACTCGGGCGACAAGACGTTCAACAACTATACGTACCACACTGATGTTCAGTATGTTAGTGGTCTGTTGCCGAATAGCAGTGGTGAGTCTTGAACGATCGATCTGTCGGCGGCTTTTCGACCAGGGGCTGATAGGGGTTTTACTACCTTCGCAGACGGTGTCAATCACGCCGACAAGATGTCTGTGCCGGGAATGCCTGCCGTCGATGGCTTGGTCGCCGTCCTGACCGTATCCATCACAGCGACGCCGCAAGAGTGAGTCGATCCTTCTACTGTGATACGCGCGTCGCAGCGCTGACCCATGGCCTTCCATAGCTTTGCGAACGCCGCCGTAAAACTCGGCATGCCCGCGCTCGGCCTGCTCATGACCGCGGTGGCCATCATCTTGACCCTGTGATCGTTACTCTCACTAGAATAGAGCTCGAGGAATTGGGAATAACCCGAAGCCCTCCCCGCCTATGATGAAGAAAAGAACCTTGACGCCATGACGAGGACCAGGACGACAACTGACGAGAGGACGAGAGACAGCGAAGAAAATACCCACAAACACAAAAAATATCGACTATAGAAGTTTGCCGCTAGGTGACTGCATTTCTCCGCTTTATAGAGCATATTACTACACTGTATCAAATTATCCTTCCCGTACGACTAGGCGTTTGTTCTGCTTGCTATCAATCACTGTCTCATCTTGCTCCCTTGACCGATGTGCTCGCGCCCTCTTTGCCCTGACGCACCTTGTCCGCGATGATGTATCGATGAGCCCTTTCCTGGTTTCACCTCGGGTTTGATTCCGCATCTGGTCACGAGAGAAATGACGTGGCTTCTAGCGCGTCGGGCCCGTTATTGGCCGAGAACTGACAATGACCGAGGCGTGCAAGGATGGATCGACTCTTGCTCTTGGCGAGTGGGGAAGTGGGAGGAGTGGGAGAGTGCAAAAGGTATATAATCTCAGCTGCTGTTAGCTCTCACCGTCGATCATTTCTCTTCACCATCAAGAATCAATCTTCATTCCCAGGTCTACCAAGCTATGCTCGCACACATGACGCCATTCCCAAACGACGACAAGCTCGCTCCTCCGCCAGATTACGATTCGCTCACCCTGAACGACGATCTGGATCATGCTTCGCCGACTCTCCTCAACAACTACAGAGAGAATGCTGAGGCTGGTCCTTCCGACCCCGCTGCCCAACCTCTCATCCCCGTCTTCGGAAACGCCGTCGCGGCAGACTACCGCCTTTCCCTCGATTTCCACTACGAGAGTACCCTCTCTACCAACCTCGTCATTCGAGAGACCACGAACGGTAGGGACTTCTACCACGTCCAGGTGTCCGAGTGGAATTGGGGGAACCCGGATGTGATCCTTCGTAGACGGACGAGAGCGGGCGTGGTGGTCGGCTCGGCCGAGTTTAGGTGGGGAAGGGACATTCAAATCCGGCTGGGCGGGAGGGGGATCAAGGGCGATCCGGAGGGGGAAACGAGGGGAGCGGTGATGACGAACGATTCTCGATGGTTGACGCACAACAAGTACACACTCGTCATCCCATCAATTGGACCCTCTGTCACGGGAACGTCGAGCAAGGAGAAGGACAAATTGGTGACTCCAGGAGGTCGAACGCTAATCTTTACCCGAACGCAATCCGACAAAGACGGGATCGTCGGCGTACAACAGAAGTTAGCTTTTCAGCACTACAAAGTACAAGACGCCACTACTGGCAAGGTACTGGCCATGTGGACGGAGAGACGCATCATCGACGTAGTGATCAAGGGCACCTTGCGGCTCGTCACACAGGACCAGGCGTCGTCGTTGGCAGGACCGATCGGTGTAGGCGAAAGAAGGATGATGGACGAAAAGTGGGAAGCTGGAGGCAACGCAGGCGAGGATCACGACGAAGACGGTTTGAATCAGGAAGAGATTGATTGGATCGTCCTCGCCTTTGCGAGTCTGGCGGAAAAGACCAGGAGAAGAAGGGAATGAAGGACGAAGCCCGATAATCCGTGTATATATTTTATGTAGAATCATGAAAATCTGATAAATTAGGTTCGGAACTTGTAAATTAGGGACACGTAGTCCAGACAAAGACAACGGCGAGAATTATAATACGGTCGACATCACGAGATTTCGACCCCGCTTCGTGTATATAGGGGTACTGAAAAGAAACATTAGCTGTAGCGAAGCGAGCTTGAAATGGCTGCAATCCATGGGGCGGTCGGGATGACATATGGGGTGGAGAATCTGTGTATGTTCTTGCGTGTATATGTTGGGGGTTTGATATTGCTCTACTCGTCTTAGAGGGGAACCTGATCGGCATCAGACCCAAAGGGTGTAGAACTCGGATCTAGTCGGGAAGACGGTCCAGCGGCATCGTTATCGTAGGATGAAGGTGCAGCCCTACCGGTCCTGATGCGGTTCTGAGCAAGCCAATGGTTGACCTGCGCAGTGACGGTGGGACGCGAAGGCCCCCCCGCCGAATGTGTTTCATGGTACTGCTGAAGCTGATCGATCGGCAGGCTATGCTGTTGAGGCAATGTGCCATAAGAAGGCGCCCTCGCTGGCTCGGCTCCACCATAAGACTGATGGGTCGGGTGATCGAGCTCGCTTTTCAACCTCTTATCGGATCGATCGACTTCCTCGTCTTCCCTTTTCCTCTTATCTCCGCAACCGAGGGCTTCGCATTCCGGCGTCGGGAGCGTCTCAGCAGGTTCGTCTTCACTTTCCTCTGAGCTGGACCTCTCATGGTATCGGACCTCTTCTTCGTTTTGGAGAGTCATCATAGGAGATCCGTTCTGTCCGGGGCGCTTCTGCTTTTCCTCGCCTTCCATGCCGCTCAAGGTGATGTCTCCGTTGACCGTTCCCCATGTGCTGCTCGCATCGACCATCAGCGGATAGACATGTCCGTGCTGGTTGTTTCTATCTTCATCGGGACCAGGAAAAGGACCCGCCGGATTCAGTCTGGCTCCAAAGCTCGTATAGATCTCCCAGACATCTTGAATCGCCCATCCCAAAGGTCCGTAGATCGGATGCTGGAACCAGCACCGCTCCTTGAGAAACTCGACGATCTTACTCCAGGGAGATTCGGACTCGGTGGTAGTGATGAGTTTCGCGAGGTGTTCCATGTCATTGGCTGACACCGGGGGGTACCATTGTCCCGAGGCTTGAGCTCCACGAAGAGAATGGAAGCAGTCATGACAGACCAGCCGAGAGTTATTATCGACGAATCCAAAGGCTGATAGTTCAGGCGGTGAGAGAGTAGGCGGGGTTAATTCAAGCGATCAGTGCGGCAAGAGCCCGAATACGTACGTCTAGTACTCCTGATATCGCATTCCTCAATTGTGCCGCGTTTGCATTGGTGGCAAGGCTTTCGTTGACTCTTGTCGTACGTGACTTCCATCTCGGCCCTCCACTGCTGATTCCCCATGCCAATGCGCTTCCAACCCTCCGACTTGATTTCGAGGTTCTTCCTCGCCCGTTGTCTGTCAGAATGACATGCGTGACAGACGCCAGGGTGGACTCGTAGCGGATCGGGGTATCCGGCAGTACCGGGGATCTTGTAGTCATTGCAACCGGCCCAGCAGGGGAAGAAGTGGGCGATCTCGGTGGCAAGGGTCTCGTGAAACGCGTACTGTGCTTCGCGCTGAATGCAGAGATGCGGGCCAAAGAGAAAGGTCAGGTTGAAGCCTAACTGTGCGGTCTCAACGTTCAGGCTCACCTCCAGCTCCATGTAGGCCATGGTCTGGACCCCCGTTCGGATTCGCCAGTCGTCGATAGTGTAATGCAGGGGACACTGTATACCGACGACATCGGTCCAGTTCAACCCGGCCGGGACGATGAACTGGTCGGGGTGTCTCCACCATTTGGCGAGGGACTGAGCGTCTGGCAGGTAAAATAGTGCGAGAAAGCCGCTATCGTCCTTCGCATCGGGACAACCGGGAGTGCAACAACGTCTGCCGCTCTTCGCGAGTTTATTGAGCACCTGCGGGATTTCCTTGAGTTTGAAAGCGATACCGGTAGATCTCTTCACCAGCCTTCGTAACTTCCGGAAGCCGCGGTTCCAGTGATCTTCAGGCTCTGTATACCCATACTGGTACCGGGCCTCTAGGCGTCCTATCTCTGACTTCCATAGCAGATCATGCGCCAGGTCTCCGAGGTCAGCATACCCGGCTGCTAGAATGTCGTCGTCATCGCTTTGATCTTCAGACCGCTCTCCAACGGTAGCCAAGTCCGCCGCCCTTCCGTCGTTGTCCCACACGAAGTCCGGCAAGGTATCGAGTAAGGCTTTCATCTCGATCTCTACCAACGCTCGAGACTCGTCGTGCGTATATTTCTTACGCAACCGCCAATATCGCTGGATAATGATCCGCTGTTGGAACAGCGGCACGTTAACGAATGGTTGGTATTTATCAGGCAGGATGAGTCCCAAGCCTCGTTGCTGACGACGATTATTGATCGCGTCGGGAAGTACCAGCTTGAGATGGCTCCACGAAGTGATCTGGTGTTCCTCTCGAGGAGCATAGTACACGAGGTTTGTCATCAACCGGTATCTTTGTTTGTCATGGTGACCAGAGGTGACGAGTTCGAATTCAGGTTCGCCAATGTGTCGGCGATAGCCAGCCAGAAGAACCTCGGGTTGAGGGACCTTGTTATCGAAGTGATCGATGATAATGTCGAGCAGTTCGTTCCGCCAGCGGGACAGCTGGCTTACCGTGAAGTTGCGGTGATCGAATTCTCGGGCCATGATGCTGACAAAGAAGTGACTCAGCAGGTTGATTGGTATCACGGATGTGTGAGTATTGGATGTCGAATCTCGAATCTTTTGATTAGAAAACAGCGAGATGAGGTCGGTTTGTATCGATGGAGGTGTGGGAGAGCGGCGAGGAGCTACAGTAGAAGTTCATTCAACAGTGCGCGTCGTAAGCAAACATTTATTACCCATTCCGCCGAGTAAGCGCATATAGAATTTGTCACGTGATCCGCCTGCTTGAGCCACCTTGCCTTGACCAAAGCTGTCTTCGAACGGAAATCGGTATAACAGCGTCTCGTTGATAACCAGGACGCATTCGGAAAACTCTCCATGCGAGGGTCGTGCTCGTTCATGTACCGAAATCACCTCGCTTGCCTGAAGCCCCTCGACCGCGAGAGCCACCAATATTATTGATTGTGATACCCTGACACCAGTGGACGCTCCCTCTGGATACTGGGTTCATTGTGCTTCGACCGATCGGTCTTGTACCACGAACAAAAGAGGAGGGCGCGGATATCAGCGCCAGGTCTTTTAAAGGCATCTTCCTGACGATTGAGCCGGCGAAGTTGCTTGCATGAGCGATGAAGAGGAAGCTTACTTATTGCGAGACAACGAATCGAAGGGCATCAGCTCGTTGCCTCGGAAGACACTTTCAACAGCATGGTTTCTGGCTTCGCATGCTCCCTCCTAGGGCATCATCCGGATATAGTCAAGCGTCCATCGCGGTCAACATCGCAATGCTGCCTGGCTTCTAACAAGACCAAAGTGGAGGAAGTTTGCGGTCTGAAACAACATGCTGAGCTGCATCACACGCGCGCGCGCGAGGCTAAACGATCCAGAAATCATTGCTTCGAACCGGAGCAAAAAGCTATGGAGAAATGGCGAATCGAACGCCAGACCTTTCCAAGATAAGCTAGAAGTGCTAATGGAATGTTATACCAACTAAACCATATCCCCATTGATGAAGGAGAATTTTAACAACATAATTGAACTGATTGCTGTCCGTTCTGTCTAAAACTTCGGTGTTCGCCGTTTGCCCATCCCATCCTAAAGTTGTGGCGCAAGATTCACATTCGTATACCCTGGTCCTTCCTTTCGATCATCTCCACCGTACAATAGGTTGCTATACATCGAACTCACGTCATGTCCAAGAGCAAGAAACAAGCCGCCAAGCTGAAAGCCCACCGCTTGCAAGTGGCAGCTCAACCAACCAAGGCGACCAAGGTTGCCTCGCTCGTGATCGATCAATTCGAGGACGAAATCGTCGCCCAGGAAGATCTGGCCATCACGGTTGAGACAATCTCTGCTATCTTGGAAGAACCGGATGTGCTGAGTGGGCCGAGATACAAGGAATTGAAACGGGTCGGGTGGGAGTTTGGGAAGACTTTGGCGGAGCTTGGGTCGGGAGCTGGTAAGCTTCTTCACGACGAAGAAAGGACTATACGGCTCGGGGTCTCTGAACTCTTGCACATGTAACGGCAGGCTCCTCCATCCACTCTAAGATCTCGCACCTACTCTCCTTATCGCTGTACAGGCAAGCTCTTGTTCTCCTGTTCGACCTATACGTCAACAAGACGCCTACCAAGCTAGGTTCCCTGCAGCGATGGGTCCGGGATTGCGATGCGACTAGCAGACCAGGCAGGGTCCTTACTCCTGAAGAAGCTGAGGAACGAGACGTTGTACTCAGGTGTCTTGACATGGTACTTCGCGTATGTGGAGAGGACGGTAAGGGCAAGGGAAAAGGAAAGGAAAGGCTAGAGGAGTTTGAGGATGGGCAAGATGAGGGCTCAGTCATCCGTCGGATGAAGGTGTGGAGCGTCAGGCAAGAGATCGAGAAGGCTCGTGGCAAGGATGGGCAACCGGGCTCGTTACAGGAGGAGAAGCCCCTCTGGGATCTGATTCAGAAAGGATTCGAGGGTGAGCCGGCTTGTCGGGCCTTTCTGTGTTCGTTTGATGACTGATTTCTTTTACCGTTCACCTGTCAACAGACGATAGCAGGGGCAGCCTCCCCTCATTCTATGCTGTACAGACCACCCCGGGCCACCTTCGCCGACCTCCCAACGTCTACGCTTCCACGGTACAAGCCTCGATGACCCCCTCGCCAATCCCTTTCCCTGCTTGCTCCGAACCCGCATTCTCTTTGTCCCACCCTGCCATCCCGACATGCTCAATGTTGCTGAACATCCTTCCCCCTACCACATGCGAGTCTATCATCCAGATGGCCAACACGCTTGGATGGGAACCTGATCAGGCCGCGGGAGGATCGGCTGTCGACAAGACGAGCGTACTAGCCCACAACGTCGTCTGGCTCGCTGATGAAGAGTTTGTTGGGCAATTATTTGAGAGGACAAGGCCATTCGTTGAGGAGACCGTCAGGGGTAGCGGGGAGAAGGGGGATGGGTCCGGTGGCAAGGTCAGGGGGATCAACAGGAGGTTTAGGGTGTATCGATATGGACCCAAGCAGGTTTACAGGGTAGGCCGTTGCGAAGACTCTTTCATGGCGTGCGATTGGGTGGCTAATCATTATATCATAACAGCCTCACATTGACGGTGCTTGGCCAGCTGCAGGAGTCGATGCCGAGACTGGGGAATACCTTCATGAGTGAGTTTAGTGATTCAATCGGACTCGTTTGACAACCTTGTAGATGACAACGACACGGTCACCCTACAGCTCATCGCCAGCAGACGACCCGTTATGGTCCAGGTACACTTTGTTAATCTACCTTAACTCGGACATCAACGCCTCTGCCGCCGCCCCTACTGTGCCGGGGGCGACGACCTTTTTCCTCCCTTCCCCCTCGTCGATCGGGACCTTGTTGGCCTGTCCTATCGCCCCGGTTCAAGGTGCCGTCCTCGTCTTCCCTCACGGAGACGCTCGAGGTTCGCTCTTGCACGAGGGAAGCCCGGTAGGGGATAACGGCTGGAAGGTCGTCATCCGTACCGACCTCTTGTACGAGGCCGAAGGGTTCGGCGAGTTTGCGCCCGGGAAGAAGAGAAAGTTGGTCCCCGATCAGGAGGACAATGATAGAGGAGTCAGCAAGATGGCCAAGATTGTTGACATCGAGGGAGGTTCGGTCGTCGGTGAGGTGGTCGTGCCCAAGGCGATGGGAGAACAACATGCCGGCGATGGCGTCGAGGGGATCGGAGGATAAGCTCAAAGGGGAATGCGAGGGCGTCTAGGGAAGAGACATCTGCCTGCTTCTGACTTGCTCTCTTCATGACCATGTATATCGTATATACCCTATACAATTCAAATACATTCGATGTGCGATCGCTCGACCATTAATCGTAGCCAAGATAGCTATAGGCAGTGATGGTGGTGACGATTTGGTAGATTTGCTTCCGCTCGGTCATGACCTACAGCTACAGAGGTTAGCTCCGCGAAGTAGCACACCCAAGTAGCAAGTAGCAAGTACTCGAGTAGCTGAACAACTTGTCAGGACGTTCGTCGTCGATGTCTATCTGGCCGTCGACCCGCGGATAGTAACACAGACCTGTATCATCTATTCCTAACTCCAAGCAGAGTGATCATAATTGGAATCACGCTCAAGCAGGGCAAGACAAGGCGTGACTCTCAGGACGGTCGAACATGTCTAGGAAACCATCCGATCCCTCTACGAAGCTCAAGATCTCCAATCCACAACCGTATCAGCCTCCCAATGGCGAGTAGATGCTGTACTTATCACTAGCGTGATAGTAGTGGCTGATGCTCAACCGATGTCTATAGCTTTTGCAAATCGAAACTTGAGCGACTACCGTCCTGCTCCGGTTCCGGGTTCAGGGTCACCAGCTACCGGAAGAGCGAGTCCTGCTCCAGGACCTGCACCTGCTCGACCAGCTAGATCCGTTCGAAGAGCCCCAGATCCGCCGGCGCAAGCTCCAGGATCTTTTCCCTCGATTCTTCCCGTAACGTCATTACCGACCTCTGAGTCCTCCAAGAGCACACCCCAGCCTACACTCCTACAGATCCCTCCCGCAAACAACGACTATGACCTGCCGGTATCACCGATATCACCTATGGACGGGCCTCAAAGAATTCAGCCAAGTTCAACTACGACTTGGGAGTCGGAGCGTAACCAGCGCTCTCACTTGTTACAGGCCCAACAGCAAAACGTAGAGCGGGAAAACAAGCTTCAAAATGCGGTGAAAGCCTTCTCGGCTGGAAGCAAGGGCAAAGCTCCAGAACGGTCGGCGTTGCGGAAGCCTTCAGGGGCAAATGGCTCGAGGTTGCATGATGAGCTGATGATCGGGCATGGGGGACGGGATTTTGATGATGTCGATTGTGAGCTTCCGTCCAAACCTTCTCAAAGAAGGAGACTTCGCTGATTACCATATTGTAGCCGTGTTGAGGAAGATACAGAGAGAATGGCCTTTCGTGCTGGAACCAGACGTGAGTCCCTACAACTTGGAGTGGTATACATCGATTTGTACTGAATACCGCTCGTCATTTTAGTTTGCGTCGACCAGCTTGGCTCTGTCTCTTTTGCCTCCTACAAAAGACGAACCAAGAGGTTCCACACCATACGGCTCTCAGAATCTCGAATCCTTCATGGAAATCCAGTCGTTACTCTCAGACTCGCTCTCGAAAGCTGTACAGAATCACTACCAGGTCTATGCGGCCTCTTTGCCTCAGCATGCCAACCTTGTGACCGCGCTCAATCGAGCTCAAGGTGTAGTGAAGGACACGAAAAAGAAGCTCATTGAAGGCAGAGAACTGCTCAGCGGAAGAACGGAAGCGACCGTCTCGGGAGCAGCGTCAGGCAAGCGGTCAGAGATGGTAGCGCTCTGGCACAAAGAAAGGGCTCTTCGAGAAATGTTGAAGACGCTGGATACCATGTAAGCTCTTTGTTGCAGAGTCTCTCGGCAAGTGGATACTGAGATTGATCATCTCCGCCTCCTTACAGTGAGAACCTTAAAGCCGTTCCAGATCGCCTCGAGACCTTGATCGCCGACAAGAAGTTCATCGCCGCGGCCTTGATACTGACGCGAGCTATCAGGACGATCAACAAGGACGAGATGATGGAGATTGGAGCTCTCGCAGACCTCCGCACATATCTGATCGGCCAGCAGAATGTGAGTATTGCAAAGAATCATTGGGTCGGGTCACACTGCTAAGTAATCATTTTCCACAAAGGTCTTGGTTGATATCCTGCTAGATGAGTTGAGCAACCATCTGTACCTCAAAATTCACTACTGCGATGGGCGATGGGTGCCGTATCAACCGGGACAGACGCACCGCAGGTATCACAATAACAATACGAGCGATGGAGTCGATGACTAATCATGGGTCACTGCGAACAGTGCCGATACCAAAAGACCAGGTCAAGGATATGGACGACATTGAAACCGCACGTCGTGGAAGCGCCGGAAGCATAGACAAGAGCAATCCCCGGCTTTCGCGTTTCCTGCAAAATCTCTCCCACAAGCCGAATCGTGATCCTATCCTCAACTTGTCCGACGATGAATTGATGAGCATGCCAGCAATCCCGCCTAGGGCAAACAGGCGTGATCTTTCGGTCTATGGGGGAGATACAACAAGTATAGCGGCAGCGGATCGTGCGCTCCAGGAGGAAAGGGAGAGTACAGTGTCGGGAAACCCTGAGCTGGACTCTTATGCATACATGGCAATGTGTCTGGAAGCCCTGGCGATATTAGACAGATTAGGCCCTGCCCTGGAAGCGATCAGTCAACGGATAGCCAACGAACTCTTCAAGCTGGTAGAGTCCACCATCGAGGAAGCGTCTGACAGGTAAGTCGGTCCCTTAATTTTAGCATATAATCCGTTCCTGACTCCCTTTGCAGAGCCGAATTACGAAAGGCAGAGGCCAGCGCGGAAGCAGCACCTCAGAACAATGTGGAGGAGGGTGATGTACTCATCAACGGCGAACTCAACAAGCTGAAGCGTGCCAGTATGACGGCAACGGCAGCGAACGCATACTCGCGGCATCAGCGTTTACGCATGGATAGCTTAGAGCGAGGTGGATCAGAGCCGCAATCTTTCACTCTTCTCGACCTGTTCTGGACCGTCTATTCCAAGTTCCGAGCGGTGCTAGAAGGTCAGCGAGTAGTGAGCGAGGTTGTAAGCCGAATAGCGATGGTAAGTCTGCTTCGCTCCTCTTGTGTCAGACTGGCTTTGACACGGTCATCCAATCTGCCACAGACGAGTTCATATAGCTCGAAGAGGCAAGCATTCACTGCTATTCCGACGGAAGACTTTGTGAAGCCGATGCAGAAAGAGGTTCGAGCGCTCCTACGGGATTACCTTACCGACACGAATCGGAATGCGACATCCAGCCGCAAGCCCGTTTCGAGCATCAACGATATGATGCGGAATGGGAAAGCTGCACGGGACAAGCAAAGAGTACGTCTGCCAACACCTCCAAGAAAGCGACTATACTAAGGCAGGTCCCGATTGTCAGGCCGTCTTTCGCTTTGGCGATACCGATACCAAGACGATCAACAAGGACCTGGACAAATTCGAGCAGAGCCTTACCCAGGCTATGCAGATCCACGTTCCCGGTCTGGTGACTATGACAGATAACGGGATACAAGCGCGTCTTGCTGTAACACAGCTGAACGAGGACGGCACCAGCCTCGCCAAGACTCACAAACTGCTGGTATCGCCCGACCCATTTAACGTCTCAATCTTGTTTCAGCCTTATCTGGCGTTCGTGACCTCTGCAAGAGAGACCATAAATATGAGCTCTCTCGACGAGGAGCACGGCGAAATCGGTCATTTCATGGACGATTTCATCCAAAAGGTTTATCTGCCCCAGCTGGAAGAAAAGGTTACGAATCTCTTCCAACAGGCTGCAAACGGTGGGTTGCGCGTAATGATTATTGACCCAGTCGGGTAGCTCAATATGAGAGCTCCGATTCTTCAGGACCCACTGCTTTCTTACGTGATGTCAATTGGTCTCGATGGAGCCCGTTTCCGATCGTTAACGTGAGTCATGTTGACCATGTTTGAAGCTATCAGCCAGACTCAACAACTCAATACTTTTCTTTAGGCTGGAACCCAAACGATGGCGCTGGTCAATAGTCTATGTTACATGTTGGAAACGACTCCATTCCAGAGGGAAAATTATAGCCGTTTGATCCTGGGGATCATCGTCCAATTTTACCAGAAGTCCAATTCACATTACAAGGGTGAGTAAGCCGACTCCTGCATGCATATATATATATATATATATATATATATATATATATATATATAGACTTATTCAAACCGGTGCTTCGGTAGATATCGTGGCATCCGACTCGTATACCGACGGACGGTTACCACTAGCTGCCAGCTGGAGTCAACGCGAGGATATTCTCGCCAACTTGGGTGAACTACAGCATAGTCCTGTGAGTCGGAGATCCTCTGATGTGGAAGCGGATCTGTGCGCTGACAGCGTAAACAGGCTGCGGATGTCCGAGCTCGAGAGAATCTGAGTCGAGAAGAAAACAAATTGGAGCTGCCCATGCTACCTAGGGATCACAAAGGCCTCGAGGTGAAAGACATCATCGGGACAAAGGAAAAGTTTGCAGCTCTGGCCGATCTCTACTATACCACCGTGAGTTCAGAGCTACCAGACAAGCGGCGTCCCAAGGAAAGATAGGTAGTTGACCCAGTTGACTGTGTTGCAGCGCTGGATCGTTGCTCGCCTCAGAGAGCTAAAGAGAGTCGGGGAAGACCTGGTCTCACCAGGAGGCGCAGAGCAGGGCGCGGCGGTAGGTCGATGAGTTCCGCCCCATCATCCTAATTAAAACAAAGCTAAGACGCCTTTGTAGCTTGATGTGCCGCCTCCTACATCTCCCACCGATAAGCCAGCTTTGGATCTGACAATGGCTATGTCTCAGTGAGTGAAAGTGGGCACAGGCTTTCTATCGTCTGCCAATTCTTATGTTTTGGGTTTCAAGACGCTTCGACGCTATCTTATCGACCTATGAGCAATTTGGAGACATGGTGCTCTATACGCTCCGGATCGAATTGCGATGCCGATTGATGTTTTATATACAATCGTCGATGAGCAAAGTAAGTCCCGGTCGATCACTTGTACGTCTGCCTCATGCTGATCGAGCGAAACGCAGACAAATTATCGAGCGGAGAACACGGATGACGAGCCCGATCCACATGTCCAGGACCTGACCAACGATCTATCACAATGCGAGAGTATCGTGCAGGTCTCGATACCACCTGGGGATCGAGAGTACGTAGATACATACACGAAGAGTGTCGACATTAAGCAGCTGAACACGCTCTCGCCTCACAGCTTCCTTTTCGTCGGTCTCGATTCGCTGGCCGACACGGTTCTGGTCTCTAGCGGGCGTTTCGTGCGAAGTATTTCCGACTCAGGGCTGAGGAAGATCGAACGGAATATCGCGGCGATCCAGCAAGCGCTGCGAAACATGTTGTCGGGCGGTTCCAGAATTGTGCTGTCGAATTGTCGGCGGTATTGGCAGCTTTATAGTATCGGTCCACAGGTGGGTCACCGTAAAGTCGCCGGAACCGCTCCATTTTGCATAATCTTATCGACCACCGACTTCGCTCCCTACAGGCACTCATCAATTTGATACAGGAACGGGGCCCGGAATACACTTTTGACGAATACAACCATATGCTCACCCTACAGTGCAAGATCGACGTTCGAGCGGAAACGAGAGCGAACAATCGACTCAGCTTGCTGCCAGGTCAACAACAAAATGGCATGACGTCGGGTCAAAAGACGTTCGACAGTGACCGGACCGCTTATAATGACGCTCTCATCGAACTGCATTCGTTCTTTATGTAGCCAATTCTTGTCAAAAACGTGCTTGTAACGAGGAAAGACCTTTCATTCGAGGTGTAGACGATACATAATCTTTGAACCTGCCTCTATTCCGATCTGGGTAAGCCGACTGGGTTCTCCTTACTAGATCAGGCAGCACTTTAAAGACCGGCCTCGAAGTGATGAAGACGAGAAGCAGAGCAATCAGAGTACGGCGCAAGAAGACAAATATCATCTTGTTAGCTTGTTGGTCCTGCTGCTGGTTGAATCCAAAGTCTTGCAATGGCGGCATTGTCGCTTGTGAATATCCTCAACTACCCCCTTCTATACTGCCCCACCTGCGGTCGTCAAAGACTCCGCTCTGACTTCCACAGCTCAAATCCAGTCCCTTCCCATGCACTCTTCAGGCGCTGGCCTAGTCGAATTGACCATGTACGATTCGTAATTCCAACAAGGGGATGAACGTCCCACAACCAAGACGATCAACGGGACCCTCAAACTCAACAATCTCAAGAAACACGCCGTGGTGAGAACCCCTCTCGAGACACCCCCTGCGTTCCGTTTTCATTCTTCGTTCCATGTCCATCTGCTGGATGTGGTATCCTAGTACAAGTGGGGCATGGTCCTGACGACCCTTCCGTGGTTCTCGGCGTGCTTTTTCAGTCTATGTATATCGAGACCAAAGTTGGGTTTAGCATGGAACGTATATAATCGTGGCGATCGACAACGTTCGCGCTTACCTGGCCAGGATCTCGGTATCTCTCCATCTCTCCGGAACCTCGCGCTTGCCAACGGACCAGTAGTAGATGTCCCAGTCGGGCTCGTCCAACAACTATAGGCACAAGATCAGCCACGACCAGCAGAAATTCCCGCACAATAATCAATGCTCACCTTGTCAAATTCTTGCATCTGTGCAACCGACATGCCGTCCAAGTATTGTTTCGAGAACGTGCTCAAGATCAAGTCCGTCTCCAGGGTCCCCCTCTTCCTACACTGGTAGACCAGTCTCGCCCTCAATGTCTTTTCGTCCTCCCCAGTCCTGTCCAAGGGCTTAGGCAGGGAGTCTAGGTTGTTCTTGACCTCATCAGAACCTTCAGCGAGGGAAGGTTGAGAAAGCGGGAGAGGGTAAGGGTCCGTCATCTCCGAAGGAGGGGCTTCCGCCTTTGGGTCGTTGAGAAGGGATTGTTTGGTCGCTTCGTGGTCTGCGCGTTCTTCTTCTGCGGCCGAGGCTTCGAGTTGGTCGGGGCTAAGTGAATCAGGGACAGAGATACACCAAGGAAGTGAGTTCACGGTCGGTTGTCAGGGCAAGGGGAGTATAGCGACAACTAACCTCTTCCAGAGATCCTTCGATGCGTGCATAAATTCGTACAGCTGGCCGGCCTGCTCATCGGAGAGCTGAAGCACGAGATAACTTGTCAGCTCAGAAGCAGATGCCAATGGGACGCATGTTGAACACCGCTCACCTTGTCAAAGTACTCTTCCTGCAATACACGACCCTTGAACACCTCGCCCGGCTTCAAGTTGCTCTGCTGCAGCTGATCCAGGTAAAGCTTCCACTGGGAGAGGAATCCGATGATATGGATCGGGTTGTCCGTCGATCGGGTGGCTCGGAACTCTGTGTTACAAAGAACATAAGGTCAAGTTAAACGGACTATCAGAATCGCTTAAGGATTAGGAGGCGAAATCCAATGCCACTAAACTGACCCGTCTTGACGTATGAATCACCGAGGAACCTCATGTCCTCTGGAAGTACCCGATGAGCCCTGAGTAGACGTCGGTAGAGTCTATATTGCGTGATCAAGATCGGTCAGCTTTCAAGACAGTATTAACAACAGTCTACCCTGGATCGACTTGCGGGATAGGGGGTAAGAGTTCGGCGGAAGCCTTTTTCAGCCGGAGGGGCCGCTTGGAAACGGATTTCGCTAGGTTGAGGGCAGTAGGGCGCATGATTGTAGTGCGAAGATGTGTATGTATGTATATGTATGTCGGTGTGTGCGAGTGTATATGTGGGAGAGATCGAGGTAGTTAAAGTTGGACTTATTGGGCGAGATCGACGTCTGATCGGCCGATCGGCATGCTCGCGGAAGCAAAAGCAGGGCAGGAGGACTGGTGACGAAAGCAGCGGTTTCTTCCGGGGTCAAAGGCTCTCGGTATTCGTTTCCAAAGTTGACCATTATTATATCTCGTCTTTTATACTAAAACTATCCCCACACAATCAATCCCACATCATCCAGCACGCAACGTACTCGCGTCATACACCTTCCTACTGCTGCGGATGGCGGCCCGAATCCGTTGTCTGTGGTATATCTATCGGTTCCGGTACCTGTTCCAATTCGACCACTGGCCGTCCATTTGCATCGACCTGCATATCTATCCCTGTCGTAGCCGTGGCTGTATCCTGTACCTCGGTCTGTAGCAGCGTTGGAGGTAGTGCAGTCGTCTGCTTCGGAGGACTCGCAAAGAACGGATCGTTGTTCAACATCTCCAGCTGAGATTTCGATGCTCCGCTAAGTGTGTACGACGCTGGCCAGGTCCCATCGTGTATCCAGCCCGCCCGTAATATCTTGACCTGAGTTGACGCAACAAACGCAACTCGTATAGTCAGCTCACGCACGATCACATTGCGTCAACCTCTTGATCTTCTTCCACGCCCTCCACTCACAGCCAACCCCAACCTGATCCCCCGTTTGAGCATCTTGCCATCTATCAGAAATTTCCAGACGGCTTCGAGTCCCCCTTGTTTCCACACCCTATCCGACTCTTCAGAACCCGGTTCCGCTAATAAAGCTTCTAACCGGTCGATCGGGTCGTCCGCTCCACCTCCCTTGCCCTTCTTGGACACAAGAGGGTTAGGGGTAGATCGAGCGGTCTGATATTGCGAATAAGACATCGGATTTGAATTCGAGTTCGGATTGGCGCCTGCTCGATCTTGAGCCAGGGAAGACGGGTTGGACGGGACGATCGCACCGGCCGAGAGAGCTTGCGAGGGATTCTGAGCGCCCGACGAGGAACGGAGATCGGTCGAAGCAGCACTTCCGTTTGCATGGGGATTTGCCGCAGCAGCCGATGACGATCCAGGCAAGGCGTTGACGAGGAACGAAGGGAGTTTACCCCTAGCTTTCATCGACAGTCCCAAGTAGTGGGACAACGAGTTGTGCGAACTGGTTCCATTGTTGTTGACGTTGGCAGCCTCTGGGGACGTCCATGGCAGGTTGTTAGACCCGAGATATGGTCCAGCCTGGGGTAGAGTGGGGTCGTGAGGGTACAGTTGGCCGGATAACCATAGCTCTCGACGTCGTTCCCAGTATTGCGGGCCTGTCAAGAAAATTTCGATATGAGAACCCCGTACGACCGTCCTGTTGAGCTGCTTCCCGAAGACTGACCGAAAGTCTCTGGAGTGGGGTACCGGAAATCCCCAGTCTCTATCAAGTCGTCCGGCATGATCATCATCCCGCTATCGTCCGTCCCTCCCGTGCTCCCTGCTATCGCCTGTGTCGAGGTCACTGACGACGTCGTACTCCCCCGGCTCAGTCTCCGACGAGGAGTATGCGTCTGGTGCTCGTCCTTGTCCTTTTCGTGGGGGGCCGTCGATACCACTGCTCTCGCTCTAGGCTCAGGGATGGTCAAGTACTGAGCCGACCGGTTGGATGTGTCGGATTCGTGCGGGGATGGCAAGATCCATGCAGATGACTCGGACGAGAGGTTAGATTGTGATAGCGATCGAGGAGGACTGGAGGCGAGGTCGTCTTGCACCATGGGTAGAGGGGGTTGAGCAGAGGTCAAGTCCAGGGGCACGATGGCTTGAGGAGCCAAGTCGCTCGTCCGAGAAGCCAAGCAAAAGGTCGATACGCCGAACGACACCTGCTCGACTGCGAGACTTGTTAATCCTACTAGCTACTGGGCAGTCCGAAATGGGTACGATATGTATATACACACGAGACACGGTTGACATACAGCACACAATGATAAGTCGATATGTACACCGAATTTACACAATCACCCTCAAACTCTGAGATCGAGATTCCTCTTTTTTAGGCGCCGCGCAAAAGTCGCAAATCGTGGAACCGTAAATCGGTCTCCTGGGACCCTGAATACAACGAAAAGAAGCAACTGCTATACAAACAGGAAATAAGTATCGTGCTGTGTTGCGTATGACTCGCATGTCGTAAAGAAGCGAAATGGTGTGGTGGAAAGAAAGAAACGTTCGTCCTCACAGCCATCCTTCGCGACCTGGCGTTTCGCTCGGGGTGACGGCTTCTCGTTGTTTGACGTGAGTGGGACTCAATTGTGATGAACTGAAGAAAGACAAGCCTTCAAGACCAGCTTTGGAGACTCGTCTCATGGGCTGAAGGGTATAAGTGTTGACGGGTGCTCTGAGGAAATGGAGATGATGGTGAGCTGAGGGGGCGACAACTATTCAACCATAACGACAGACTCACCTCCGGAACTGCACGTATTGGCCGTTCTTGCGGACTTCTTTGTTCATACCCCGCTGATCCGCTAGGTCCGACATGCCCTGCTTGAAGTCTTGCGCCGTCGACTTGTTTGTAGCGGTCTGCCTTGGTGTTGCCACGCTGTCATCGTCGACAGGCTCTTCCGAGCCATTCACGGGACTCGTTACAAAGTTGCCATCCGTCGCGGGACCCCATGTTGGCGGTAGACTTTCCCGGCCGTACTTGTTCCTCCTCGACTGGGAATTGTCCCTTTCAGACTCGTTGGCGCCCTTGTCATCGTTCGAATCGGTAGCGATACCGCTCGAGGCCTTCAGACCGAGCTCCCCTTCCTCGAATTGCATCAATTCTGCAACGAAGCCGATGTTGGGAGATATGCCTTTACGACGTTCAGCGACATAGGCGTAGGATGTCTTCAGAGTCCACGCATTGGCGTGGATAAGGTATCCTAGCACTACGGTGACGGAGCGCGATTTGCCAGCTTTGCAGTGAACATAGGTTGGGGAAGAATGTAGTCGAGCGTCGTCTAACAGGAACGACCGGGAGAAAGAGAACAATATCAGTTGGTAGCTATTGCGACTGATCGGCACAAAGGCGACATACCCAAGAATTGGCATGCATCCATGACGCCCTTGCGAATCCCACTCTCCTCCACGCAATCCCGCAAGGGCAAGCGTACGTACTTTTCGAAGCGATTTTGTAGCTCCAGCCGTTCGCCCTCGTCGCATTCTACGGCCACGTTGAGGATTCTCTTGACTCCCAAGTCGAGTAACTTCTGCACTTCTGCTTCACTAGTGATTTCCGGGCCCAGGTACAAGAAAGAGGGCAGGATTGTTGATACAGTGAACGTAAGAGGACCAGGGCTGCGATCTTCGTCGTCGTCTTCCGTCGCCTGATACCCGTTGATCGGAGACAAGGGATAATCGAGACCAGAACTGTCCGAAGAGGAAGATGACGTGCACGACGGTGGGAAATATGGGTTACCGCTCGGTTCGATCACGCTGGGCGACTCATAGTGCGGGTTGACCCGCCGAGTGATGCCGCCGAAAGAACTTGGAGAAGGCGGTAGGCCCGATTGTGCATGGCAGACAGATTGCAACGAGCCGAAACCTTGCTGACCACCCTGAACAGCGGAAGCTGGGCTCTTCAAGGGCGAAAGTGTCCGATCCGCTCCGACGTGTCGTGTCCCATGATGGGGGAAGGTGGTATTGCCCGAGGCCGACCGGAGCCTGCCCGAAGCTTCACCATAGGTGCCCGATAATGGAGTACTAGCACTTTTCAGAGGCGTTGGCACGACGAGATTAGCTTTCGTCGACCTTAGGTCCAGCGCTGGTGGCTTTCTTCCGGTTTTTGGTGCCGGATTTCCGACGCCAAAAGTATCGATACGTATCGGCGTCGGAATCATTCTGCGCGGTTTCGATACACCCATCGGTGGGGGTGACATGAGTGATGGATAAGGGTCGACAGCGGTCAAACTGCCTTGTGCGAGCGGATATGGCCGCAAGCTAGCTGAAGGGCTTTTCGATCCGGGTATCTGCAGGGACGGCAGGCCGTGGCGACCGCTCCGACTCGGAACCGATCGGAAGGCCAGTTGCGTCGGACCTGACGTGCGAGGTGCCTTCGGAAGCGAAGCTAGATCTGACGAAGGTTTCGCCGATGAGAAATTAAAGCCATGCATCGGCGGAACCGAGATGGCTGGATCGGTCTCGCCACCAAAGGGCGTCGAAGCTTGACCTTGTCTCAAGACGTCGCTCAGAGTTTCACTTTGCGCCTCGATGCCGTGCCCCCAGCCCCCCTTCAACCACTTGACCGAGATCTGATCGTCCGGCCGTAGATCGTACATGATCTCCTCGACAACCCTGGCGCTCTCCTCGTCCAGCTTGTCGGCAATGAGGACGACTTCCAAGAAGTCGCTCTGCCATGCCGTACTCCAGATCGCACTGCCGACATCGGTGCTGATGAACCCTGACAGGGCTTCCCAACCGCCGGCCAAAATGTTGCCTTTTTCTGCTCCTCCTTTCTGCTGAGAGTTTGGTCTCGATTCTCCTGTCGAACGAGGTGGTGTCTCGGCGGAATCTCTCAGGGCGTTCATCACATTTCGTTTGCACCGCCTGATAATCAATGTCGGTACCACCAGGTTGACCGAGTGAAGAAGATGACCGTCGAGGTATTCTTTCAAAGGTCTCATGTCGATCACCAAGGGTAATCTCTCGCCCGTGGCCTTGCTTCTTAGCCGATCTGCAAGCTGCGATCCAGAGATAAAGTCCGCTTCACTCCGCGTGATGGGGGGCAAAGCTGGGGTGCCCCTCCCACTGGGGAAGAACCCTGGCGAGCTAGGCCCAGGTGACAGCCCTATCGCCAGATCCGCTCGAGTGATCATCGCTTCTAATTGCGGTGTCAATGGAGCAGAAGGTGATTTTGATCCGCTTGTCCTGTTCGAGTCGGCTTCCTCCCGACCAGGCAGTGAGAGCCGGAAACTAGCGGGAAGAGGTCGTCTTTCCAGGTTCTGCTTGACGGTCTGTCCCAAGGTGTCCAGCCTGTCCATCCGTTCGCTGAGCGTTAGGCTGTGGGTGGAACTGGTCTCGCTAACAGAGCCGAACGCTGGAATGTTTGCAGAGTTGGGGAGTGATGGGTCGAAAGGAGGTAACGTGGGGATCGAGCTGGGAGAGTCCGGTTGCTGCACTGCAGGCACACCGGTTTCTACAGAGAATGAACAGGCTACTAATGAGAACCCCGATATCGCGCGTATATAGCTGATCACCACGTCTTCGACTCACCTTCATCTCCGCTTGTCCCTCTCCACGCATCCGTCCACGTCCCCGCCTCCGGCCCTTGCAAGAAGTCCTTATCCACCTCCATCTGCATTGGTATCGTCATCCCTTTTGCCTTTTGCAGCTCCTTCTGCGCTTCCATGAGCTGAGAAAAGTTGATCGAGGCGTTCGAGATCGGTGTAGGAGGGGGGAAGCCCAACACGGACATCGGGCTCTTATGGGCTTGGGAGCGGACATCTTTCGGGTTCCTCAAAGGTGAAAGAGGGATACTGTTCGTCGTCGATAATGCCGACGAGGGCGGAGGAGGACCGCCAATCTTGCCCTGTCGGACGGTAGCCTGACTATCCACTGACCCCGCCGAACTCGATTGGGTGGGAGATTCTAGGTCGAGGTATGATCGATGAAGATTGGCGAGCGGAAGCCGAGGAGGTCGACCGGTATCTAGCGAGATGGGAAGTTGGAAAGAGGAAAGAGCAGGGTTCTCAGGGACCGAGAAGCTTAGATCGAGTCTTGACGGCAAGACCGGTTCCTTGAGACTCGTCGTCCCGTCCATCTCTACGTCCATCCCTTGATCGGTCGTCCGCCCAGGCATCCTCCCTGCTTCTGCAAGTCCAGCCATATCCGGAGAAGCAAATGGAAATTTCCTCTTGGACACGCTCGAATCCGGATGAGGCGTATCCGGGCTATTCCTCCCTGAGCCGGAATTTGAGCCTGATCCTCTCTGGATACCGCCGGTCAACGGAGGGAGGGTGACGGACATGAGTTGATGCGAGATGGCAGCGAAGAGAAATCCAGGGTGATGAGGAATAGGCTAGGGCAAGATCTTGGATTGACTTGTCGATGCTACGACGACTGGCCTGCAGAATGTCCGATCCCTATCTGTTCCTCCTTCTCCTCTGGCTATAGCTAACGAGGTCGACGATGAATGGGCTCGCGCTGCGATCCCGAGACGTCCCCTTTATCCGGCTGTGCTAGCCGAGGATCCCTTTCAGTCGCGTTCAAGTTCAGGACTACGTTTCAGAAGAAGGTGTTGATGCGAAGATCAGAGATAGCTTTGTGTTGCTTGTCGTGATTCAAAAGGTAGGATCGAAGAGTGCTGAACCCTCGAGCGACGAGCTCGATGTCGCTCGACGACGTGTTGTCTTATCCAGCCAAGTCGAGGGGGTGTTCTGTCACACGATATCGCTTGATCGCCGTCATCAAGCTTTGAGCGACTGTCTAAGAAGGATCTTGACGGATCAAGTTGTCGTCGGAGCGTCGGAACAGATGAAAGATGAAAGATGAAAGATGGCTCTCGGTCATGAAGTGGTGGACGAACAAAAGAGGTGAACAAGTTGGCTCAAAGACCCAAAGGCTCGGTGCCGGGAATCTCGTCCGGCCTCCACTTTTTGGGTTCAGCGCGGGCGCGGGGGATTGCAGGACATCATGGATCATGGACAACCTACGCAGTGGTGGGGACAGTAGTGTCTACACAGCAAGCCAGCTAGTCTTGGAGAGAGAAAGCCGTGTTCTACTTCGCTCCACTACTATTCGACGTCCTGAAATGCCTTGCTAACAGGTCTGGAGGTCTGCTGAATTTCCGAAACTACCTAACGCCCTTCGAGGTATGTCTGCGGATAGCTCTAACGGATCTCTGCGCTAAGGATGGCTAGGACGATTCGATTTCTACTCGAAAGCGATCAGAACATTCGTAACACAATCTTTCGTCAGTACCGGTCTTGAGTGCGCCGGGCCACCTAAACTGTGCGGACCCGAATACCGAACATTGAGCTTTGAGCGGGCTATGCACATTGCGAGCGAACCCAGTAAGTCAGTAATCCAGTGAAGAGTTTCAGGTTGATGAGTTGGCATGGGGTCCGTCCTTTCGCGCGAGCGAGGAGGCTGTGTCGATTGGGGTTCGGCGCAGGTAGAGGAGGCGGAATTGGCGTAGATGGAGGGGGTCGAGTTTGATTTGGCATAGGTAGGGGGAGTGGAATCGGTGCAGATGGAGTTCGGTTCAGCGCAGGTAGAGGAGGTGTAATCGACGTAGATGGATGTGGATATAATAATAGCACCTGTTGCCGCCGTTTTTGTAATCCGTATGATACAGAAGGGTACATCACAGTAGCTTGAGGGTACATGTGTAATGGCTCGCGGTCTCAGGCGGCTCTCGGGACACTTGAACACTACTGCTTTGACGCTCACCGAGGCGATTGACGACCCGGAACATTGGCCACGGAGGATCGCAAAAGAGAGGAGCGTGCTAACTCTGGGACATACTCGTCAAGCCGGTCAGGCCATCAGTAGATAGTGGCCTCGCAGCCATAGGCTTCAGACAAGCGCTGCAGAGCCACGAGGGAGATCCATATCACAAGCGCAAAAAAGCTTTTGCTTGGTGCGGGAAGAAAGAGCAGATCAGGCATTGGGGTGTAAGAGTCGGTCGGACCCCAGCACAATGCGATACTCGATACTAGGACTTCTACAGAAAATTTCCTCGTAGCGTGTTGTGGAAAGGGTCTGGAGGAAAAGATATCAAGCGCAAATCCTCGGAGTTGATGGATCGCAGGTCGATCGGGCGGAGGTCAGAACAGTATCCAATTTATGATTGTGTGACTGTAGATCCTCAGGATCTGTATCAGGACTGCTCAGGTTTCTTAATAGTTTATACTGTCATGTTCAGGTTAGCTTCCGAATACGAGCAGTTGAACAGGCCAGATGAATTCTGATCTGGAGCATGGATGGTATTTCCCCAAGTTGCTTGATTTGGTCGAAGAATGAGTCGCAGAAAGTGACCGGGTGAGACATCGAGGGAATGGACTGCAGACGAAAAATATGTGGTATTGACCAGTAGGTACAACCTGGTCGAGCCTATGATCAGGAAAGAAGACATCGACGTGTTTATCGTCTAGTCCCAAATCTGATTTCAAAGCGACGGAAGGAGCCGATTCAGCAAACTTGATGAGTACCGTAAACATACTAATCGTCAGCTTCAGGTAAACCATAAGACGCCTTATTCCGTGCATCAACCTCTCCGGATGCACTGTTATGCGACTATAGCTAGATGCAAGACCGAGTGCGATAATCCATCCTGAGATGTTCTTAAGCGTTCCGAATTCTCTTTCAGCGTCGACGCGGTAGGTTAGCAAGTTGAACCCAGGTGACAGCAACGTGGCTCTACCTACTCCTGAAGCTGCTTGTAGGGAAGGCTTGAATCGCCCGGCTCAGAGGCACGTCTTGGAGACGAGAACCCCTCGCACGGACCGATCATGATAGTCGCGCAGTTTCAGGTGCTGGCGATTCAAGGGGAGATCGAGGGCGAATGCTACGCGGAAGCAAATTGTAAGAGAGATTTCGCCGGGGAGAGCATCTCAGGATCAGAAGATCTCGGGAATGATACAGGGGGAAGTGGTCCTCGAATTACCTGGCCGCCGTCGTTATTTCCTTACTGGCTTACTAGCAATCAGTTGAATTCTCGCCTCGCACCACGAGACAGTCCGCCTTTGCAACATGCCGGGAGATACCAGGCTCACCCGCCTGCTGCTCTCCTCAGCGATCAAGCGATGTCGACGACGGTCAGGCCAGATCCCGTCTCCGATTCGCTATCGAACGATGCATGCTCAACAGCAGGCGGACGCCGGGCTAGAACTAGAAACAGAGTTTATCGATGTGGTGCCATTCAGACCGCAAATGCAAGCCAACTCGAAGCATTCAGCCGTTTCTCATCGGGAGGCGGATCCGGTTATGACCTCTTTATCGGTCGAGGCCGAACATGATATTTCCCAAGTGGAACACAAATTTCCTCTCTACACGTATGTGAATCAGAGCAAGTCTCGGAAAAACAAGGCGACATCTGATACTCGATTTAACAGAGCTGAGCCCCATTTCAAGCTCGAAGAACGAAGGGAAACCACAGCTCTGCCCGAACTAAAAGGTCCCCTCTCGAAAGAGCTCTTGCAACTGGAACACGATATCCCCCGGCTCGTCAAACATCTCAGCCAGAAGCAAAAGCTCGACATGTCCGAGACTGAGACTGAACACCTGCCCGAATGGACGGAAGAACAGTTGATCACCTTCTACCACGCGCTGGAGAGCTGGTCGGCTGGTTCGGCGGAAGAGTCGGCTGCTAGGCTTAAAGCGATAGGGTCAGGATCGGCGGAACAGAAGCGGGGGATAGCGTCTCCTGAAGTGGAAGAGAGTTTGATGGTGGCATCGCATGAGAGACCAAGACTGGGTAGGCAGGCTCGGAGGGAGATCTTGTCAGGACTTGTGGAGAGGCTATCTGCTCTGGGCTCAGAAAATGGCAACGTACCGGGACCGTCGACTCAGACTTCCATTCACCAGGCGGGGAGTGAACACACCCACGAAGCAGCAGCTAAGGACGATACGATGAAGGCAGAGCGAGTCGCCGGTTGCGATAATACTGCTCTTGAATCCGCACCATTGGAACGACGGGCTTTGGAACTGGTTACATATTTGATGCCAAAAATCAACACGTCTCAATCTGATCAGTGGGCGGAACCCCTTCCCACAGGTCTGTTGAGGCAGGTGGAATGGGATGTGTTGGTGAACAATTTTGTCTCGAAGGGGGATTTCGAGGGGGCAGCCAAGGTACTCGACGGGATGAAGGTTAGTCGCCCAGGTGAAGAATCACGCCGGAACTACGCTAATTCGTCCTTGTCGTTTACAGGGCCACGGAGTACCGGTGCCAGAGTCACGTTTCGAGGACCTGATGAGAGCTTATGCCAGGAACGGAGACGCTGTTGGCTTAGGGTCCTTCTTGGATCAACGGGAAAAGTCGAGTGAGTTCTAGCCAAACGGTAATCGGCTTCCTCATGCCCCAAGGCTAACGTCGAGACGCTCTTCTGCAGCGGGAATGGAGACTTCGAAGAGACATTTCGAGTTCATAGTCGAAGCCCACCTGGCTCGCGGGGACAAGGCCGCTGCCCTACAGACACTTTATCACTTTGAGAAGAACGGCAAGACTCTCCCGCAACGAGCTTATACGAGAGTTATATCATTTTATACGGCTGGGACGACCCGATCGACCATCTCGCCTACACCACAACGCGACAAGGCCATCGCCTGGGATCTCTTTGCGCATATGCGTCTCGTCGCGCATCCCGTACCGTCGAGATCCACCTACAACGCCATGATTCTGTCGTGTGCAGACCCTCAAGACCCTCAACCGGAAAGAGCGCTAGACCTTTTGGTTGGGATGGAACAAGAGAGCAAGCTCGTCCCGGACGGCGAGACTTTTGATGCTGCGATATTAGCATGCTCCCGTACCAAGAGTTTCTACCTGGAAGGCTTCAAGCTTTTGAGACGGATGCTTGGCTTACACCAGAGCGCGATGCTTTCCAGAAACTTCATCAATCAATCGCATGACTCGTCGGCAGAGTCGTTCGAAGTTGGCATCACCGGATACGAACCGACTTTGACTACCTTCAACGCTCTGCTAGAAGGTTGCAAACGCAGAGGTGACCTGAGTCGAACGAGATGGTTGCTGGGGGAAGTCATCCGGCTCATTAGAGGGGGCGCCGGTCAAGGCGTGGATGAGGAGATGGTGGTTAATGTGCTGCATTGCTATGCTGCCTTCCAACCCGTCATTGGCAGGGAGTCTATCAAGCAGACGGGGTCTCCCTCGGATGCAGGAGAGTCTAATGCACCTGCCAGTGATGAGAGTCCCGAGGCGGAAGAGGCTGGAATAATATCGGGCGACTTATCCACTCTGCAGGATGCCCCTCCGAAGCCCATGACATTGTTCGACGTCGGTTCGCCCGAATTTCGCCCACCGACTGGTCCCCAGACAGCCTCGGAAACCTTGTCAGAAGCCGAGAGACTCTTCCAGCTGGTCTTGCATGACCAAGGTGATCGTTCTTCACCCTTTGGCTGGTTTAAAGTCTCGGCGAGGACCGTCAACGCCTACCTGTCTGTGCGGTTCGCACACGACAACTTTGCACAAGCGATCCGATGTTGGCAGACAGTTTGGGATGAGCCAGTTCTCAAAGACTCGCAGGTGGTGAAGAACGGATGGTCATTCATCAGCTTGCTCGAGCGATGTGCCTCGGCCAAGCAGGGTGCAGAAAGGCAAGCAGTTGCCAGGGTATTGGCGTCTGTCTGGCGGGAATATCTTGGATGGGTAGACCAGGTCGATCGACAACTTCGAGTTGAGACTCCTCGGGCCGCTTGGGTCACGCGACAACAGCTCGGTCTGGGGCCGCGGCAGGTGGAACGGGCCTGGATGTTTTGTATCAAGGCGCTTGCACTGTAGGTTCTCCCGCCCGTATGAGTAACCCCGCTCGATCGATCGATCCGCTAACCCGGTTCCCCGCAGACTTGATCGGAATCGCGACGCTCTGGACGTGCTTGAACAGTTCAGAGTGAGATTCCCAGCATCGGACATCGTCGACATCAGTCACACAGCTTTTGAAAGCGAAGCCCGGACGCCTTTGACGCCTCAAATCCGCCTGTCTTCCGGTACCAACGTCTTGGAAGATCAGGTGCCGCCCCATTTATTGTTTCACGACATTAGCATCCTGCATCACAGGCTAGTTCGCGATGGTGATCTGCAAGGAGTGGGCTTGCTGAAATGGGTCTGCGTAAGCTACGAAAAGGCTCTCGAGACAAGGAGAAGCCGGCGATTGCGGGGCGACGGCACGAAGCGACGAGCAGCTTCGAAGGCCCGCGATGCCGCTAGCAGCTGACAAGTCCGGCTAGCTCCTTTGATAACGAAAACGGCGAGGCGGACAGTGCACTAGCGATCTATCGCTGCTTCGTTTGTCAACAAGGATACGATGAATGCGGGATTGGGAGCTTTATTGCGAGACAATTGGCAAGACATTTTGTTGTCTGTTGTGCGTGGACGACGACGCCACTTCAGGTCCCCGATATCGCGGACAAATGAGTCATTTCATGTGAAGAGGACGCGGAATCGTAGCGATCCCTGATGACCGGGGACGACGGAGTCGGGCGTTCTAGCGCCATCTGGCTTTATGAATACTTCCGAGAGAGTTTATCCGACCGAATCTGGGCGATCTGCGAGTCCGGATGTTCAAGATCGAGCGGCATCGTATCGTTGTCTGGGTTCGATACCGATCCCACCGATCTTTCCCCTGGTTCGATTCCAATCCGATAGACGCAGACGCCACTGGCTACCTCGATAACGGGTTCCCGGGTCGGATCGTAACGAAGATTCTGGACCAGATCTCGTTTCTCGCCGTAACTCTGTTCGATTCCGAGACCCTTGTTCAGGGCATATCTCTTGTGTACCTCGCTGCTCGAAGATGGTGAGACTTGTGTATCGTCAGTGGCGAGGTACTCAGCCCCTCGGCTACAAAAATTCTCCAGGGTCCCCGTCTCACAAAGTGCCCCGACGTCGAAGGCTTCGGGACCGCGCACTCGAAATAAAAAACTACCGAAGACATAGTTCGACGTTCCGGGAGAGAGGACGTTCCGTTGCGCGGTAGTCGATCGCGTCCCGATTGACGCCGCGCGACAACTTTTCCCCTCTTGTTGCGTGTAAGCGAAGCCTCTTTAGCGAGGCGAAAGCGCGACATCAGGGAGAAGAAAGGGGCCCTTGGTAGGATCGACCCGACCTTGATCTCCCTCGGGAGCGGATGATCGTCGATGTCAAAGGCCAGGTCATGGCTATATTCGCCCCGAGACCGAAAGCCACTGGCCACAACAAGCAAGAGGCTGCGAAACGGTTGTATCTGTGTGTCTGTGTGTATCATCGTTATAAACAGTCGGACCGCGTCTTTGGGTAGCGAACCCGCCCATCGCATCTCATGCGGATTCTTGCTTCGCCCTTTTTGCTCTCGCTGTCGTTCGAAATCGATCCACTACTCGATCTGCGTGCTGCGTGGACCTATCTGAAGCTTTCGCTTGGCTAGAGGATCCATCCCGATCGCTCGACATCTTTGGCCCGCCGTGTCCAAGAACCACATCAAGACCTGATCGCTTCGAGTAATACTCCGCTATCGACCTCCCTTTCTAGAACAGGAACAAGGACGGGCGTCATTGACAGGACCACCACGACATCTGCGCTTCTCTCGAATTACATAATACGAGATCCGCCAAGTTCGTCCCCTTCTACGTTCTCCCTTTCAACATCGCCCTCGAATCCTCTTTGGGTGCGGGTCACAAAAGACAACGACAAGGCATATTCCCGCGACAGACGGGTCGGCAGAGACCTTTGCCCTTGTTCTTCGGTTCGTTTCGGCACGGGGATTACCCATCCATCGGCTCTCGGTGATTGTAGGCACAAAGAGCCATTTCAGCAAGCTCGTGGCCGAGGCAACCTATTGCTGCTATTGTCTGAAGGAAACCATCCTCGCGCGCGCGGCATCCTCCTTTCCTTGGTCGTTATCTCCATCCATCCCACCCACTCCCGAGTCGAGCAGGTAGCTGCTCGCTGGACGCCACCACCCAGAGAGCCGGGCAATAGCGGGGGCGTCAACAACAATGTCAGTATGATGGTTGTCCTTGTTTCTGCATGTCTCTTCGGGCCTCGACCTTTTTTGTTGTCTTGGCCCGGGCGTTATGATTTACCATCCTCCAACCGGGTCATCAAGGTGACTGATCGATGCCCACTTTCCCACCTCGTGATCTCTATAGCGCCTGGACATCGGTATCAACACACGTCAGACCTGGCATCCCTCATAAGCTAACAGCTCCTAGTACCCTCAACGATCCGCCTCCTTGCATGTCAAGCATGGGCCGAGAATCCGAGGAATCGAGCTTGCCATCGTTGCAACACTTGATGCTTCACGAGGAGCAAAAAGACCGGCAGAGCCTTCCACTTCCACCATACAACGGCCTTGTCCCCCATCGCAGTCCGCAAGTCATCCGTCGCACCGCTTCCATGGACGTCCACCAATCACCTCGGCGACGAATTACGTCGTCCTCGCTGTTCAACCTCCTCAACGATGACTCTAGTGCTGCAAACACGACCACACCGCCGCGAGACCAAAGAGGAGGACTGGCGAGGATTCCCCGATCGTGTTCACCCGATGAGACACCCAGGGCGAGTGACGTCTCTCGTTTCGGGTCGAGCACACAGTTCATGCCGCGTAATCCCGTCTTGGGGGCATCTCCCCCTCAACCTGCCGGATTCTTGGGTGGACGTCAAGCGTCGATCCCTGCCCATCTTCCACCTCCACCATTCGTCCGAAGGACGTCGGATCCGCTCAGTGAGGCCGAATCGTCGTTTTCTGGGTATTCCGAAGCGGAACCGTCGATGAGGCGATCGTTCTCGACGACGAGCTCGGCCAGCTCGATCGATGATCACGAGCTCAACTTTCGACCCCTTGCCCTTCCTAATCGCCCGCTCGTCGCCAATGAGGGTCAACGGCTAACCCCACCGGACAAGAGGAGCGAAGACTCCTTCTTCTCCTCGTCCTACTCGTCCGCATCCCGACCTGTCGCGACCCCCGGATCCTCCAGGGCGCCGATCTCTCGCACGACCAAAGCGTGTAACGCTTGCCGAAGTCGCAAGGTTCGGTGCGATGCGGGTGGGCAGGCTGCAGCGTTGGTGGGCAGTGAGATGCCTTGTTCGAGATGCAAGGACGCTGGCCTGACATGCGTCTACTCGGCTCAACAACGGAAGAGGGGTCCTACCCCTGGAACGAGGCGAGGAGAGAGCGCGACAAAGACCACCAAGAGGGCTGGAGAAGGGAACGAGACACCGAGTCGACGGCCTTCAGCTATTAGCACTCGAAGGCCTTCCCACTTTGATGACGACCCTACCATCACTACGAGGATGCTGAATCGACCCACGCCCTACCGGTCGGCTTCCATCTCTACCTATTCGCAGGGACCTCACGGACCCTCCTCCATCTTTGACTCGAGAGCGCCCTCAACCGCTCATCCCTACCCTCACGATATGCATCTCATACCTCAGCATGACAACATGTACTCGTCTCCACCCGTCCCTTCTCCGACTTGGACCAATTCTCTCAGCAACTCCTCCGCCTCTACAAGCCCAAACACGCCTTACCTCCCGACCTGGAGTCAGATGGGCATACCACCGGGCAGCAGTGGGGGTCCGCTCATTACTCCTCCGGCGATGCTAGACGGCCACTCCCAACGGCCGGCGAGTCCAGCGATCATGGGTTGGGCGGGTAGCGCGATCCCAAGGGGAAAAACGCCCCCCGATCATCACCAACATCCCCACGGACAGCAAGGTCGATCGCCACAGTCGAGAAACGACTCGTACACCCACGCACACGCCTCGGCGGTGGCGAGAGAGAGGGCATCGGCCGAAGAAGAAGCGTTCCGGAACGGATACACCATGGCCTTTGCCCAATTTCAAAGGCAAAAGGATCTCGACCGGGGGATCGGTTACGAGCGAGGTCAAGATAGGGATAGGGACCTGGGCTCGGTCCGATTACCGCCCATCTCGGTCGGTACCGGTCGGTAGTACATACCTCCCTACGTCTCTGCGCACACGTACATACGTTTATCCACCACCACACACACACACAAGCACAACGCAAGTATACACGCATATGTTCCCAGCATACACGAAAACGAGTCACGGATATCAATTCAGTCGAACGTCGCGCCATATTGCCAATGTATCATCCGCCACAAAGACCGCAAGCAAAGCGATCATGTACGCTTTACGATTTACGATGTATCATACGATCCATGTGCGCCTGTTTTTCTTCAATGAGTTAGCGGACGGCGGTCTCAGTGTGTAATAAAACTGCGGCTTGTCGCATCAGCGTTTCAAGCCGATCGTCGTTGCTGTCGTTTCTCGTAAGAGGACCTCGCGCGAAGCCGTGCACCGAGGTCATAGGGACTGCCTTCTTCGCCGGAAACATCCAACTTTGATGCTAGTCTACAGAAGGAGCGCTAGGGAGACTCGTCTTCAAGCCATCAGACAGTTCACATCGACGACCATACCGCATTCGGACCCGGATTTGTTTCGTTCCCGTACAGCCTGGACTCGTCATTTTTGAAACCGCGTTCGTCCCGTTCGAACGACGACGTCTCCTCTCACTCAACACAGCCTAGCGGGAACTCGTAGTTCGTCTTCGGCAGAGTCATAAGTGTAATCCCGTCGATATTATTCGTTGTGAACAGTTCTTTCTGAGACTCGATAGGTGAGACTTGATAGATAGGAGGGATTGTCGTCTCACTTTCCGCCGGGGTTTGCCTCGCCTTACGCGCGCTTGCTGGACGCCGCTGGACGTCCGATGAAGATTGCACCGCGACGAAAGCGGTCAAACGGTTTACCCGGCATCTACCTTCTGGTCTCTCCCCTCAAATTGCTCTTCAACGGCATCGGCACCGATCACGAATGAGAATGTTTCATGTATATCCATCCGACCGCCGATAATGACGAGATGCATATCTACTGTACCTCGTCTCGTGGTGACCTGCGTGCCTTGCATTCTACTGCCTCGGATCCTCGCGATCTCGCTTCTGCGGTTTTTTGGGTCGCTCATCACGCATCGCGATCACATGTCGCATCGAGACATTCGCAGGGCCGTCATCGTCGATCGCTGCGAAGTCGACTATGCCCCTGGCGCTGCATGTATCCATGTCCAGATCTGGTGTCTTTGGCAAGTGGAACGATCGTAGCGCGCTAGACGTGGGTTGTTCCGGATTCAGGTCGATCGTTTGTCTCACCTACGTCCCCACCGCGTCTATCACAAGTCTCGAACGGACATGAAAAATGGGTAGAAGCCCTCCCTAGGGTCGGAGGAGACCGAGATGACGAACGGGATCTTATTGTCCCGTGAACCACGCTAGTATCACGTTGTTTGTTCTTTCACGTTGTTCTCTCCCCGCTTCCGTCGTCGCATTCCATCACCACATTCCCTCTGTCCCTCTGTCTTTTTCTGATCAAAAGGCGAAAGAGGACGATCCATCAAAAGGCACACACAGCCACCATCATCATCATCACCACCACCACATCTCTTGGGAGAAAGCTTGTTCGAAACATACTTTCATCATCCTATATCCCATCCTCCTTCAAAGCGACTCCTCCCTCCTTTCTACATCGACAACAACGACGACAATCATCACACGCTCTCTCTTCTCTCTTCGCTCAAGACCGCCCGCTCGTTCTCTCCAGCGCCTAGTGCCCGGATTTCGCCTACACTTTCCTTCTAGCTTCTAGCCAAAATTTCACCTGTCTCAGCCCTCGACCACCACCCACCCATCCCCGGTCAGGCAGCACGCTCCTTTGGCAGGTGATCAAGAAAAAAAAAAGGAGACGAAGAGAACGGGGACAAGAGGAATACACTGCTTGGACAGCTCATCAATCATAGTCGACGGGTCGTAGAGCGATATCGAGTCACCTCGTTCAGTCAGCATCAACTTTCAATTCGTTGTCGATCTATCGACTCTCTTGTACGAATTCCTGGACTCGCGCCTCGGATATGAACACCCATACCAACATACGCTCGCTACACATCGTATACTGGACCCGCTAGCCGCGACTCGATCGTAATAGCTTTTGATCTCCCGGTGATAGCCAAGTCGAGAGAGGGAAAGATAGGACGACACAGCGAAGAAAGCTTTCGGCGACTTAATACCTCACTCTAAAGACCATGGCTCAACTCACTATCGAGACCTCTTTTCCGACTCTCAACTTGAGCCCGCTCGTGCCTCGTCGACCGTCTGGACAGGCCTCGACGTTGACCCCTACATCGACCCGAACTCATGCTCAGCCTCAGTCTCGATCGCCGTCCCCTCTCCTCGCACCAGCGTCGGCCGCAACATGCCCACCCAGAACCCCCTCCCCGCTCTCTCAAGACCGGAAACCTCTGTGGGAAGGGCAAGATCCGGTCAGGCTGGCCGCTAGGGAAGCTTCGATAAGGGCGAGGATGGAGAGCCGAAAAAGCCAGATGGCGGTAGGGCTGGGAGTCCCGTCGATTTCCGAAGCGGGTGGGAGAAGGTCGGTCTCGAGTCCTACGTTTTGGCAAGCTGGAGTACCTCCTCGCAAGGACCCGCCATTGTCTTCGCCAACGTCATTGCCAAAGACTCCAGAGATGGGATCGGTTACCGTCGACCTGGGAGACAGTACAGAGGACATCTCCCCGAGAACCACTTTCGCTTCTACCCCTGAGTCACGACCCCGACCTAAAATGCAACCGCGATCACAGTCTCAATCGTATCTACAGCCGCGAGCGTATTCTCCCTTCGATGTCGGGCTCGACAGGGTTCGGACCGCCTTTGGGACGAGCTATAACTCTCCATTCCCCTCTCCTGGTGGACCTGGGTCGGGTTTGGGTTCTGGACCCGAGGGTGTGTTTTGGGGGAGGAATGGCGTCAGATCTCGGTCGGTTACTCCCACGTATCAACCCCATCAATCTGAATACGGAAACGGATCTGGATTGGAAGACGAGGCCGACTTGAGCGATCTCAAACCCTGGGCTTCTTATTTTGACGACCCTTACCGTTCCCCTTCTGCTTCCCCGGTGAAGCACCTGCTCGTACCTCCGACTTCACTCGGCGGGTCACCCAGGCTTCCCTGGACGGATACTTTCAACAGCGGGAATGGATATAATGGGGGAATGAGGAGGGGTTCGTCTCCGAACACGTCGAGCGTGAGAGCTTCGACGTTGATGGACCTGGACGAGATATCGAAGAGCTTGACCAAGAAGAGTCGCAGATTGTCCAGTGCTTCGCTCTTGACGGGCGGATCTGCGGGCGGACGTGGATACGGGTACGGTCACGAGCAGGGTAGACCGGTCGATGCGACAGCGAAGACGGACTTCGGGCCTCCCCTCGATCGGGTCGATGGCGATCATGTTGGGCATCGGTATCGCGATCGCACCGTTAGCGATTTTTCGGCTATGGACGATCTTTCCCCCATATCTCCTACGACACCGTACTCGGCGGCCTCTTCACGAAACAATAGGGACTCAATCTCCTCCCTCCTCAGTCTCAGTACATCGGGCCGAGCCACCCCGATCGGACTTCCTCCTCAAGCACCGTTACCGCTCTTGCCTGGTAAAAAGGCTAGGAGGAAGATCAGGGTACGACCGTCCGATAAGAATATGGGAGGATGGGAGGTGGATAGGTCAAGGTCCCCCGTGGGTTTGGAGACGGTCGGGTTAGGACCAGGGATAGGGTTGGGGTTCTCGATCCCTGATGCAACGCAGGCTAGCGTCGCAAGAGAGGTACAGGTGGAGCAACCCAGTACGGAACGGTCTAGAATGAGCTCTGTCAGTTCGACTAGCTCCGCAACGCCTGCATGGGGAACTACGACGGAGAGTCCTGAGATGGCACGGTATAGGTCAAGCACTTTCGGCACGAGCGAGATCCTAGATCCTACCGCTCCTACAGCCTCTGTAGAACTCAGTCTTCCACAAAACGGGGCGTTCATGGATCTCGTAGGGTCACTAGATGAGGGAGTCTCGGTTCCAGCAGCCACATTACAGGCGGGTCTGAGTGGAAAGGCGCGGAGGAAGAGCTCGAGATTCGTGTTGGATTTCCCTCTGCCTCCTGCCCGAGGCCTGAGGATCAGCCTGGAGACGCATCAGGAGGAGGACTTGAACGATTTAGCAATCAGTGGGTCGAGACCAAGAACCTGATAGTGAATATAGCGGCAGCCGACTGATCGATGTGTCATATTCTGCTCAGACCCGGGAACCAAGGTCGGCGATATTCCAAACTTGCCCACCCATGCCATGGAGCGAAAAGACAGTCTCGCCAGTGACACAACCTGGGATGAAGATCTGAGCAAGACCACGAGCTGTGCTTCGTTCCGATCCTCCTGTTCTTCTCAGACCACCGCACCTTCCTCTTGCGCACAGCTCACACCTCGCAGCAGCCTCGAGAGATTCTCCGAACTGCCTCACCTTCGCTCAGAGTCATGTGACTTCGACCTTCGACAAGCCCTCTCGACTGACCCAGACGACACGGAAAGCCTGACAGCAGGGGACCTGGCCGCCATGATCGAAGAGGTCGAAACCAAGATTCCGTCCATCTCACAGACACCGAAGTCGGCGGCTACAGTCACAACAATGACAATCTCACCCGACGACCCGAAAGCCTCCGCGACCAAACTTCCCCGACGACCTTTGCTTCCGCCCGGACCTGACGTGTCCTTTTGGGGTGAACCCGAGGTTATTCTCTCGGACAACGACTTTCATTCCATCCTCCGTTTCGATCACACCAGCGTTATTAATGAGACGCCTCTTCAGGCGAATTCCATCAAGAACCTGAAACCAGCCACCTGTGCTCGACCACTGCCTCCGCAGATCCGCTCCCTCGAGCCGGTCGGCCCAACCCCTCCAGACGCATCCGTCGCCCGTTCACCCGTACGAGCTCGAGTTACTGGACTTCGCCAACCGACACCCTCCCGCCTACCGACAATGCAGACCCCGTCTCGCCGGACACCAAATCTTCGCCAGAACTCGTCTCCTATGACCACACCTCGCATGGATGACCATAGAGTCGACCGCTTGGCCGCCTTCCTTCCCCTGGGACTCGGCCTGACCCGGCTTCGCTCGACCTCAGCGATCCGAGCTGGATCAGCTGTCCTGAGAAATGTTGGCAGGGTTGGTACCGCCGTCTCTGCTTATCAATACGCCAAGCCTGTCTGGAGCCGATTAACGGACCGCTCGAGCAAGAATTATGAAGGGCACGTACCGCTGAACTGGTTTGAGAATGCCTTTTTGGCGGCGGGAAGTGGGGTCATCGGTGTGGCAGACACGTCGCGGGGAGGTGAGCAGAGACATCGAGTCTATTCTGGCTTTGCAGCTATTAACTGATCAATTTATGCATGTTCTGCAAACAGACCTCGTGGCTTTGCTATCCGAGACCTCATCTCAATCTTTTATGCCTCGATTGCATGCCTCTATGCGATCGGAACCTGAAGGCAGGCAGATCTTGAAAGATCGGCCTCTAATTTCGAGCAACACTGTCGACTTGGACTACCTACGGACGTTACGACGAGGTACCTTGGGTCGAGAATGGGTGGAATGGCTTATCGAAGGGGGCGTCACGCCGGATACTCGTCACGAAGTCGTGCATATCGATTCTCCGGTCCTCGCGTACACGATGACGCGTTATCGACAGACACACGACCTGTACCATACCTTGTTCTCTTTGCCGCCCACGCTGGCTTATGAGCTCTCCCTCAAGGTTCTGGAGCTTTCCAACATGTCGCTCCCCGTCGCAGGCTTGTCCTCGGCGTTTGGACCATTTAGATTGTCGTCTGCCAGGAGGAGCATGTGGCGGGAAGACTGGATGCCGTGGGCGTTAAGACAAGGGTCACAATCGAGGCCGCTAGTGGGAGTCTATTGGGAGAAACGATGGGAGCAAGGGTTGGGCGATCTACGACAAGAGCTCGGCGTCAAGCGGATGGACGACGCTGCCGTTATCGGGCGATGGAAGTCGTACAGACTCGTTCGGGAGAAGGAGAAGGCTTTGAGAGTCCAGGGGGAATGGGTGGATGAACCGGAAGATTGGTGATTGATGCGTCGATCATGGCAAGAAGCAAGATGGCGCCGGCAGCATAAAGCAGTACAATTCACGACACGAAAACGAATCTGTAAGGGTCGCCGCTAGTGAGCGGTCCCATTACCGTAAACGACATTTAACGAAGATCATAATACCTCGACCGCTACTGTTCTCATCGATTGCGATTGCGAGTGTACCGAAGCGACTGTCACATCACGATTGGCGTGCGCTATGGCTTTCACAAGAGGGAGTGAACTAGAAACGGCGCTCAACCGAGCCGAAACATCCTTCATGTGAAACGTCATTCATGTTCATCTGTGCTGCTTACACGTCACGTGACGCGAGGATGCGCCTCATGATCAGCATCCGGAAGCGGTACCTCTACCTCAGTATCATCTCCTTAGATTCTTCCTACCAGCAAGGCGAGCCGAGAGAGAGGTTGGAGTCGACCGTCCTCATCTGCGGGATTTTCGCAGGCCAGCCACCTAGGGAGAGGATTTTTCTGAGATCTCAGAAATGGGAAGGAAAAGGACAAGACGCGTTAACACCGACAAGATTCTTCGACGGAGATTCACTTTTTCGCAAGTCCGCTTCCGCAGCGTCATCCTCAACGAGAAGTCTCTGGCCTAGTTGGCATCCCCTCGGTGCCAGGTCGCACTCCCTCAAAGTATCGATCATCTTGGTCGACGACAACTCAATCCGTGCAGACATATCCTTCCTTCCTTTCTCGCCAAAAGACATCTTACACAATCCACCTTTAACTTTTCAAGTTACTCGTTGATTCAAGAGTAAGTAGCTCGTCATGATTTCGTCCTGCTAGACAGCGGCTGACCCCGATTTCCCTCCTTTCAGTGAGAGCTAAGTGGGCGAAAAAGAGAATGTACGTAGGCTGTAGGACATCTTCCTAGAGCGCATTTTTTACCCTCTCTCTTTTGTCTTCTTTAGGAGGAGGTTGAGAAGGAAGAGAAGAAAGATGAGGGCCAGGTCGAAGTAGAGAACTCGTCCCTTCGTTTCCTCTTCCTCTTCTCTCCGGAAAACCATCAACGGAACTCTCTGGATTCCCCTTTCTTCCCCGCCTCTCGAAGCCGCAGCTTCATGCGACACCGCCCTCTTCACGGATGGATGGATCACATCGGACTGCAAGCAACTGTTGGAAAGGGATTCTGAAGGAAATTTGGAGCGGAATGGAGATGGACGGAAGGAGAACAAGGTGTTGGGGAACATTAGCGGTCTTCTTTCTCGTCTGTCCGAGACGTTGTGGATCTCTCGATGCGCAACGTTCTCAAACTCTCCCTCATGAAACGACATCAAATCTGGATTGTTGGATGATCTACCACCGTGTCGAGCTGCATCGTCATCTTCCGAGTTTCGATGTGCATCCGTCCATCCATAGTGCCTCACGCTGTTTGGTAGGGTCATGCGGGTTACGAACCGCAGCCACCTATCGCTCTCTTTAAGCAAGACATCCTAATGGTATAGTACAACAGGGTTGACTGCGGTCGCATCGCTTCAAATGATTGCTTGCCACTCCCCAACTGCGGTATGTCAATCCAGGCTTTGCGAAGAGCTTCCTGCACGCCCGGTGCTCAGGCGCAGTCATGCCTGTTTGGACCACGAGTAATGCTTCACGACTCTGTCGCCCACAGACATCCCATGTATATGAATATAATGCCCAAACATGCACAAGCCTCTCTATCGTGCAAAGTTCGGCCGAGCCTGGACATCTCCCCCGTCCGATTCCTTTTGATCCTACAACGCAGCGTAACATCCGCCTAATTCCGATTGTGGCAGATCAGCTTAGACCAACTTCTTCTGGGTCAGAGCCGAGGTGGTCGGCTGGGCGTCGGCGGAGAGGACCTTGTGGCCGGGAAGGAGGTAAGGGTTGAAAGAAGCGTTGCACTGAAAGATCATCAAGGCGACGGGGGTTGTTGTAAGCGAATGCGAGGAGGTTCGGCCAGACGCAACGGGACTAACGTTTTGGTAAGCGACACCGGCACCGAACCTGAACAGAAAGCAGGACAGGCCAAGAATCAGTCACAGAGAATATTTCCGAGCCATGAATGGGCATACCCTGTCGACAGAGCTACGGGCCAGCCCCTTCCTATCGAACAAAGTACGAAAGCAAAGTAATCAGCCGACCGTATTCGTGACACGATTTCCTTTCCTCTTCGTCGTCATTGTTCGAGCTCGGCAGATTTGCCCAAAGCAATGAGAGGGACCTTCTCCATGATACTCACGCCTGAAGAGCAGTACAGAGGCGACGACACCGACGCTGAATCCGATACCCGAGGAGACGACAAAGTCGGCGAGCTGTGAACATGTGTAGACGTAAAGGTCAGCGTTCAGCTCCAGAATCTGGGTTGCCTGATCCCCGATCACAGTAGAAAGCATATCCGAACGTACACAGGCGTCAAACTATCGGCGAGTGTCAGGGTTCAGGTCAGCTCAGGTTTCCTCACGCCTGGATTCGAGTGCCCAATGTGAACCGACCTTCCTGGCGACGACGTCTTCGCTGGCGACCGACCTGACGGCAGCGGGGGGCGACGGGATAGGAGAAGGAGCGCTGACGATGTCGGACATGATGAATATACTGAAACTGAGCGGAGGATGTGTTGTGCTGAAGATGGTACACGATGGAGAGGAGCAGTCGCTTGAATTGTAGAGTTCATGTCGAGGTCGAAGCACTCGCCCGGCCGGTGCTTCCCGCGCTTTGGTTGGCGCGCAGGAGAAGTTCGAGCATCTGCTGCTGCCTCGAGTCAAGATAATAATGGAATCAACTTTCGATAACCCTTTCAACTGCTGATCTGATCTGTTGGCACTCTGCACAAGACTTCGTCTGGAACAAAAGCGTAACATATTGTAAGCCTTCCGGCGTCTGACCTACAGGCAGCCGTCTTGCAGCGACTCAACAGCTATTCCTGAACAGCCGCACAAAAAATGATTGATCTTCTCCTTTGTGAGTCTGGTCGACGACCTGTGATGATGATCCGACGAGCTCATATCACGATATCGAGAAACTTCAGTGCAAGCGAACAAGGGAGGAAATCCCGAGATCGTGAGGGAATCGCAGCGAAAGCGAGGAGCCAGTGTCGAGCTGGTCGACGAGGTGCTCGACCTTTACAAGAGCTGGACCAGCCGTAAGCTCACGTCCAGCATACCCAGGCGATCTCCGGCTCATCCCTTCCCCATACACTAGTTCAATTCGAGGCAGAGTCTATTAGGAAAAAGACCAATGCCGTGCAGAAGCAGATTACCCAGAAGAAAAAGGCCAAGGAGGATGCCGACGACCTGTTGAAGGAGAAGATCGCTCTCGACAAGGAGTTTGCCGAGATGGGGAAGAGGGCAGCTGAAGAGGAGAAGAAGATGACCGCCAAGGCTGCTACCATTGGAAATATCGTTGACAAGAACTGTCATGTTTCCTCTACCGAGGTAAGAGTCACGGCGTGAGGAGGGGTCTCGCTTAAATGTCCCGTAACTCATCTGCTGCTATACGTGATGATCAGGATGAGAATCCCATCACCAAGCTCTGGCATCCCGAGGGTCCCAACCACAAGGGCATGGATATGGAGCAAAAAGGTCTCGGACCTTCCGACGTTACCCCCAACATCATCTCCCACCACGAAGTTCTCGCCCGACTGGATGCCTTTGACACCGATCGAGGTGCCAAGATTGCCGGTCACCGAGGTTTCTTCTTGACGAACGATGGTCTCGACTTGAACCAGGCCCTAATCAACTACGGGCTGCAATTCTTGAGGGAACGAGGGTACAAGAAGATCCAGACGCCGTTCATGATGAGGAAGGATATGATGGCCAAGACTGCTCAGCTGGACCAATTCGATGAGGAGCTCTACCACGTATGTTTCGGAATGCTTGACTCAGCAAAGATATCGGAAGCTCAAGAAGACTGGTAACGATAGGTCGGCGGAGACGAGGATGATAAGTACCTCATCGCTACTTCCGAGCAGCCCATCTCGGCCATGCACGCCGACGAGCGAATGGAGCCCAAGGAGTTGCCGATCAAGTGAGAAAACGGTATTGCGCTCGCTGTGCTCCTAAAATTCCGCCTAACGTCTAGTAAACTCTCTCAGGTACGCCGGATACTCGACCTGTTTCCGAAAGGAGGCCGGGTCCCACGGAAGGGACACCTGGGGTATCTTCCGAGTGCATCAGTTCGAGAAGATCGAACAATTTTGCATCACCAAGCCCGAAGACTCTCCTGCCATGCTTGACACCATGCTCGAGAACTCGGAGGCGTTCTACCAATCGCTGGGTCTCCCCTACCGGATCTCTCAGATCGTTTCTGGAGCGCTCAACAATGCCGCTGCGATCAAGTACGACCTCGAGGCCTGGTTCCCTATGCAGTGCGAGTACAAGGAGTTGGTCTCGTGCAGCAACTGTACCGACTATCGTGAGTAGTTTTGGATCAGGTTTTGGGTCGATACCACAGTCTGATATGGTGTCTTGCACGCAGAATCCCGAAGCTTGAACGTGCGAAATGGAGACCGTGCTGCTGGAAAGCCCATCGAATACGTCCACATGTTGAACGGGTAAGGGTGTCATAGATTTGAGTCTAGACGGCAGAGCCGGTATACTGACTTGCTTGTCGCTGTCTGAAGAACTCTGTGTGCCACCGAACGAGCGCTGTGCTGTGTTGTCGAGAACTGGTAAGTCTGGCCAAAGACCTTTTTTGGCAGAACCCCAGCTCACATCATCAAATTCCGACTTCTCTCTTGTGCACAGGCAAACTCCCGAGGTAAGGCTACACTCAACGGGCTGTTCATTACGAACTTATCCGATGCTGATCACCCTTTCTCAACAGGGTCTCCGTATTCCCCCGGTCTTGCAGCCTTACATGCAAGGCCGCGATTTCCTTCCCTATGTCAAGGAACTGCCCAAGAACTCTACCAGCAACAAGAAGAAATAGATATCAGTCTACTCGCACTAGGTATCGCTAGGCTAGGTTTATTAACTGTTTTGGGCTCGTGATAGAGAATGGCTACGGATTACAGTCATATGAGCACATGGCGGCGTTACTTTCTTGGTTTCTGCCTCCTGGTCCGTTCCTTCGTTCATACTCTTAGATCGGTGATTTCGGTTGATGACGTAATGGCTTCGATCGATTGATCTCGTCGCGGATTGAACTTCAACGACTAAATGGCCATCAAGCTCCAAGCTCTAAGATACTAAGGTAGAATCAGAAAAGAATGCCTCCCTAGTCTATATTTCGTGACACGAAACGTCTCATCACTATAAAGTACAATGTCTCCTTCCAGCTCACAAAACCAGCCAAGCGGCAGCCGCAGAGCTCGAGCGAAAGTGTCATACAAAGAGGACAAGTCTGACGAATCTACTGGAGATGAGTCCGGGAAAGATAGACCACGGACCAGTAAGAAGAGGAAAGCAAAGGCCGCACAGCCCAGTAGCAGTAGCGAAGAGGATATCGAGGGAGAAGACCTGGACAGCGATGAGCTAGATGCTGCGCCAAAGTCTCGGAAGAAAGGCACTGTCAAACGAATCAAAGGTCCAGCCTCAAGCAAACGCAAAGATAAGCCCAAGTCGACCACGAAGAAACGAAAGACGGATTCGGGGAATGGAAACGATATCGATTACTCCCAAGATGAGGACGAGGACGATGATGATAGCGTCGAGCTTGGAGAGGGCGAAGTCTTTGCAGGTGCGCATGCAGTGCGACCACCTCAGGCGACCGAAAGCTTATCCTCCTTGATTTCAGGCAAGATCATACCGGCTCCTAAAACAGGCCACGTACCTCCAGGACAGGTATCTAGGAACACCTTCAAGTTCTTGGTCAATCTTCAAGATCCAGCAAAGAACGATAGGGAATGGTTCAAATTGCATGAGCCGTCATACAGACTAGCTGAAAAGGTAAGCTAGAATCGTCATGGTGGCTAGTGGTGGTCAAGTCGTCCCGTAACTAACGAGCCTTGTTTTGGCAGGAATGGGTGGCATTTGTCCAGGCTGCTATTCCGAAAATGAGACAGGTCGATACGGAGCTACCGATGGTACCACCGAAAGACCTGTACGTCACCTCTTTACGATCATACGCGGTCTGCAATTGATTAGAGAAACTTTGCATTGCAGTATACACCGGATTTATCGAGATGTGTATGTACGGACCGTTGCTCGATGATGGACGCTATAGCTGAGCGAATCTCTAATCTCACCTAGACGCTTTTCAAACGATAAAACGGCATACAAACGACATTTCTCCGCGAGCTTCTCTCGGAGCGGTCGTAAAGGGATTTGGGCTGGTTGTGAGTGGAATTTGCACGGTAGTCTGAATGGGTCCGGCTGAACTTGCGGTTGGGTAGACTTTATGTGAGTTGATAGAGTATGGTCATCTGCCAGAAGAGTTTCAGCTACTAAGCGGCGCTCACGTCGGTATCTCGTAGCTCTAGTGAGTTCGACGCGAAATGGAACCGAAAGCAATCAACGCACTGACTTACGATGTAGTACAACCGAGGAACAAATCGATCCTTGCTGGAGGTGTAAGTCGAAAGCCGTCGACTTCAGGCCGGATTTTCGCTTACACTGTTGATATCTTTTATCTTATCAGGTCTGGGGGCCTGGCAAGAATGAGCTGGCATCCATCCGGTCGGTGCCAGATCAGTATGGAATGACGAGAAGTCCTCGGCTGATATCGCTTGCTTGCATCAGACACTCAATACAACAAGACTCTGCTCCGCTCAAGCAGATTCTGAGCGAGCCCGAGTTTTGCAAACAGTTTGGCAAATTTGATCCGAAATCGGGCGAGAGGTCGAACGTCTTCGGACATTCAGACGCATTAAAAACGGCCCCAAGAGGCGTGGCCAAAGACCACCCTGATATCGAGCTGTTGAAACTCAGAAGCGTAGCAGCAGTGCATACGTACGTTACCCCGGTTCTACTCTAAGCATATCGAGGCTGATCATCAAACCTCACAATCAGTTTCCTTGACACCGAGGTGTTGGACCCTGGATTCATGGAACGGTTGCTCAATACAGCCCGAGCCATTCGCCCCCTCATTACCTAGTGTGTATTGACTGCGGTTCCCGAAGTGCAGGCGGTATTCTGATAGGTTCTAATCTGTTCAGTCTGAACAATGCCATAGCTCTGCCGGCGCCGAGCGCTTAGCCAGGACGAATTTGATACCGCATGTTCTGCATACATATCGTACCCAATCTCCAGGTGCCGAACACAGATACTATACCCTTTTAGCGGTCGGCGAAGTAGCAAGTTGATTGCGCGAACGCTCATCCAATGCCGAAATTCCCATCCCGACCTTCAGCCGGTGTTAGTATCAGGATTTTGTCTTAGCGGATGAGACGGCACTGCGCATACTCACTTCGGCAGGAGGAACCGGAATCTTCGGGAACATGGTGTTTGGAGAACCATTCATGGCAGCAGCACCGACTGCTTCGTCAGACATCACTTGATAGCCTTTGGCGGTGATTGGAACGCTGGCAGTCTGTCTGTTGACCTTGGTCATGCTATCCGAGGGGTTTGGCGCTGCGCGACCATTGCTCTTGATCAAAGTCCTGTTGGGCAGTGGCGCTCCAGATCAGAATGAGGTTCAGCCAGGAAATGACTGTTGTCGACTCACAGCTCTTCCAGAAGGGCGGCATGTCTGTAGCCGAGACGGATATTGGGCACGTTTGTCTGCAATGACGGCCTTGAGCGACGTATCCATCACCGCCGGATACGACTCAGGACCCAGGACCCACCTTGTCGATATCGTTTCCAGCTACACCCGGTAGATACCACTTGTTGCCCAACCAGTGTTTCTTGACCTGCATTTCCCAGCCACTTTGCAAGACCGAGTTTCGGGCGAGTTCGCACATGTCTAAAATGGTGAGGAGTGGTCAGACAAGAGCAGCAGAGAGGACATTCAAAATCGCGTCGTACCAGCTGGCGTGAATTTGTAGATCTGTGGAGCTCGCTTCAGATTCGTGGCAAATAGATACTAGGTGGTTCGGTCCAACTTACCTGGGCCGCTACAGAGTATTCTTCCTGGAATGGAATGTATAGTTAGTGAAAAGCACCTTGAATGCAGCCTTGATAAACCAACCATGAGAGGTTCCTGTGGGCGACATAAGCAAAGATCAGTTCCTGATCGTGGAAGTCTTCATAAGCACGATAACATACCTTGGTCAAGTGGAACTGCCTGGAAAGACAGGATAGAGAGCAAGAACCAGGACATCAGTGACTCTCACGGATAAAGAAATCGAGATGGCATACAAGGGGTCATCAGTTGAGAGAGAGACTGTCAACGAGAGTGTGAGCAAAGTAAGGCATGGTCGAAAGGCATCGTCTCTCACCGTTGAGACCGGTACGGAAGAAGTCCTTGAAGGGGTTTCTCTCGTATGTCAAAAAGCTGTGGTACAGAGCGGTAAGGACGGGCAAGAGTAATCGATCTATTACCTGAATGCTCACAGAGCGTTGTTCGAAAGAGGACTCATGGCAAGACCGATCTGCTTCAAGTAGAACAGGTACTGCTCGGCACATCGTGCTTCAGCGAGCCGTTTCGAACTTTCTGGAATACCGATGAACTTACCTGCAGGGCTGGCACCTTTCGCAGCAAAATTCCGTGCGAGATAGAATGGGCGGCGAGGAATCCAGAAGACAAGTGGTCGGGATCTCCGGCTTCACCGCAGTGAGGTCTCAAGACGAACGTATCTGGATCGAAACCTGATCAGCCCCGGCACAGACCGTTGCAAGCGGCTGGACGTACTGAAGCCTCTCGCCCGCCTCCAAGCGTTCAGGGAAGCCATGTTGGCGTACATGTAGTAGATCCTGAGCAGATATCATCAGTCAGGTGCGCGTATAAGATTGAGGCAGTGTAAACTAACCAGTAGCTGTAAGGAGGGCCTTGAGCGGTGTTCCAGGTCCCGGCGACAGGGAACTTGCGGAAGAGACGCCTCTCGGGTTTGGATTCATCGTCAACGCTATCGAAGCCTACAACCCTCTGAAGGAAGACGTGCAATTCGGGATGCGAAGACGGATCTTTCGTGACCTCAAACAACGGCTGGAATACATCTGGTACAAGCATTCGGGCCTCTAACGTCAGTTACGATACCACCTTGAAAAAGGTAGCAGGCTTACTTCGAATGATGTCCTGGAAGTTGTCGATCTGCTTGGCGCCCTTGAACACTTCGTACAGTCTAGGTATCTGGATGAGCCATCTCAGATTGTGCGAGAATAGCTTGTGTTTCACCACCCATTTCGCCAGTTTGTCCCACTCGTTGATGTTGCGGCCGTATATGCTCAATCGCCATTCCACATTCTGGAAAGGTTGTCAGCTTTGATGGTAACGATTCTACCAGAAGCTCAACAAGCAGGTACTTACTTGGTACTTGCTTTGTTCGGTATCCGCAATGACCTCTGTGTAGGATCAAGTATCAGGACTTGTACTGTTTTCATGCCTGCCACTAACATACCTCGGGTGAGCTCTGCCAAGTATCGTCCCCCGAGGTAGTTGTCAGTCTATGTGCAGTGCTTTCGATCATCAGCTCCATCGCTTCGCAGATCATCGACCGCGCTGACCTTCAAGAAGATCTCCCTCAATCGACTTGACCCGGTGGGGTTGTAGCGATCGTTAAATTTGTCGAACCGGTGGAATTCCTGAGGAGACAGGCTAGTCAGCACTTGCCACTTGGAGCGAAGGAGCCAGGTGTCTGTCTCACTTGATGGGCATGCATATCCAAAGTATCGATGGACAGATCGTATGCCGTCAAGTTGAGACTCTGGAATACTTCTTCAAGAGACAGGTATCTGAACCAAGGATGATCAGGGGAGCCCGCCGGAAAATGCTCAATCGAAAGGGGCCGACTTACTTGCCGTCTCGGAAGATGACAGTGTCCTGTATAAGAAGAAGTGATGAGCAAGGCGTTCTGCGTGTACTCGAAGACTTTAGTTTCCCCCCGGGCAAACTGACCTTGGGAGAGTGCTTCATCTTACTCTTGATGAAGCGCAACAAGTGCTTCTGGTTCATGCTCGCCGAATGGTGAACATGGGTGTCGACCTTACGGACATTGTAAAAGTCTCTGAAGGGGTACAGGTAGATCAGCCGGTTGGTCTTGACCAAGAATTCTCCGAGGGTATTTACTTACCGATGAGGAACCGCCTGTCGTAGTGTCATCAATATCAGCATGTCCAATGACAAAGTGAATACAACGTCTCAATTCACCTTGACGTCCGCAATCTCCTGGTATTCATTGAGCAATGTATACAGGGACCATTTGGACTGGAGATACTTCAGCCGGCGGAAAGCGAAGCTCTTTGCCGGCCCGTCCGAACAGACGTTAAGAACGTAATCCAAATCCGTGTAGTACTCCCGCAGAGTCACGTTGCGGAACAGTCGCTTCCTGTCTTCCGCTACGAAGAGAGAGACACCCAACTCCAGGGTTACAAACAGCGGTGACCGAGGGAATTGGCCACGACACTCACGCTTCTCCTCGAGCTTCTCGTAGATCTGATAAACACCAGACTCGTCCATCTCGAAAGCCCAACCTCGGTTGTCGGCACCAGGGATCTCACAGTCCGCCATATCGAAGCCCTCGCTACCATTGGTTTCCCTAGCTTTAGCCTTTTCTTGAGCGTAAGTGTCGACCGGTACCCCCTTGATCTGGCCATCAGGACCCCTCTGACTCTCGTCGTATCCTTCACCGCCTTCGCCTGGGGTTTGGCCAGGCGCCTTCCAGTGCCAGTGACGAGGAGGAGGAGATGGATAGATGTTCCAGCGCTTGGACTCTACTCCCTCTGGTCTCTCATCGGCATTGTAAGGGTCGACGTCCGGGCGCAAGCCGTTGACATCAGCCTTGTGAGGAGGGTTGAAACCGGCGAACGTTCCATCGTGGTCTCTTGGGTTGTCTCCGAGACGCTGCAAGGATATCTCCATGTACTTGTCCCTCAAGTCGAGACATCTCGAGAATCGCCCACTAAGAACGGAGACAGGCATGAGCGTTTGTCAAGCTTTGAATGTTTGCTGACGGCTTACTATAGGCCTTCCAGCTCTGTAGCGATTCCACTCTCTGAAAAGGCATTGTAACCAACCTCGATCAGCAACAGTTGCGAGGGCAGGCCAGTAGCAGTAATTCGGGGATCTTCGAGAATGCGCATGGATCCAGGGATGTAGCAATGGCAGAGTCGATGATTATTCTCCAGTTGTCGATGCGCATGCCTCTTGAGGGGTGAGAAGCCTCACGCCGTATTTATACTTTCGCTGATCAAAACGCTCGTAGGCTCCTCAGAAGAGACGAGAAAGGAAGACGAGGTAGCTCGAACTCCGAAAGGAAGATAGCTGGTTCTGCTCGGCCGAGCTGCAACCATGGATATTTCGAGTAGGATTCTTTCATGACACTCACCAGCCGCTTTTTGTTGTGCCTCTTGAACCCGAGCATCGCCTGTGCCAGACCGAGGTCGGCTGGATCCCTCAGAAATGGCCGATTTCTCCAAACCGCTCGCCAGCTCTTTTTCCACCGCATCGACTCCTCGAGGCTCATAGACGCCGTTACCGTTAAGATGGCCAGTAACGAGATCCCGTTCGCTGCGTTCCTCAAGTAGATCGATGTTGCTGGTCATTCCGAGGTTGGCACCGCCGAAGCTTTTCCTCGCTTTGTTGCCAGTTTCATTGCCGGTCCTCTCCTCAGGAATAGCAGCTTCAGGCAGCACTAGCGATCCGGAAAGGCTGCCTGACTGTCGCAAAGTGCTGTCGGACTGCTGGGACCCGGAGGTGGAATGGTGTCGAGACCAGTGGTGGGAGAGGAAAACGCCATCTTGCTGCAAATGTGCGGACAGCCAGTGAGCAATCCGATCAGTTCCTGCCCAGTCCTCACAACACTCACCGCCTTCAGTTTCTGAAGCTCGTGATAGTTGAAGCTGGGAGACTGCCTAGCACGAATAGGGATAGGATTGGGAGTGCTAGAGCCACTACCGTCGAGGTCCGGCGAAGTCGGAGGAGAATCGAATGGGCTCTCGTCGTGCTCCTGTACTTCGATATCGTCGTCGTCCATCTCCAAAGGTGAATGGGCAGAAGGGTATTGTTCACCGCCACACATGTCTGATGTCAATAATGTAGGCAAGAGTGGCTGTAGGAATGGCAGAAGGAATATGCAGAACGTCGTCGTGTCGATATCATGAACCCTTCTTGTACAAACTTGACCGGCGCCGACCGAGGCCTGAGGGGGGTCAATCGAATAAATTGCTTCCGTTATCGAGATCACATGGGCCATACCCGAGTCAAAGTCAAACGAAGGTTCGCAGGTTCGAATGCGAATCTGAGGCTATATGCATCAGGTCAACCTAGTTACATACCACCGGAATGACTCTATAAAGTGTCATCGTTACTCATCATCCTCCTCGTCGCTATTTGATGCTGAACCTGGCTCATCGATGGTCAAAGCTCCAAACATGCCGCCCGACTTTGCTTGTGGCGCAAGCGCTTCCTCTTCGGATCCGCTGTCCTCCGATTCAGACGGAGTGGCGTCAGGCTTCGTTGTCGCCTGTTTCTCATAACTATCGACCTCGCTCAGCTCTTCATCTCCAGCCTCCTCGACTTCGCTATGATCGTCCGTCAGATTGGTCACAGCAATGTCGACCCACACACCATTGACCGAATCGATCGTGCTGGCCTTGACATCCTGCGAGAGGAAACGCCAAGGTATCTTGCCCTCTGCGATCATTCGCAGAATCTCGTTGCCTGCCCGGTTCGTATCGGGCCGCCCAGCCTTAGCGGTGACTATAATTGACGGTTATCGATAAGTAGGCGCCAGAAATACTAGTTTCCTTTTTGAACATACCGTAACCTCGATGGCTAGCCCATCCCTGCATGATATCCCCAGTAGTCCAATGCGGAATATAACCTCGATCCCTCTCCGCCGCCGGTCCTCCCAGTCCAGCACGATACGTCTTCTTGCTCTCCCTCGCTTCATGCTCTGCAAGCTCTTCACCCCATCGCTGGGGAGTCGGAATACGTAAGACGGTCTCGATCGGAAGTAAGCGGCTGCAGTGGTACATGCAGGCGGGGATGGAAGGGATCTGCGAGATCGGTAGGACTGCAAGGCAGTACATTACGAAATTAGCCAGCGGGAAAGTCTTTGAGCCAAGCACTACTTACCTCCCGACATGACCTGTACCTCGACACTTGTCAAAGAAGGAAAGACCAGTCCGGGGCAATCGACGATGAGCACGTCCGACGTCCAGTAGATCGATTGGAAGTGTTTGGTCTACGTCATACAAATGTAGATCAGTACCATTTCGATGTGGAGGAAAATCAAGCTCGTACCTTTCCAGGGGTTTTCGATGCCCGCACTCTTGATCGGCCTAGCAAGGCGTTCAAGAGCGACGATTTCCCATTGTTAGGCTGTCCAATTAAACCGACAGTAAGGCAAGTCGCCAGTCGCGGCGTTTGACGGCCTTCCTCGCCTTCCTGACTGTCCGACTCCGGTCTTGTCTCCTCGATATCGCTCGAAGGTTCTTCTTGCGCAGCGTCGTCGATCGGCGGCAAGGGCCGTTGTTGGACATCCCCAGGCTGATACAATTGCTCCCATTCTATCTCTGGCTTGATACGAGTGTGGCAATCACGAGTCCACCGGGAAACCTTTTCCGAATCCCCCGCAAGGGACTCGGGCGGTTGCAACAGACTAGCGTGGGCGCGCTTGATAGCAGAGATCAGAGCATCGAGTGATGATTCTGGGATGTGAGGTATATGCCTCGAGCGCTTGACATCGGCTGGAAAGGGAAACATATTCAGCTCAAATTCCGCCGCCAGCTGCCAGAACCCGATTTACCGGCTTCCCTCTGATAGCTCTCTACACAGACAACTTCTGGTACCTCCTCGACCTCGGCTGATGGTTCGGCTGGCGCCGGTGGATTGTTACCATAAAGCCACCATCTCTTGCACCAGTCGACCCATTCTTGCTGTCGCTCCGCCTCGACTAGATCCGCCTTGGTGAGAACCAGGACTACCTTTTTGCGACCGGATTGGGCGAATTTGGGCTTCTTTCCGCGACCTTGTGACTGTGCATCGGTCATGACGTTCACTCGGTCATCTGGAAGTCCGACCAGATCCCTCAGGTAGGCTCTCAATGAGGCAGGAAAGTGGACAGGTGGACATCGTATGTCCATCAGGACGAGTATCACGTTGGACTGCTCGCCGACCCGCCAGAGTTGACGCCATACTTGCAGGTTCCTCTCAAAGACTGATGGCGACCTGATCTCGAGCGGTGCTTCTTCTCGCACTAAGATAGTCTTGGCTTCATCTTCGTCCGCCGAGCTTTCGTCTTCCTCGTCCAGGCAGGAGTAGTCTTGCTGCACATCCTCGACAGACTGCAGCCATTTTGCAAAGTTCCCTTCCTCGTTCTTCTCCAACTCCTTTTTCGTCACCCCGTACTTCCACTTGGGCCTTCGAGGACAATTGAGTCGGTCGTCCAACTGTCTCGCTCGCTCGCGCTTCTCGGGAGTCTGCTCTCGGTCGATGGCAGATCGATACAGCATCAACTCGGTAGGAATCGGTCGCTCCAACGGTCGCTCGAATGCGATCTTTTGCGTGTGTGCCTGGTATTCAGGAGATACCGACAAGAATTTGAAGCGAGACTGCAACTCTCGAGCCTTCTGACGAGCATCGGGGTCAATAGTGGCATCGCGAAGCGATCTCGATAGGTGATCTTTGACTCCAGTATTCTTCTTGGCAAAGTTGGCAGCAAGCGTAAGTTCTCCTCGTTTCACCGAGCGCTTCTCCTGCAGCTGGGCTGTGTTGAAGGATATCCCATATGAGCATTTGGAAAGATCACAGGAGCAGGTCATGAACCTACCCTTCTTAGCCTTATTGCTAGCCGGCACTTTTCTTCCAGGCATGTTGATACGGTTTGTTGTGCTTATGCACAGGCAATTGCAGCAGTTCGTTCGACGTTCCTCTACCGAGCCCGATTCCTATATATGTGGTGACTTGCTGGCCTCTACAATCTGGCAATCAGTGACGAGAATGACTCGAATTTGACTCGATTCTGTGGCAGTAGTTCTAGGTGTAGCCCTAGGATCAAAGGTGGTTGCGTAGTTGGTTCATCGGTACCGCCAGACTTGCGGGTGATTCTCGACCAAGAAATTCGTCATCGCGTGCCACCGATCTCGGCTCCGAGCGTAATCGGCCAAGTCAAATTGATGTAGAAACGATGAACGATCAGAGCGTTGACAGAGAACGAGACAAAGCGATCAAGGCCATAATATCGATTGGCAGAGAGTACAGTGTGGATATATATAAACGACAATAGCAGCTCGATAGCGCGCCTGTATGCTCTAGATGGATGGAAAGGTTGGAAAGAACGAGCCGTCCCTCTTGTTGACGAAGGGAGGTTGAGGGGGAATACCGCAACAAAGTGGTTCCCATCCTGCAAGTGTCCCTTTCGCCACAGGAGCAACGCATAGGATGAATGCGTTGGGCCATAAAGAAGAGAAAGAGCCGAAAGTTCGCCATCCATGGACATGTTCAGTCGGACAAGGGGTAAAAAGTTCGCCGTCGACGTTTTCGAGTGTCGATAATAACGCGTCGATTGGGTTCGTATTGCTTCGTCGCACCGCAGAGTAAAAACCGTCTATAGTTGTTTGTTCGTCACAAGCCGAGAATGCGCACGCAGCGTAGTGCGCGTGCGTGTGTATATGTGGTTTTTGTTGGTTTTCTTTGTTTTGATTGTCGTTTCGTGACAAGCAGGTCATAGACGGTCGTTAAAAGGTTCCCATGAGCGAGGCCGGTGAGGATTGAGAGTTGAGCGAGAGGGTTTTCGTTTCCCCCGCCGATATCCTTTCCAGCCCAGTAGCAGGAACAATGCAATGCGAGACGCGCGTTTCCAATCCGTGAATTATTATTATAGTTCGAGATGATCTCGCAGAATAAAGCTGAGAAAGAGTCTTGTCGTCGTCGAGTTTGTCGTCAATAATGTCCGTATGGTTCGTGATCCTTCGAGTATTGTTGTCCCATGCATCGGAACCAATTCTTGTCGTAAAAAGAGGGAGGAGAGAAAGGGGTAAAGCTAGTGGCGTTTGACCGAGCTACCAGTCGAGAGTCGAGAGAGATGGAGCGGAAAATGTTTTTGGTTGGGTTTTTGTTTTTAAACAGAGTGGCAGCAGATGGGAGACGATAGGAGCCAGGAAGGAAAGGAGCCTCCGATCCTGGCGAGCGGGTGTGGGACTCGAGAGTCTACCACCAGTTGCTGGAGCCACCGCCGGCAGCTCCGCCTCCGTAACCCCCACCGTAGCCGCCACCGCCACCTCCAAAGCTGGCACCACCACCGCCGCCGCCTCCATTCCTGCTAGGAGCGGCGAATCCGCCACCACCGCCTCCGGACCTGACGTCCCGACCACCACCGTAGCCTCGTCCACCACCCCCTCGACCACGACCAGTCGACCTGCCACCGTATCCTCCTCGGTTCTCGACAGAAACGTCAACTAACCAGGTAGGAACCTCTTGGTTGGCCTCCTTTAATAGGTCGACAAGGTCACGTCCGATGTTGCTGTTGCCCCTGTTGAAGAAGGCGGTCGAGGTACCGGTGTTTCCGGCACGTCCGGTACGACCGATTCGGTGGGTGTACTCGGAGATGTCGTTGGGCAAGTCGTACAGGATGACGTGCATAACGTTGGGGATATCGAGACCACGAGCGGCGACGGCGGTGGCGACGAGGATAGGGGCTCGACCAGACTTGAACATAGACAAGGCGTGTTCACGTTCACGTTGAGTCCTGTCTCCGTGAATCGAGGTAGCGGGGAACCTCTGGTCGCACAAGAAGTCGCAGAGCATGTCGGCCATACGCTTGGTCTCGACAAAGACCAGGACGAGACCTCCGGCGGGCTCGGCGTTGAGGACGTCGAGCAACAAGGATCGCTTATCTTGATCGTCGACGTACTCGACGTTCTGCTTGATGTTCTCCGAGGTCGAACCGACTCGTCCAACAGAGAGGAAGACGTATTCCTTCAAGAACGACTTGGCGAGGACCTGAATCTCCCGGGGGAAGGTGGCGGAGAACATCAAAGTCTGCCTGTCGTGGACGCCGGGCATGTCGCTCTGCTCGATGATGGTCCTGATCTGGGGCTCGAAACCCATGTCCAACATTCGGTCGGCCTCGTCCAGGACGAGGTACTTGATGTTGGCCAACGAGATCTTGCCTCGGTCCATCAGGTCGACGAGACGACCGGGGGTAGCGGCGAGCAAGTCACAACCACGCTCGATCTGACGAAGCTGGTTGCCGATCTCGGCACCACCGTAAACAACGGCGGCACGAACCCAAGATCGGTAGGTGAACCTTCGGGACTCTTCGTAGATCTGGGAGACGAGCTCTCGGGTCGGGGCGAGGATCAAGGCGGTGGGGTACTGCTTTCGTCCACGCGAGTAGGACGAGAACGAGTTGCCGTGGTCCTCGACAGGCTTGGGAGCGGGTCCGTTGGTGAACATCTCCGACAAGACGGGGAAGAGGAAACCACCGGTCTTTCCGGAACCGGTTTGGGCACAGGCCATCAAGTCTCGCATGTTGGCGACGATAGGGATCGAGTACTTTTGAACCGGGGTAGGGGTGGTGTATCGAGCCGACTTGATGTTCTCGAGCAAGACCGGGTCGAGGGGAGGGTTGGTAAACTCGGTGACGGGGTCGGGAACACCTTGACCGGTGGCCTCGACGGGGATGTCGGCGTATCGGTCAAAGTTGAGACCGGTAGACTGCGGGCGCACAGGGTGTCACGATCGTCAATACCAGGCGACAATCAGATTTTGGAAACACTTGACATCTGGACTCACCTGATGAGCACCATCGCCCTCTTCTCCGTACAATTCCTTCTCCATCCTAGCGTGCCTGTTTCCGAGGATATGCTTTCCATCCCTCCAAGCTCCGAAGCCGTCGGGAATCCTTTCGCTTCCACCTCCGGAAGAGAAGCCTCCACGAGGAGCGCCCATCGAGGCACCACCTCGACCACCTCCGAATCCTCCTCGGGAGAACCCACCACCGGGGGGTCCTCGAGGAGCCGAGTGGAAGTCGTTGCCACCGGGAGCGGGGGAGACGGGAGGAGCAAGCGAGGGGGCTCGGGAAGGGGCGGATCCTCGCATGTGAGGAGGAACGTAAGCGGGTCGAGAGGGGTTGAGACCGGAAGCGGGAGCACCTCCGTTAATCGACATGTTGCCTGCGAAGGAAGCAGCAATGAGAACTGTCAGCAAGGCTCGCTCGACGCAGACGGGAACGGTGGCGATAGCGTGCGGACGAGTGCGACTTACCGAGCTTCCTCTCGAGGCCGGCAGCGCCGTTCTGGGGATCGTTGTTGATAGGAGCAGTCATAGCTAGCTGTTTTTGAGTGATTGTTATTTTTGTGTAGAGATTGGGGATTTGTCCTTTTGATGATCTAGGTCGTGCGAGCTCGTAAAGGTCGCGGTCGTGTGTTCCTTTTTCTTTTCCGAAAGATTCTCCAAAAGTCGTCGTCTATAGATTTATAGAAAACGAACGTGTGATTATCGAACTGAGAAAAGAAAGTCGAGTGTGTGTACGTGTGTAGTGTTGGGGGATTGACAAGGTTGTCTATAGGGAAGGAAGGTATCGGCAGGCGAACAAGGGGGGGAAGGCAAGAATGCAAGGATGATCAAAAGTTATATCCTTGCGTCCATGCGTCCAGAGCGCGTCGCCTCTCCTAGCCCTCTGGGTGGAAAAATTCCATGCGGGGCGGGGGCGCGCGCGGGATCATCATCGCATCATCAAAGGGGGAGGAGCGCCACAACCAAAGCGATGCCGTCATCGGTAGCGTGGTCGACCGAGACCTCGTGCAAGTCGAGTCTCACGTGAAAGTTGCCGACAACTGCGATGAGATGGGGTGACCTCCACCTCGAGGTCAAATAATTCGTAGGATCGCCTCACGATAGCTACCCCTGAATCCAGAGAGAAAGGCCTATTTTAGCTACAGCTACAGTTCAATACAAACTGCATACACTGCACAGGAATTGCTGTCATAACTCTGCATCATGTCGTCAACAACAGCGCGCATCGACGACCCAACACAAGACACCCCGTCAGACAACGTCGACGCCGTACAGGTGCAACAAGAGATTCAGAGGCTCGCCGCTACTCAGCAAAACGACGAGCTGTACAACGACGAAGACGAGGATGAGGATGACGAGTACCTGCAGCAGTATGAGTTGGATAGCGAGGAGGAGGATGCTTATCTAGCCGAACTTGGAGTGGAAGATCTGAACATCGAGGATGAGGATTGGGAAGTGGCGGATGGTGGTCAGTCTCTCGCCACAATTTCGGGGTGCCCGACCCGATCAGCAATAGCTCCTGCTGACTCGCAAAACTGATAACCAACTTCGTTTCCATCTTCAGACTTTACCAAACTCTACAACCGAATGAGGCAACATCAAAAAGTCCTCTCCACCCTCCCTACCACACGTAACGGAACCCAGGGGATCAAGGGAGAAGCCGATACCGAGGCCGACATGCCCCTTCCAGCGCGAAACGTCCGAAGAGGAGGCGCTGGGGTAGAAGAGGACGAAGAGGGAAGTGGGATCGGGAAGGGCTTGACGCCGAGGCAGAGGAGGGCGGTGGAGAGGCGTTTACAGAGACAGAGGGAGGAACGTGGTGAAGAGGAACAGGTGGCAGGACCTAGTTCAGGCGAGGGAGTGAACAACCACACTCAAACGCCCTCGATAAAACGAAAACCTGCCCATTCAGGCGGGATCCCTTCCAACCCAGGTTTACTCGGTGGGGTTCCCTCTGCACCCAAACATTTCTCACTTTCCGCCAACCAGAAAGACAAAGCCGACCGAGCGACGGTCGAACAAGTCCTCGACTCCCGAACACGGGCCGTACTGGTCTCGCTCATCCGAAGGGGACTCGTTGGTGGTGTCCAGGGATGCGTCTCTACAGGGAAAGAAGCCAATGTGTATTTCGCTCCCGGCCCAGAAAACTCACCGGAAGAGATCGGAGAGGGGAAATCTTATCCCAAACCATACCCCAAAGACCTGGCCCTCAAGATCTACAAGACTTCCATCCTCAGCTTCAAGTCACGCAGTCAATACATTCAAGGTGAACATCGGTTCAGGAACGCTTATACCAAAGTGGCAAATCCGAGAAAGATGGTCAAGGTCTGGGCGGAAAAGGAATTGAGAAACCTGAGGAGGTTGTATGAGGGTGGGGTGAGGTGCCCGAGGGTGGTTGATGTCAGGGAGAACGTGCTGGTCATGGAATTCCTGGGTTCAGCGCCGTCGATCGAGGAACAGGGTGGACAGGTGCTCATCGCATCCCAGCCGCGTTCGGGTGACGATGACGTGCACGAGGACGATTCGAGCGACATGCTGAAGAATGGCAAGGGACAAGCAGGGGATCAAGACGAGGCGGAATCTTCGCGCGCCAGTAAACGGCTAAAGGACGCCGATGTAGATTTGGAAGAGCTGAGAGAGCTCTATGCCGAGTTGTTGGGTGCCATGAGGTGGATGTTCAGGAGGTGTCGCTTGGTACATACGGATCTGAGCGAGTACAATATCTTGTGAGTCGTTGCAAGAGATTTCGCAATGTTGCTGATATTCAGGAACACTGAAGAGAGAACATACTGCTTCTTTAGATACCACGATGCGCACCTGTACATCATCGACGTCTCCCAATCGGTCGAGCACGATCATCCATCGGCTTTCGATTTCCTGCGGCACGATATCAAGAACGTCGACGAATTCTTCAAGAGACGTTCAGGAGGCGATATCCGTACGCTAGGGATCAGGGGAACGTTCGATTTCGTGACAGGGGATCGACTTGACCGGTTCGACGATGATGGAAACAAGCAAGGGTCGATAGGCGAGGATGAGGAGACCGAGGATGTGCTCAAGGAGGTCGCCAGAGAATGGCTAGAATCCGGCGTCGGACTCAAGGACGACAGGCTGGACAGCTCGTCCGGCCTTACAACAACGGCGGCACAGGATGCAGCACAGCAGGAAGCAGGGAGGAAGGAGACGGACGAGGCCGTGTTCATGTCCTCGTACATTCCTCGGAATCTTGGAGAGGTTTACGATCCAGAACGTGATATCGATGTGATCGCAGCGGGCAAGGGGGACGACTTGATCTACGCCGGTCTTACCGGCGTGACGGGTACGAACGGTTCTTCGGGCATGACGGGTCGACCGAAGTCGGCCTTGAAGACAGGGGCCGATACGACCGCCGACGATGGTAAAAAAGGAGGCGTCAAGTGGGAAGACGAGCAGGATGACGAAGATAGTGAAGAGGAAGATGGGGACGAGGACGATGACGACGATAAGGAGAAGCGACCTCGAGGATTCCGTCACGAGGATAAGGACGCAAAGAAGGTAAGTGGCGAGAACGTAACTCGATATCGCTAGAGTAGCAGCTTACGGTCCCTCATCTTGCCCTCGGTCGCTGCTTGATAGGAGAGGAAGAAGGCGCTCAAAGAGGAAAAGCGAGAGAAGCGGCAGACCAAGATGCCCAAGGCCGAGAAGGCACGCCGGATCAAGCAGACCGCGCATAGTAAATAGGGGACGTGGTTGATTCCAGGAAGCGTCCATGTACAATACGGAGGCTTCGCTGAGGTCTTTGCAATGATGCTGAATAACGATTGTGCTACATGTGATCGACGGCCGAGGTCGGGCTTCCCCGCGTGGCGTTCTCCTTTGATGTGGAGAAGGCGCTTCCTCCGGGCCAACTTCGGCGGCGCAACATCGGTCAATGTTCGTCGACGAACGCTCGCGACTGACTGAACATCATAAAAGCGAAGAGGCGAGAGGATCTTGGAACGATCTTTGAGACCAGACTACAGCGAGATTTGATTCGAGATATCCTGCCATACATCACCAGAACCCAAGAGACACATACAGACATCTTGCGCAATGCCCATCGCTACCGGTCAACACTCGCCCGGCAAGATCGTCACCAGGCCACACACGACCAAGTGGTGGAAATCCGCGGTCGTCTACCAGGTAAGCTCTTCGTTCGTCAGGGATCCAAGGACTCGAGACATTGATGATTTTGATTCTTCACCTTTAATCGCTCCATAGATCTACCCTGCGAGCTTCTGCGATTCCAACGGGGTAAGCGATGCCTCGGTGACCGGGCCAACCGACTTCGTCCACTGACATGCGCTTGACGATGACGGACAGGACGGGATTGGTGATCTGCAAGGCATCATTTCCAAGCTGGACTATTTGAAGGACCTCGGTATCGATGTCGTCTGGCTCAGTCCCGTGTTCGAGTCGCCGCTTGTTGACATGGGTAGGTTTGTTAAGGCGCATAATGTTGTGAGTGGTTCTGACCCCTTGTCGCCTTCTCGTAGGCTACGACATCTCCAACTACAAGAGTGAGTGGCACTCAAGATATCGATATCCCGAGATTACACTGAATGAATCTGGCTACGTGCAGAGATCGACCCTCGATACGGAACCAATGCGGACCTTACCGATCTCGTCTCTGAATTGCACAAACGAGGCATGAAGCTGTTGTTAGATCTGGCAAGTCCCGCCTGGAATTCCGGAACAGACCGGATCGAGCTGATGAATACCGCTTTTCAGGTCGTCAACCATACAAGCGACCAAGCTCCCCAGTTCATCGAATCTGCTGCTGCCACACCTGGATCCACATCGGAAGAGGGCTCGAAGCGTGATTGGTACATCTGGAAGAAGGGAACCGTCAATGAGCATGGTGAACGTGTGCCGCCCAACAACTGGGGCGCAGCGTTTGGAGGGGTGGGTTGGCCAACGAGTGGATGAGAGTGTCTCACTAACTAACTATGTTCGCCCTCGCTGTAGTCGGTCTGGGAGGTCAGTAAACGCGGTATGGCAACCTTGTCTCTGCTGAGCTGATCGAGCCCGTCGCTTCAAACAACAGTGGCACGAACCATCGCAAGAGTACTATCTTCACTACTTTTGTCCCGAACAACCCGATTTGAACTGGGAAAACCCCAAGGTCCGCGAATTTGTTTGGGAAACGATGTCTTTCTGGCTTGATCAAGGTGTCGACGGGTTCAGAGTGAGTCTAGGATTGAGCGTATTGGTTAGCTACAAGCCGCTCATAATGGACGACTGCTTCGTGTTTGGCTTCTAGATGGATGTGAGTTAACGGCACACGCATAGGTGGATCGAAGTCCCCTATTGACAATCTTACCTCCCGTCGAGGCAGGTTATCAACATGATTTCGAAGCACCTCGACTTCCCGGATGCCGAGGTCATCCGGCCTGACTTGAAATGGCAGCGAGCAGGTCACCTGATGACGAACGGACCCAAGATGCATGACTACCTGAAGGAAATGAACGAGAAGGTCATCAGCAGTGAGTGGTAGCTGAAGGATTCGCCCACCGTTCCAGGACTGAGCATTCTCGCATATACCCTCGTAGAATACGACATGATGAACGTTGGCGAGGTAGATCAAGCAGGAAACCTGAATTCAGATTCGCTGCTGATACTGCTAATCCGGTAGATGCCGTGTACCAAGGACGCCAAGACCGTCATGGAGTACGTTCACGAGGACCGCGGCGAGTTGCAGATGGTATATCAAGATATTGAGCTGGAATCTATGCTCAAAACGAAAGGCTGATTTTTCTGCTGATGGAAACAACAGGTGTTTGAGTTCAGCCTTGTGGACCTGGACCATTCACGCGGCGAGACGCACAAGCCTCGGAAATGGGAATTGTGGGAGGTCAAGAAGATCATCGCGGACTGGGCTGTAGGCCTGTATGAAGGTGGTTGGGCCGCGTTCTATCTGGAGAAGTAAGTGATCTCCGCTTGCGAACACGCTCATGCATCTAAGCGCATGGAATTCGCTTTGGTAGCCACGATCAATGCAGAAGCACTTCGAGATGGACCAATGACAGCTCTGAATTCCGTTGGTTGTCGTCGAAGATGTTGGGTCTCATGGAGATGACTTCGTTTGGGACCACCTACGTGTACCAAGGTGGGCGGGGAGATCTAACTGAAAAGTCAAAGCCGAGTTGCGACCTGACAGGTATGTTTCCGACCTTTCGCAGGGCAAGAGATCGGCCAAATCAATCTACCCGACGAATACCCCGAGGAGGAGTACAAGGATGTCCAAACCATCAACCGAGTTGCAGAGTCAGTTCAAGAACGATTTATTGAATTTTACCCTTGGCTGATCCTCTCCTCGACATCAATCTGGAAAGAATCCGTGCCCGAGGTGGATCCGATGTCGAACAGGAAGTCAAATATGCTTTGAGTCGAGGCCGAGACCACGCTCGATCCCCCATGCAGGCAAGTCGACTCTGTTACGTTGTTGCCTCTTCGGCTGAGCTGAATCAAGGTGTTTGACTTCAGTGGTCAAGCGGTCCCGCTGCCGGCTTCGGAACCTACAAGGGCAAGGCCCGGCCTTGGATGCTGCCATCTCCTGACCACCAGGTCTGCAACGCCGCAGATCAAGTCGGCGACAAGACCAGCGTCTTCCATTGGTACAAGCGGCTGATCGCGCTCAGGAAAGAGATGGAAGTCTTGGTGTATGGGCGATTCGAATTGCTCTCTGCGCTTCACGAAGATATTTTTGCGTACACTCGTACTATCATCAAGGCGGGTACTACCGACGAGGAGGAGAGCGTCCTGGTTATCCTGAACTTCCGAGAGCGGAATGTCGCCTACGAGGTCCCTGAAGAGGTGAAGAACGCCGACAAGGCTCAGTGCATCATCGGGAGCTACGAAGCGACCGAGAACTACGCACAGCCCCAAATTGAAGGGGGTTCCATCACCCTTCGACCTTACGAGGGTTTACTCTTCCACTTGTGAGGATGAGAACGCGACATGCGTTGTTTGCGCTTGACTTGGCAATGGACAGTTTTGAGGTGATCTTGTCCCCATTCGCGTTCTTATGCTATGATGTTGTATTCTGACTGTTGATGCATCATGGATGATTATACATATACGGCGTGTTACTATGCGGTCCGTCAGGTGGTTGTATTTCCTGGACCAGATGTCTTGTTGGTGTCAATCTCCTCGTCGTCGTCATCATCTCCGAGCGAGAATCCTTGCTGAGCCGTGCTAGGCTCATCCTGTCCACGTGCCCCACGTGCCCCTCTTGTCCCCCTCTGGCTCGCCGCATCTCCCCAGACATCTTCCTCATCGACATCGTAGCTGTCATGGCTTGCCCTTCCATCCCTCTCGAGATCTTGGAACCGATCTCGAGCCCGTGAATGGAAATTGTTGCTGGAAGAGATCGGTTGGTAAAGTCTAGAGATCTCGAACCGTTTCCGGGAGCGTCTTTTGAGTTCGTGCGCAAGGCAAAAGAAAGCTGAGCTGCCCAGCAGGTTCGCCTATATATTGCAAGGGAGAAGAGCTCAGCATCATGAACCGAAAGGGATTAGAGAAGAACTGTATTAGCCTACGAGGATATCTTTCCAGTCAAATGTCTTCCACTACAGGCGATATAAAGGTCAGTATCAACCATGTCAAATCAAACAGATTCCGCATGACCAGGACATACCGGTAACCATCCCTGAGCGATCTCGCTTAGAATCCCTCCGCTGAAGAAGCCACATATCAAGGTGAGGATCAAGGGCGCTCGACGGTAGTACCATATCCGTCGAGCGTGACTGAAGATACAGCGCGCGCAAAGGTCAGACAGACGCAATGATCGACGAGGTTTAAGTTCTGACGACGCCACTTACTCTGGCACGACTATAACGAAGTATAGTAGGAATGTAGCGATACCCATCTAGCATTGTCGAGATCGGGTCAGTATGCCTTTCATCAGGCAATCCGGCGGCAAGATATCGGCTCACCCCGAAAAAGTGCAGCACTTTATCATTGACCGGTACTTCTGGAATTGGAGCCATGCCAAGTACTCCTAGTATGACCAGCCACGCCGCTAGGACAAAGATGACCACCTGCAGATTCGGATTAAGGCTTTCAGAGCAATCGGCGACCAAGATATCGTCCTGGCTACGAACCGGTCTGATTTGCAACGGAGAAGTCTTGAGCGGGTATGACCTGGTACATGCCTCCCACAGGTCTTCCTGTAGAACTATCCATTGTTGTCGGTAGCTGCTATAATCCATGGTATCGTTGTTCGAGAGTGGGTTGTCGCATGCCCTGCCAGTCGACCCGCTGGTATGCTTCAACTGAGCGGGCTAAGTATCTACCCCGAACGAATCCTGCGAATAGTACCTTCCCCCTATGAATCACAGAGAGACTTGTACGATCTCTGATCTATCCAAGGTGGCCAAGCTATAGCTTGCTGATGCAATAGGATCGAAATGCAAATCTTTTGTATGAATAGCTTGTTGGTTGGGGGTAATTCAGCTTTGCCCAGCTTGCGGCTTTCGGTGATTGCCTCGCGAGCTCGCGACCCCCCGCCCTCGGGTGCTTTATACGTCATGAACGGAGCTTTGTCCCAACCTACCTACCTACCTACCTACCTCCTTGCATCTTCCCTATCGACCAACTGCTAGAACGCCATATATCCTGGGTCAAATCTCAGAGACAAGGAGGAAGAACAGCGTGCAATATCCTGCTGGGGGATCGCCGAACTACATCAAGCGGATGTGAGGAAGGATCGAAGCGAGCGAAACACCCAGTCTCTCTTGGCCCGCAGTTCAGCCCTTCGGATATCGCCCCCTCCGGTCCATCATGGCAAAATCGCCTAGTCCCATCTCCTTCAAGGAGCTACCTCTTGCCGACCTGCGAGCTCAAGCTACCCTCAACGTCGAAGCGAACCAGTTCTCGGCCCAGAGTTGGGTCAGCAACGCGAAGAAGTGTGCGGAGGAAGCTGCCGTAGCAGAACGGGAAGGTAGACAGGAGGAAGCGTTTGTCAAGTATCTCAAAGCTTGCGGGTGAGATCTCAGGTCCTGGGAACACTGTATTGGTAGCTAATACCATCACGTTTATCAGCTTCTTTGAGCTCTTCCTCTCGCATCGGGATTACCCGCAGGTCAAGGCGGACCGCGCAGCGAATCCTCTATGGCACGACTATATGTCGTTCTCTCAGGTAGGTTGCATCTCTCCTCGTAATATTTGAGATTCGAAGCTGATGTCACGCATCATGCAGAATCGGTCTCAGTACCTAGCAAAGGCCAAGGCAATAGCTGACGTCCTGAAGACGAGAGATGTCGAGCAAAACCCTGCAAGGTGACTAATCAACAGGTCCTCTAGCCTGTGTATAGTGATTAACCTTGACATCCTCCTTGTACCCCCAAAGACCTTCTTTACAGGTCGAGACCACGACTGCTACCCCTCAACAAGCCGAGGAACCGGATGTCTCTGCAGGGGGCTCGATCGCCGCAAGAATGGCAGCTCTACGGGGAGCGGGTATGCAGGTCCAGACGAGCCATAAGCGTGTCAGCCGAGATTTAGGAGGCTCAGCCAGTCCGGGAATGACACCGGGTAGTGCAGGACTCAACACGGGCACTACTATGGGCGGTAGTCGAAGTCCCGCAATGGGCTCAGGAAAGGGGTCTAATACGCCCGTGGAACAGCCGGGCAGTCGAAGAGGGTCCGTGGCAGGAATCCAGCCTTATTCTCCTCAGCCTCAACTCGATCAAAACAAGACTGGGTCCTCGTTCACTTCGATAAAGTCGATGCATCTGCCCTCCCGACTACAACCGACACCCAATGAATCGCAGCAACAAACGCACGATAACGATTCGTCCCGTCGAAGCCCTGCCGCGGATGAAAAGGCAGGCAACGCCGTCTCACCTCGTTCCGCACCAAGAACCTTGCCGAGTGTCCCGACCGTGAGCTCACACCACCACAAAGCGTCGTTGCCGAACCTCCCCTCTTCGCAACCGACTTCGTCTTATGCAACATATGGGCATCTTTCGAACGGGACGGCTTCCGCCAATCCGTCTCAAACCGTCACCCCGGTGAGATCACGTCAAAATACGGTCTCTTCAGCCGTACCAGAAGAAGAGGACCACATGGCGCACTTTAGCTCGCAGTTCCCCTCGCTGGATGAATTCGAACACAAGCCCGATTTCGCCATGCCCGCGCTTTCCTCTGTGAATGGAGGGGAACGACCATGGTTGCCAAGACAGAAAAGTGGTAATGGAAGAACGGTAGATCGACCAGATACCATCACTGAAAGCCGGGAGGACGAATCGGACGGCTTCAGGATGCCTCGTCTACCTTCCCCACCCCGGAACAAGCCTGGTCTGTCAGATACTGTCGGACTCAATGGCATGAACGGCTTGGGACCACCTGATATTCCTCAACGGCCTTCAAGTTTGCCGATGCCGGACACCGACACGTTGAACGGGGGACAAACGTCGCCCGGTTTACCCGCCTTGAAACCTGCGAATGCGATGGGTCCCCCTCCACTAGCACCGAAACCTCAGTTCAAGACCAACGCTTCCGTGCCGACCAGCGAAAAGCCTGCCGTCAAGCCTTCGCTTCCGTTTACCAATTCGATTATGCCAAGAACTGTATCGGACTATCTTGATAACCCCGCTCTTAAGGTCCTGCTGATTGACACGAGGTCATTCAACGAGCATCAATCCGGTTGGATCGGTCAAGATATGCAATTACCGGATGGGAGGTCGGTTGATAGTGTCTGGGTCGATCCAACAATATTGCAAAGACAAGGGTAAGATCATTCTGACACCTGTGCAGCATAGGTATCTCTAAACGAATCTCTCATCCGGTTTTAGCCTCGACTCTGTCAAGCTGGAGAGCGCCTTGTCTCTTCAGCCCTCAGCCGAACAGCGAGCGTTTGAAAGACGAAAAGATTACGATCTGGTTGTGATATACGACTCCGCCTCCAAGGCGTTTCCGGCAAAAGGAGCGAATGCAACCGCGCCGTCCACCCTCTTTTCAATCATCTTCGAGAAAGAGTTCAAATCGTCAAAGACGCTAGCGAGGAGTCCGGTCTTGCTGGTTGGCGGTTTTGAAGCGTGGTCAGACGAGCTGCGAAAACGGGCACAGAATGGTGTCGGTCCTGCCAACGGGTATACACAGGCCTCGAAAGGCCCTCCGCCCGCATTACCGTAAGTGCAGAGTCTTTGTCTACAGCATGTGAGGCTGAATTTGAAGGCTGATCCTACCTGAAACGTCCGTAGTGTCAAAAAGACGAGTCTGCCGCCGGCAGGTCTTTCGAGTCCGGGATCTCCGGATTTCGGACGTTCATCACGTAGAGAAACTGGAGTCTATCGCTCATCTGCATACTCTCGAGACATCACAGAGAACGTACGTTGGTACTATGATTGGAATCAGAGGTCCATCAGTTGATCACATTGAATTATAGTTTGCTGGAGCTTACCCGCAGTCAATGGCGGGATATGGCGGTGGCGGCTATAATGGTCAACCTATGATACCGTCTTCTCTCCAAGCCGGACCCTCGAGACAGCCATCCAGCTATAACCGAGAACTAGAAGGCGGCCCCAAGCCTCCACCTCCTGTTTCGAGTAACAATTCGCCCGGACCGTTGACGCGCCGCAGGAGCGACTATATAGAACACGCCACTCAGCCCTACTCCGGTTATGTGGATCGCTCTTCTCGCCAAAATTCGATCTCTTACCCAAACTTAGCCCAACCGCAGATGCCGCCTCCGGCTGCTTCGTCAACAACGACTCGACAAGAGTCTAGGCCGCAAGCTCCGAGATCCGAATCGATCATATCGTTTGACGGGCTTTCGAAACTCCCGGATCAAGACGATATGTTGTATTGGAGCGACGTAGGTCTTGGTATTTCTGGCTTGAAGAACCTCGGCAAGTGAGTTCAAGTGGACCGGAGTTTTAAATGAGAAATTCCACACCTGACATCGACGACTTGACTAGCACGTGTTATATGAATTCGACGTTGCAATGTTTGAGCGCGACATTCCCACTGGCGCGCTTCTTTCGGGGTATGTCCATGACGAAGGCAGCGCGATATCACACAACATTATGTTGAACGATCGCTTTCATTCTGAACAGATGGCAGTTTCAAAAGAGCTATCAACACGGTGAACCCATTGGGCACGAAAGGAGATCTCGCGAAAGCCTTCGCGACACTTGTGTCCATGTTGTGGGCAGAGAGCTACACGTTCCTTTCGCCGGTCACCTTCAGAGTGAGACTTCAGTTACAGCTAGGGTTAACTTCTAGCTCACCAATATCACTCTACATACAGAAATCGATCAGCACGTTTGCACCATCATTTGCCGGTACAGAGCAGCAAGATTCGCAAGAGTTCCTAAGTTTCTTGCTCGATGGTCTGCACGAGGACCTGAACCGCATAAAGAATCGACCACCCCCAGTAGAGATGACACCTGAACGGGAAGCGGCCCTGGAGACCTTACCACCATCTGTGGCAGCAGAGAAGGAATGGCGCATCTACAAGCAGCGGAACGACAGCTTTGTGGTGGACTTGTTTCAGGGGCAATACCGCAATAGGCTCGAGTGTCTCACTTGCCACAAAGTATGTCGTGTCTCGTCCGGCTGTGCAAACGGATACTGATCGACCTGCTTATTTCTGGCAGACGTCGACCACTTACGACACGTTCATGTACCTGTCACTACCCCTGCCGAGCCAAAATTCAAAGATCTCGGTTTATGAGTTGATTGACGACTTCACAAAACCGGAAATCCTGGACGGCGACGACGCATGGTCAGTGGATATATGATGCGTACTATTACGTACAACGTACTCATCGTTTGGCTCTTTTAGGCACTGCCCGCGATGCAAACAACCTCGAAGAGCTTCCAAGACGCTTAGTATCGCTAGGCTCCCACCTGTGCTTCTGATACATTTCAAGCGATTCATTGCAAGGCGTGGCGGGTTGTTTTACGACAAGACGGAAACATCGGTGATCTTCCCGGCAACCAGGGAAAGCCCTCTGGACCTTACTAGGTGGATGCCAGACGATGCAAACCGTGGCGGACATCCTGCTGAACCTCTGCAGATGACGGGACCATACAAGTATGAACTGTTCGCCTTGAGCAATCATCAGGGCAACATGAGTAACGGACATTGTAAGTCAAACCATAGCCTTCGCTGTAACAAAAGTTGACGAAGCTCGGGACCATTGCTGCTAGACACCGCTTTTGTGAAATCGTCAAAAGGTGCCGGTGAGAAAAATTGGATGTACTGTGACGATAGCAAAATCACACAGCATACTGTCAACGACGTAGTGGTGAGTGGACGATCCGAAGACAATCAACTCTTGAGGTACTGATAGATAGACATCTATGATTAGGCTCGACCGGACAAGGCATATATCTTGTTTTACAAACGGATGCAGACTTAGGACAGTTCGCTCAGATAAAGAGGTTTACAAAATTGGTGTATAAAGAGGCGTTGTATATCGGTATCATTCATGCAAGTCCATCTGATTGTGAGCAAGTGCTACGACTCTGCGCTATCGTGGTTCGTGTATGATAGCTGTGTGTTTGGTAGGGGGTGATGTCACGGCAGAGTACGTCTCCATATGCCTTTGGTCTGGCTGGGCATGTTTGGGCTCAAAGCGGTCTGACATTCGTCGAACAGTCAGCTATGCCCGTCCTCTTCGAATCCGTTCCACCATACTCACGGCTCAGCTCTCTTCTGCTTCTTCCTGGTTGGCGTCCATCTTGCAGTAGTTACGCTTGGACGATTCGGTCGATCCACCACCGTTCGCCCTGAACCAGGAGCAACGGTTCGAGAGAGCGGTGAATGATACCCGATGGCTCAAGCGACGAGGTCGCCGAAACGATTTCGGCAGGTCGTGCTCTGCTTTGGAGAAGGTGGCCGGTTCTTGGGGCAAAGACTCTGGTTGCGAAAGCCTTGACCCGGGTCTCGCGGTCCGGATTGATGATCGGGCTCGCAAAGGGAGTGCATCTGGACCTTTGTTGAGAACGGCGATGGCGTCACGCAAGGTAGAATCGACAGGTTCCTGATGAAGACTGCGCCTAGCAAAGTCTCGCAACTTGGTCTCATCCGCCTTTTCCGGTTCGTCTTCAGATTGATTGAGCGCGACGATCAATTTCCAACTAGGCGAGCAGGGCACCGCCTTGCCGGAAGACGGCCTGATCGGGGCTTTAGTTTGTGGGTCGATAGGAAACGAGGTGAAAGAATCGTCGGATTTGGAGCTGGTGAGCGGTCCACCAGGGCTCGAAGATATCGACTGGCGAAAGCTCTTGAGCCGGTTGCCGAGGGTGATGCGGACATTGGACATTGTGTTTGGATTTGGTGTGTCGCGAACGGCGTGTGAATTGTATCTAAACGAAGGTAAGGGTGAGGCTAGCCAGAGCGTTTATAAGTATGTGAGTTGAGGGAGAGAGTAGTGGATTTTAGCAGAGTATTGCGAAATGCGATTGATCAAGCGATGTTTGCATCTAGAACTGGGCTGGGGTAGCTTCCAATGATTCGAGCGCGCGCGCTAATCGATCGTCATTCGGTCATCATCGCGCCAAAGCACAATCACCTCTTGCGGTTGTGTACAATCACCCCCCTCGCGCCTTGATGATGACGACGCATGTACCCTCAGACTGGAATCCAGTTGCCAATGATCGCTATGGGCATGCCCCAACTAGAACACAAGTGGCCGGTGGACCGTCAGAGACGGGTTCATTTCGGTGCCGATGCACGCGCAGAGCTAAGTGACTCACGAATCGCGCCTGATAGTGAAATTCAGAGCGCACTTGATGACTTTGGCTTCCTGAGCTTGCTCGTTACCTGTCATTGATTGGCCCAGGCTCAGGGTAGGTATCGAGGACGAATTTTGGGGTTTGAGACGAGATCCACTGCCGCCAAGAGCGTTAGACGGCGAAGATGTTGGCGAATTGAATGTCGAGTTGTTGAAAGGGTGTGTCGGTGCGGGTCCTAATACTGGGCTCGTCGTGGCGGTCGTATGTGCGACTGTGTTGTCACCTCGGAGAGTCCTAGTCAAGTGAGATGGTATCTGTAACGTGCAGACTGTATTGACGGATTTTGTGTCTACCATTCGCAAGCTGTCAGATTCTGTTTCTGCAGATCGAGAAAGGTGAATCCGCAGACTTACTGGTATCGAAAGCTATGCTCCCGAACAACTAGACAAGCATACGAGCAAGCGCTTCAGCCTGTCGATCCAACTGTTTGCACCTGAGGACGGCACTCACCTGATAGTACTTGACGACCGACTCTTCGTCCATCAACTGGAAGATGCCAAGGTTCCCCCCTCGAAAGCACTGCGACGGGATTCCGGTCAAGTTCGACATCTCCTTGTTGCCCTTGTAAATCTCGCCCGTACGACGCCATAGGCAAGCAGGGGTATGGATGGCCGAAAAGACTCGGTCATAGTCAAGCATTAAACGTTCGAACGCCTCTTCGACAAAGATCAAGTCGAGATCGCTCAGGCTCTGCGCAATAGCGCGGAACGCCGGTCGGAAAACCGACATCGGTCGGAGAATCGCTTGAATCGAAGCTTGTGAGACGCTGAGTTAGGCATGTGTGATCAGCAACAAGGCGTCAAATCGGTCGATAGCTCCCCCTCCCGCAACAGACCTACTTCTTTTCGAGCCACTTGTACATCCTCGCATAGCCACGCGCGTAATCGTAAGGCTTCAATAGCCCCGCCTCGTATTTCGCCTGTATGACCTTCTTTAGTCTCTCGTCCCTCGTCCCCGATTGTTGATCAGCAGCTGCGAGGTAAAACTTTTCCCTACAGCAATCCCGACGAAATCGGTCTCAGCCTCCGGTTCAATTCGCATGCTCATCAATAGGGCTAAAAAAAGGACTGACGTATTACTAGCCTCGGGAATGAGCGGCTTAACGTCCTCCTGAGCTTGAGCCGTTTCGAACCTCTTGGCATTGGCATCCGTCTCGACATTGAACAAGCCCATCCCCAGGGCATTCCAGTCAATTCCGTAGTCATCCAAGGCGTCCAGCCCGATCAACCCGTTTCCAACCTGATCCTGATCATCCTCTGCCCCCGCACTTCCGAGCGCATTATTTCCCGTCGCATTACTATTCGTTCGACTAGGTCCGGGGCCGGAGAGAACTTGAGGGTTCAACGTTTGCGTCTGTGCCGTCTCGGTCAGCACATCCCCGAGTCCCCCGGGTAAAGATGGGATACCCAGACTCTCGAGGTATTCAGAGAGAATCCCAAATTCTCCACCTCTTTCGGCAGATGCTCGGCGCGGGGCATTGTTGAGTGGCACATTGAGGTACTTGTTCGAGTCTTGACGACCTGAAAGGTGGTTGCTGTTGTTGTTGGTACCGGCAATGTTGGAGACATTGTCCTCGGGCCTCTGCAGGGCCGATGACGAAGAAGAGGATCCAAGCGCATAGATGTCCCGATTCACGGTAAACGGTGCGTTCGAGCTGGAGCTGGCAGCGTTGAGCGGAAGCATGCCCATTGCTTCGTTTCCCGGCCACATGTTGGGCATGTCCGATGGCCCGGAAAGACGGCTTGACTCACCCATCGCGTTATCATTGACGTTGATATTGCTAGCGTCATCTGTGCGACTGATATTCGGTGCAAAAGCCCAATTCGACGTCGAAGCCACGGGATCCTGGCCCTGCAGTGATTGACCCCCGTTTTGATAATCGTGAAACCCCTGCGCATTTCCCCATACAGCTGCTGGCGAGGACGAAGACGAGCCGACCTGATCCGTTCTCTCTTCCCGGTCTCTTTCAATCGCTTGTTGCGGCCGTGATTGTGACTGCGATTGGCCCATCTGCGGGAAACCTGTGCCCGTGGAAGATGTCCTCCTTCTCTTGTGCCCGACTGTTCCACCTCCATCGGCAGCGACAGTCGTCATTTCACCGGCATACAGTTCAGATCCAGAACCCCCACCACCAGCTCGCTTCTGGGCAGCCCGGACGGCTTGCGCAGCGAGTTGTTTGGCGGCGAGCTTGGAATCTTCTAAGCAGAGGTGGGTTATACCTCTTTTAACGCTGTTACGATGTCGGATGCAACAAGTCAGGAAGGGGGGAGGGTGAGTCAAAGGTCAAGTGGGAGGACGTAAAGTGTATAGATGGAGGAACTGACCATCTTCGACACGGCCGCTCTGTATCGCAAACCATATGACTGTGAGGGTTCGACAAGAATGAACCATAGACTTCAGCTCCTTTCTGCTTCTGCCGGCAGATGCGACTCATCGTATATACTGACCTCCGACGACAATAGATGCACGACCTGATCTTCTTCCCACCCGGTTCCCGCTTGCTCCGCTTCGTGTCGCTCATCTCATACACCTCGTTCTCCATCTCTTCTGGCGATTCGACATGCTCATGGTCCGGCTCGCCGTTGTTATTGTTATGACCGCGAATATTGCTATGTATATTCTGATCCATCATATGGTTGTAAGACGTACTTGGTTGCTGTTGTTGCTGATAATGTGCTGAGGATTGATAGGCGGACGGGTCATTGCTGTGTGCCATGTTCATGCTCTGCATCTGGACATAGCGTTGGTTCGACATGATGTTGAGCAGACCGGGATATACGCGGACAGAGCGGGATTTCCAGCGTCGCGGCCCTGTCGAACGATCCTATACGTTCCCAGTGAGCGATTATGTGTAGGCACGGTGAACGAAGAGTGAGGTACTTGATGAGAACTCTGTGTAAAGGGGTAATCGGGGTAACATCCTCCTTGTTCGACCTTGTGATCTGCGACGAGAGAGAGAGATCAAGGGGGAAAACAGCATCCGGCGGCTCGGGCTCGGCAGCCTCGGAAGCGGTATTACGGCATTACGGCAGGGGAAGGAGGAGGCGGGCGACGTGTATCGGGGGAGGGGCACGAGGGTCGCGCTGATCACCCAGCAGTGACTCGAGCCACACACATCTGACCCGATGTAACGTCCTCGAAGGGAAAAAAAAACTTGGTATACAGCAGTACTGCGACCTATTACCCTCTACAACTAGGACAAAACGTTAGCTGGAGACTTGAGCAGATATGGACGACGAGATGAAGTACTTTTCGACCCGGGGCGGTGACGAACGGTTGACGTTCGAGGAGGTGAGCCTTGGCGTCGTTTCGGCCGAAGATGCTACAGTACTCGCCGTATTTATCTTTCGACTCGTCACGTATCTCCTAGGCCGTACTCACTGGTCTAGCTCCCAACGGCGGTCTTTACATTCCCGATCGTATCCCCGCTCTCCCCTCCAACTGGGCCGAATCCTGGAAAGACCTCTCCTTCTCCGAACTCTCTTTCCGCATCCTCAGCCTGTTCATCCCTACCTCTTCCATCCCTTCGGAAGACCTCGCCGAGATCATCCTCCGAAGCTACTCGACGTTTAGGCACGAACAGACCACCCCCCTGAAACAGGTCGACGAGGACGAATATGTTTTAGAATTGTTCCATGGACCGACGTTTGCGTTCAAGGACGTCGCTTTGCAGTTCTTGGGCAACGTGTTCGAATACTGTCTGAAGAGGAAGAATGCGAACTTGAAGGAGGGAGAGGCGAGGCACAAGTTGACCGTCGTTGGTGCTACTTCAGGAGATACCGGAAGGTTAGTTTCAACTAGCCTCGCTGGTTGTTAAGGGATGCATGACCTAACGATGCCGATAAATGCTGAACCTCGACCTTGCGTCTCAGTGCTGCCATCTACGGTCTACGAGGAAAGCAGGACGTCTCCATCTACATTCTCTACCCTTACGGACGGGTCTCGCCCATCCAGGAACAACAGATGGCGACTGTGCCGGATGAGAACGTGCACTGCGTCGCTGTTGATGGGACGTTTGACGATTGTCAGGTGAGCAGTCACGCCTTGCCGCCCAGTCACGTCATCGTGGACTGAGATCTGATCTATGTCCGCCCTGGATGGCAACCTCTGGTAGGACACGGTCAAGACGCTCTTCTCCGATGTAGAATTCAACGCCACACACCGTCTCGGAGCTATCAACTCGATCAACTGGGCCCGTATTCTCGCCCAGATCGTCTACTACTTCCACGCCTACCTCCATCTCCCGGCTCATGTCCGTGAAAACCCGGTACCCAACGTTCAATTTGTCGTCCCTACTGGGAACTTTGGAGATATCCTCGCTGGGTTTTATGCGAAACGGCTGGGTCTGCCAATGAAGGAATTGGTCGTTGCTACCAACGAGAATGATATCCTACAGAGGTTCTGGAAGACGGGGAGATACGAAAAGCAGGACTCGTCAGCACCGAGCACTACCGAGTCGGCCGAGACCGAGGTCGTTCAAGGTTCATCAGATGGTTCTCAAGCTCAATCCACGGGAGGTGTCAAGGAGACCATGTCCCCTGCCATGGACATTCTCGTCTCGTCCAACTTTGAACGTCTCTTGTTCTACCTCGCTTACGACACTCAAGCCGTTCCCCGATCCAACGTTGCCGATTCGGCTTCGGTCGAACAGCCCAAAGCCGAGGTGGCTGGTGCAGGGAACGCCGCGAGTCAGGAAGACCGGGTCCGTAGAGCACAGGCGGCGGTCAAGGGGTGGATGGACGAATTGAAGCGGGAAGGATCCGTTGACCTGGGAAGCGTATTGCAACGAGCCAAGGAGGACTTCAAGGCGGAGAGAGTCTCGGACAAGCAGACGGCGGAGCAGATCAAGAGGTATTATTCGAGAGAGTCTAGGTTTGGGCCCTATGTCGTCGACCCCCATACGGCTGTCGGGTTGGAAGCCACTCAGCGCGTGGCGAAGACTGCGTGAGTAGCCGGAACATCCTGGAGTCTGTCCTTTGGCAACTGTGCTGATGCTATATTGATCACAATCCCCGGGATATAGGGCACCTGGGACCACCTTTGTGACCCTCTCAACGGCCCATCCCGCCAAATTCGATGCCGCTGTCAAGGGAGCTCTTCCTACCTCCGAGTTCCCAGAGTTCGACTTTGACGGCAAGGTCCTCCCTGACGTTCTCAGAGACCTCGCCGGGCTGGAGAAACGGGTCACCAGGGTCAAGGGTGAACAGGGAGTGAGGGAGCTCATTGAAAAGGTCGCCAAGGAGACCAAGGATGGAGAGGCAAAGCCGACCGAGGAGGAAGGCAAGGGCAGCATGTAGACGTGTGGACTTATTGACCGCCTGTGCTGTTTCAGATATCGATCAGAATTGATCTGTGTACTATATGCATAAGATACGGGTGAAAGACTGGCTACATCGATCGAGATCGGGATAGGGGTAAGGCAGGATGAATGTTTGATGATGTTCTACGCGTGCATCGGTTCGCGGCGAGTCTCTGGTCAAGTTCCCATCATCAGACGTCCCCATCAGTCAGGTCGTATGATGAGGAAACCTGTGCGGTTTACGTTCTGTTTGTGATCCAAACGGAGAGTCAGCCCTGACATAGCTTTCCGAAATCCCTGGCGGTGCCGTGGTGGTTGGTGACTTCCTGCAGGTCGCGAGGTGAGCAGATGTTTGCGCAATGCCGCTGATGAGCGCTGGTCGCCGAGCCACACATCCTTTATCGAACGCTGATCACAACTCGTACCCTTTCGACCTTCGAAGCTTATCCATCACTCGTGAAACGCAGCTCCTGTACCCCCCTCAGAATCAAGCCTGATACTCACTCCGATTGGGGAAACACCGCGGAGCGACAGGATGAACCCTCTTTCTTCGGCCAGGACGAGGCCGCCACCACGACCTCTCGGTTCATCTCAGCAGCAAAACCTTCCTACCCCCTCCTTTACGCCAACTACCTCTAAAAACGACACCCCTGAAAACAAGATCTACAGCCAATCTGCCTATCAGCTTCTTACCGACGACGATACTCGAAGGGATGCTCGGTTCAAGAGGCGGAACGAAAGTCTGGCGCGCAAGAGAGACTCGGGAACGATCATCATCCCGGAAGTAGAGGGAGAGCGTGAGCCGGAAGGACCGCAGCCGCCGAGTGATGTTGCAGATGAGTGGTATGAGGTTGAAGATGAGGTTGAGTTCGGAGGCTTCATTATGGGCGGAGCATCTATCGACGAGGATCGTGAGTGACTGTCGGGCCGGATACATTCCTGCGGACGTTTCACGATGACATTAATGCCCGCACAGATGAAACGAGCCTGGACGAATTGCCTTTTCACGTGTAAAGTCGTCTTCACGGCTCAAGCCATTCCGAAGTATCTCTGCTGACACAACCATTATGTCCACATCATAGTCTCCTCGACATCCTCCTCTACCTGCCTCCCAGCGATATCGTCAACTTTGCATGCTGCTCCCGGACGCTGTACGAAGTCGCGCGCTCTCCATCCACCTGGCAACGCCTCTATCACAGACACGCGGGGTGGCGAATCCGACGACCCGTCCGGAATGACTTGTGCGTACAGACCGAAATCAACGGACCATTTGCGGATACGCTCGACTGGCGAATGTTGTGCCGAGAGAGAAGAGAGTTGGAGGAGAGGTGGGATCGAAGGAGGTTCAACCCCAAGACGGACTCGTCAAGACCCGCCAAATCAGCAATCTACTGCTCGTTTGCGGTTGAGAACTACATCATCACCGGAGCTAGGAATCGGTCGATTTGTTTTTACGAGTTTGAACAGGAGGAGAGGGCGCTATCGATCATCTTTCGGATCAAGGACGCTCATGCTGGGTCGGTTCTTTGTATGGAGGTGGATCTGTTGGGTGGAGGTGGTGCGGGAACGATGTATACTGGAGGATCGGATGGGAGAGTGAATGTATGGGATCTCGATGGGGTTTTGACGGAGTGGAGTACGTTTAGAGGGAAACCGGTCTTAGTAAAGAGTATGGTCGGCCATGAAGCGGGAGTGCTGGACCTGGTCGTCGATAACCATCGCGTGTTGAGCTGGTGAGTTATGTAGTACGCCCAAGACCAATCATCAGCTAAAGAACAATCAATTTCTCCTTCTTATGTTCTAGCTCGAAAGATGGCACTGTTCGAGGTGGGAAACAGCGTCGAGGCCACTGCGACCGTTGACTAACGCATTGTTAACAGTCTGGTGCAGAAACTCGTTGACATCCACGGCTCAAGTTGACCTCCTTGGTGGTCCGATCAATTGCATCGCTTTGCATCAAGAGACGGGCATCTTAGTCGCGGCCGGATGTCACGGGAAGATCACGTTCTACGACCTCGAAACGATGAAGCCTTTACAAAGGTGTCGCAGCCAAACCCGAGATACCGTTGCTTGTGTAGGATTCTACGTAAGCCGGACCGACTTCTCGCATTGGCTTTGCTGCTAAGCGGACGAGATACTTGTTAGGACGACCTGGTAGTCTGGGGCGACACGCACTTGCGACTCGCTCAGATGGGTACCGGAAGGGTCATGTTCGAACAATCGGCCGATACCGAATTGATCCGATGTTTCACGATCATGCCTCGAACGGGCAGGGTGATCACGGGGTCGTATAGCAATCAGGTCGGGGTATGTCTTTCCGTTTATCTCGCCTCCCCAACGTCACATGATTGACACCTCATTGTGATGCACTATAGGTTTGGCCACTTCATTCGCTATCCAACCGACGTGTCCTGAGAACACCAGGTCGAGTTCTGACCATCAGCGCTACGGCCACCAAGATCATCGCGTGAGTCCCAGTCAGCTCGTGCAGTCACAACATCGCTGATCTGGCGCTCCCTTTCAGCGGAGATGATCTTGGCAATCTCACCATCCAAGATTGTGAGATTCGATGCTCGAAGGCGAGTTTGGCGCGACACTTGGCTGATACGTAGCACATTTGACTCTTTGATTCAGTCGGCTACGGACTGGTTTACGACGGCTACTTTGATTGATGGGCCATTTATGATCCCACGAATGCACAACTAGCCCTCGTCGCAAGTGTAAAAAGTAGTGAATAATGTCGGACTTCCGAGCGATACAACCGGGACCTTGTAAGATGACGTACTGGCACCACCTTCCTTCCTTTTCCCGACCATGTCAAAAAGCTCTCAATGTCACCATCCAGTTTCTCATTCGGACAGGGCACCTCCTCGTTCCCGACTCTCGGCACTCCGGCTCCTCCTCAGCCCGAGCGCCTCGCTGCCTACCATGGCCTTGTATTTCTGCCGTTTCGGGTCGTTCTGCCTCTTTGCAAGAGTCTTTTTCACCTTGCGTTCGGGGCTGTCCGACGAGGCAAGCAAAAGCGAAGTTGAATTAGCCTCAAGCGAAGTAGGTATCATACGGGTTACGTGTGCGACGGAGACTTACCGAACGACAATGACGGGTACGGGGCTGTGGGAGACGCAATACCTGCTGACGCTTCCCATCCCTGGTGCACCGAGTGCCGCTCCGAATTTCTGTAACGTAGATCGAGATCCTTTCGTTCCTACAATCAGGGCTGGATAATTGCGTTGGATAGAAACGTGTATCAGTGACAATTGAATAGGAATACAAAAGGATGCGCTAGACGACTCACAATCCGGTCGATAGAGCGAGATGAGACGCATCAATGTGGAAGTGACCTTGCCCGCTACGTATTCGACAATCACGGAGATCTGCCCGGTCGCAAGCACCGCCTGATCGTTAGCCCAGCGATACCAATGGAAGGGCCGTGTCTCCCCGTGCTCACCCGTCGATCCGAGACCTCGTCATTCAGCTCCAAAACCTTTCTCAACAATCCCCCAGCCTCCTCCCTAAACTCCTCCTGCGCTTCCTTGCTCGCCTTTTCCCCCTCGTCCAGCTCGATCACACGGACGGCGACGACCTCGTCTCCGTCCTCGATGAGGGACTCCATGAGCCATTCGAGGGCTTCAGAACCGGATTCGTCGGGGGAGACGGCTACCATGAAGACCCGGGTGTTGCGGGTCCGGCGGTAGGCATCGGATTTGGTTTGTAGCGTATAGCTGAACAGAGCCGACTCTTTGATAGGGTTGTCGAACGTCTCGAATCCTACTTTCCGTGTGTACCCGAATTCGGGACCGATGGTGGTCCCCGCTCCGGTTGAGGATGTCCGGGTCTTGGGCACCCCAAATCCACCACCTGAAGATCGACGAGCGTGGCCGTAGCCTTGACTGGACAGACCTACTCCTCCTGCATTAGAATCCGTGCCGATTAGGGTGTTGGTATTGCTCTCTCCACCCTCGGTGTGCACCGATTCGGGTCGATGAGCGAAGGCAGATTGTAATCCGGCGTTGTTCATCGAGAGGTGTTCGTGGTCGTTCGAGGTCGATCGTTGTCGAGTCGGTACCCAAGGAAAGGACACTCTAGGTGCACCGGTTGGAGGGGAGAGGGGAGGAGAGGTGAGCTCCGGTGACGTGGGGTGAGGACTGGGTGTTCGGTGGCTGTAGCTCGATTGCTGGATGATGCTCGGTCGGAGAGACGGGGATGGACCGGGAGAGTTTCCTGGTGATGATTGAGATGTACGGAGGATGGGTCTTTCTGTCATATTGTGGTATGTTTGAGGGTATGGTAACAAGCGGGTAGGTAGGTAGATCTCAAAGGGAGGAGGGTTGACCGGACTGGGTGAGGCGGGCGACGAATAGGACCGAGAGCCGAGAGCGAAGGGGATGATGATTCAAGGAGGGAGGATGATCGATGATGAGGGTTGCCAAGACATGGGGGAAGTGACGCGGGTGCGGCCGGAATCGTTTGATTACGTTATCAACCCATTCGCAGCCAACGTCGCGCGCCTTAAAAAGGGTGGCTACAAGACGTGTGTCCAAGTGATCTAGTCATCTACCTCCATGTAGCATGCCATGAGTACAGTGGTTCTCTCCTTCCACTATGCAACTGCCCAAGACGTTGAGTAGGAATGATAAATGGTGCTCATGCCACATTCCGAAGGTATAAGTAGTAACTCGAAAAATCGGTTATGAAGAAAAGTCTGGGGGGAAATTCATTCATACAGCAGTCCTACGATTTGGTCACTGAATACTTTTTGTAACGTCGTTGTCATCTTTTTGGCATGTCATCCTACCAGGCGTATGCTGAAACGTTGCTCGCCGCGATCGAATAGCAATAATGTCGGGATGACAACAGAGTCCTTGGAATCAGAGCTTTGCAATCGTGTATACGCATGCACCTTTGGTTGCTCACGTTGCCCCCAAGTATAACAACCACATCGATCGCGATACCACCCACCCATTGCCGACGGTGCACCGACCTCCCAATAATTAGTTTCCGGAAAAAGCCTCCGGACAAAAGTTGCGAGACCCCCGGTGCGGCTAGGTTGCAAAGCCCAAGAGGACGAGCTGGTTCATGAAGTCACTTCGAACAACGACCAGACATAGCAAGTCGTCCGTATAGATAGGTCAATCATAATAGATTACATAGGACTGACAGTGTGATCGATCATGCCCAAAGCTACGAAGAAGCAGAAGGAAAAGGTCGCCGACTTTAGCGTGAGCATGCTCGAGTTCGGGTTACGTCCCGACGATCGCCTTTAGCTGATCGTGTTTTGCCGCTCTGCTTTGCGTTCGGTTGTCGTTCATCACAGAAAGCAAAGCTCAAGTTGGGAAAGGGCAAACAGGTCGCTAACAATGCTACGGATACGTCTTACAAGGCGAGGTGTGAGTGCGATCGCGGCCCCTACACAGCTCGCTCTCAGCTCACATCCATTTCATCGTCCACCTATCGGCTTGTGGCCACCTAGCTATCGCACTCCCGACCCAAAATCCACTACTCCGTTCACTAAGGGACCAAGATCCATCGTCCTCAACTGAAGATGCTAAACCCATCTCCCACCGCGGTCTGACTTTACACGAAGTCCTCGTCCTCCTCCGACATACCAACAAGGGAGCCAGGAAGGAAGCTTTGGACGAGCTGAAAGAGGTTCTTGTGGATGGGATGCAAAAGGGGATAGCTATTGGGAGGAGGGAAGGGGAGGTCGGGATGGTTGTCAGGGGGATATTAGCTCTGATCACGGATGAGGTGAGCGTGCTATAGTTTGGCAGAAAGGTGTCATGAGCGTAGAGTGCGAGTGAAGCTGATTGCAGAGCTCATCTTCGTGAGACTGTAGGAACGGACGGTCAGAAAGGCCTTGTTAGGTTTCGTCAACTGGTACCTCCCAGTCCTGCCCTCGGTTTGTAGTCTTCTTATGCTTTTCCGGATCGATCGAGTGCAAAGCTGACCGACGGACCTTTACAATGTTCGAATCGCTGTGCAGGACGTCATCGACCCTCATCTCCCCATCCTCCTCTTGCAAACATCTTCAGCCCTCTCACACATCTTTCCCGAAGTCCGAATAGACGCTTGTCACCTCGTCTCCCTCTTGCTCGATATCGCGCCCGCGTCTGTGGTCTCTACCTGGCCTTATCCGAAAAAGTCCGCCGTAGAAACGATTTCTGGGCCGGGGGAGGAGAATACGATCTTGTCGGGTTTGAGGTTGGCAGCAGGTCTAGGTGGACAAGCAGGAGAAGGAGGAGCGATGGGTCAGACCCTGCTACCGGCGAGCAAGTTGGTGGTCTTGAAGACGATCTTGGCGTTCGTCCGGGCGGGTCTGAAGAAACAGGGGTTGGTCGTCCTCGGCACACCGGCGGGTCATAATACGGGAGTCAATGCGATGGCGGCAAAGGATATTCCTTTTCCGCAAGAAATCTTTGAGCGATTCGATGTGGCTCACAGACGGACGAGACATCCGCTCGGTGGACAAGAAGAGGTGGCGAAGGAGGTCAGGTTGGACGAGATCATACCCGTGGAGCAGCTAGGAGAGGCGGACGGGTGGTTGTTCGGTACTGGGTCGGGTCTGGAAACAACGGGGTATGAGGTTGGGCAGAGGGTTAGGGAGGATGCTCAGGACGAGTACGAGTTAGGGGAGGTGCTTTCGGTCAGTAACGACGTGTAACATCGGGTTGTATTCTGATCACACAAGCTGATCAAACCGCGACTCTTCTTAGACGCTCTACCTGAACCTTCAGCCCTTGCTACTTTCCTCGCTACTGGAATCCGCACCTGCGGCATTCAGCCTGTCTACAGGATCAAGTGTCGACGTGCACGTCTCCCTCTGCAGCACTATTGTTGACCTCGTCGTAGCGCTCGCCGGGGTAGTTCTCAAAGATTTCCCCAAGACGAAAAGCTCGGGCGAGGTGAGAAAGGCCGTGACGATCGTGGTCAACAAGATCGGGGCGTATTTCCCGTTCGGGAACCTGAACGAGATTAGGGGACAAAAGGTGAGGCGGCCCACTGGGGGAATTATCGTGTCATCGACCGGATTGACTGACGCCGTGAAATATCATTTCTAGGGCAACGCTCAGTTGGTCGAAACACAGCAAGCGATCTCGGTGGCGTACTCGACGCTGGTGGTAGAATTACAACCAACACCGGGGCGTCTACCTCCTCGACCCAAGACTTCGACGGCCAAACAGGTAGCCGCGATGATGGAGTCAGGCTTCCAGGAGACCTTGACCGGGAGGACCAACAGGGAACGAGCTGCTTTGGCCGGTGTTGCCGGTTGGTTGTGCGATCTGCTGGCAAGTCAACGTGAACGACATGGGTTCGGCACAGATCGGCTAACATCCCTTGAGGGTATACAGTCTATCAATGGAGACGCGCTGCAGCCGTCGCTCAGTCCCCATGTTTATGTCACAACCCTGCCAGTCATCTGGTCGCTGTTGACATCGTTCTCCTTCCTTCCGCCTACTGGCGAGGACGAATCGATCCCGGCAATGATGCTCAACGCCGTGCTGGAGCATTTGTTCCGAGCGGGGGCAGATTCTGCCACGAAACGGTTGGGAACCGAATTTGTTTGCAGGTTGGTAATCGTAAGTATCGTATTTAGCTGTATATCTCGACGCTTCGAGCTTATCCCTCTCTCACAGGTCCATGAAGCGAAGTTCCCCGTCTACCCTTTCCATATTCCGGCAAAGTCGCCTTGTCGAGAGGTTCTGGCTCGATGGCTCGTATCCTTGCCTAGAACGCTGTGGGAACTAGGCAATAAGGATCGTGACGCTTCGCGCTTGATCCTGAAGTTCCTTCTATGGCTCGGTAACCGCAATGACACGCTGTTTTTGACGCAGGATCGCAAGGCACTATGCTCCACGTTGACCCCGTACTTCTGGTTAGACCATCCGGTCAAGGGACCCGTGGCGGGACCATGGGCGCGGCTGGAAGACCAAGATGTCAAACGACTGGCTTTGGAAGTCGCTACTGTGTGGACGAGGGCTGGAGATGACCTGCACGCGGCTGTCACGAAAGCCACGTCAGGATCGCCACCAGATGCTGCCTACTGGAAGCGAACCGCTTGACGACCTCTACGACCTCAACGAATCGATCCGACTTTTTTATGATGTAATCCTCTGTATGTACAAGTGGCTGCAAGCGCCGAATGCGAACGCTAGGTGTAATATAATGTGACAACGAAATCAAAAGTGGGCCATACAGGCATTAGTGCTCAGTTTACTCGTCAATCTCATCGTCGTCCTCGGCCGACTCGTCGGTCTGAGCTACCACTCGGCGTCGCACTGTAATCGTCGGCAATGGTAAGCTAAAAAAGAGGCAAGAGGCATCCAGCCGGATAGACTCACTGGGACGCTTCTTTACGGGCGAGCCTGGTATCGGCTTGTTCGCCCGACGACGTGCTGCCTTGGCCGTCTTCTTCACAGCATTTGCGGCCAGCGCGTTGTCCTCCTCTCCCTTGGCCTTGTGTTCTGCGAGGATCATCTCAAACTCCTTCAACTCGGCCTCGGGCTTGTTGCTGCTGAGCTTGTTGCTTCGGGCTTTGACCAGGATCTCGTTGAAGCGCCGGAAAACTGTTTCCTCGTGTAGCTTATCTTGATAGAAGGGCAGACCCTCGATCAACTTTTTGACTGAACGATCCGACTTGAAGGGCAAGAGGGACAGGCAGAACGCGATGTCTCGCCACTGTCGTTCCGTGTCGGCCAATCGGAATCGCTGACACAGCTTCTCGATGACACTTTCGGCTTGTTTTTCCTGTACGATTGTGGGGGTGTTAGCCAGGCCGCGTGGAATATATCCTCGACCCGTGACCTACCTTTTCGATATAGCCAAATACGGTCTTCATGATTCGCTCGAACATTTCCTCGTCAACGGCGTGCTGACCGACCGACAGGTGGCTGATGATGTCCTGCAGGTTGTTGTACAGCGAATTGTCCTTCTTCGAAAGCTCGTCGAAGAACAACTTTGCAAGGTCTGAAACCCGTGGCTCCTCGTCCTCGGTGCATTTTGCCATCTCGCCAAGCTGACCCTTGACCTTGATCATTCCGTTCAAGATCAGATGAGTCAACACCATCAGGGTGTTCTTCTTGACTACTAAGTCCTTGTCGCCTAATCCCTGATAGAGGCGGTCGCTGTTCTGTGTATCCAAAATATCGTTGTTTAGCCCAGAAGTTCGAATGATGCCGCGCTGCGACTCACCTCGTCGATCATATTACTGAAACATAGTGCAATGTCCCCAAGCGCAATGACGATGTTGCTTCGAACGATCGGATCCTTGCTCGTCTCCAAGATCTTGAACAAGAGAGGAAGATGCGCCTCGCAAAATTGTGCGCTGACGCACATTAGCTTGGTCATGGCTAAGACGGCAGCTTCACGGAGTGTTGGCGACTGTCACACGACGATTTAACATGGTTCTCATATTCACACAGCTAAAGTACTCACCTTGAAGGCCTTGGGCGCAGAACAGATATGCGCGATCATGCCGCCGTACACCGCCAACAACGAATCTTCGCCATAAAGCAGCTCTCGTTCTCGCACGCTCGCCACCAAGTCGCCAATGTCGTCTTCGGCATTGCCCGTCACCGCTTCAAGGTCGTTTGCGTCCTTGTCAGCGGCTTTGCCGGCATTGGCTGTGGCCGAGATCATCAGCATCCGAGGAGGGGATTGGTTTCGCAGCCAGAGACTAACCCTTGTTTGACTCGTCTTTCTGACGCTTGACCTCGCGCTCGACCAGCTCAAGATAGACAATATGCTTGATAGCGACATGTCCAACAACAAAGACGAGTTGAGCCAGGTGTGTCGCATCGGTTGCATCGGGTTGGCTTGTGGGTGCGGCGGGTTCCTCGTCAGTTTGGATATCTGACATCTGGTCGTCGGCTTTGAGTGGCCGATTGAATACACGCGAGTGCAGCTGGTGAATAATCCTGCTGCAGAGCACATCTGGCTGCTCTCCCAACAGATAAATCGTATTGAGCGCTTGCTCGGCCATGGCGAACCTGCATAAAAACGGTGAGAGACGAACAGATAGATGTACAGCGATAGCACACATACCATTGACTCGACTTGCTCTCGCCTTCGATCGTCCGCTCGAGGCGCTCGAAGACGGGACTGTCCATGGGGATTCGCAAAGTCTTGTCGATCAGCGAACCTATAAAACAATCTCCGCCCGGTTAGTCGCCCTGTCAAATGACTGGAAGTACAGATCGAACTTGCCCTTGACCTTCTTGGCGCTTCCACTGAGACGTTGAAGGGCAATACACGTGTATCGTGCGAGCACCAGGTCCTCCTGTGAAAACGCAGAGATTGAGCCTCCTCGTCAATCAAGTAGATAGTCCGCAACGTACCTGTCCTAGCGGTCCCAGACCAATCTTCAACAACGTATCGACTCGCTCGGTCACAATCTCCCGCTTGGCAATAGCGAGCATTCCCAGAATGATAATGGCGCCCCGTCGCTGAGCCTTGTCGATGGCTTTGTTCGTGCTGTAAACGTGCCATAACCTGTTGATCACGTCGGGATGGACACCCTCAGACTCGTGCTCCGCCATCATGGTCCTCATCAATTCTTCCAGCGAGGTCAGTTCGGCCAAGGTGGCATTGTATGTCCGCTCAATCATGTTCTTGGTGATCCTGCTGATCTGCTGTTGTGCGGACATGGCGGGGTCCGGCAAAACTTCGAAATAGAGCCGCTTGTAGACGTCGATGACGTGCGACCGAATCCCCTTGAGCTCGGTCCCGTCTTCAGTGGTGCTATTATTGTCTTTATTCCAGATCAAATGCAACATCGTCTTGATCCCAACCTCGGCGAAGTGCAGCTGGTAATGGTGGGCCGTCTGGAAGAATTCCATACTAGCCAAGACCTCGGCCTTGCTCTTGGATGTCAATAGCTGTTTCAGTGTTGGTACGGCGTTCTCGAGTTGTTGAACAAAGTACAGGGCTTCCGCGTAGATTTTGCGGGTAGCGCGCATCCGCTCAGCAATCTCGTCACTGACGACAAGATCTTCAGCAGGAGCAGGTTCCTCCGCGGCCTCTTCTTGGACCGTGGCAACCGGTTCCGCCTCGTCCACCTGCATCTCGTCCTCGCCGGTCGCGGCCGTCCGTTCCCGCCTCCGACCACTCTTCATGTTCTCCGCCTCATCCTCGTCCAATCCAGCATTCCGCCTAGCCACCTCCATCTCCTTGCGTTCAATAGCCTCGAGCCGTTTGCACAACGTCTCGTAGCGCTCCTCGATCAGGGTGATGTTAAGAGGACCTCCATCGATGGCCCCATAGATGTGGGTCTGTAAGAGCGTATTCAACAGTTGGATCGACGCTTTTCGGACGCTCGAGGTCTTGTCCTCTAGCGAGCGGATGGTGTAGTTGAGCATCTTGAGTCGTTCTTTAGGGAACGGTTGTCGAACTCTGTCGAGTGGAGGACGTCGAGGTTGAGATCACGTATATCACTGGCTTGACACGCCTATGACTCACTCGCAAATCTTGATCAACGTCGCCAACAACTTGCTTCTCACCCAACCATTGTTGTCCAGAAACCTCTCAAAGAGCAGCTCAAAGAATCCCTTGATCTGCTTCTTCTTGGCCTCTTCGTCCCCCTCGCCCATCATCGGAATGTTCTGGATGAGTATCCCGATAATCTCGATGATGGCCATCCGCATCGTATATTCTTCGCTATCGAGATGCGCGAGCAGGAGACTGATCTGTTTCTGAACCAGTCGGGGAGAAAGTTCGGCGAGTTTGACGAGGAAGCGCGAGAAGGATTTCGGGCCTTTGGCATCGACCGATTGTTGGAACCGCTTGTTGGCAACCTCCCTGTCGGGCCCAGATCACGTCGACTCAGTAGCTATCCTGCAGGTTGGTGTAGGCGACTTGATAAGCAGACGAACCTTAATACCTCTTCCGTGGTCTGAGTATGGTCGAACTCGGCGTCCAAGACTGTCAATAGCTCGGCCATGGGTTCCGCCAGATGCTCAAAGTAATTCAAGTTTTGGAAGATCGTCGTCTGGGCGCCTATGAATCCCAAAATGCAAGCACTCATCAGCCGGGCAAGAACGACAAGTCTGACTCTACCGCGCACTGACCAAATGCGTGCCCGTGCGATTTGACAGCGACACAGATGACCCGGTAGATTCCCGTCTTGATCTCCTGACTCTTCAACCTGCTCTCCGTCTCGCTGATCTGCCATACTGACTTGGTAAAACACCTAAGTCACCCACAAAACGCGAATGTCAATCACATCATCTCCCTCGACACGAGCCTTTACCGCAAAAGATGTCGGCTCAACGTACTCGACGAAAGCTTCCCGTTCAACCGAAGTCGTCCATATCCGATCCGTCCGGATCTTGAGCACGCGGGACATGGTCTGGAGGACGACGGGGAGTTGATCCGCCCAGTTCCATACCCGGCCTGCTGTTGTCGAGGTCGATTTCGGGGTCTTCTTCGCTGCCGTTTTCTGCAAAGACAGGTTGGAAAGCGGATTTTAGCTATGTTTTAGGGGAGTAAGGCCTTCTCTGTCTTGACCGCTAGCGGAGCTGAAGAGAACGACTAGACGCACCTTGCCTCGTCCATCCCGAGTGGCCGGAACCTCTGCCACCTCGCCCTCATCCGCCCCCATTTCTTTCCTCCCGCCCAACCTCTCCCCGACCTTGACCATCCAGAAGAGTAAGAACGCGTACATCTCCAACGGACGTCTGTGCATCAAAAACACCTGTTCTTGCGTCTCGGCGTCGTCCTCCGGGTTCGGGTGGTCGATGTCTCGGATGGTCTGATCGGATTCCGAAGTGAGGGAGGAGCAGAGAGAGTCGAGGAGTTTGGAGAGGATCGGGCCGGGAACTTGATCGGCGTGTCTAAAGGGGTTGCAGCGTAGTTCAGAGTAGAAATGCATGAGGAGAATAAAGAGTCAGCTGATCGAATGTAACGACCTAGAGCATGACGTCGAGGACCCACTTGAGCAGACTCCGATATACGTCAAAGACTTCTGGCAAGGTGATACACTCGGTACTTTGAGTAACCTGATCGACAGCCTCGTCCAGCGCCCGGTTCATGTCCCCAGCCGACATGGACTCTATATCGAGCTCATGATCGATCTGGTAGAGGGAGATGTCGGAGAGGGATTGGACCTCTTCTTGGAGGTTGAATTCTGGCGGCATCTTGCGGTGTTGTTGCAGCTGGTGGTGGTTCGGGCTATGGCTACTGGGTGTGGAGGCGTGACGAGTTCATACGAAACAAGATGAGGGGTGTAGCAGTCTTTCCTATCTCTTCGATCTCTTCAGAGGCACTGCTATATACTATGGTTTTATGAAGGCTGGGGTTGCTTATCAGGTCGAGGATGTGTATGAGGCTGACTGTACCACCCTTGCAACCTTGTGTCGAACATGTTGTAGTGTTTGTTTACCTTTTGCCTGCCTTGCCCTGCGCTGCCGTAATCGATCAGGGCGTTGTTTGGATACGCGTCGCCTGCGCCTCATCGCGCCAAAACGCGCCGCTCTGGATCAAACAGCGCAGCCAGACCTCTTCGCTTCCTTTGATCGATCCAACCCCTTGAAACAGCAAGGGTCTCAGAAGCTCGTACACGTTTTGATAGAGGGACCAAGCTCATTTTGAAGAGCCAACGATGATGGGGAGGATGTTTCGAACGAGTACCCGTTTGAGGCCCGAGATCCGAGACGGATGGTTAACAGCGAAAACTAGTGAACATCTCAAGAATTGTGGATGAATCGCATCAATATCGCTTGAAACGAAACCTACATCGCTCTTGAATCCCAGCTTGGCAATAGCTTGGAATTATTCCAAGATCCCTATCCAAAACACCACCGCTCAAACTGTTCTTCTTCTCTCACTCCGATTCCCACACAAAACGAGACCGACAGCCTCAACGAGACTGACACCTGACCACAGCCATGGGCTATCAAGGAAACTTCATCGCCCATCTCCCCGGACATCTCCTCTACTTGACATCGGCCATATTCCTCGTCCTCGTCTCTTTCAATACCCCTCTACTCAAGTCTTTTTACTTCTTGAAGGCGACCTATTCTCAAGGGGCCAACGCGGGGGACGTGTCTTTCGGGACGCTGGGGTATTGTTTCAACCGTTCAGGAGGGGAAGTTTGTACGGGTCCGCAGGTTGGGTATGAGATCGGTGAGTTCGAAGCGCATGACTGCTTTTCGCTGCGTCGAGGTTGTGTGAGGGTTTTGAGGTCTATGCCAGGGGGCTGATTCGTCAGCGATCTCATGGGGACGGTACAGATCTGAACTCGATCTTCGGTATCGACGGAGAGGGGCTCATCAAGATACCCGCGGCCATCGGGAAATACCTAACTTATGTTCTGGTACTACATATAATCGGTGAATATTCGTCTCTGTCCCACTTCATACGTTATAGTCACCCAACACGAAAGCGACGAGCTGAACCTCGAACTTACCGCCCTCCTTATTTCCAGCGCTGGTTTCCTGCGTTGGCGCGATCGTCTTCCGACTCATCGACACGATCGACAATGTTTCTGTCCTCTGTTTCCCTGCCCTATTATCCTGGTTCACGTCCGCCTGTACATTTGCAGCCTTCATCATCGACCTCGCCATGTTCTACGTCGCCAAAGCTCGAATAGATTCGGTCGACGGCGCATCGGCTACGATCGGGGTCAGCGTGTGGTTTACGCTCGTAGCGTGGGTGTTGCCCGTCTTTGCTGGTTGCTTCTGCGGGCTAGGATCGGTGGAGAAGAGGAGGAAGCCGAAAGCGCCGAGACACGAGGAACCACAACCTTACCCGCAGAGCGCGGGGCCTTATGCTCGAGTTCCGGGACCTCCATTGAATGCGTACGGGGAGAGGGAGGTTAGCGTGCCGCTGAAACCAGATAACGATCTCGAAGGCAAGAAGAGTGAGGATGCCGATCCTTACAAGTCGACGAACCAGCTAGGATATAGTTCGAACAATCAGCAATATCAGCCTAGACGACATCCTAGTTCGCAGGGTTACGGGACTTACCCGCCTCAAAGAGATCCGTACTCGACGGGCTACTATCAAGAGTACAGGAATGGACATGATGAGAGGGATGGGACCTCAGGAGGTCTGGATGTCGGAGCTGGGGCGGGAACATTTGCAGGAATAGGAGCTGGGGCGGCGGTGGCGGCGGCTGCATTAGGAGGTTTCGGGCAGTATCCGGTACAACCTTTGTACGAGCAACAGCTGCAGCCTTATACCCAGCAGCACGGTCAGGATCCTTGTGAGTCTACGAAGCAGAGCTATTCAGCGTTAGCGACCGAAAGCGCTGACTCTGCCGGTTGACTTCGGATTCGGGCTTATAGACGGTAACAGCTCTGCCTACGCCTATACTCAACCTGAACCCCAACCTCAACCTATGCCCATGCCCGTGCCTGCCGCTCGAGCTTTATCGCCACAATCGCAGTTTACGAATACGACTGTGAACAGGGTAGATCCTTATACGAATCCGGGCTACATGCACGATCGAGTCCCGTATCCTAGTCGCAGCCCGCATCCTGAAACACAATCGGATGCGTATGGCGGGTACGAAACACCAAGTACAGCCCGACCGATGGACAACCCGGCGGGCTACGGACAATCTTACTCTCAACCACAGATGAACGAAGGGACCCCTCATTTCCCTCCGAGCGGTGAGCTGCCGACCTATGCGCTTGCGGCGAATACGACATCGCAGGTTCAAGGCCAGCCGGCTCGACTAACGGGATCGAACGACAAGTCGGGGGGTCATTTTAGATAGAATTAGCTCGTATTCCAACCTTGATCCCGAGCTGGTCCTCCTTCGAGCTGTCTGCTTCTCGTGTATCCTGGTTGTATCGTATAGTATATCGTACTCGTCACAAACGGCCCAGTAGCTTGGCTGGTTACGTGAGGAATCGAGGTTGAGCCTAAACCGGTCTCGGTCATATCCGGAAGATCCGACCAGACTGATCATTACCCACATCAGCTCATGCTACCGGGTACTACGTAACTACTCTCGTTTCTGTATCAGCTTTGGACCACTGGAACACCCGAGATCGTCCGCATACAGCCATGACCAGCCTTCTTATCTGCATCGCTGAGATCTCACCTCGATCGGGATCCGAGCAGGTCCCTCAAGAGGACGTCTTTGCCGTACTGGAGAGCAATCTGAAGACGACGACCGAAGTCGTCAAACGGGTCGCAGCGGAAGGAGCCGACCTGGTTGTCTTCCCAGAGTATTGGCTTCAGGGTCTAGTACAGGATCGAGAGGTTGGTGCATCAAATTGCGCGGGCGGTGAGAATGACGTCGGCTGACAAGGCGTGTTTTCAGTACTTGGTGCATCCGGCACGATACCTTGTGAAGTATCTGCAGCATCTGGCCAAGACTCACAATGTATCCATTTGTGGAACTATTGTTGAGCCTAAAAGCCATCAGCCTAAGCAGGAACCATCGGTCTCGCCATTCAAGCATCTCGAGGATGAGAACTTGGAAAGCAATGGCGACGTATGGACGAGCTATATTCGACGGTTATACAGCTCTGACGAGCCTGCGACTTTATCTGCACCGCATGCTAGGGAAGGCGATGACAAGGACATGCCTGCGGTCAAATCGGGCAGGGAACACGATGATGAGCGCGTCGAGCAGATGATCAACGTGGCCTACGTTTTCGAAGCGGGGACTGGCAAGGCTGTCGGCCGTTACGTCAAGAGGAACCTTTGGATCTCGGAGAGGGACTACCTAACGTCCGGAGAAGATGAGCACGAAGTGTTCGAGCTGAAGGGTATCAAGATGGGCTTGTTGATCTGTCAGTGCCCGACTGTCTTGAAGCCTGCATGTTGGCATCAGTTCTGATTTGGTCCTGCACAGGCTGGGACTTGGCCCATTCGACTGCCGCCGGAGCTTTAGCACAACAAGGTGTCGACGTGATTCTCGCTCCGACCTACTGGTTGGCAATCGACAGCGAACCGTGAGTACAACAATCCAGCTGAGACAAGACTCCGGTTGATATCCCCACGTCCACACATAGCGCATCGACAGAATTCGACCCTTCTCCGGATTACGAGGTCGACCTCGTCCGCTCGCTATGCTATACCCGAGCTTTCGAGACCGAGACCGTCTTGGCCATGTGCAACGCCGGAGGACCGAGGTCAAAAGGATTCGCAGGCGGTAGCGGCGTCTGGGCTCCGTTCAAGGGCAACCTTCGAGGACGCCAGATCGCGAGTGGCATTCAGGATGAGCGCGGCGATGGCTATGAGCCGGCAGTCGAGCTCTTTGACGTCGAGCTGGACAGACTGCTCAAGGTCGCCAGGGAAACGTACCAGATTCGCCAAGATTGGAATAGACAAGCCGGACGTTCATGACGATACTGTATTCGATATTTGTATTTTCCCACATCGCGGGGCGTAGGTACAAGATGCAAACTGGTCTATTCTATTACAAGAGGAATCGCTATGTGCCATATTATAGTGTATCCGCTAAGCGGCAGGGGCAAGAACGACAAAACAAGAGGAGAGAAAAAGTCGAAAAGGTATGACTGTGCGTTTGTATGTGCTTGTGTATGTGCTACCCGTGACGTTTGCGGTCCGGCTCCTAAAGATCCCTTCCTCTTCCACTACGCAGGACCCTTCCACCGAGCCCCGCCGCATCCCTCAGATCCGCGAGAGACTTGGTAAGACTCTTCTTCATCCCCCGACCCAACCTCGTCCTGCTCGTTGGCGTCGACAACTCGGCTTCTGAGGCGAGGGCATGAGCCGAGTTCGCATTCGAGCTCAAATTTTGCGAGGGCGGCGTAGGCGGAGGCGATGCCAATGTCAAGGTCGAAGTCGAGGTCGTGCTCGACGTAGGTCCCCGTACGCTACTCGCCTTGACCGGACTGGGAGCGAGCGAGACGGTGCTCGTCCTCCTGACCCTATCCGTCGCCGGCGTAGAAGCCAATGACGAAACGCTCGAAGGGTCCCCGTAGCTCGGGGTCCCTCGTCTAGCGCTACTTCCACTACCAGGGGTGGCGAACTGTTCTGCAAACTTGTCTCGGCTCGGAGTTTTACAGACCGCCTTGAGCTTCTCTCCAGCCAACGCGGCCAGGTCGATCCAGCCTAGGGGAGGAACGTTCTCTTGCCCTTTGTCCGCTGTCTCTGGGTCCGCTTCGTCGGTAGAGGCGATGCCTGTAGGAAAGGGCACCTTGTTCTTCCCGACGTGCTTGATGTTCTCGGCCGTATATTTGGGTGTCGCGGCCGGGGTGACCGTTCGGACCACTTCGTCTCCTAAATCAAAGTACCCCTGTTCCCGCCTGACCGCCGTACTACTAGCCCCATTGACCGCCTGATCGCTCCACACTTCGAACCCGACCGCATGGACATCGGCATTCGGATCCATCTCGACCGGCATGATCGTTCTATCCCCATCCTCGTCCCCGTTCTCCAACCCGTCTTGTGCGTTCATCTCAACATCGGTCGCCACAACGGGCGTGGACCCGACCGGACGAAACTTTTTGCTCATAATCGGACTGGCACTGGGCGAGTCTCTACCCGTCCACGTGCGTTTCTCGTTGATAGAGATGGCCGAGGTGGATGTCTTTTTCGGAGTGAGTTTAGGGGAAGGACGGAGGGTCGGCCTGGTGGTAGGCAATGTTGGCATGGTAGGCATTGTCGATGTCGATGTGGAAGTACTGGCAGTGATAGAAGTGTCGGGATCGTCGTCCATCATCATCATGGACAATTTACTCCTAGGTTGATTAGGCTTCGTCGAACTGCACGATTCGAGAAGGCCAGATCGACAAATTAGCCATCTCGTCAGTCGAGAGAGAGTCAACTTGTCTCTAAGTGAACACTCACCTGCTACTAGGAGAAGCAGAGCCCATCATCCCCATTCCCATCCCTACGAACAGTCGTCTAGCCGGAGACTGTTGCTCCCACGCGGCCTCTTCCTCGTCATCAGAATCCAAGTTGATCGTCCCCGCCCGTTTGGGCGTGAGGTCGCTATCGACTTCCATCCGCTCGACCTCGTTCCGAGCAGATCTGGCTCTCGTGGATAGTTTCTTGTTGACGTGGGTGGCGTGGAGAAGGTCTGGCCCGGCGGTGGGGACGACCTTTTTCGACCCTTCCTTTCGCGTCGACGAGGACGAGGATGAAGCCGGGACGGCCTTGCTTTTCACACATTTGCCCATCCTTTCCGATATCGATGTCGACGTCGATGTCGATGCTGAGGTAGACGGTGATTTGGTTGTTGAAGTCGACGTGGAGGTCGATGTGATTTGAGGGGAACAGGCCGTGCTTCTCAACGAGAACCCTGAATGTAGGTCGAACTTGCAAGGGAACAGACCGAGCGGGAGGGGGCTGAACGGTTTGCGATGCGAAGATGTTGTCGTTGTCGGATTTGTGGTTGTGTTTAAAGGTGAAGAGGTAGAGTTGGAGATGGAGATGGTAGGAATCGTCTGTTCAGTCCTCGTTCTCGAGCGAGTGGCAGGTGTGGAACGCGAAGTAGTCCGGGAAGAAGAAGAGGAGGAGGAAGCCATCGTCGCAGATCGCGGCCAAGGGAAGGGGGTGACAAGGTTATATGAAGGCCTGAACGGATCGTCCCCTGTTGTCTCTTCTCTACGACCGGGGAGTTTTTCTGGGTTTGTCCGGTTTGATGTGATTTGACTTGTTTCTGCCTTTGTCCGAGAAAGAGAAGAGGAGAGAAGTCGATGATAAGAGGTGGATCACCACGGAGATGTGTAAAGGGGAAAGGAAGGCTGGAGAGGCAAAGGAGGAGAGGAGGCGAGAGGGACGATCCGGGAAAAAGGTCGTTCGATTCGATTCCAATCTGATCTGGACCGAGAGGGCGAGACTGGTGGATATCGCTTCGAGGTTGGGCCTGGACGATCCGTTTAGTGTCGAGAACAATGAGACTAGCTAGACCAGGTAGTATGTGTCGGAGTGTTTAGATGTCTGAGGGATGGATGCGTGAACAAAGAGGTGAAAGGTAGCATGTATGAGTACAAGTGTATGAAACCGAGAGAAGTGAGATCGACGTCGACACCCCAAAGGCTAAGGCTAAGGGGGTCGCGTCAGGAGAGAGTCGCGACGCGAAAACTAAATTGAATCGGGAGAAGAGGGGGAAGGGGGGGCGGCAACTTCAACAACAGCACAGACGACCGATTAGATTCACACCATGCAAGACCTAGAGTCGACTCGATTGAGATCCAAACCGACCCCTATTATTCGAATCAAAGGGGAACTCTGTTTCTAATACTCGCAACACCTCTTTCCTCTTTTGTCTTTTTACCACTTTGGGTCGGATCTGAATCGCCCGCGGATGCAAAGAAGAGCGAATCGTCATATCGGAAAACTCGCTTGGCCTTGCGCTTTCTCACGCGTACGTCATCATGGAAGCATGGAACAGGGTTCAAAATATGATCGTCAAATTCGTGACATAGGAGAACGTTCAAACTACAATCAAATCGATTTGTAGCTCAACGGGGTATGGTTAAAAGACATTATGCGGTGGCCTTCTTCCTCTTTGAACCGACCATCACATCCTCATCCCCGTCCGTGGTCGTCGCAGCTCCACCTCGACTCGGTGTCCCGTTCGCTCCCTTTCCAGACACCTTGCGTTGCTTCTTTGAAGCGCTCCCTGAAGGTGTCCCCATGGGCGTCGAAGGAGGTGGTGCTCCCTTACCCAACGCCGAAGGAGTCGCAGGCACAGCAGTCGAAGAAGCAGCGGCCTTTTGCGCAGCCTGCGCGGCCTTGGCCTTGGGTCCGATCAACTGACCGAACCATCCTCGCACTTCCTTTTCGGGTATCATCCTGCCCTCCGTGGAACGGGAGACGTCACGTACTCCAGCTCCAGTGCCGGTCCCGGTGGATGCGGCTGAGACGGTCACCTTGGTCCGAGGAGCCGAGTCTTCTTCCTGGTCCGCATCGACCGTAGAACGGGAGGACAGGCTCATAAAGTCGCGAACAAAGGCGTCGAAGAGCAGACTCGAGGGGGGAAGTGACACGTTGGGAGCGTCAAAGACGTCCGAGTATTTGCCTCGCTTCTCCCGGGTAGTCGTAGCGTTGACAGGTCGCTCGTCTTCGTCTTGGTTTTGCAATCGTTGGTGCGCCGACTGCACATCGACAAATGTGTCTTTGCCAAACATCTCTTCCCAGATCGACTGGTTCTTGACCCCAGAACCAACGACGTCAGCGGTGCCGGTCGGCGTGTCCGTCAATAACCGCTCGAACGGCTCGACGTGAGCACCGAACCGAACCAGTTTGCCATCTCTGGCGAGTCCAGTGTACTCGATTGAGTCGTTGGCAGTAGGAGCGGGAGTGACGACAGCCTGAACAATACCGAACGGTATGACGTGCTTTGATAGCGATACTGGCGATGCCACTGAGAAGACTTCGATCCGGGTGATCTTCTTGCCGGCATCGAGGCCGATGAACTGGTCCTCTTCAATAGCAGGTAGGCAAGCCGAAAACATGCCTTGCTCCCGAGTCCATACAGGATCACACGAGAGCAGGTCCCAGACGACGAGCCCGCCGCCCTGTTCACGGTCGCCTCGGACCACCAGGTATCGTCCGGTCGTCCCGAGGAAGAGGAACTGGGCAACCGACTTGATGTCGGCGGATTCAAGCGTTCGGACAAGGGTATTGGTCGAGGTCGTCCAGAGCGTAAGGAGCGGCCCCTGAGCGAGAACGATCAGGGTACCATCCGGGGAGAAGGCGGCAGCGGTGATGGGTTCCAGACGGTAGCTGAATGATGACCTGAGCGCCCAGAAGGCTTTATGGGGAGCAAAACCAAGTCAGTGCTCAGTCGAAGAAGAAATGTCAAACGACGAAAGAGGGAAAGGACAAGGATGACCGCGTGGGCTTCTCTCAGTAAGGTGTATTATGTTTAAGAAGAAGAATACGTTGTCCACATTGATTGTTAAGACTGTTGAGCTTTGATAAAGCATCATTGTGAAGCCGCGGTGGGAAGGGAGGAGACACTTCGAGAACAGAAGAGGATTCGACACTAACCTTCTTCGAGCGCAGCTTGTTTCTTGCCTAGTTACCGAGGAAATGAAGACGAAAGTCAGCCAGCATGCTATGAACACGACAACTCGAAACGATCCAAGGCCTCGGCGACACCGATCAGGATTGCAGAACAAATGGTCCACAGCCCTCCGAAGAGGTTCAGTGAAAAAATTAGAGTTTTATGTGATTGTTGATCATCAAGAGGTGTCGCCAGCGTCGAGGCCAAAGAGTTGGAATGAAGCAGGGATCACGACGACATCGAACCGAAAACTCACCAGGTCCCTTCTGTCCTACTTCAGCCAATCCACGCTTGACGGTCCAGACCTTGGCGGTCCCATCGCTACCGGTGGTCATGAACAGCCACCCGGCGCCTCGTCGAGTATCCGGGTTCGATCCAGACAACGGGGCAGGGGCAAAGCTCATACTGGTAACATCGTGGAACCCGTGAACACGGTCGAGCTGAGTGTTCAGCACGTAGCCGTTCTTTCCGGTCGCCCAGAACCACAGTTTGACGGCCGTGACCTTTCCTCCTCCTTGTTCCGTATCAGCAGGACGAGTTTCGTACGTTGCCATCCATTGTCCCGCTTCCGAGGATGCCGTAGCAGGCGAGAAGACGACCGTAGATACCTTGATCGGGATAATCTCCTTGTCGGCGCGGGAGACACGGTTGGAAGGGACAACTTCGAGGTCGAAAACCAAAGACGATGTCGAGGGCTGGAAAAACTGTAATGTCGACGGATGGGACGAAGCCAAGACCATCGAGCGAGTCGGGGCATGGTAGGCGAGCGGGTACCTTTTGCCCAATTGCAAATCCCGGTCGAGCTTGTTGATGCGAGCACGTTTGCCGACTGGCAAGGCCTTGTTGGTAGCAGCACCGACCTTGACAATCGAGCCGTCGACGAATCCGCTCCAATACTCTTCTTCGGTGCCTTCAGCGTGACCCATAGGCTTGACGCCGATCCACTCGAAACTCGTCGCACCCACGCTCAATCGGGCCATAAAGCTGTTCTTGAGCGTGTCGAGGTGCCAGGTGACGAGTACGTTCTCTTCTCCACCGGACAAGAGTTGCGAGCCGTGAGTGGTAAAGCAGAGGGCATGCACTGGGTGAGAGTGCCAATGAAGTGCCGTCGAGGCCAAAGTCACTTCGCTACCAGAAGATCCGATCTTGTACCAAGCGTCCGTCGACTTGGTGGCAGATGAAGCGGCGTTCTGCTGCTGAAGCGTCCGATAGGCTTGGATCAAGCCACCTCGATAAAGCCGGACGAAACCGCCCTTGTCACCGGTCGCGAACCACTCTTCATCACCACGCTTAACGATGGACCCGGCGGCATCGGATGGACACCAACGGAGACAGGTCACGCCGATGTCGACCGCAATCTTGACCCAAGCGTCCGAGCCCGACTTGACGCCGAGTTTTCGCACAAACACGCCACTGTCAGCGATGATAGACAGGTAGGTGCCGTGCGGCGAGATACGGATGTCGGAGACGGGCAAGTTGATCTGTCCGAGACGGACGATGTGCTTCGATAGCTGCCCGGGTTGCGACTGGCCCGAGGCCGAGGTGGTCTGAGGTACACGAAGCGGGATCCGAACAAGCTTGGTCAAGATTTGGTGATCTAGGGCACACGATACGATAAGCACGAGGATTGAAGCGGATATTGTGCAAGATGAAGGCTTACCTCGACTAGCGGCATCGACTGCGAGGTATGCGAACGCTTTACCCGACTCGGTCCCCACACTCATCCTATCGATCTTGACTCGACGGCTCTGCTCTTCATCCTTGTGTTTTCCTCCAGCTGAGATCATGGCTTCAGCCACGTCCAACGTCCTGATCAACCGCGAGTCGGTCCAGCTCCAGACCTTAACGGTACCATCCTCGGAGCAGGTCACGAGCTCGAGGGGATTCAGAGGATGAAGGTGGAACGAGGTGATAGGTGCCGAGTGTCCCGGCGATGATCCTGAAGGAAGGGTGGAGACGAGAGCGTAGTCCGGTGGTGACGACTCGTGGATGAGTATCTGTTTGCCCGAAGCTACAAAGTGGAAGCTGTACAAATAAAGCTGACGTCAGCCGTAGCTCGATACGAAGCTGAAGTGGACGATGAGAACTCACCGACCATCCTGGGTCCAGACAGGGGACTGTGCGTTTTCAAGCCGCTCAGCAATAGTAGACGATTGCCAAGGCTGATAGACCTGACCGTCCTGGTCATCGGCGGAATCTAGCTCGTCCTCGGGCAAACCCAATGCCGAAGCCCGATCACGTCGCTCTTGTCGAGCTTTTTGTTGACGTTCCCACCATCGGGCAGTCTTTTCGTCTATCTCCTTGGGAGTCGCATCGGGGTACTTGACTCGAAGCTTTCGTTTCTTTCGTTCGAGGATGGCGGTAGGGTCCGAAGCATCATCGTTCGAGGCGCGTTCTTTACCCTTGATCGAGGGTTTAGTGGGGGTGGACCTCGAGGGAGGGAGACGGGAAGACGAAGCTTCTGCAGAAGAAGACAACGTCGATACCATCGAAGGGAATTTAAGGGAGTAGAGGGTATTCGACCTGAAATATATATGCAAAGGAGCGAGTCGAGTGGTCGGGGAGCACCTTTCTTTATAGACGAGAAGGGGGTGCACCGCGCGAGGTCACGCTAAAAGATTTTAGCAACGCGAGGGAAGAGAAGTGGGTCTACATAAAAGCGCAACTACCAAGCGCAGTGACGTAAACTAACGCCCCATCATCACGTGACCAAATCCCGGTTGAGGACCACGACCAGCCCAGGCTGATGACCAGCCTAGATCAGCAGTAATCAGATCACTATTAGCTATTATATCTATTATCCATAAGACTGCCAATCTTTCAAAACACCTCCATCCATTATCACGATAGCTACGATCGGGTTCTCATCCCTCCTCCAATGAATTCTCACCGCGATTCGTCCTCGGTCGTCGACCTCAACGCTCCTCTTCTCAGCGCACATCGTCAACACGATCAACACGACCCCGACCACAGCCGTCGCCAGGACGAAGACGTCGACCAGACCGACCTCGATCTGGAGAACAGCAGCGAGACTATCACCGGGTTTCAACCTCCTGACCGCAAAGAACTCGCCACGATGATCATCTCGGGGACCGTCGTCGTCCTCCTGAGCGTCGCTGCCGGGTTGACGACCGTGTTTGATTGGGTCCTCTGAGTCGACTGAGATCGCTCCATGAAATGATGCAAGGCGACCGCAGTGCTCTCTCGCACCGTACTATGCTACAGTATTCATATTGATATCGATACCAACATCGGTCATCATTATCAAGCGGTGTGGGGCTATACCTGGAACTACTCCTACTCGATCTCGCCTGAACCCTACTCCACACACTCGGTCGAATCGATCACCCCGCTACCGAGACACCATGTCCCACGTTCGTCCCATAATCCTACCACTTGGCCTGGAGATACTCCCTTCTCCGGGGTTTCGAACCGGATCTCTAAGTCGGAACTGAACGGGACAAGCAAACATGGGTACGGGTCAGGATGATTAAGACTAACGCCGCAGACTCGGTGGGATCGCGATGGGCGATGTAGACATACCACATTCGACGGACGACCGCGGGCACATCCCTCATCCGATGTCGCACCTGACATCTCGCCCTCACCCCTCCTTCCTCATCCAACCCATCCGGCGGAACACCTGCGATCCAACTGAACTCCTTCGCACTCGTCCTCAAGGCACGACAACAAAGCGCCTGATGGTCCGCTCCGGGTACCACGACGACCTCGTTCGTTCCCACGCGCTTCGAAGCGACGAACCATTTCTCCTTCATCCCCGGGATCCGAGCTCGCTGGCCGATGGTGTAGTGCCACAAGCCAGCGTGTTGACCAAGAATAGTGCCGGTTGGGGTAATCAGGTGACCCGGAGTGGGTTCTGGGGTAGTGTATTGGCCTGTTCGATCACACGAGATACGTCGGGTCAGCTCGACTCGGTACTCTGCAATGCACTCCAGGCTGAAGGGGGACCTACCGACAAATTCCCCAAATTTGCCCCTCTTCTCCCCGATGAAACACACTCCCATCGACTCTTCACGCTCAGCTGTGGGCAGTCGAAACTTTTTGGCCAACTCTCGCACCTCGGTCGATTTTGTCAAGTTGGCGAGGGGGAACAAGGCCTTTGATGGACATGAACGTTTTGTTCGAGGAAAGGAAAGACGAGAAAATTTGGGGGGTGTAGCTGGACTGAGCAGGCGTTGCAGAATCGGGGGAAAGATGGCGGAACGGAACTCACTCTTGACAGTTGAGACTCGCTGCAGCTAGACAAGTAGTACGTCTGATCTTTGAGCTGGTCTGCCGAACGTAACAGCCTCGTCCTGCCTTCTGAGGTCTTGTCTGTAGCCGCGTAATGGCCTGTATGATCGACATCCATATCATCACACCATCCTCGAATTTACACTACATTGCGGCTTTCGACTTACCGGTGGCCAACCACCCTCCCCGCTCGGGCAATGCCTTGTCGATAAGTGCCCCAAACTTGACGTGCTTGTTACACGAGACGTCCGGATTGGGAGTGGATCCGGCTTGCCATGCTTGGACGGCGGGTTCAAAGACGTGTAGCCAGTATTCTTGCGAGAGGTCGATCTGAGAGTCGGTGGATCAATACAAGGTCAGATGGTCGAAACTCAAATTAGCAGCTTGAATGAAAAACGTTTCCAGTTGCCGAGGCTCAAGCTCTCGGCCGATACCCATGCTAGTATGATGGTCGTCTTGACTCACCAGCCTCACGGGCACATCCCAGACCTTGCACACCCTCTGAACGTCCTCCCAGTCCTTTTCCCACGCACAGTCCGTCTCCCAAGAAGGATGGTCCGATTCGGATAGGAGCGGGGACCAGTTCCGCATGAAGATCGCTGAGATGTCTAGGTCGCGAGAGGGGTTTAGTGGGATTTGACCGTGGGGGTTGATGGAGGATGCAAATGAGGCCGAGGAAGAGGGGTGATTGGGGAGGGTGAATGGGAGTTTCTGAGCAAGTTCCGGTGAGATACCCGGAGGTAGATGCGGAGAGGCGAGGAGGGACAGGGCGACTGAAGAGTCGACACCGCCGGACATGGCCACGACCACTGGAACATGACGATATCGTGCACAACATCAGCTGTCGATCCCATTGTCGGTATCGATCCGCCGATTCGAGTAAGATGTACAAGGTGTCGCTCACCTTTGTCGCCCTTCTTGATACCCAGACTTGCAAATCCGCCCCGATCTCGACCAATGCCTCGACCTGCATCCAGACTAGTAGTAAAATCCCGCCGTCCATTCCGAGTTTGACCTTCGGGCTTGCTCTTGCTTCGATGACGGGCGAATGTGCGGACAAGGCGCAGAGTGCGTGTGACTGACGGGTTCATCCTTGTCGATTGTATGGAGTAGGCTTCAGAAGAAACGTCGTGAAGCGGCCACGAGGAAGAGTCGGAGAATTAGCAGAAGTGTTCAAGAGGCAAGAATCAGGTCGCGCTCGTCGATCTCCCAACTTTTGCGGCTCTGTTTACGATGTGAGATCTGCCCGAGATTTCGCAGCAAGTGGGATCGGGATGTTCCGGTGCCGCCGATGCCAGATAAAGGCAACTCTAGGTCACAGAAAATGTACAGTCTGATGGAGGGTCTTGACTCGCTGGCTACAAGTTTCAAGCAAAGAGCAGGTCGAGGTCGAGGTATGACATCGATGAGGCGGTGGTATGAACGCCGTCGGGGATCAGACGGGTCGACTCCGAGTCTCAGCTCAGAAGCGTAACGACGATGTGCAACGAGAGGTATGATGCATTCATCATATTCAAAGCTACATAGCTACGATATAGACATCTTGGCCTCTTGGTCTCCTCTGCAGAGCACAGCCTGGAAGAGTCAATAACCCGCTGGTCTGGTCGTATTAGGAGACCTCATAACGATCTGTTCCGCGTCGACGTCCCCCCCCGAGAATCACTTCGGTCCAGCACCCATTCACTCACGAGGTCGCACGACAAACACCTTTCCTCGTTCCCCTTTCTCGCAGCCCGGTCCTGCAAAGCGATCAGCCGGCAACTCGACAACGACACAATGCAGCAAGGAGATCAAAGAGGACCTCCTAGAAGAGCCCAGACTGTCAGTCCTTCTGGTTTCAATGCCGAGGACCATCATCGAGGAGTTCGACATGGTATGTCGAGCTGAGAAGATCAGATTCGGAAGCGTCTTTAACGCACATTCCCCGGCTGACATCACTCTATCACGTCCATTGCCGATATTCCGACGACAATTCCAGCTCAATCGAGTCATTCACTGGGAAATCCCGGAGAAGCTGTCCCGCTAGCCCCTCCCATCGACTCTTACCCTCTGCCCGGGGCCGCCGAATACCGTCGATCACCTCCTTCGTCTTTTTACCATGCTCAAGGACAAGCACCTCCAACAGGCTCACACCCACCCCAGCCTCAACGCGGATATTCTTCCTACTCGCAACACTCGCAAACACAATCGCAATACGGAGGGGAAGATCAGGGAAGGCCTTTATCGGATGATGTCGGAGCTGGGTTTGATAGGCTCAGTATTACGAGTCATGATCAGGTCAACAATGGTAATGGCGGTCAGGCCTATCCGCTATACAGACAGCCGAGTAGCATGTCCAATAGTTCAGGTTACGCTAGGTCTAACAGCGCCGGACCGGGATATCAGCCGCAACAACAGGCACAAGGAGGTTACCCAGCGAGCGTGTACAGTGTGGATAGAGGCTATACGCCGGGAATGGACCCGGTCTACGAGTCGGAACCGGGGAGGCGAGGGAGTCAAGAAGATGGAAACGGAATGGGAATGGGACCAGGGATGGGACCAGGGATGGGACCAGGTATGGGATTCACCCCGGCCAACCCTTACCTGGCCGCTAGCGATCATCTCGGTCTAGCCCCACCTCCCTCTGGACCTGGGCCTAGTCGAGCGCGTACTCTGCGTAACGTCTCTTCCACATCCGACGTCTCCACCCTCCATCGTACGCCGACGACCTCGATCGGATCGAGCAAGGCTAAACGTAAAGGCATCTCCGCCGCCATCGACGTGACGAAACCTCCTTATACCAAGGAATTCGTCGACGATTATCGGGCGAGGATGAAGATGGACCCCGATCCCGAGGCACAGTTCGCCTTTGCCAGGTACCTAATTGAAGCAGCCAGGAAGATCGGGGAGGACATGTCGGCGACAGATCCGAGGGCGGGGAAGAGGTATCGGGATGGCCTGCTAGCGGAGAGCTTGAAGAACCTGAAAAGGCTCGCCGCGGAAGGTGGAGCTGGCAAGGGAGAAGGAGGGTACCCAGAAGCGCAGTTCTTCTTGGCCAACATGTTTGGTACGGGCCAGTTGGGCTTGCAGGTGGATCATGAAAAGGCTTATCAGCTCTACATGCAAGCTTCCAAGGCCAACCATCCTGCGGCGACTTACAGGACGGCGGTATGTAACGAGCTTGGGGCAGGGACGAGGAAAGAGATGAATAGGGCGGTATTGTTCTACCGCAAGGCGGCGGCTTTGAAGGATACGGCGGCCATGTACAAGTTGGCCATGATCCTTCTCATGGGGTCGATGGGACAAGCTAGGAATCCCAACGAAGGGGTTGTGTGGTTACGAAGAGCGGCTTCTCAGGCGGACGAAGACAACCCGCATGCGCTGCACGAACTTGCGATGATCTATGAGGATCCGCGAGCGTTGAAGCTTCCCCCGAACATTTGCCCTCCTTCTATCGAGGCCGCAAGGGAACACTATACCGAGGCCGCACAACTCGGGTATGCACCGTCCATGTACAAGCTGGGCGTGGCGTACGAACACGGTCACCTAGGCTGTCCGGTGGATCCAAGACGTTCTATCGCCTGGTTGAGCCGGGCCGCGGAGAAGGGGGATCCCGAGGCGGCTTTGGCGTTGAGCGGGTGGTTCTTGACGGGTGCAGAGGGAGTGTTGAAGCAGGACGATCAGGAGGCGTTTCTCTGGGCTAGGAAGGCTGCGAATAAGGGCTTGCCAAAGGCCGAATTCGCATTGGGTCGTGAGTGTCGCATCATCCAGGTCATACAAATTTCGCGCGATGGCTGATTGACCCTTGTCACCGCTGTATTGCAGATTACATTGAAGCTGGGATTGGCGTACCTCAAAATTTGGAGATGGCTAAACATTGGTATCAGCGTGCTGCCAGTAAGTACAGTCTCTCGAGGCGACATCTCTTGGGTGACCCTTGAACACCCAGCTGACGCCTTTGATCTCGCAGCGAGCGGTTCGGAACAAGCGAAGAAACGGATAGAAGACTTGGCTAAACGTAAACGACCTGCAGGACGACCTTCGCGGCAAGAGGCCAAGGCGGAAGGGTGTGTGATTGCCTAGAAAACCCTACACGGGAATGTAGAGACGTAACCGAGCAATGAACGATATAATACAACGGCATCGAACGGAGCCGATCGCGGTCAATACACTAGCACCAAAGAGTACAAGTCGATGCCGAGCCCCTACATGATCAAGCAGATTGGCTCAATCTCCTCTGGCTTGGGTTGGCCAGGCGGAGGAGGAGGTTCTTGCATCGATACTGGGGTTACGAGGCCGCTAGGGATAAGGAGAATGATAACAAAGGAGGGAATGGTTGGTTTCATAGATAGAGGCGGAAATGAGTCTGAGCCGAGACTCGGCGTCGACCGTAGTATCGCATGGGAGCCGGTGAACGGGTGACGACATGATGTAGGATGCGGTCGGTGTACTACTTGTGACATCTCCAAATCTAGACGACGAGATACGGCTTTACGCTTTACAGATCGATCCGAGCTCACTATATAGAACATGGAACCATCAGATATGATTCGGAGACCATCCGGCGCTCCCGCGATCTATCAGCAACAGTTCCCCGTGATCCCGCCGTCTCCTTTCGCTCTCACCGATGACCTGTTCACGGGTTTGAACTTGAAGCCGCTCTTCGATGAGTACATCGGTGAACCTGAGGAACATCAGCCAGAGAAACAGCAAAACATCAAAGAGGATGAGAAGCGAGGGAGTGCCGACCCAGATGCGAGTGCGGGACCGTCGACGCCGACGTCGGCTCCCGTCAAGCGGGAATGGAAGAAGCCGCCGAAAAACTATGACCATCTGTTGGGCGGTCTGCCGGGTAAGTCTTGTGACGGGATGTAGATTACAGCAAGACTAGGGTGCAGTGTCGGCTGACACCTAGTCATACATCCATGTACATCTACGTTCACAGACCCTTACCCGCTCGGCACTCAGCAAGTCACACAGCTCTTGCCTTTTCTCGGTGTCGTTGTCCTGGAAGACAAGCTCCCTCCCGTGATACCTGATCCTCCGGGCTTCGTCAGACAAGACCTTGGTAGTAAAGACTTTCGGTTCGCACCGATTCTGGATCCGAAGTCGATAACCGATGTTGGGGTGGTGACGCTCAGAGAGGGGAAAGCTAGGGGTGTCAAGGATGTTGTAAGTTTATTCTGTTTCGAGACTGGATATCGATGCACTGGATACGACCTGTTCATGATTATTGGCTATGTGTATAGTACACGAATGGACAAAAGAATCCCAGACGTATCAAGGGCGGCCCTCCACCAGGCCCTGATCAACTCAGTAAAAGTCGCAAGAAGAGAGATGCTCAAAAGGCGAGTTCCTATCTACATTGCCGCCAACCGAATTCATCCCGTCCAGATATTCAGACGCTTGAGACTGACCTTCTTCCTTGATCCACTTGATAGGCTCGCAGCGAATATCACGCCCGTAATCGAGCTACAGCGCCTGGTCAGCTTGAACATTCCACCACGTCGAACTACGACCTCACCGTCGGTTCTCCTCGTTCACCCCGCACACCTGGGACACCGGGAACACCCGTACCTCGACCGAGAACGCCGGGGTATGCTAGTCCGGGCTACCGACCTGGACCCGGATCTAGGGTCGGTACGCCGGGATATGCCAATAGCCCGAGGCCTTAAAGGTCAGAGTTGCAGGCGAGCAGAAATGGCGGTCTCGGGAATTTCCCTATTCATGAAACCTGAAAGACAGCAGGCGATGCGGACAAACCCGTTGCGGGTTCCCAAATTGTCATCTGGTACCATGATTGGATCTTGCACCATCACGTATCGCGGAAATCCCCAGGCCCAAGCTCTAGGGCGGGCAATCACAACAATTTGCATTGACGGCACGCCCCCTATCAATCAACATAACGACATTCCATAACGATCATCAACGCGCCAAATAATGCCTATCCCGAATTTGTACCCAAAGAAAGATTAATTGGATAACTGGTCTACCGTCGCCATCGCCGAGATGAAGGCATTCGTGCGGCCCCGGCGAAACATACTCAAGATGTTCTCTTTCGATGTAACAGTCTCGCCCGGATGCGACCATGACGATTAAACCGATACGATTCCGTAAAGATCGTATCAAGAGTAGTCTGCGACATTTGGTGTCATCGTTGTAGCTGGTCCAGGTCTGACCAAAGGCCCATTTGTGGTGAATAGATTCGAGGTACACATCTTGGTTATCTATCTTAAGTCACCGTCCTCGGCCTTTTTCGAATTGAGAGAAGATCGGATCCTTCGGCCGTTTCCCTTTCGTGTTCGTCGTCGGGTCTTTCAGCCGCTTCCCCTTGGTATTTGTCGTCCTCCTCCACTTGTCCACCGCCATCACCTTCCCGTCTGGTTATGAAAAGGTCCTTTAGCGAATCGAAAGACCGCATGCATGGATTGCCGCCTTGTGTTCGCATGAAGAGAGAACGGAACAAACAGAACGACTGGAGAAGCATTCCATCTTTGCTTCGCCAGATGCGACGCAGACCCACCTGTATGCATCTCGATGAAAACACGACATGGACATTGTTCCTGTATCGTCGACTGTTTATCGTGTCTGACGAACTCGAACTGATTCGATAACCACTCTCGGTACGGTCCCCACCAAAATGTCGTTAATTGTGCTACAGTGAAGACTAACTCATATACAACCCGTCAACTCATCCCTCATGCCCCATGCCTCTATTTGCTCATCGCCGACTCGGGCCCATCCCCTGATAACCCCCACTCCCACCAGAAATCTTTCGCCCGGCCCTAGCTTGATCTTCGAGCATCAACCTTTCCGCTGCCGTCAAGAACTTTTTCCCGGCCAGATGTGATTTCGGGGTGGATGAAGGGGTGGATTCTTTGGTGGATTTCGATGACTTGGAGGATGTTTTGAAGATGTTGGTAGGGGCAGCTCGTTTCAAAGGGTTAGGAGCTGGTTCAGTCTTGACCTTTGCCGTATTTGTCATCGTGACCGTTGGCGTAGCAACCGGAGTTGAGGGTGATGCCGGTTCATTCTTGACCGCCTCTGCCGGTTCAGTTTTAACCGTCCCTTCCGATTCACTTTTGAACGTCTCCTCCGATTCAGTCTTGACCGTGTCTTCCGGCTCAGTCTTGACTGTCTCTTCCTTCGGCTTGAGACCCCCCAAGTTCAAGCTCAAGGAGACCTTTTCCCCCTCGGCTCTCTGTAACCCTTTCGCTACTTCCCCCTGTCCCCTAGCCTCCGCCTGCAACCTCGCCCTCTCCATCTGTTCCCGCAACTGCCTCCTCTGTCTCTGTTCGTCGTCCATATCTGCCCGCTCCCTCTTCTGCATCTCCGCCTGCCTCGCCAAGGCTTTTGGAGAGTTATCCACCCATTGGATCCAGAATCCCTTTTCGTTCTCGTCCACCCGGACCAGACCTTCCCGACCCATATACTTGATGAACTCGGTGAGGGTGACCCATTTGGTAGAGTTCATGTGGATGTGATGTTTGTCCTGGATATACTCGTTGTAGACGGCGTTGGCGCGGACTCGCTGGGTGTTGTGTCTGAGTTAGAAGCGAGGGAAGGTTAGCATGAAGTGTGGAAACTCTGAAGACGAGATGAATGCGCTCACCTTCTCGAGAGCAAAGTCAAGAACTCGTCCTGGAAATCTTTGCTAAAGGTATCAATATGCTTGCCTGCATTCTCGCCGACGACCAGCATCTGACGTAAATGCCTAAAGTGACCATAGCGAGATCAGTATTTCAATTCATCTGGATGCCAGGGTGGAGCTCAGACTCACGACTCGGATTGCGAGTGCATCTTGAATCCGTTCTCGTCCCGACATTGTTTCTGACAGACCTGACAGTACCATACTAGCCGGCCAAGACCTATAATTGGGTGCAGTGCAAAAGCAGATGAGTTGGGCGGTTGTGGCGAGATATCGACCTCTTCCGAGCTACTCACCCTTGGCCTTGATGGCATTGCCGATAGCTTTCGCTGAACCTGCTTCTGCTCGTGGCATGGTGAAGTCGTAGTAAACTGTAACTCAGACGAGATCGTGTGGAGTTCCTGTCCGATCCCAAAGCGATGATGGATCGCTCGCTCACTCGATGTGAAGTCATAAAGGCGAACAAGAGTCTGTTGATGATGTGCTGCTCCTAGCCTGGCTGAGTGAATAATTTGAAGATTTCGACACGTCATTGAGTGAGTCTCCTGCGGCGCTGCTGGTTGTTTTCTTTGATAAACGGTTGATCACCCAGGAGATCGGCGATCGTCATACCCATCCCCCCTGCAACAATATCATGCAGCAATTCAAAACATCGTCTCGATCGGATTAACAGCACGGACAGAGCTTTGGCAGTGGTCGTAGTGATCAAATCCGTTTCACACCATGCAAGCCATCAAGCAACTTCAAAGATATGCTTTTCGAGCTCCGGACCAGCGCGTAGATAACCTCGTCGTCGGTGCAGGCGTCATTGGACTGGCCGTGGGTGCCAGGTTGAGGGAGATGCGACCGGATGAGACGACTGTGGTGGTTGAGAGGCACGGAAAGGTGATCCGGACGGGATAATAGATTCTTTGAGATCGAATGTGGCTGATCATATGTCATCATGCCTATGTCAGATCGGGCAGGAGACAAGGTAAGAAGCGACAAACACAGCCAATGATAGCTGCTACTGGCCTGACATGGGCACCCTTGCTTCAGCTCTCGGAATTCGGAGGTGATCCACGCTGGAATCTACTACCCCTTAGACTCCCTCAAAATGCGGTATTGTGTCCGAGGCAGAGAGCTCATGTACGAGAGGTGCGAACGCCTCAGTATTCCACACCGAAAGACGCAAAAGGTGAGTTAGCCTACACAAACCAGATGAACGTCGACAGCGGAAGAACTCAACAAGAATGCTGCTCGACGTTTTCCCAGATGATCGTAGCTACGACGAAAAGCCAGATCATGTACCTCGATCGGCTTCACTCGGATCTCCAAGAACCGATTCTCAACGACCCTTCCTACTCCCCCTCGGGCGAAGGCGTACCGACGTATTTCATTCTGCCAAACGAATGCAAGGATATGGAGCCCGACCTGGGCTCAAACGTGTTGTGCGCAATGTTGAGCACGGAGAGTGGGATTGTGGACAGTCATGCCGTCATGGACTCGCTACAGGCCGAGATCCAGGAAGAGCGGGGTGAGGGGAGCGGGAGTGTAGCCCTGGGTACAAAGGTCGTAAGGATAGATCCAGGTCAGCGCAGTAATCAGTTTGCTGTGCAGCAGGTAGAAGGCTGATCTATATAAATCTGGATTTGATCTGATCTAGACAAAGAAGGTTGGGTGGTCCAGACCATCACAGGGGCGTCCTCTCAACCGGACGCTATCCTAACGCGTAATCTCGTCCTCTCGGCGGGGCTTAGTTGTGTCAATCTGTTGAACCCATTGTTGCCGCGACACGAACAGTTGACAGCGCATTACACAAAAGGTCAGCCGAGAGCAGCTCGATGCGGTTTACCTCATGTGGCCTAGCTGATTGAACGATTCGCAGGCTCGTACTTGTCTTACAAGGGTCCCGGTGTCGGATCAGTCTCGAGATTACTCTATCCATGTCCGGAACCAGGTCTAGAGGGTTTAGGAACGCATCTAGTGAGCCAAGCTGTACGATTTTCATACACGCCTTCGAAGCTGATCCACACGCCCAGACGCTGGACTTGGCGGGAAACGTCAAGTTTGGACCCGACGTCGAGCCTATCGCCAGGATCGACCCAGTAGACAAGCCTGGGATGGACGAGGATCAGGATCAGGATTGGTGGGAACGGCATTTGAGGCCGTCGGAGGGGCGTAAGGATGAGATGGCGCGGGCTATCCAGGATTACGTGCGTTTCCAGTATAATTTGCTGAGCGGGTAGATACTGAGATACCCTCTTACAGCTACCTGGCATCAACCCAGACAACTTACAACCCGATTATGCTGGTATCCGACCAAACTTGTCCCCGCCAGGCAGCGGGTTTACCGATTTCCACATCAACTTTGACCCGGATTCACGTCCCGGTCTGATGGCGCTCTGCGGGTTCAACTCGCCAGGGTTGACGAGTAGTCTGGCAGTAGCGCAGGACGTCGAGGCGTCGCTGCCTAGGAACTAGCGGCATCGAGCGATATGAAACATGTCGACTCTTGATGCTCTGGTCTTTGCGTGCGGCTTCATTGGCTGGTCGGGCATTGTCGTTATCGGATCGGGCCTTTTGCATGATCACGTGACAGAAAGCTGACGTTGACCGATGGGCAACTCACTGAGTCTCGTTCATGAAAGACTGATATTCAGCCAGTCACTATCACTTTGGCTTGAATAGCTGTTACCTTGTAGCTAGACCATCCCTCTGATATAGATCGGCAGGCGTCGAAATAGACTCTATGCATGCTGGCGCAGATGATCTCGAGGTCAAGACTGCGGATCGCAACTCGGACCAGAAAGAGCCCTATGGTCTAGACGTCTTGCCCGTCATAGCTCGACATGGGTCTTTGACATGCCCAAAGAACGGCCGCAGAAGCCTAGATCAGGACCCGGCAGCTCCTACTGTACCAGATGCCGGACAGTATCGCGGTCTCGAGCAGGCTGATCATGAGCTCGATCGACCTAGCCTTCGGGAGACCTTCAAGACCCATCGAGTCGCCGTACTCTGGTCGCTCGCTATATCAGCTAGCATCGTAATGGAAGCGTACGATGCGAGTCTGATTAGCGGGTTCTTTGCTCTGCCTGCGTTTGCGAAGAGGTTCGGCACGCAGTTGGAGAATGGGAAGTGGAATATCGAGTAGGTATTCCAAACCTTGTTCTTTAGGTCGTCTCTCATCCATTCCACTGTTCGATATCGCTTGGCTTACAAACCACTCTTTACTTGTAGCGCCGGAACTCAGACTCTCCTCCGGCAGTCTACCAAAGTCGGTCAACTCGTCGGTCTCTCCCTTGTAGGCTACTCGGTGGACAGGTTCGGTCAACGTCCGACCCAACTCGCCGCCCTGGCGTCTCTGGCACCTATCATTGCCATGCAAGTGTTTGCTCCAAATGTCGGTGTATTGATAGCTGCACAGACTCTCATTGGGCTACCCCTCTCTACCTTCTTGACGCTGAGCAATGGTGAGTCCACGCGTACTACCAGTAAGGAATCGAAAACCAGCTCATTCATGCCCTCTGACCCGCAGTCTATGCTACCGAGATCACGCCGCTTGCTCTTCACCCGTACCTTACCACCTGGACCCAAATCTGCTGGACTCTTGGTTCGCTGCTCGCGAGCGGGGTACTTCGCGCCTATGTCAACGACCTGACGGAATTGGCGTACAAGGTTCCTTTTACCCTTCAATGGGCTTGGCTGTTGCCTATCGCGGCGATTTGCATATCCGCCCCGGAATCGCCAGTATGGTGTGTCAAGACAGAGCGACACGACCGTGCGGCCGTGGCGATTCGTCGTCTTGGTGGAAAGTGTATCACGCAAGCGCAAGTGGATCGGCGGCTCGATGAGATCGATCGGACGAACCGGATAGAGGCGAAGACAGCCACGCATATATCTTATGCCGAGCTGTTTCGAGGTACCAATCGGCGTCGGACTGAGATCGCTTGCATCACGTTCGCCATTCCTTGCCTCTGCGGTTTCGTTCTGGCCAACTCGACCTATTTTATGCAGCAAGCCGGCCTGGACCCTTCGGCCTCCTTTTCCATGACGGTCGGAGCAGCGGGCATCGCCCTTGTCTGTTGTTTTGGAACATGGTTCATTCTCTCGAAGTGCGGAAGAAGACCGGTCTACCTGCTCGGACTGAGTGTCTTGATCGTCGCGCTGCTGGGCATAGGCGTCTTAGGAATCCCGGCTCCGACGTCTGCCTACGCGTGGGCGACGGGAGGACTATGTTACGTATTCGCTGTAACATATTATCTCACCGTCGGACCCGTGACCTACACAATCATCACGGATATTCCGGCGACGAGATTGAGACCAAAGACCGTCGTCCTAGCTCGAGCGGCGCACGTAACGACGGCCATCTTGAGCAATGTCCTCCATAACTACCAGATCAACAAGACAGCCCTCAATTGTAAGTGCCGAACTTCCTCTAACAGACTCGTTCACACTGTGCTGATTTCTTACGGCTTATGACAGGGCGAGGCAAAGCAGGATTCTTCTGGGCAGGATCGTCTGCGCTTTGCCTGACATGGTGTTACTTCCGCTTGCCCGAGACGCGTAAAAGGTCGTCGATCGAGCTGGACGAGTTGTTCACGAAAAGGGTACCAGCGAGGATGTTTGCAAGAACTGTCTTGGACGGGGCGGTAGCACATGACTTGGGATCGACTGAAGCGTCGACTGGTAATAAAACTACGGAAACTCCAGCGAGAGTCTCAGCAACGCGAATGTGATGGCTCTTTTCGAAGCCAGACCGTCATCGCTTGTACGATTTCACGATTAAGAATAGATGCGGAAGCACGTCAAGCAGCGCTCTGCGTTTCAAGCCGCGCGCGCGTGTACTGCCGAGCGATGTGTCTGAAGATCGTAAGGAAGGTGTGAGCTAGGGTGAACCAATGACCATACCTTGTAACCGATCCTGGGAGCTATCACTTCGTCAGAGTCTTGAGACAAAGACAACGGCCGGGCCGGGTAACCCATTCGAGGAATAGCCTATGATACAGCTTCATTGATTTATAGCCTGTAGCGTATTTCTTCGTACCAACCGTCAGATGAAAAGACTTATATAATAATATATATGAGGCCCGCGCATCTTTCGGCGTCTGTCCCGGGCCAGACACAATTCGCAAGAGAGCGTTGAATAATCATATATAGTATTATTGGTACATGATCATTTATCACACGTCCAGGACAAGATAAAACAGGGTACGGGAAACCTATCGGCAGGCGAGCACATCAACGTTAGTTCATAGTCTGTCGAGTGATTGTGAATCTGCGGCATGATGAACATATGAGATCAGCTACTGAAGTGAGCTCATCGTAACGGTAGAGAGCAGCCGTCCAACTCACCCGAACGATGAGTCAAGACACGCTCGAGCCATCTCCAATTCAAGGCTCTCATTGACAATGGTTTCGCCGCCTTCCTCATGAGATATAAGGTGGTAGCTTGGTCTGACAGCGGAGACAGATGTATCACTTCGGCTCTGATTGTTTTCAACAGAGGCTAAGTTCCATACCAGAACAAGGTTGTACATACAAACTCACCTGAAAAGAACCAATATCCGTGTACTGTTGAGTCCCTGGAGGATCAACTAAGGGAGGTAGGTCTGCCACTGAACCAAGGCAAGATTCTGTCCAGTCGGGCTTTTGTGACCGGAGCATGAGCAATTGGTGCTGCATGCACCATTGTTCTTGCTTGTCTCCCTGCCACCATCCCTCCGTATGACCCTTTGCTGACCAAATCCTCGCCCAGAATGCTTCCCCATGCGGAGCATTTGGCGGGAATCGCGGGTGCAGGGCATCGGATCTCCATACATAAGCGAACTCTTCTGACGCAAAGAGACGGGTTTGAAGGAGACGAAGGATCGCCTCTTGTCCTCCTTTACATCTCAGGCTCTTGATGTCATGAGCTCCTGGCCAGCGGTGACCACCATTTCCGCCTTCCATAACATCGTCTTTGGCCTGAACAAACCATTCATGCTTGACCAAGTAGTAGCGCACAGGTAGGAGGATCTGATGGTTTTTAGGATGCAGTACTGACCTTGAGTACTGCATCAGCACATCGCCATTGGGCAAGAGCCTGAACTGGATACTCCGGTGGCCCTGTTGACCAAAGGCCTCATGATTCAGAGAGGTATCGTTCCGGTAATAGCTCATGTTTGACTCAAGTAGATATGGAGCTGTCAGTCACGGCCGGCTTCGGTGGCATCGTGACAAAGACCAAATGGCTGCCTGTATATATACGGCACCCACGACCCGGTCATTGTTCTTATGACGTGACTACCTGAAAGGATCGAGTGAGGCAAATTCTAGTCGATCTCCCAAGGCAGTGGGCGAGGCCCACGCGGTGTGACATGAGCCTAAAAGGAAGGCCAGAGCATGTTCAAGTGAGATTATTATTGCAACTTCTGTCGTCATGCCGATCATGCCGGCCACGATTCCGACAAAGGAATACTCTCATAACCCTGACCCTCAAGCTTCCGAGTAGAGCTTGCTTGTATGACAATCAGTGTAGATAGCCCTGTATTATGTATCATGCGTATGTTCGTCTTCGTAACAGTCTAGAAACGAGGGGTAATCAAACTCTAATTCAAGCAAACAACACACCATACGATGGAAAAGACGTCAGAGATCTCAGAGAAACGCGAGAAACCCAATCAGACGCAGACTGCGCCGCCCGAGAAAGAGGGGGGTCGCGCCGAGAAGCAGACGAGCACGCATGGGAATGACAAGACATCCTCCGAAGGCCCAGAACTCTCGAAGTCCTCGACGAACAGCGTCGATTCTTCCTCGACGCAGTGGGCATCTACTGCTACACTTTCAAGGCTAGACCCGACCCTGGGATACTCTATCCCGGACAATATATTCGCTATGCACATGTAATTTCTCCCTCTACTTGAGCCGATCCGCATAAATATGTGAATCCACCGTTATTCCCCTCGACCTGTCATATTGGGCCGTTTTACAACCACCCTTCTGGGAACCCCTTCACCCCGCCGCCCACACCCCTCTCTACCATCCCCCGTCGCCTCTCCACGTTATGCGTCCCCTGGGTCTGTCTCGTCCGTTTCTTCTTGTGCAGACGAGCCAGGTGGTATCGGAGGTCTAGAGGGGTTGATGAGGCAACGGTGGATTCGGGATTCTGCGGTAAGGTATAATGCAGGGTTACGGAAAAGAAGGTTCAGTAATTTTCGAAAGAAAGGTTTGTGAGCGCGTTATTCACCCGCGAACTCACGTTGGACTCCTTGACCAGCCCGTCCAAGACGTCACTCAACCACTTCCTGTTCATCCTACCCTCTTTCCATCCTTCCTCGCTCATCTCGAACCACCCTTCCTTTTCATCCGTCTCAGACCCCTTTTTGAACTCGACGCCCTCCACGAGCGTCCCATCAGCGTTGACCGCGAGGTTTCCTTCCTTGTCCTTTGGCGGGATCCATCTGGTCCCAGCTAACAGCTTGAAACGTTTGATAGATTCTGGAGAGTCGAGGGGCAAGCGTGAGATGGGCACTCGGAGGAGTTTCTTTGAGGAGAGCGGGTCGGCGGGGTTGGAGGTGTTTAGGAAGGATGTCACGCGGAGGTAGTGAGTTGATGGCGAGGGGGGTTGAAAGGGGAACGCTTTGGCTCGTTCTAAATACGAGCGATATAGGACACGATACAACGTGTCAGGCCAAGGAGCTGAGCTCAGCAGTCTACTGCTTAATATTCCCAGAAACAAGATCAAACTCACCTCGTAGCAGCTCTCGATCCTGTTCAATCCTCATCAACGAACCCAGCTTTTCCCTCTGTTTCTCTAAGATCATATGACCCAGCGTAGTGGTGTCATCGAATTGAAACGGCTGGACGTTCTTGATGTCCCAGGGGTCTGCACGTCGAGTGTCGGTCGCATCCCGACTGTCGTTCCCTCGGGCGAGAGCGGGTGATGAGGTGGAAAAAGGTCGGAGGGCAGGTGAACGGATGGTCCGAGTGATGGTTGTTCGGCAGTTCATGGTTGTGAGAGTGATCGGTTTGGTTACCCTGTCGAAGAGCGAGCTTGATCAGACACCATCTCGCAATCGAGGAAAGTTGAACTAACCCAGAGTTCTGTTCAAAAGGTCACCTCCCCCAGACCCGATACTTCTCGTTGACCCATAGGTCATCGACTTTGAATTTGCTTCCGAGCGACCTCGATGATGATGCGATTCGTAACGTTGTGGTATCGACATCCTGACCTCATTCTAGTCACTTCCATTGCGATACAATACCACCATCATCCCAACCGACACGACTTTCATAGAGAACCTGATCCAAGGCCAAATCAAGCTAGCTGTATACTCTCGAAAGACCCATTCTCACACGACTCCTGACGACCCCGATCCCAAATTCTCCTTGACGACCTTCTTTCACGATGACATCTTCCAAACCGAATACGAGCAACACCGGATTGTCCATAAGCCTGTGCGTGCCTAGAGCTTCCAGACTTTCTTGATGTTTGTTATATCGCGCTAACATGGTCGTTGATCTATGTTCGCTGTCGCAGGCATCCTCTTCCCATCCTGAACATCTCCGAACATTACATGCGAAATTCTCTACGTCGAGGTTCTGAAAAGAGTGAGTTCCGCTTATCGTCCTCACATACCGCATTCATCTCTGAACGCAGTGGCTGACCATTCGAATACGTGTGAATATTGAAGCTTATGGAGCTCTTCTAGGAACCCAATCCGGCCGAGAAGTCTCGGTGATCAACACATTCGAGCTCAAGTTGGCCGTCGCGGACGTCGATATGGACGCCAATACCGGTGATGGAGAAAATGCGACTGCAAGCGGGAACGGTAGCGCTAGTACGGGCGGTAGTGGTGCTGGAAGTGCAAGTGCAAGTGGAAGTGGGGGTTCTTTGATGGATATGGAATTTCTGGAGAAACGTCGTGGACAATGTGAGCCGTTCATGTGTACTGCCGTATTTGGATTCGAGCTAATTGCATCGTTATATATTCCGTTGGCGTTTATGCAGACAAGGAAGTCTTCCCCACCTTGGATATCGTTGGATGGTATTCCATCGGAGAAGAACCTACAGGTGACGATTTGGGATTGCATAAACAGGTGAGTCGAACCCATATGTCAAGTTTACCGTAGCAAATCTCCGGTGCTGATTCGTGATCCCGATCTTCAAATTCGTCTTGCACACAGTTCTTACCTATCCTCGAGACCCCTCTCTTCCTACTGATGACCCCACCCTCCGCGTCGTCCAGTACCAAATCCACCTTCAACTCCTCCGACCTCCCTCTCCGAATCTATGAGTCTGCCCTCGCCCAACCCCAAGATGCAAACAATACGAAAGCGGCTCCCTTTTTGGAACTGGGCTACACGGTCGAGACGGGGGAAGCTGAAAGGATCGCCGTGGATGGGGCTGTCAAGGCTGTTGCCGGTGGTGGGGAAGGTAGTGGGGAGCAGGATGGGGTTGGTGATGAGGGTTGTGAGTTGGATTCGGGTTGGATATCGGTGTGCCTCGGTTTGGGTTGAAACGAGATAGTACTGACGAATACACCATTTGGTCGGCGCGTTCGACGTGGTATGGGATACGATAGTGGTAGCGCATCTGAATACACAGAGGAATGCCATCAAGATGTTACACGATCGGATGGTCGTCCTCCTCAACTACATCAGCGGAGTCATCAGAGGTACGTTCAAAGACCATCCGCATGTGACCCCTGAGCCGTCACTCCATACATATCCACAATCCCCATAGTCTGCCGACGCTGACCCTCTTGCGTTCTTCTGTTCGTGTCATGTCGTCATACGCGGTTTGTGACGTGGTTGACGCCGTCAAATTCCAGACTCGACAATGAAGATGGACCATCAGGTCGTCCGCGAAATCTCGGCGCTCGTTTCTGGCCTGCCGGTCATGTCGGATCAAGACTTTCAATTGGAGTTCTTGACCGTACGTCCAGCCTCTCGTGTGCGATGTAAATGGGTCGAAACGAAGCGCTGACAGCGACACGATACCGGCTGTCGTCTGGTATTGCGAACTTGTCCCGTCTTGCAGGAGTATACGGATACCCAGTTGATGGGTTACCTGGCTAGTCTGACGAAACAAGTCGCTGGGCTGAACGATGTGAGTCAAGATCGATCTCCCCATCCCCTGTCTTACCCGCATTACCCCTTCACTTGTTTCCATCGCGATCCCCGATTATCCCCCGAACAACCTTCCGACAGAGCGGTATCTCTGATGCAACGCTCGACTCCTGGACTTTTGCAGCTCACCGACAAGTTTGCCCTGATCTACGGTCGGACCGAGGACAAGCCTGGCGCCGGACCTGCCATGATGGGTATGAACATCGGTATGGGAGGCGGGTCGGGCGCTGGTAAGAAGGGTGGACAGAGGACGAGACGCGGTGGCAGGTGAAGAGGACGGATCCGGGGGTTACGAATTGCGTCCTTTTTTTACGACATTTTGTTTTTACGATCTACGATTTCCGATGTGTACAAAGAGTCCTATGCCCCAGACGACTATTAGGTCCGATCCAGGTCCGATCCGAGCGACCGAGATTGTCACCGGACGATAGGCGGGTGATTTTCATCTGTTTTTTTTTTCCTGTTTGTTATCTTGACTGAAAAGGATGTCGGGAGGGCGACGCGTATGAGCAATCGGTTGTCGAAGGGAAGGCACCCGAGAGGAGAGAGGCTACCAATCAGGCGCGCAGGCGAGAGACGGGCGAAGGGGGGGGAGGAGAGGAAGCGAGAGCCTCAACGACGTCAACGACGACGACGATATCGCCAACAACAACCAGCAATATTCGTCCTGATCATCGCTTCCAACGACTTCTCTTCTCTCCCTTCATCGTGGTCTCCTAGTCCTTATCTAATCCTCGCCCTCCTCCTCACACGACCCCTTCGGTCTGGTATTTCACCGGGCACCCAATCTCTCGCCCGAACAAAACCGATCTATTCGAAAAAAAAGGCCCACCCCGCACAAAAGTTCGAAAAAGACAAAATCAGCAACCATGTCGTCTGCTCGTCATCTTGGTGAGTACTGAAGTGTATCAGGTGGTGTTTCAGATGGCAACTCGACGTCCGCTCGAGTTGTTTCGGTTGTTGACCTCGCCTCCCTCTTCTCATGCACTCCGTTATGAAATCATGTCAACACAGCTACCCTCGCCCGACCTCTCCTCTCCACCCCGACTAGGATCACCTCGAGGTCCATCCGACCCGCTTCCCCTATCCTCGCTCTGAGCAAACGGTCGTACGCCCAGACGCCCGTCACTCCCCCTCCTGTTCCTCAGGTCCCTGCTACCGATGCTGCTCCGACCGTCAAGGAGGGCACCAAGAAGAAGGTGGGTTTCGGCGTGAAATCTTGAAGAGATGATATGAAGAGGACAGCAAGCTGATATCATGAGGCTTTGACGAATTTCAGGGCGGATTTGGAAGGTTCAGGACTAGATTCGCTCGAGGTGTCTTGTTCGTCGTCGTCGCCGGAGCCGGTACCTTCATCTACTGTGAGTTCGGGATCCAGGTCTGCCTATCATCTCGCTCGTACTCAAAGCTTACAAACGCAAACGCCCTCCACTCTCAGTCACCCAGAAGGACCTCTACCCCGGTACCCAGCTCGATCAGGACCCCAAGAAGAAGACCGTTGTCGTCCTCGGTAACGGATGGGGAGCCACCTCGTTCTTGAAGCAGCTCGACAACGAGGAATACAACGTCGTCGTCATCTCTCCTCGAAACTACTTCTTGTTCTCTCCGCTCTTGCCCTCGGTCACCGTAGGAACTTTGGAGGCTAGGTCGATCATCCAGCCCACTAGGTTCATCACCAGGCACAAGAAGAGAAAGGTCGCGGTCTACGAGGCAGAGGCTACCGACGTCGACCCTATCAACAAGACTGTTACCATCGAGGGTGAGTCGCGCTGAGCGCCTGTTGATTACCCCGCCCGCAAGCTGGCTGACCTCTCGCTCGACCTGCTAGACAACTCTGAACTCACCGCCACCTCGTCCAAGGTGACCATCCCTTACGACTACCTCGTCTACGCCGTCGGTGCCGAGAACCAGACCTTCGGTATCAAGGGTGTCAAGGAGTACGCTTGTTTCTTGAAGGAGCTCAAGGATGCCGACAGGATCCGACGTAAACTCTTGGACTGTATCGAGACCGCCGCGTTTGCCGGACAGACCGAGGAAGAGATCGAGAGGCTCATGCACATGGTTGTTGTCGGTGGAGGTCCTACCGGTGTCGAGTACGCCGGAGAGTTGCACGACTTCTTGATCGTGAGTTTGGGTCTGTGACGTTATGAGCCGGCACAGACATCGATGCTAAACTCGATGACGACGAACGCCACAGGACGACCTGCGAAAGTGGTACCCCGAGATCGCCGACAAGCTCCGAATCACCCTGATCGAAGCCCTCCCCAACGTCTTGCCTGCCTTTTCCAAACAACTCATCCAGTACACTGAATCCACTTTCAAGGAGAACAAGATCGACGTCCTTACCCGAACCATGGTCAAGGACGTGCGTGAAAAGTCGGTCGTCGTCCAGGATGCCAACAAGGAGATCAAGGAGATTCCCTACGGGTTGTTGGTCTGGGCCACCGGAAACACCTCGCGAGAGATTACCCGCAACTTGATGGCCAAGTTGCCCGAGCACCAGACCCAACGACGAGGTCTTGTCGTCGACGGCCACATGCGATTGGCCGGAGCACCCGAGATCTTTGCTCTCGGTGACTGTACCGCCACCTCTTACGCGCCCACCGCCCAGGCTGCCAGTCAGCAGGGAACTTACCTCGCCAGGACTTTCGCCAAGATGGCTCAGGCTGAAAAGCTCAAGGAGCAACTCGCCGAGATGCGTGAAAAGGCTCCCGGTGACGATGTCGAGCGAACCGTCAAGCGATTGAACAAGGCCTTGGACTTGCCCCCCTTCCACTACTCTCACCAGGGTTCGCTCGCTTACATCGGTAGCGAAAAGGCCATTGCCGACCTGCCCTTCTTCAACGGAAACTTTGCCAGTGGAGGGTATGTACCGGACTCGGCGCGAGTCGAGTGAACTTGCCGAGCTGACCTCCTTTGATTTGATAGTGTCGCTACCTACCTCTTCTGGAGGTCTGCATACGTCTCGACCCTATACAGTGCTCGTAACCGAACCTTGGTCATCCTCGACTGGATGAAGGTCAAGATCTTTGGACGGTATGTTGAGATCCCTTTGTTGACCAGACCGATAATCGGAACTGACGTTGATTCTGATTACGAAATCGCAGAGACGTTTCCCGAGAGTGAGCGTAAAACACATTGTCATATAGATGCGGGTCCCCCTTGTTTTGTCGTATATATTTCCTCATTATCATCATTATCGACCTCGGCCACGGAGAAGGCATCACTTTTTGCCCCAACTTCTGCGACGAGCCCAGTAGGCTGCGACGCTGTTTGCAGCTGGGGGCGCGGGAGGTGGAGGATTGCAGATTTCGTCCCTATCGACACGAAGACCGCGTTCCTTCGCTAGTTGCTCAAGCTTGCGATAGATCGACATCGACGCCACGACGTCGTTGGCCGCGTCTGGCAGATTGGTGCATGAGAATCAGCTGTCATTCGCTTCAACATGTAGAAAACGCAGTCTCACACTCTTTCTGATCTTCGTCCAACGCCAAACTCCAATCGCTCTTCCTCAACCCGTCGTCCTTGTTCAGATCGTTCCCGATGTATCCTCGGGTCAACCGAGCTAGCGAGATGAGCTGGCTCCCGTTGCCACAATTGTCCGGGTCGACTGCGCGTGCCAAGAATGACAGGTCGAGCATCGACTTGGGGTCGACGTATTCATAATCTTGGTGAATTTTTCGGGCGTCTCCTGTACGTGTACGTAGTAGTTTAGACTTGAACTTACACTAATGAGACTGACATCACCTGAGACTCACCCCGGATGTTAACACCGACCTTGAAGATCTTTTCGTTGTTGATCAGGTTCATAAGCCCTTTAGGAAATGCTGCGCAACAGGTAACGAATTAGTATTGTTCTGCAACAGCAAGACTTCGTAAATCCGAACCTCATGGACTCACATCTCATCTTTGACAAGTGCAACAACAAAACTATCTTGTCATCACAGATCTGTATCAACGCCGTCTTGTCGTCCAATTTTGTCGCCTTGGTCGAGCCCTTGTATCGACGATAATTAACGGGCCATTCCATGTCGAATCCCACGACGTCGCCTTTCAGGAGAGGCAAGAGGTCATTCGTCTCGTCCGGACAACAAGTGTAGACGATGGTCGGAGGCGGTTTGAGGGACTTGTAGGAGAAGAAGGGGAGATCCTGAACATCAAAGAAGGCTTTGTTGACAGGGCGTCTGGGGATCACGGGTTCAGGTGCGATTTCAGGTTCGGCGGGTTTCGGTGCAGCGGCGACCTTTGGCTTGACCAGTGTTGTGGTCTTGCTCGGGGGGAGATTCGTGGTAGCTTTGCTCGGGTTTGCGGTAGTAGCAGACTTCGGCAAAGCTCTGGCATCGAGGTTAAGAGCGTCAAAGTCCAAGATCAAATCGTCCGGCACCTTCTCGACCTCGCGAGATTTGCCCCAGGTCCACAGATCTCGATGACCGGTCGCAATCCTCTCCTCTATGACGACTCTCGAATTCTGCAACCCTCGAAGCACCTGTACGGGTCGACGATAAGACCCGGGCGAAGTGGTAGTGGAGCTAGTACCAGTACTGGTACTCGTGTAGGTACTGGTACTGGCCTGACTGCTAGAGGTAGCAGACTCGGTGCTCTGACTACCCGGCTGGAGCGTCCTCATGGACAATCTAGGCGCATGCGATAAAGGCGGTAACGGGCTCGACGGCGACCCACAAGCAGCGGTCGGCGGATTGAAGAACGGGTGCAAGGTCTTCATTCCGACCTTTGGCTGTTGTTGAGCAGGCCCACTGAACCTGGGTTTTAGGGGACTCATGGCGGTTCTACATTCGGGCGAGGCGTATCGTGCCACCGCTCGAGGTCTGGCTCGAATAGGAGTGATCATCTGCTCGTCCTGATCCGATATCCGAGATTTCGATCCTGATGGGGACGGTGAAAGAGTGAGGTCGATGATCCGGTCGATTAGGAGAGAAGAGCGGATATCGGGGTCGTTCTTGTTTATGTCGTCGTACCTATCAACGTTGTGGATATTTCTAGTGATAGTCTTGATATGTTGAACCTCGTCTTCCTGCTCCGAGAAGCCTGACTGATCGTTCGAAGATGTCGACCCGCGACGAGTGCATTCATTTCGCTCATCAGCGAGACCGTTATTGTTCTCCTCCTTCCGAGTCTTTGCAAAGACTAGTCTCCCCGACCAAGGACTATACGTCCGCTGAGATTCTTCCTCTAATCTTTCGTCCCACCTGGCTTGTCCCGAACTGGGCATAGGCGATGAGGTATACCCTCCCGGCATGTTCATACTCAGCATGTTGTTATTGCTGTTCTGGTTGTTGATGTGTTTGTGGGATGTTCTGATGACGGTCTTGTTGCACGACGCGAATAGCTGGCGATTCATTACCAGCTAGATTGGAGATTTGATAGGTCCCAGATACATCAACTCGAGTGCTATGGGCCGTGATTTCCTGCGACAAAGGAGTATGAGAGTTGCATGAAGGTGTTTGAACAACAGCATTCCCCTTGAGATCGGGCATACGAGAGGGTGGGTGCACATCGTAAACAATCTGCCCTCAGCTAGACTCGAGCTTACTTGACCCGCTCCCGTTCGATCGCTCTTCGCCGACGACCAAGCGTCCAGCCGTTGCGAAAGATGAACACGATATTCGCCTCGATCCAGGTGACTGCCTAGCTGCCTACAACATAAAGCACATCGAGGTTGAAAGCCGGACTTCAGGATACTGCTTGCATACATCTAGCTGATCCGGCTCATTAAGCCTGAGGGGATACCAAACGTCAAGATGGCGGATAAATCTCGTTTGTGGGATCAAGGAGAAGACCATACCGTAGAGGTCAACCAGCGGGCATTGATTGATAGTACGTAACCATGCTTGGCGGCAACTTGATACACACTGAACACATCCATTCTCACACAGAGATCCTCGCCCGGTATTCTGGAGAGTATACGATCTTTCGAGAGCTGCTGCAGAACGCAGATGATGCGAATGCGAAATCGGTCAAGATCCGGTTCTTGACATCTGAGGGTAGTAAAGGGTCGCTAGGACAGGATAGAGAGCTACCTGAACTGCTCAAAGTCCCGGTAAGATGAATTCATGCCACTTTCTAGTAGACTCCAAGCCAAGACGATGGGTTCCTGTTGCAGATCCACCAATATGTCATAGAAAACGATGGTGTTCCGTTTCGGGATCAGGATTGGTCACGTTTAAGAAAGATCGCAGAGGGAAATCCGGACGATGACAAGATTGGAGCTTTCGGAGTCGGTAGGTGACAGTAGTCTATTCCTAGTATTCGCAAACTGCGTGAGCTGACCCCGTTGATCCACGGAACAGGTTTCTACGCTCTGTTCAGCATTACCGAGTCTCCAATGGTCGAATCGGGTTCCAAGTGGATGGGGTTCTACTGGAAAGACGGCAAAGATCAGTTGTTTGCAAGGAGTGGAAGCCTGCCAGAAGATATGCCTACAACGGAGAGCATGTCAGGTAACTCTTGGACGAGATTTAGCATGGATCTGCGCAATCCTACGCCAATAGAAGGACCCCTTGACTTTGCCCGGTAAGCACCTTGTCAACCGTATGGGATCGAGAGCACCCAGCCATACTGATATTTCCGAGATCAACAAAGATTCTTGGTACAGAGCCTGACCTTCATGAACCAGATTAGGGACGTACAGATGTTTGTTGATGGATGGCAAGTCCTGCATCTCACGAAGGAGACGGGGATTGCCAATGTCGGGGTCCCCCTTACAGACTTTCCAAGACCGAAAGGAAAGGTCCCGCTGAACAAGGTTATGCATCTCGATGGCTTGGGCCAAACCTCCGTGAGAATCTCTGCGCATACCATGTCGTGGCTACAGGACGTCGGTCTTCAGCACGTTGCGCCGCTACCAGCTGTGGAAAAGGTAAAACCGGCCACCTCTGGCATAGGCTTTGCCTCAATGTTCTCTTCCGTCTTTTCAAGATCTCTTACTCCGACAAAGGCCTCCGCTCCACCACCATCACCGCCAGTACTGCCCAAGAAAAATCCGCGGGAGATCCTATCAAGTTCAATGATGCTGCAGGTCTATCAAGCGGCTGTACGAGTTACCGTTGACAAGAACCTGGAGAAGGAGTTGGAAAGAGCAACAAAGAAGCCGCCGCCAAAAAGCACCGTATTGCAATTGATCTTTTCCGAGGCGCCGGGGCAAGACGTTCGCAAAAAGCCTGGCGTCGCAGACGACATTTTCGGCGGGTTGAATCCAGACACCGGCGGTAGGATTTTTATCGGACAAGCTACCGGTCAAACGACAGGTCTCGGAGGTCATATCGCGGCACGTTTTATCCCCACAGTTGAGCGGGAGTCGATCGACTTGATGGACCGCTTCGTCAGCATCTGGAACAAGGAACTGCTTTCAATCGGTGGACACGTCGCTCGCCTCGTTTACGGTAAGCTCGCCATCCGCCAACTCTGTGCTCTGATTTGAGACATATGTGCTCAATTTCGCCGCCCCTTTCCGACGTTGCAGAGGTTCAGCTCAGAAATTTGAAGGAGAAGTGGTCCGCTGTGCAACCCAAGCGTATCGACTTAGTACAGGGGTCTACCTCACCGGACGCAGCCGCTGCGAGTGCCCTACTCGCTCAAGCAGCACATACGATGCGATACTTTACATTCCAACGTTCGACACCTTCAGCCCAGGTGTCACAGCTCATGGAGTCATCGTTCTTTGCCAGTCTAGGCGACGCCACTTTACCAGTCCTCTCCACTGCAGGAGTACGTGGGGCCGACAAGGTTCGATTACCAAACCAGATGCTGGACAAGTTCTTGCCGAATCTGGCTGTCTTGGCTCGGACGCTTGATACAGAGGCTGAACTGTTCGTCGCACGACTACGGGAGAGAGGCATGCTTGCCGATGTCGCCCTCGCGGACGTGATTGCGGAATTGAACGCTGGACCTTTGGACGAAGACCAATTCCTCGCCTGTGTCGCGTGGTGGAAGCAGATCGTAAATCTGCCTCAGTATGACTCTTCTATACAAAACCGTCTTGTCGCGGCGACTGTGGTGGCGATTAAAGACCCCGACACACAGCTGGACAAGATTGTGCCGTTGGGCGCCATGAAGACGTTTCTGAACCCGAACATGATACCTGCCGACATCCCTTCCTTGCCCTCTGACACGGTCCCGTATTCGATATCGAAGCGCCTCCAGACGTCAGACATGGTCAATATCTTCGGGTGGCATGAACTCGGCCTTGCAGAATGGGCTAGGACTTTGAGTGAGCAAGAGTTCCAGGAATCGCCCGAAACCGCGGAGCGCCTCCTAGGGATACTGGCTCGTGCGTGGCCACGGCTTTCCAATGTCAACCGCGACGAGATCAAGAGGACCCTTCAAGACGTCAAATGCATACCGACCAGCCTAGGTTTCAGGAAGCCAGGTGATTCCTACCATCCGGAGGTGTCTCTCTTTGAGGACCTGCCAGTCATTTCCTTGCCTCACGCCGCGATCAAGGGAGCGTTGCGATCGATGTTGGATCACCTCGGCGTGCGGTCTGTCGTGGACTTGCAGCTGATTTTCACGAGGCTTGTCGGGAAATCGGTTTGGTCCTGCGCCGAGCTTGTCAAGTACTTGAGTTCGGTTCGTAAATCGTTGTCTGATAACGAATTTGCCCGGTTGAAAAGAACGGCAGCGTTCCCGATCTGGGACCCCAATCGAGCGGAATCAGACAAATCCCAACCTATCAAAAGGACGACACCCGATGCTCTGTGTGAACCTACACAAGAGAACAAAGATCTTGGCGTGCCTGTTCTCGATTATGGCGGTTCTGCATGGAAGCCGTTCTCAATCGAAGCGACTTTCATGTATGATCTGGGTTTACGCAAGCACGCAAATCTGGCGGATGTCCTGCGCATAGCATCGAGCGTGGATCGAGATGTTCACCAAAGGGGCTTGGACTACCTTGTGAAGAATTTGAGGCACTATCCCGGATTTAACGCTACACTTCAAGCAGGCGACGTAGCATTTATACCCGCCAAAACTCCTAGTGGCGCGTTTCAATTGGCTAGGCCGTCAGACGTTTACACAAACGAAGCGGCCGGGTCCATAGGCTGTCTAGTGATCAATAACCTCTCGACCGATATCGCCACGAAGCTACAACTTCTGAAGGATCCTCCCATATCTGTACTCGTACAGTACCTGACACGCACACCTCCTGCGACAGTGGATCAGGGAAAATTGGCGTTCAGGTATCTAGGTACTCGTCTACAAGATTTGCATCGAGAGATCCCTCGGTTATCCACCACTGCTTTCATCCCGACGGACAGGGGAACTCACGTACCCCCTCTACAAACATTCTTCACGCCAAGAGATCGCCAATCTGAGGTCTATCAGCTTTATAAGGATTTATACACCTTCGTCGATTTCGATGAGGGGAACTTATTCCTCGAACAAGTCGGTGTAAAAGCTCAACCGACCCAGGAGCAGATCGCCCGTATGTTGGTGGGAGATCCTTTTGGTGCTATGCGAAAATTGGCCTCAGCGGAGAAGTGAGTCCACACGACAGACTTGATGCGGCTGATCGTGCTGATCGGCGGGGTTGTTCATGTTTGACAGATATCTGTCGCAATTGCGGTTACTCGCCACTGGCTACCCCTCCTTCCCACTAGATTTGAAGCGGGACATGTCGAGAGCGTCATTCCTCCTTGGACTGAAGAAGGTTCCAGGGAAAACATCGGATCAGACGATCTCGGAGAAGACCCCTATCAGCGACGAGGACGGCCAAGTCGAATTCGTGCTAACCAGAGCATCAGATTTAGCCATCGTTGACGATTCTTATCTCGCCAAACTTTTCGCTGACGCGTTCGTGGGCGCGCCCGAGGTAAGCTTTTGTCACATTGTAGATTAACATATAGTGCTAAGTCTTGATCGATCGGCAGGAAACCCTTCTTGAGGATTTCTACGCTCAATTGGGCGTCAAGGCTCTGAGCACATACATCAAAGAGGAGCACCGGGCACTCGGTCAGACTCATGGTGCGACAGATACAGCGGTCAAGCTGAGAAAGCACATATTGGAGAGATTGGCTTTGTTCTTGTCTGATCGACGTTCTGCAAGCAAATACGACATCGACTGGCTTAAAGGATCAGCCGGAGACGTTGAGAACCTGCAAATCCTACAGGCGGACTCTATTCAGATCAAGCGGACGATCAAAACAACCCAAGCAGAACGGCTCTCGATCGAGGAAACTTCTGCAGCCTCGATCAAAAGCACCGGCAATAGGATCAGAATCTACATCTCGGTTCGTATGCAGCTTGACATGTATGAGTGAGTCCGAGGCTACAGCTACAGAGGTTACACGGTACAACCGATACTCAGCTTCTTCACTTATAGGGTCGCTCTCACTCTATGCAACATCTTGCTAAAGCGATGTCGGAACGAAGACGTCTTGATTCTCCATAGCATCCTTGAAGCGCCACTGCCGGTACTGAGGCGAAGGGGCTACAATGTCGACCGCATCCTGAATCAGCAGAAAATCGAAAGGCTTGCGAGAATTGCTGATATGGAAAGGCAGGCGGAAGCGGAGAAGAAGCTGCAAGCAGAGCAAGAGGTGCTGCAAATCAATGACGTCGCAGACTCAGCCGACGTTGGATCGGTCAAAGGCCCCCGCCAGTCTTCGGACAATCTGTCCGTTGCATCTAGACCATCAGATGAGACATCGATACGCAGCTCGGGGATCATGAACCACTTAAAAGCTCGTTTCAAGCCGCAAACGGGATTGAGCTCTACCCCCACTGTGTCTCGGCCAGCGCCAGCGAGCAACGAGGTCAGTCATGTTGGGCCATCAGCCTACCAGTCTCCATTTACCCAATTATCTTTGTCTAGGTAACACCTATGTCGACCATCAAAGATGGCGCATTGAAGGCGGTGGCCGCATCGCGACCGAACCGGTCGAAATCGGACATCATCAGCGAGCCCAGCGAGAGGATGGTCAAAGAAAGCGGCGACACTTACTGTGACAATACTGGGGTCAAGACCAACCTTATTCCAGCGGGACAAGCTCCGGGAGGTCTAGGCCTCTTTGTCAGCCGAGGTAAGCCAGAATCTTATCTATTGTTGGCGCTCCATGTTCTAACATCCGCTCTGCAGATGTTCCTAATCCCGAGGCGACCATTCGAGCGCTTGCGAGCGAGTCGCGAGCATTCGCGACCGAAATACTGTTACCCTTGGCGACTGTCTTCCAGGTGAGCCTGGTCGAGCGGTCACAACACAAGCAGTGTTGACGTTCTTCTTTTCTTTATCCCTAACGTCACAGCTCGAGCCTTCAACCCTGAACGTATTCTACGACGGGGCCGGTCCCCTCATAGCCTTCAATCGCAATGGCAGCCTATACATGAACTTGTGAGTACACATTGTTATAATCAAGTGACCGGACTCGGGCTGAGTGATTCGGTCCCGACATAGACGATATTACCTCGCTTGGCACCACATCAGCGTCGCCAACGGGGTCAAGCAGGCAGCCTGGACCTCTTGGTTTTTGACGATCGCGCACGAGTGCGCCCATAACATGACGCCCCTTCACGACTCTCAGCATGAATTCTGGACCTCCTCTATCATTGAGACCTTGATGGAACCCTTTGTCAGACTGCTCGCTACGTCACGATAGTATTTCTGCTGAAGTGCAGGTTGTATTGATCAGTCACCTATATCATCAACGCCACATATATGCTTCACGAAATACGACACACCCCTGAGCAAGATATATAGTATATCTGCGACAAGGGATCTCGTCTCGCAATGCTGACTAGAGGGTCAGGTGTGATGTGCCAGGCCGACCCACACTGAGACTTGGAAATCAACTTAGATCTCCTACCAGGTCGCAGTGCATTTCAGTTCGTAGTGTATTCTAAGACTGACTATGGAAGTTCTCACTGTCGATATCCTGTTCATATAGTGCGTTACTCAGGCTGCCAAATAGTTATAAGTATCCAGATCCACATCATGGAAATCCCATTAGCACCCATAACTCGAGCCGACAGCTGAGCAGGATCGCGTCGGATTGCGAAACCTTACAAGCCGAAAGGGAACCAAAGTCCTCGAACAGCGTTCAAGCGCAGTCCTTGCGTGGATTAGGCATGATAGTCGGTGCTATAGGTGTCTTGAGGTAGGTGGATGTGCGCCTCTTCCCCGGAGACAAGATGGACGTCTCCCGCGAAGACCGCCGGTATGTCTTGAGGCTTGTAGAGTCAAAGCGCATGTCGTCAAACGCTTTCACTGAGGTTTCCCTCCCACGAGTCAGGATCTCGTTTCTGCAGTCGCACACAAGCAGCCTCTTCAATCGACGACAAGACGATGCAATCATTGGCCATTCCTTCCGATGGCGAGCGCGCGCTTGGTGACGATCGGGGATGGAGAAGGTAAATATGCCGCACCCTTCGGCGAATGCGATTGGTTCAGGATCGACCTGTTGCCGCGGCGATTTCTCAGGGATGCAATGTATTTTGGTGCGTACATCGATTGCGTGTCTGCTTCCTGTCATGTTTGGAGTGGTATGAGACGTTTGAACCGAGTTGATGAGGACGTTGCATGGAATATTGCCTAAAGTGGAAAGTGCTTGAGCCAGCGTGTTGCGTGTTGTGGGGCGCCACGCGCTCGCGTCGCATCATCGTCGAGCTAGCAGCAGGTAGCAGGTCATCATCACGTCTTGGTCCATATCACCTCGATCTACTCAGTCACTGACTCACTTCCTAACTCCCTCTCTCTTTCAACCTACACACCTACCAAACGTCGATACCTCCCTCTTCTACACCAAACACGCACACCGTAACATCCAATATGTCCCCCAAGAAGACCACCGAATCCACCGAGCCTGCTGAGGGCCCTAGGCGATCCACTCGAGTCGCTTCAAAGCCTCCTCCATCCAAGAAGGAAGAGCCCGTCGCTCCGGCCAAGAAGCCTGCTAGTACCAAGGCTAAGAAGCCCGCTTCAAAGGCCGCTGACAAGCCCGAGTCGACCAAGGCTCCTGCAAAGGCACCTGCTTCAAAGGTCAGTCTGAAACGATGATCCCTTCGCGTCTCGTCGATCACGTCGCGTAAAGAAAGGTATCTAAATCTCCAAGTTTGTGCTGATCCGCTGCATTAATCTCTCCTTGAACGTGTTTAGAAGCGACCTGCCGAGGACGCTCCGGCCAAGGCACCTGCCAGCAAGAAGGCCAAGGAGGACAACGCCGAAAAGGCCGACAAGCCTAAGTCGACCAAGGCTGCTACTAAACCCGCTTCTACCAAGGCTGCCGCCGACAAGCCCGCCAGTAAGAAGCCCACTTCAACCAAGGCCGACAAGCCCGCTTCCAAGGCTGCTGCCTCTGCTAAGCCTGCCAGCAAGAAGCCTGCTTCCAAGGCCGCTGCTGATAAGCCCAAGTCGACCGCTAAACCCAAGAGCAAGAAGGTCGACACCATCGCCGAGGAGAACGAGGATGTCGACATGGACCCCAAGGGAAAGAGCGAGGAGGAGAAGAAGGAGATCGAGGCCGCTGCAGAGGGTAGCGAGCCCGAAACGAATGGAGCGATGAAGGAGGGCGAGACCCTTCCCCAGATCACGCTCAAGTGCGTGGCTCGTTTTTTCCCGATCAAAAGTGATAACAACGAAAGTTTTCGCTAACCTCATTTGCGCGGTTTCATCATTTTTCTCTCTTTGTGCGGAATTTGCTTTCCGTTTCCCAGGGATAACCAGGACCAGGATGTCGATGTCAGCTCTTTGATCACTGCCGATCAGGGCGTCATCTTTTTCACATATCCCAAGGTAGGTCACGAACCGGTCCCATTCTTACTAGTGATTCGATGGCTACAAGCTGACAGTCGCGTTGTGTGGAACATCACAGGCCAACACCCCCGGCTGGTCAGTCTCTCCTGTATACACCGTTCGCTTGATCTCCCCTGACATCGCTTGCATTGTTTCAGCACTTCGCAAGCCTGCAACTTTAGGGACTCTTACGCCGAGTTTGGCAAGCATGGATACAAGGTTTATGGAGTGAGTTGCTTCGATCGAAAGAGACAGTCTTGCTTGCGACACGAATCCTGGCTGATACCAACACCAAACACAGCTGAGCACCGACAGCCCTGCGGATCAAGAGTCATGGAACAAGGAGAAGAAGTTCGGTTACCCCTTGCTGTCAGACCCTCAAAGCGAGTTGATCAAGAAGCTTGGAGCATTCGCCTCTCCTAAGAAGTGAGTTTCTACAGAGGTTTCGGTAGACTGCGTAGACGTTAACGAGAATGTACCGCGTCCCTTCCTCCATAGCACCGTCCGAGCCCACTTCATCTTCGAAAAGGGTACCGGAAAGCTCTTGCAGGGCAAGCTCAAGGTCAAACCCGCTGAGGAGTGAGTGTCTTTGTGGACCTGTCGGTCGACTTGCACGTATTTATCGGCACTGACACGTCCATCTCCTTCGTATAGCGCCAAGCACTGCCTCAAGTTCATCGAGAAGCACCACTCGGCTTGAGTGACAAGAGGGAGATAATACACTTTGATCTCGTTGCCCAACCTTCTCTCTTCGACAACTGGCGTGCCAGCCTCGCGCAAATACCGTTCGCGGTCATCTCGAGCTGTTCCTTCTCGAAAAGACCAATCTTTCTCGATCTCCATACTTTCGTTTTTCTCTCAAATCTCGTTGTCTGCACGCAAGCCGTTTTGTCATATAAGATACATCGTTGTCGTTATAGTCGTGTTCGGTGGGAGAGAGCAGCATCTATCTCTACATATGAGTCGAAAGGGGACGGACACTGCACAAAGCCATCATCGACGATTCGGTCTTTATGATGTGCAAGACTAGTCAGCTGCAGTGAGACAAGCCTTAAAGAGACCCGATCATCAACTCACCTCCCGGGGTTCCGTTGAGCTCGAGTGTCTTCGCGGACCAGTCTGGGTCACCTCGGGCCTCAATCGCTTTAAACTCGATGGCCTTCTTAATCCTATCGAACGCCGATGATGACTGAGCGTTTCCTCGGAGTGCGTCCGTCGCAGCCTGCACGGAGGGTCGGATATTACCGGTGACTCCGGGAAATCACGATGCGGCTCGTTACCCCAATCAGAGCCAGGACGGAAGAATAGGATATCGACAGAAGAGACTCGGGCGCTATGGCGCCTCGACTCTTCTTGATCTCGGCCATTGACAGTGGGGTCAGTTAAAGCCCGTTCCCCAGGATCGTTATGCTGGTCTCGGAGAGGTTCTTCGATGGCCGGCCTGTCGGACGGTGGTAAGGGGAATTTGTAAACGGACCAGTCGTCGACACTCAAGGCGGACTGTGCCGATTTCCTGTGTCCAGTTGCTTGCGACCGGACACTAGCTCGCTTGCTGTTTCGACTGTATCCAGACCTGTATGGAGCTTTGATGCTGGCGTCGAATCGTACACTAGTCTTCCTCTTAGACCCATTTGAGGTCGACGACAAGGGAAGATCAGGACTAGGGACGTTGATGGGTATGGTTGCCATCACGGTAGATGCTGTGGATCGAGGCCGGATTGCCTCTGTCTTCTGGGCTTCAAGCATGGCGATTAGCTCCAGCCGTGCGGTGGTACACCGGCCCAAAGCAGCAAACAGGACCCGCTGTCGGTGATTTCCTATCAGGTCTTCTACCTGTCTCAGCTGGTCTTGCGCGATAAACAACCGCTGCTGATCCAGGTCGACGCCCTCGGTCATGCGAGAAAGAACCTTGACGACGCGTTGACACTGTTTCACATCACCCCGCATTGCGGTCTGTTGCAGATACAACAGCGCGCGCCGTCGTCGTCGGATGTCGCTACCGTGCTTCTTGGCAAGCTCATCGATGACCACCTTGAGTCGATGTGCGGCCTCGACGAGAACCTGGAACTCGAATTGCGACAGAATCATGGTTGGCAACGTGCCCATTCCCGCCACCATGGCTTTTAGCGCCTCATCGGACATACGTTCAACCTCTTGTGAAGGCGCGATCGAGATAGGTACGGTTTCGAGCAGCGGCCAGCTATCGTATGGTTCGGGCAAGATATCACTGAGGTCGGGCCGTGGTTGAGACGAAAATGACATATGTCTAGGCATCGTCGTAGGTGAATCCCCTTGGGCGAACCGCGAGGAATTCCGCGGAGGCGGCGAGAGGAGTTCATTCCCATCATGAGGGCTGACTTCGGATCTGGTTTTTGGGAAATGCACCTTAATAACTGGTGGCGTCGGATGGTCTGTCCGAGCGGGCGACCCGAATCCTGAGTTCGATCGATGTAACGTGTCGCCTTGATCCTCTAGCTCGCGAACGAGATCACTGGGCAGACTCGTACTTCGCCGTCGTTGTTTCCAAGCAGCGTAAATCTCCTCGGGCTGGCGTAAGGGCGGAGCGCTCCTCAACGCTTCTTCCTCCCGACTCTTTCGAGGCGATGGTTCCGTCTCGACCGTACTGCTAGGCGGGGTGAAGAATATCTCGCTCACCCGCTGGTGAGAATCAAAAGCTCGTGTCGTGTCCATTGAGGCGGGACTGTTGCCTGGGCTCGGCTGCGTGGTCCTGATCTTCAGGGGTGACAATAGTTGGGGAGAATTTTCTACGACATCCGTCCACTCGATCGGTTTGGTCGGCGTTGCTTGTATGTCTCCGACGTCGTAGATGGCTGTCGAGCTGACTACCCTCGATCGCTGTCCGTCTTCACCGGATATTTGGATATCTTGCAGTTTGACCCTCTTGCTAGGCACCCTGCGGATCTCCACCCGGCTCGCTGAACGAACTACTGCTTTCGAAGGCGATTCATGCATTGCGTCATCATAGGTCGAAGTGAGCGATACGAGGTGGGGCTTGACGGGGGTACGCGGTCGACTAGCGGTTTCAACTGTGGCTGCTTTCGTCGATGCCTGTTCCTGCATGATGGGTAACATTGCACATCAGCTCGGAACGGACGAGATCCTCTCGGCCGCTTGATCGCTTACGCATCGCTGCCTATGTATCTCCAAAGAACTCTCTCCTTCGTGGTGACCGCGAATGGTGTCTCCCGATTCTCTCGACCTGGATCCGGGAACCGACTCTTTCGACCCCGATCTCGGGGTTGGGTACGCTTGAAAGGGCGTGGGGACCGTTCCCATCAAGGGCGAAAGGGCGGGCAGATTTGATTCTAACCGGGAAAGCGGATCCGAGCTCGAGGTCAGTTCCGTGGTGGTAGTGGGGATGGTCAACCGGGGAGGTAGCCGAACGTTCTTTCTCGAACGTGAACTGGTGCGGGCGTCCGTCTTCGAAGGCCGCTCTTGGGGTCCCTGTATCCCACTTTCTGCAGGGTCTTTGAGCTGATCTTGGGATCGAGGCCGTGGACGAGGATGAAAGACGGGTTTGTTCCGGCTCAAACTCAATTTGATCCTGGGTCGAAAGCCTCTCTTTCCCCCACCGCCGGCTACCGTGCCAGGTCCCGGTCGGTTTCCTTTCGAGCCTTTTTCTTGCACAATCTCGACCATGTCTTGCGCATCGTCAAACCGGACTCCAATCGCCTGGGCTGGAGGTAAGATCTCGGGTGGGTCCCAAGCGTCCATGATTCTCGCCGAGCGGGAATTGGAGCTGACTGTGGATGGGTCTTCCCGATCGAATGGGGGTAGCCCCAAGAAGGATGGCAGAGGTTTGTCCTTGTTCGATCTGGGATGCAGGTCTTCTGGTATGGGCGATGGCAACGGTAGATCAACCAAAGGTCTTCTGGGAGAGGAGTCTCGAGGGGTCGATGGAGTGTTGTAGTGATCTGACGACCCTTTGATCGGACCGGCGGTATGCCCGAACGTCGGCTGGTTCTCCTTCTCTGATCCTCCTCCGAACCTGCTCCCCGTGCCCGCAGTCGTGGCTGTCAGCAATCCGTTGCTTCCTCCTTCTCTTCGGTGCACATGTAGCTCCTCGGCACTCTCGTTTCCACTTCCACTTCCCCCGCCCAGTCCCATCTCCACAGCAGAACCAGTCCCACCCAGCCCAAACGCATCTCCTTCCGTCTTGCTACTCTCTCCCGCCTTGTGTTTGGGACTCCGACTGGGTGTAGAAGGGGATCGATCGAGCCGGTCTGATCGAGACTTGGTCGGGCTTATCAAGATGTGTAGCGAGTGAGCGAACGCCTTCATCTTCAGAGGAGGGTATCTGTCGATGCCGGGCGGGATGAGAAAAGACTCGAACCGTCTATGAGAAGATGCTGTTTTCTGAACCTGAACAGCGCGTTTCATGCCTTCAGATACAGCAAGAGCTCAGCTCCGGCGGTCTGCAAGCTCACAGGGGTATTTGTTTTCCCGTGGGCGAGATCTCTGCAAAGTCGTCCGTCCGTATCGCTTGGGAGATTTGCGTCAACGATATTCGATTGATCTCCCGGTGTCGATGTGGCAACGAGGTGAAAGCGTGGAAGAGTGACAACGTGTCATGCGGAGCGTCGTCTGTGACGTTGTCGTCGAAAAGGTGGGTTTTCCAAGTGCGTCCACCGATATCTTTGCTAGAGGAGTGATCGTGAAATGCGGGGGATCGCCAGACACCACACTCAGAGCTCCTCAGTTCAAACGTCGTTATATGTCTCTTTTATATCCCGTTCGCCTGCTGCTATTCATCTAGGGCCTCCCGTTCTTATCCTTCTTGTGTATATCATCTACATCGATGGGCGTGTCGATTTTCGGGACTGGGACGAGATTGATCGTCGATTCTGCGATGGATGGTCAGGAAGAGCCAGTCGCCATTCGAACGCGGTCCATCTGGAGCGCCGGAGCGATCTCTCTTTTCCATCAAAAAGTAAGATTCCGATTCTCATCCCCCACGCCTCCACGAGCGTTTCAAGACGATTGGTGATGATGATGTTAGTTGTTGGCCGACGTAACGACAGCGTTGTCGCTTCACCCCCTTGATGGTCGTCGCGTTTCATCATTCATCATCAGTCATGATCAGTCATCACGAGGGATTCACCTTGGCTACCCTTGAACCCTTAACCTAGTCTTCCAGCCCCGAGACCGAGACACACAAACACACAAAACGGAAGCAGAGTTTCCCCGTCCTCCCCTCCCTCCCTGTTCTTCTCGCCGCGCCTGTACCGATCGATCGAGTAAGAGAGAGACGAAACTCGACGACAGCACACGTTGCACACGTTGTCGATGATCGATGATGAAACGGGGGGTTTCTCCCGACTATCGACCGGCCCGGGGGGGGGCAGCGCCAATCTTTCGCGTCACGCTCAACCTACCTTTACGTCATTTCGACCTTTTTCTGCTTCCGCCCTTTAATCAACCATCCCCCTCGGTGAACAGAGTCATCGAAGTGGTCGCGAGTCGAGTCAACACATTTCGTTTGAATGGTCGGTCTGAATAGCCATAAAAGCCGGACCATCGAGGCGTGAGAACAGCGTTCAACTTGTCATACCTCATCTGCTCTACCAAGTGATCTAGCCTGCGATGGACCTTCCACTCCCTCCCATCCCCAACCCGTCGGGTTCGACCAGGACCGACCGACCTCGACTCTACCTCCTCGACTATGGCGCCGGAAACGTCAGGTCGCTCGCCAACTCGATTCATAAGCTCGGTTACGATTTCGAATGGATACAGACCGTGGGGGACTTTGATAAGGCCGAGGTGAGCGTCTAGTCTTTGGCGGCGAACGTGGTGGCAAGCAGACGAGCAAGCTGATGCGATCTGTGCTCGCCTCTGCAAGAAACTCATCTTTCCCGGTGTAGGCTCTTTCGGACACGCCATGAGGTCTCTCCACGCCAAGGGACTGTACGAGCCCCTGATTCAATACATTCGATCCGGTCGCCCGTATTTCGGAATCTGCATCGGGATGCAGGCCCTCTTTGCCTCGTCGCTCGAATCCCCAGACGTTCAAGGTCTCGGCGCGATCCCTCACCCGGTCACCAAGTTTTCGAAATCCGACACGGTCGTCAAGGGGGGTAGCAAGAGCGTGCCTCACATGGGTTGGAACGGCGTGTGGAGATGTTGGGAGGAGCAAGCGGACAAGGCCGAATTGGTGCTGGACGACGAGCAGTACTACTTTGTTCATTCTTACCGGGTGGCGTTTGACCCGTCACGGGACTCGGACTTGGCACCGTACGTGCACACGCTGTCGAGGTACGGGGACGAGGATTTCGTGTCGTCTGTCCGGTTGGGCAACGTCTTTGGGACGCAGTTCCACCCGGAGAAATCAGGTCCGGCCGGATTAGACCTCTTGCGACGTTGGCTCGATTCGTCACCCGAGGCATTGTCCGGCAAGATCGACCCAGAAGCGGTCAGGTCGAGGACCAAGTGGGTGGACGAGCAGGTCAAGCAGGCCAAACAGCCGAGGAGGTTGACCAAGCGGATCGTCGCTTGTCTCGACGTGCGGTCCAACGACAACGGCGACCTCGTCGTCACCAAGGGGGATCAGTACGACGTGCGCGAAAAGGTGGACGCCCAAGTCGGCGGGGCGGGCGACGTGAGAAATCTGGGCAAGCCGGTCGAGCTCGCTCAGAGGTACTACCACGAGATGGCCGATGAGATCTGTTTCCTCAACATTACCTCTTTCCGAAACTCGGCCCTGCGGGATCAGCCCATGCTCGAGGTTGTTCGAGCTGCCGCCGAGACCGTGTTTGTGCCCCTGACTGTCGGAGGAGGGATCAAGGATACGGTGGATCCGGACGGGACGTCCAGGTCCGCGCTCGAGGTCGCCGGGGCATATTTCAGGAGCGGGGCGGACAAGGTGTCCATCGGTAGCGAAGCCGTCATCGCCGTCGAGGAGATGATGCAGAGGGAGCGCGCGGGCGAGCAGGCGATGACGGGCAAGACGGGGATCGAGACCATCGCCGAGGGCTACGGGAGCCAAGCCGTCGTCGTCTCGATCGATCCTAAGCGGGTTTACGTCGACACGACCGACCCGGAGTGGAAGTCCAAGTTCCCTGCGGCCCACCTCGATTGCCTGATCGTCGGCGACGAGGCCATCTCGACGACCCGGGAAGAAGAACGTGGCAAGGCGTGGTGGTACCAGTGTACCATCCGTGGCGGTCGGGAAGTCCGCGACGTCGACGTTGTCCAGCTCGCCCGAGGTGTCGAACGCCTGGGTGCGGGAGAGATCCTCTTGAACTCGGTCGACCGGGACGGGTCCGGCAAGGGATTCGACACGGACCTCGTCAGGCTGGTCAAGCGAAGCGTCTCGATCCCCGTCGTCGCCTCGTCGGGAGCCGGTCGAGCGGAAGACTTCGAAGAGGTCTTTGATCAGACCGACGTCGAGGCCGGGTTGGCAGCGGGAATCTTTCACCGAAAAGAGGTGCCGCTGGAGGACGTCAAGAAGTATCTGGTGACCAAGGGCGTACCGACGAGATTTACCGAGCTGCCCACTGTGGCATAGGCATGAGATTCGACGCGGAACCTTACTTGACGTTTGTTACACACGCTTTACACGGCGGAGAATCAACAATTGCACATGTCATAGATATTACATTTATAGATGCTGTTCATCACCCATGCGAGTCTGATTTTCCAGCAAAGACATGCTTTGCTCCCTGTTCATCGAGACGACGTCGGCATGATCCTGACACTATATTTTCTTCACAATCACGATCGCTGCCATCATGATACAGCGCTTTTCGCATCGACAGGATGATCGCAGCACCGAAGATGTGCTATAAAATACCGCCTGTTGAATAATCGAGAAAACCGTGACCATCTGAAACGCGAAGTCATGCTGGCGAGAGCGAGCGACGCGTATCCAGGCATTACTCTCTCTCGTGTGGCAAAGGTGGAGGTCGCGCGCGCGTCGGAGATAGCAATCGAGAGAGAAGAGGGAGGGTGGGAGACGACGAGTCTCAGCTCTCTCTTCCTCTCTCTCTCTGGTTGTGTGGGTGTGCGGGTGGTGACGGCAGAGTCCCTAGCGAGCGAGCAACCCCCAGCGGGCACACACGCCAACGAGCCCCCAGCCCAGGCCCAGATCCAGGCCGAGCACACTGGCAATTCTCGAAATCACGACCTCGCAAGGTTCAGCTTGATCCTTCGTGCACCACCCCGCCCCATCCTCTCTCCCACCCCCACCCTCTCCTTCCGACAACACCTACAACAAAAGATCAAGGTCTGTCCACTCGTCATGCTCTCGCCAGTCTGTCGGATATAGCAAGCTGATTCGCTCGACAATTCATCTCTCGTTCATCCGCATTTGTCGTCTGTCACGGATCCTTCACACAAATCAACCTGTCAATCAATCTTTGAACGAGATCAGATGGTCAAGAGTGAGTAGAGATGCGTCAAGTACGCCGGCTTGGCGATCATTGAGCTGATTATCCTCTTTCTCGCTTTACAGGTGAGTTTGAAGACTTCCTGCCGGGTCGATGAGCGGTGTACAGGGCGTGTGTGTGTGTGTGTGTGACGATCACTGGTGTGGCCATGCTTGCGGGAAGGATCTCTGGAGGAATGGGTTTATGAACAACGGGGGAGCATCCAGAGCCAGAAGGACGCTCGACGAGTCGAGGCCAGTTTGGGGCAGGACCAGACGAGAAGGATCATAGTTGTCGGAGGGAAGGCAATACAGCTTGATTTCACGACGGAAGCGACACATTTGATCTCCCAAGGATACGGGTTTCGTCGTTGCAGCAAGACCACCAACCCTGAGTCGATCGAGGATCTCCAACATACTCCTACACTCGATTTCATCAACTCGATAGGAAGGCACCTAGTACCGTCGATTGAGATAGCATTCAATTCGCGATAATCCGAGATTGAAAGGATAAAGGAGATATACGAAATAGAAGTCGAGCGGAGACTTTGGTCTGATCAAGACTGTAGAAGAAGGAAATAATCCGCTCGACTAGGTACCGGGTCTCGCACGGCATGGCGAATTTCCTCGGTTCATAGACGTGCACTCAGGAATCACGGACGTCAAGAGTTCAGAAAATCTCGCTACATCATCACACGCATGCACACGCACACGCACACGCACACGTCCTTGCAATTGCTCGCGCCGAGAATCACACAACCTCGCCAACCACTCGTATTAACGCACGCCTTACCTCTTCACCTACAGTCTACAAGCCCGGCAAGGTCGCCGTCGTCCTCTCTGGACGACAAGCTGGAAAGAAGGTCGTCGTCATCAAGCAGGTCGACGAGGGTACCAAGGACAGGCCTTACCCTCACGCCATTGTTGCCGGAATCGAGAAGTGAGTCGGTGAAGGTTGTGCTTGACGAGTCGGTCGGATCGGACAAGGTGTTGATGAAGCCTTTTTGCGGGTGATGCAGGTACCCCCTGAAGGTGACCAAGTCGATGGGTGCTAAGCGAATTGCCAGGCGATCGAAGATCAAGCCCTTCATCAAGGTCAGTTCCATGCGCAACCCTTCACGTTGCCTTCTTGGCCTTTGCTGACTGCTTACCTCTGAACTTGTCGCTGGACTTTGCGCAGACTGTCAACTACGCCCACCTGCTCCCTACCCGATACGCTCTCGAGCTCGAGAGCTTGAAGGGATCCGTCTCGTCGGAGACTTTCAAGGAGCCCACTCAGAGGGAGGACGCCAAGAAGGCCATCAAGAAGCACTTCGAGGAGCGATACGCCCGAGGAGCCAACAGGTGGTGTGAGTCGACGCTCTCGCGGTTTGCCAAGTGTGACAACGGACAATCCGGCTGACCTTTGTGCATGCGTGTTTTCTGTAGTCTTCACCAAGCTCAGGTTCTAAACGTGTCGCATACATGTAATATGCGATGGTCTTGGGATCCGAGAGTGGGACGAGGGAAGCATATGGGAAATGGGGGGAGATTTGAGGGGATTGTACGCGACCCGCCAACACCTATTTTTCAGCCCTTTTCTTTCCCGTCGGTGAACGACTCGGACTTGTTTTGCCTGATGTCCCACACTATTCGCTTTCCGATTGTTGTCTTGCTTTTGAGGTTGTGCTTGAGAGTGAAATATGTCGGCCGGGTCCTCTCTTCACAGGCCATGGATGTGATACGAGTGACATGTTTTGCTTCCGAAGATCGATGGATGACCCCGCCGGTGCAGCAGTTGGTACTGTGCGTCTTGCGACTTATGTCAAAGTCCTTGGATGGTTGTCGCTTTCATCTCGTTAACGATCATCTCACCGATAGACCGCAACGACCCAACACCCTCGAACGATCATGTCTCAAAAAGCGATCCTGGACAAGCTAGCGAGATACCGGACGGTAGGCGCTCGGAACTCGGATCAGGTGCTCGAGCTCGGTGACCGTGCATTAAGAGGTGGTAGTCTCGGTGATCAGGGTGAGTGCAGATTGCGTCGACCCGGTCTGAAACAGTAGAGTCCCGGCGAGGTTAACGAAGATGTTATGGTACCGATCCAGAATGGGCCGTAAGGGAACAGGTAGCCATTGCCGCTCTAGATCTACAACGATTAGATCTGGCCGAGGTGGGCATCTCCCTTTCTTACAATTCGAAGCTTGGCGCCGACCACTGACTTCTCGCCTCATGTGGCCAATAACGACAGACCCAGATCTCCACCTTACAGAAGAAGTTCCCTAAATCTCCCCGAATCGCCGTTCTGCAAGGACTGAAGCTCGAGGCACAGGGGGACTATGATGCGGCCAAGAACCTCTACGTAGCCCTGCTTGGTCTGGACGGGCCGGAAAAGGGAAAGGGCAAGGCGGCTAATTCGATCTGGAAAGGCGACACAGACGAGACATTCATCGTGAGCTGGCAGTCACTCTGCCAAAACGCCTGGATGAGAAGCTCATTCTGTTATGGCAATCGTAACAGACCGCTCATCAGCGGCTCATCACTCTGGCCCTCTATCAACCTCTGGAATCGAGCAATGTCACAATCAATGCGTTTTCAAATCCCACACCTCAACACATCGCACGAACCGTTCCCTTGTTGGTGAAATACCTCGACACGTTTCACACCGACGCAGATGGCTGGTCTTTGCTGGCCGACCTTTACCTGCTGCTCTCCGGTTGGGATCAGCTCGATGGGGCCTACGCGAAGGGACAGATCGTACAGAAGTATTTCCCTCAGGCGGAGATGCGGGAACCGGTGCCAGCAAAAGGACGAGGTGATCAATACTTGCAACAAGCCATGACGTGTCTCGCCCACCGGATGACGCTAGAGCCATGGGATTGGATGACCATGACGCGGTACGGAGAGACGGCGCTGATGTTTGGGTAAGCTTGATACGGTCCCGTGTTCGAACATCTCTGATGGATCCTATGTCTGACGCCTGGTATGATTCGCAGGGACGTGACGATGGCGTACAAGACTATTTTGAGAGCGGTCGAGATGGCTACCGATCCGGGCGACGCCTTGATCCCGGAAAACATGGTCGAGCAGACGTCTGAATCAATGTCAGATCTACCGGGCGTCTTACAGTTGGCAGGTTGGAAATCGCGAGTCTGGTGGGATTTGAAACTCGTAAGCATTGGACGCGATGTCAACGTGCGGATCCTGTCATGTCTACTGACTTTGCCGTTGTTCAACAAGTGTACCACCTGCCTTCGGCGGAGCGACTTTGAAGACGCAGTCCCGTCTTTATCTCCCTCGGCGGTTGAACACGTCGATGCCGTGGACGCGCTCGTGGATCAGAAGTTGACCGAGATGCTCGGGGCGCAAGCTTTGCAAGTATGGAGTCATGCAGTTGGCGCCGCATGAGATGGCGGAGATTGAGATTTAATTTGTAGAAATATGTATCCTCCGGATGTATACCCTTACGCACGAATAGAATATTGCTAGCATCAACATATACCGTTATCGGTCATGCAAGGATGATATTCCTTGAAAGGCGCTCATTTACGAAGATGCAGCGCGGTAGTCTGTGATCCAGGCGCATCATGATTTCAGTGCATGGGAACAATTCGCTTCGTAGTAGAGGATGATATTTGAGAGACGAAGCTTCAGATAATTCAGGTTTGCACAGAATCTGCGCTCGCATTCGGGTTCTATAGTATCCGTGCATTTAGCGTGATCACGTATTCACAGCTGAAGATGCTCCCCCCCTCCAGCGTAAAGGATCTTGACCCGCCCTTGCCAGACATGGCCCAGAATGCATAGGAACGTGCGTTTCAAGCTCTGGCTTTAGGCCACAACTTGGTGAATGTCGGCAGCATGTGCAGAACATAGATATGACAAAGTCAGGATCTATCGAAGTTAGGGCAAGGGAGACAATTCCCCGAGATGCGTCACTTTGGTGAGTCCTTAGCGGTCGTCGAGACTGATTTTTTATTTTATTCTCATTTCAATTCTTGAGCAAGGAAATTCGAGGAAATGGTCGAAAGATCCGTCGGAAACACCCTAGAGAACTTATTCACGGACAATCTTACATCATTACGAGGAGGGGAATGGAAAAACAGGCCAATTTATGAGGCCAATGTGAAAAGTATAAGGGGTTAGGCGATAGCGCGACAGAGGTTGTAGCGACCACTTTTTTGATAATATGCCTTGCATGACGTCGACTTCATGATGTGGTCGAGGTGGACTCCTTAACGTCATGTTGGGCAAGGCGATTTCGCGTTTCAGGCAGTTTGGTACTGTATGTCTTGCTTTGGATTCGGGCGTTCATCAGCCCAATTGCGCCCAGCGATTTCGCTTCTGAAAAAGGACATTCGCAATTACCATTTCTAGATATGCTCACAGGCTACAAATGCAACTTTCTCCAGTGGATCTTTCTATGTTTTGGAGATACGCTCGCAAGTATAAACAAAGAGATCGCAGCGACGGCAAACACCAAATAATCCCCCCTGGATGTCTCAAACAACTAGATGATGTACAGAAACCCCAAATTCTCTTCGTATGGCTTGAGCGATAACCGTTTCGGTTCTCCAGCCGGCTTCATGCAGCAATCACCGTTGTGAAGCGTTGCATTTCTGGCAGAAGCTCCTGATAACCACCGATATCATACGAGTCTGGAATGAGCCCCTCAAGACAATCTTGCGCAGGAGTCTTTACGGCTAGACACTGGTCGTAAGCCAAAACCGTAACAATACCCTCCTGTTTCTGCTGTGAAACACGAGACTGGTCATGACGAGGAGGAAAAGGCGCGGAAGGGTCTCAAAACAGAGCCTATCAAACGATTGATGCGAAAAGACTGAAGGGGGAGAGTCCCGATTGGTATCATCACAGACACCCGCGCAGATAGGCAAAGGAGGTACTACTAGACTACAATCCTTCCACCGACCGGTCGAGGCATTTGCGTACGCCGACCACTCTTCCTCAACCGAACCCTCCAAATCTCTCTTCGCTCTCGATAGAGGTAAACCCAAAAAGAAACCGAACTCTGCGTCTAGTAGACGAAAGCCAAGATCTTTCCTCCGGTCTATCACGTCACCTCGCGTTAGCATCGGCGAGCAAGGAAAACGCTACGGTCCGTGATATCACTTACGTGCTTCCTCCTGGCCTCCTCGTGGTCCATAATACCGGCAGAGGTGGTAAGGATGATCTTTCCGAACGAACGGGCGGGCAACAAGACGTTGACCCAGTTCTCGATGGCGTCAAGGGTGACGTTGAATCGGGGAGAGATAACACCGGTCTTGTTCAATCGTCCGTTGAGCTGGATAACGATCTTTCCACCTCGGTGGTCGTCGATAAGCTCGAACTCGCCGATGTAGCCTAAGTCGATTTCGAGGAATAGCGTCAGCCGCGTCGTTCTTGATCACACCATAAGTCGAACAATCGAGACGAAAAGTCCTCGAGCTAAGCATCCACAGCCGATAGTGACATGTCGGACGAGAAGCGTTTCCCCACACCCTTTCCTTTCAGGTGGCTTCTCCCTTGTATCGTCAACAGAGACGTCTTCCCATCTTTCTTGGCTCTCGGCGGATGAACCTGCGCGAAACACCAAGCAGGGCAGGTCGAGATCTCGGTTGAACCAAGGGAGACCTGGAGCAAGGACGCGTGGAGTTGATATAGAGTACGCTTCCAGTCCACCCTCCTCTGCACACGATGTATGAGGGGAAGGGTTGATGTCCCGGAAATTTAAAGGATGATCTCGGTAGCGTTTTAGATGTTGACCCAAGGGTCGTCGAGATCAAACAGTTATATCCCGGGTCGATGTAAGGATTCATGATGTAGGTGATGGCGAAAGAAGTGATAATAACGATCGTGACAAGGAAAGAGCAGGCGAGGAGGAAACGAGTCAAGAAACAGAACACGTAGAGGTTCAACTCACCGTGCTTCTGCATGACCGACAAGACCTTGACAACGACCTTGCTGGCGGGCCTAATGAGCACCTGCCTCTTTCCTCGTCGCTCGGCGTTGACGATGTTGTTCAAGCAGTCGTTAAGAACGGAGACTCGGGTCATCTTGGAGGATTGTTGTTTGCTGATTGCGGTGCCAGATGATTGGATCGGACCAAGTGAAGTGAGGGCAGAATGGCGGTAAAAGATGACAGAACCAGGTAAGCCTCAAGGTCGATTCGGTCCACGATACCTTGCGCGCTTACCTAAGAAACCTGAAAGATCAATGAAGAAAAGCAGGGATGGGGTTGTGTTCAACGAGACGAGTTCGAGAGATCCGTTTTTCTTTCGCGAGTTCTTTTTATTCCGTAGGAATGCTCGATGCGGGTGTGCTCCTTACTTTTGTGAGGGGCAGCCGTAAAGAGGGTAAGGGTCCGAAGAGAGATGAATACGTCGATACGAGAAGGGAGGGAAGGGAGACGAAGGGTGCGAGGTAGGTGATCAGAAATGTTGATTCGAGGTTGACGACGACTTGAGCAGAGGAAGAGCAACGGGGGGTCCCGTAGAGCGGACATGGTCTCTTACTCCCGGTTGAATTGATATCGAAACTCTTATATGTCCGCCTGTACTCTCACCTCTTCGGTGATATCCCCGACGCGTTCCCCCTTCCCATCTTAAGGAAGGAAGGAAGGAGACCCTCCACCTCGAGTCTCAGCTCTCTTTGTCTTTGCCATTGCTTTCGCGTCTGACCTCCACCTTCGACCTCCCTCTGTGTACCCAACTAGAAGCGCGACCAACCACCCTCTGTCTGTGGTGCTTTCCCCGCGCTTACCGCCCTCACACTCCCCCTTGCGTCGCGCCCGTATCGGTCACTGAGATCACCTCGTTCAGCGTTAGAGAAGGCAACCCCTTGTAGCGACCTCCCGTCTTTCCTACTTCCCCTCTAGATCACCCCACCTTCAAGACTCTCGCCCAGACGACTTTTGGATAAAGATGGTCAGTCATTCGCCGTACCGCAAGAAACACTCGGAGGGAAAGGCTGACGATGTATGGTTTGCTCTGTTAGGCTCGTACTGACAAGAAGGTTAGTTTTCCTGCGAATTCGAATGGGCGATGGGGAAATGCGTCTGCGCTGGGTCTGGGTCTGGGAAAGGTCTCGGAAAGAGCTGGGCGGAATTCAGGCTGCACCTGTTGGGACGGGCAAGACGATGGTCTACCGGGCGAGCATACGCTTGAACAGCATGGGCCGGCCATAGACTTTAGCTGAAGCTAGCAAGAAGCAGGAGCTCATTAGGACACAAAGCACCGGACATCGGATAATAACGGAGGGAGACACGATAGACATTAGTCAAAATCTAGCGATAGTTGCGGTCACCTGAACTCTCAAGCGATATCCTAAGGACTCCCCTTCGATCCACCATCGACACATCTTCCTAAAGACGCTCGTCATTTGTCCGCCGTCGATGATTTGCGAAAGTGAAGGACACGGAAAGACGGTGTTTCCGGCGCAACATTGAGGAGAACGGCTCTGTGATATCTGTCACACGCAGGCGATTGGAATCATGGTGGACGTTGGATTAAGAATCCCATTATGGCATCGTATCAGAGATCCGGGAACGGGGCTGGAGGAGACTAGGTCGCACAAGCCCAAAGGGAAAGAATACAGGAGGATGATGTCAAAGAAGAAAGCGAGGTTGGATCCGTCCAATCGACCGGGCGATGACTGGCGGTCATGGACTTGACCGAGTCGAACAATCGCAAGCAAGTCTGCCGGAGCTTGCATTACCTCAGGCTCGCTTGCACGCCCAGCCGAGACCTAGAACCAGACCTTTACCCAGACGCTTCGCTTAGAGACCCGTCATTTCGTCTTCGAGTCGCTAAACCTGTACGCCTCTCTACTCCTTGCCACTTTTCAGACCCAGAAGACCAGGTCGGCCCTGAACGACGTGGTTACCCGTGAATACACCGTTCACTTGCACAAGCGGGTCCACGGTTCTTCGTTCAAGAAGAGTACGTCTGGGCATCGGAAAATCAGTGTTACCTGCAGTCGGGCAAGATTGCTGACATCAGGCTCTTTCGCTCTGTTCTGCAGGGGCTCCCAAGGCCATCAAGTCGATCGTCGAGTTTGCTCAAAAGTCGATGGGTGTTCAGGACGTTCGAATCACCCCCGGTCTCAACCAGGCCGTCTGGGCCCGAGGTGTCCGATCCCCCCCTCACAGGATCAGGGTCAGGTTGGAGAGGAAGCGAAACGACGACGAGGGTGCCAAGGAGAAGCTTTACGTCTTGGCTCACCACGTCGAGGGTGTTACCAGCTTCAAGGTGAGCGAAAGGGTCGGCACGGTCCTTCGAGGTCAAAGTAGACTGGTAGCTGATCATACTTTTCTTGCTACTCTTGTAGGGACTCGAGACCACCGTCATCGAGGCCGACGAGGAGTAGATTAGCCTTTCCCAGCTAGTCGATCCCGAAAACGCCCCATCCTCTATCTTCTCTCTCTCTCTCTCTCCTTCGCCCCCTCCCACAGACACCTGAGAACGGTGAACCCCACTTGTAGACAAGAGATGATATATCGAGTTTATGTGGGGATTTACGAGTCGCCGTGCGGAATCAAGGCTGTATGGCTGTTGCATCGACCCTTTTCCTTTGAGGACTGTACGGACTGTGTTTACTAGCTTGAACGATCAATTGTCGCGCTTTGTTTACGATTTCGCTGTCGGGCGGGTCTTTAAGAAGGCAAAAGCAGAGAATTAGAGCTCTCTCTCAACTTCATCGACTACTTCGAACTTCGTTGCAATGGTAATCAATCACAACAATAAGCGTACCCTTTATCTACCGTTAGAATACGACATCTTGCCGAGTCCCAGGTTTTGACTTGAAAGGAACATGTACCGGGAACCCGTGTCGTGATGCCGTTGATTGTCTCGCTCTTGAAGCTGACTTGGTGAGTCGGACCAGGACTAACTATCTTTGGCGTTGTGAGCTCACCCCTTGGTACTGGAATCATATAGGCTGTCATTACAGCTGATCGATACTCTCAAGATTATCAAGAAACCTGCATCCCGGAAGAGCAAGATCAGAATCGTCGATCAAGAGGAGAAGGATGCTACAGTCTTGCAGGCGACACCACCAAGAACCAGGATGAGCACGCTCAAGCGAGATAAATTGAGAAAGGTTCTGCAATCATGGATTGTATGGGTGAGTCCGGGTGGCAAAAGAAAACTGAACATGTGTGATCATCATTTACAGCCATTTGTTCCTCTTTAGATGCTGTTCAGCTACTCGGAGGGTGTTGCGGACCATACGATCGGGCTTATCATGCCGTTCTACAACCACGTCAAGATCGTCTTTTTGCTCGCACTCAGCATCCCTCGCTCCTCTGTGAGTTCTTAATTCGTTTGAAAGACACGTTCGTCAAATGGATATTCCAACTTACCCTATGATCGCGAACAGACTCTCCCTTATATCTACGACCGAGTCTTGTTCCCTAGACTCAAGAGATATTCTCGTACAATCGACCTCTCTTTCTCCCTCTTTGGCCTCGTCGGGCAGTACTTGCTGCAGCTCGTACTTTGTACGACGGTGGTACCGGTTTTGACCTTGATCGAGAGAGTTCGGTCGTATTGGGGTCAGGCCAGACCGGACGAGTCAATTCGACAATCAAACGGTCGGATCGCTCGAGTAGGACAACCTTCTCCTGGTCCACCACCTGGCGGATTCAAAATTATGTTGCCCGACACCGCCGTCACGTCGGCTCAACCCCGGAAAAAACCTCGCAAATCGGTACTCGACAATGTCCTCGAATTCTCCCTCGGGACACCGAGGACGTTGCGTCAGACGATGTATCAGGCCAGAGCGCTCTATGGTGTCCCTGAAGTAACGCCAACGACGAGGACCGAGCAGGCGGGGTGCAGATCGAAAGATCAGTCGAAATCGTTGAAGAGCAAAAAGTGCAGTAAGGATGGACCGAACGAGGCGGACAATCGACCGACGGATCCTCCACCAATTACCACGGCAAGAGCGGTCTCGGGTGGCGTGCCGCTCAACAAGAAAACGCAGACGATGTCCAGGTCCATAAGGGTCGACTCGAATGTGGCTGGTGTCCATGCCGCCAGCGTGACCAGGCAGAACCCAGCAGTACCACCTACCCGGGCAGTCCGTTCGGCTACCCTCGATCCACTGGCGGCGGGCATTCCTACCTTGCTGAGCAAATCTAGTCTGAAAGCAGCAGGTCCCTCTCGACCCGTCGACCCGCTTGTGAGCAAGAACACAAGAATGCGGACTGGCAGCGCTCCGCCAACACGATCGACGGCGGGGAAAACATCGGCAGAAGCCTTTTGGGCACGTTTAGGTCCGAGTCTCAATCGATCTGGCGGGCCGTCTGACCCCATCGAGACTGTCAATGAATTGGCCGAAGAAATGGAAGGTCTCGAAAATACGGGTTCGTCGAATCAGGCCATCCGAAGTGTTTCGGTGGTCGGAGGCAGAGATGAAAGCACTGAGGACAACACGGACCCTACCGGAGACATCATTATGATGGGGAGGAAAACGACCCCACGAAAGAGGAAACAGGTGGACACGGGGATCGAGGCTCGTGTACCGAAAGTCAGAAGGATCGAACGGCCTGCGGAGTCTATGAATGATACGAGACAGGCGCGTGCCGCGCCTCTGAGAAAGAAGAGGGTTGACTCCACGCAGTCGACGTCGACACCGACGGTGAACGCTTTGAAGGGACCTGTGGGTACAACCCGTGAACGCAAGACCACAGTAACCACGACTGCTATCCCGGCTGTTCAATCCTCAGTACCCGAGGGCCGAACGTTGCGGTCCGCCAGGAGAAAACAACCGGTAGAGGGCGAGGACGTTCCGACTCCATCCGTCCCCGAGCCTCGGCTCAACCGACCTGAAGCTCGGACTGTGACTGCTCGAGCACCTGCTAAGCGGGCGACCAGGAATCTAGGACATCCGCAACGACCCGAGCGTAGATAGACAATCGTCTGGAGCACGGACGACTCCGTTTCCGTATAGTCACGTTTTCCCCATCGCGACCAGTGTCCCTGACCCTGTTCGCGTACGTCTTAACATTAACGCCCCAGTAACGAACCCCTTGTCACGACGTACCATGTGTTTGCTTCGGAACACAAACCTTTATACGGAACCGACCTCGAAATGGAAGCAAAAGAGCCGAGTGGTTCATCGTGTGCATCTACACCTTCCCTGACCTTAGCATGCGAGATGCTTGCGTCTGAACCTTTCATACGCTGGCGTCTATAAGATCTGGTCCCTGATCCCTGATCTACGCGCCTGGTCCTGAAGATCAAACTCGATGACAGGCCCGATTCTTTTGGAGTTTTAGGTTCGAGTCCCGATCTCGTGCCTTTCGCCAAACGTTCGAGCTCTACTTCCGTGCGAAACAGTAATTCCACATGATTTCCACTGCCGCTGGGTGCGGACGCGGAGGGAGTCCGGGGGGCTGAAAGAGGGTTTTGGCGTTCCGAGGGCGTCCGGTGAGCCATCTCGTACGGCGCGCGTGTCTTCGATTGACCCGGATCCAGGACAAAATCGACTTCGAGCTTGGATCTCGACGTCACTGACTTTTCAACGCTGGAATGCAAGACGATTGCGGCCGGGCCAGAAAGGTTTGGCCAGAAAGGTTTGACAGCTGAGCTCGGTCATTGGGTTAATTCACAGGTAGAAAAACGTCGTTGGCTTTTCCCTCTGGAACATAGGACAACATCCGAGGTTCGTGGAAGGTGATGCAGTGGACGTGGAGGAGCCGGATCGTAACAGTGACCCGGTCTCGGTCGATGTGAAGAGGTCAGGAAGGAATAGGGGAAGACGTTGTTCCGACGATGTTCATGGCGCAATGTCGAACAAGGCGTTTCCTCCGCCTGTTCACGATCACAGTTTGGTGTGGTGAACTGGACACAACCAAAAGTCTGGGAACTCGTGGTGTGGACAAGGATCGAACGAACCCGGAAAGGACTATCAGCTTCGGTCGTATCCTTCCCGATCGATGGCAGAGAATGTTCTTTTCGGAGGTGGCATATATTACCGTGTAGCCAAGAGTGACAATCCGGTCTGGCCCCTTTTCCCGTGACACCCAAACCCCTCTTTCACTTCATTTGAGCACGAATCCGTTTCATCTGCGTCGCCGAGCCAGACCCGAGCACATTCGACAAACACTCATTAATCTTCGCTGGACAACACCAGAGTCGGTCCGACAGAGCGTGACGTGCGTTTCATCATTGCCGGTGCCATCATCATCTCCTGCTCGTTCGCTCCAGCGGCATCCACTTCATCTCCGCAAATTGCCGGTCAAGTCTTGTCTCATCAGTCAGCTGAACCTCATCGCCAAACGTCACGGGATTCAAGGAATCGTGAGTCATCGCGGCACCACACACTTGGACCTTTCGTCCTGGTGCATGGTGAAACACCATGCTCGTCATCACGAAAGACCGCTGCCGACGGGACTCGAGAGCTGAAACGAACCGAACTTCCTTCTCACCGTCGCCGTCACACCCATCCTTGCATCCTCCATCGCACAAACCACTCCCGATCATCCTATCACTTCCCACCCGTCATCATCCGTCATCGCGCGCCTCGGTCGTTGGCTCCCGATCGATTGGTTCCGGGGAATGAAAGGCTCCGAAGCTCCCGCGTCCTCTCCCTTGCGCGCGCTGTGCCATACCTTTTGTCTCACCTCCCAGCCCTAGAGCCGTGAGTCTTCCTCTCCTTCCTCGTACCGACACACCCGGTCCGTCCTCGTGGGTCAGCTTCTCTCCGGGAAGAATGGAACGATGATCCTACGGGACGGATGACGTTGAGATCTCGATCATGGGTACCGTGACAACGATTGCTGACCCTACCGATCGCTCCCTTGTTCATTCCCCGACCTCTCGCTCGAAACGACAACGACGACGACGTCGACATGCGAAAAAACTCTACTCGGGCCGGTCCGTCTTGGCTTTCTTGTACAAAACCGGAATGGACTGTTACCTCTTCATCAGTCGTTCTCCCTCCGACCGCTTTAGATTTGAAGCTCAAGCCCTTCGCCCCCTACACCCAACTTTTGTCCTGTGCAACCTTTGTCTCCTCGCACGAAGACAAAGAAAGGAACCGACTGCCGCGACTGCCCTTGCATCCGGAACGCCCCTGGTTCTTACTTTCGGTTCGGAAATTGGATTTTACGGCACTCCCGGTTATCTTTTTTTTTGCATCCGAAGCCGTCCCTCGCGTCTTGTGCTTCCCCTCCCGCCGGGCCCGCTCGGTTCTCTTCTTCTGAAACAAGGTTTCATATTTTAGCTCGGGATCCACTTGGCGCGCGCGCGCGTGTGCCGACCTGATCGTCCCTCGGTCATCGCTCTGTTTGTCTCGCCTGGCCCGCGCACAAGAGAGAGAGAGATAGCGAGATCTGTCTCGAGAGAGAGAGAAGTCGCGACGATCAGTCCCCCCCTTGGGTGAGTCAACCGGTCGGTCGAATGATATATACACATCCTCCCAACCATCACCATCACCACCACATTCTGACATCAATCAATCAATCCCTTTCTCCTTTCGCGCATCGGACGTTTTTTTCTCCTTCCCTCCCTTCTTTTCGATTCACTACCCGGCCCGCTCTTTAACCTCCGGACCTCGTTGGATATATATATACCTCCCACCTGCAACCCGGAATCATCTCACTCGGCCTACTTCCGTTCACTCCCATCTCTCAACTACCCAACGACACGTATACTTGATGGCATCCTGAAACGACATCCATTCTCCCTCTCTCTCCCTCGATTCTATTCTCCTCTCCTAGTCCTAGTCCTAGTCCTAGTCCTCACAATCATCAACGTCTCGAATCATCTTCAACAACTCCATCATGCTGCTCCGACTACTCCCAGCTCCCACTGCCAGGCAGTCAGCTCCTCCAACCATCCTCTTCACCCTGCCGTTAACCACGGCTCCTTATACGTGAGTTACTCAGAGCATTCTTGGGAGACGAAGAACACGCCCGCTCACCGATGACCTCGCTCCAACGATCAGTTCCAAGAGTTTGCCTCTTCCTCCGTTCCTCCTCACGCATCGCAACGCTTGCGTCAAGGAAGGCGTCGACTGCCCCAACGCCTTGCTGGGTGACAAGGCCTCCTGGATCCCCGGAATCGTCGACGAGGTCACCTTTGACGTCAAGGAGCAGAGGATCACCGTCGTCCTAATCGATGGAACGACCATGGCCTTGTCGATCAGCAGTGGATGCCGATCTGTGCTGGACGGTGTCGTAGCCCAGGTCCAGCTCTCGTTCGCCGCTCAACAGCAGGCTACCACCCCTACGGGACATTCTCGAGCTTCTTCCAGGTCTGGATCTTCGAGCAGCACGAGCAGCAGTAGCAGCGGATTGAGGAGTCCATCGGCACTTCTCTCTGCCCTGCTCTCACCCATCATGTCCAATGTCTCTTCTTCTTCAAAGCCCGCCCCGCCTCCACCCAACCCGGCTCGCGTCCATCGTCGTCAAGCTCGATCCCTGTTGGTCGACGCTTTTCGAAGATACGTCCTCGCCGCGCTCAAGGAGACCTTGCCCTCGAGCTTCATGATGTGGAGCCTGCAGGGCGAGCTGAACGCCAAGAGGCAGGAATGGGAAGAGATCAAGCGCGAAGTCGACGCCATCTTGCAGCGGACCGGCCAAAGCTGCCTTGGACCGATTTCAATCAACCGATCCCCTTCGGACGCCTCGTCGTCCTCCTCTGAATGCCACGGTACGCTCGCTCGAGGTTTCGCTTCCACCGTCTCGATCGACTCGTATGCGAGCTCGTCTGCCTCGGACTGTGATTCTACACCGCCTACCACCCCAGCCACTTCGGTTTGGAACCACGACGGCTCCCGACCGAGTTGGAGCATGTCTCCGCTCGCCCATCTATCTACCTTGCCCGCTTGCGCCAGCTTGCCCTTCTCTCAGCGGACTGCCTATGCTGATCTCGTCTCCCGGTTGGCGGCTCTCGCCTCCCGTATGAGCTCGATCCAGAAGCTCGTCAGCATGATCGAGAAGGAGCAAGGCAGGAGGAAATGGTTGGAAAGCTTGGAGGCTAGCCGTCAGGTCGACAAGGCGATGAGGAGATCATGGAGCAACCGACAATCCCTCAGGGGTTGTTCGGGAAGCGAGCTGTTGGCCAGGCCTACCCGCTCGAGTCCCCTCTGGCAATCTCACGTGGAAAGGGACGAGCACGAGGACCACCAATCGGTCCTGCATTCGATCATGATGGACGTCGACCAGGACACATCATCATCCGACGAAGAAGAAGAGGCCATGTCGTCCGATGACGACGACGTCTTTTCCCCTCACATCAAGGTCCGACCCATCTCGCCTATCGACGTGTCGAGCCTCTTCTCCAGCATGCCCGCCGTCCCGGCACTTGTACCGTCGTCGCCCGCTGGTACCGAAAACGACGTGGACCCCATTCCTGCTATACTCGGACGAAGACGATCGAGCGCAGGGTCGATCAGTATCCCGTCCAGTACCGACCCTACTACTATGGACAGGCTCAAGAACCGACGTCCTAGTTTGGAAACGATGGACCTGAGCAATTACAGGATCATCTCGACCGCTACGATCGACTCGGACGAGCCGGAAAACAACTCCATTCTCGGTCACGTGGCTTCTAATGAGGTGCTGGACATTCCACCCAAATCTGGCGAGGCCGGTTTCAGGGTCGGCGTCGCCATCGTACGATAAGGGCCGCCTTGCAGACCATGCCAAACAAAATTCTCTAACGACTCGACCATGACCAACGGGTTTCACAATCGCAAACCCGACCACAACCATTTTGGGACGCTCTATCCGGGTTTCATGACTTTAGTACTGTATTTTGGTGTAACAAGTACATCGCTCGTTAGTTCTTGTCTGTAGCAACAACTGTCGTCTCATAAAAGTCGTGTCGCCGTTTTTGTAAAAAGCACATTTTTTTTACGCCCAATTGAATTATTTTCTGCCTCTTGTCTATCTTTCCCGACATCAGCGTGAATCTCAAGGGGGTGTCGGGTCGATCGGTGGCCTGTCAACTGCGCGCACATGAAAACATTGTTTCGGCTATCGCCATGAAGCACTAGCGACGTTTTACAATACGCTAGGCAGCTCGTGCAGTAAGAGAGAATGGCTCTGGTTGATTATCTCGCTGCTGAGCAGAGCCACATATTGGCATGAGGAACCGACTCAAGAACCAAGACCTCTCGCTGCGTATAGCACAAGACCTACTTCCTACATCCCGATGTATCGAATGTCAGCATGTGCCAAACTAAAGAGGAGGAACACCCGAGTTCTTCCTGTTGCGTGATCCGTCCACCTGGCATCAGAAGGCAAACAATAAATAATAGACAGTTCATTCGATCGCCTTCGCGAGAAGCCAGGTAGTGCGGCAAGAATGCTGACCAAATGCATGAATATTCGCTTCGAGTCTACTCGATAATGATCGTTCGTTATGAATGGTTCTCATACAAGAAACGGCTAGTGGTATCGAGGCGAAGCTCTAGTATGGCTTGCTTCTAGCCTGGCCCTGCGTAGAATATCGGGCTGGTTGACCCCCGCCAGAAGGCGCTGAAGGCAATCCCGCCGGTCGCATCGCTGCAGGACCTCTGGGCGCATTGGCTGGGGTTGCCGAAGGGTTCTGAGGAGGGATTGCCCCTGGGAGGGCAGCATTGGGCGAAGTCTGAAGGAGGAGCAAGACCAGGTCAGCTCGAAGGCTTTGATCAGTAGACTTCCTTTGACTTGCCATCCTGTTCATCATCATCATCGGATTGTACGCGCCGCCGGGCATGTTCATACCTGTGGCTTGACCGAGCCCACAGTCAGTAAGGGTTAGGCGCTACCGCATGCTTCGAAGTGTCCTCACCCATCATGTTGGGCATGGCACCAGCGGTCTGACCCGGACTGGCCCCTCCCATACCGCCCATTGCGCCCGCTTGGCCTATAGAGCGAAGGGTTGAAGTTCAGCACGGGACGGCGGTTTTGACCAGGTATGATATGCCCCGACTCACCCTGGTTCATCATGCCCATGTTCATCATAGGATTCATACCGTTCATACCTCCCATCATATCTGCATGAGCAAGCGCTTTAGCCCTTTCTAGGCTGAATGTCGCTCGATCACGTCAGTTGTCACTCACTCATCATCATTCGCTGATACATCATGGCCATCGCTTGGGGGTCAAATCCACCTGCGCCCATCATGCCCGGCATGCCCATCCCGCTCATGCCCATACCGCTCATCATGGGGTTCTGACCCATCGCTCCCCCAGCGTTCATGTTGTGATTGTATTTGCCAGACTGGGCGCCCTCGCCCATGTACGAGCCGATATGACGACGGTTGGTATCGCCTTGTTCTCGCTGGTGTTTGGGCTGAGCCTTTTTGACTTCGATCTGCAGATTGAGCCGGGTGATTAGTACCGATCACCACGCTTTGAAGGCTTTACCCGTCGCGGTGATGAACTGACCGGCTTGCCGTCGAGTTCCTGTCCCGTAGCGCCCATGGCCCTCTCGACTCCCTCGTCATCTTCGAAAGTGACGAAGCCGAACCCCTTGTTCCGGTTCGTCTCGCGATCAAACATGACGTGGGCGTCCATGACGGTGCCATAATCGGTAAAGAAGGCTTTCAAACTAGCATTTGTGACGGTAGGAGCCAGGCCGCCGACAAAGATCTTTTGGGACTTGATGTGTTCCGCTCGAGGGATCGCTCGTTTCGGATCAATCTGTAATGTGCGAAAGCACAACAACTCGTCTCGTCAGTATATCGTTGCCAAGCTTGCCTACGACCCCGTCATTGCTGTCACTCACAATCTTGCCATCCAAGACGTGCTCCTTGGCCATGACGGCATTGACCGAGGCCGGATCCTCGAAGGTCAAGAACGCGAATCCTCTCGACCTTCCCGAAGGGTCCCGCATAATGGAAGAAGATGCCACCCTGCCAAACTGGGAAAAGTAGCCCTGTAGGCTGTCTGAAGAAGCCGGGAAAGGTAACAAGTGAGCGTCTTGTGAGGAGAAGAGATAGATCGATCTGCGCTCACTGTCGTCCGTCTCCCAGTTGAGTCCTCCGATGAACATTTTGCTGCAACCCAAAGGAATAACATGGGCCAGGGCGAACGAGTGTGATGCAATTGGCAAAGATATAACCACCGGCGTTTCCATTGTACCATGCCAGTACGATTGTGGAGGACGTGTGGGGATACGGCCGACGTGAATATATCACACCGGAATATCATCCAGTGGATGAATCGGTTTCAAGGTCATCAGATTCATCGATTCCCATCCGGGGCCATATTCATCCGCAGTATAGGTAGAAGTGATAGTATTGATAGCAGATGGGCAGTATAGGATCGTTCGCCGTAGAATATTAGATGTAGAAGTAGTAGCAGTAGTAGTTATCGGTAGATATTGCAGGTATAAGGCGAACCGTAGCGTAAAGTGAGATATATTACGGGCAGTAGTTGTTTATTTCCGTAAATGCAGATACCGAAGTAGAGTATCCGAAAGAGTAATACGAGAACTATATCAGTCTTCCTAATCAAGATCTACGTCTGATAGCGTCCAGTCTAGATATAGCGGTCCATCCGAAAGGAAGAAAGCGTCCGCTCGAATCATCTGCGGTGAACCACCTCTTTCGCGGCGCCCACGCACTCCTGCATTTGACACGACGGCGCCGGTCGACTCGTAACGCAGCCGGGCCTGCGAGCGATCCACCTCCTCCCCGTCCCTCCCACGACCGGCCGTCCATCGACCCCGACGGGTAGCGAAAAGAACGGACCTGACCGATGTCGATCCCGATAGACCGCAGGACAAGGGGGGCAGGAACCGGGACTGTGGAATAGTAAACGATCGATAAGGAGCAAGACTCACCCTTCTTCATTTCCATCGCTGGTGGATCCTCCCCCTCTCCCCCTCCCGTCATCCCCATTGTACGCTCGGGCATAAGGAGCTCCACCTCCGGCCCCTTGTTGGCCCTGTTGATAGGCCTGGGGTTGATTCTGACTTTGGTTTTGGAACTGACTGTTATTGGATTGAAAAGTCGGGATGGGAGCGGGTTGTTGCTGTTGCTGTGTGCGGTGGTTCGGATTAGGTCGATGAGAAGCACAGACCATCAAGGACCAAAGGCAAAGAGGCAAGACAGAGCGAGCGAAAAGAATGATCGGAGGTGGGGTCAGATTGTCTTGACTCGGATTCGTTACCAGTAGGTACACTAGACTCACTTGACCTTGACCTTGACCTTGACCCTGGGCCTGCGTGGCTGATGTGGCCGCACCCGTGCCCGTCATCGACTCGTCCTCGTCACCGAGCGCGTTAGCCACGGCACCTTCGTCCCGTTCATCGTTAGCGTCCTTTTGAAAGTCCGGATCCAAGAGCTCGCCCGTGCCATCCTCGTGATCGATATCTGTCAAGGGGGCGAGGTACGACGAATTCTGGTCAGTCTGGGCGTGCGGACAAGCGGGTAGACCAAGAGAGGGGTCGCTAGAAGACGCCGAGATGGTTCGACTGACCACCGTACAACTCTAGGTCATCGTCTTCGTATTTGACTTGGGTGGACATGGGTGGTGTGATCTTTTGATTGTGTGTAGAGTGGGTGATCGTGACGGCGAGGCTTGTTTTTCAAGGCTGCTGCTGCTGTTGTGATGGTCGAGGACGAAGAAGAAGAAGAAGGGGGGAGTGCGAGTGCGAGGAGTGGAGTGGAGGGGAGGTGTACTCGTACAGGGTTTTCGGATCCGCCGGATGCCAGGCTGATTGATTACATAATCACAGGTGGGTGTGTTTCCCGATCCCCGGGTTTCGGTCCGGGGAATCCCCCCTCTCTCTCTCTCTCTCTAGCTCTCTCCCTTCGGCGTTGCGCAATCGTCGGTGGCGTTTCCTCCTCTCGATGCACTTATCGATCCATGATCCATGAGATCTCTTCTCTCTCGACGTCTCGATCGGCATCCCCCTCCTCCACTTTTCTGGATCTACTTTTTGCTGGCTAGCTTGCTGCTTGCTGCTGCTTTGCTGACTCGATCCTCAATGCTCTTCTTCGGCTTCGGTCTCGTCCGAACGCTAGCATCGTTTGCCCCGCATGCACACAACGACGATGATGATGAATACGGCATGGGATTCATATAGAAACAAAGTAGCTCAGACAGAGAGGTACTATAGGCCAGACGCACCATAACAGCGCACGGTCATAGTTGACCACGTCCGCCTCCCACACTCTGCCTATACGGAGAAGGACAGATCGACCGAAAGTCTCGGTAAAATCGGGCTTCGTCACGTTCACCATCGTCCAGCCTGATATCCAGCTTGGTCGTCCCGATAGCATTACCACCTACAGGCCTCAATCACGAAACTCCGTCAGACTTTCTCCCTGTTTGTCAGAGCGCTCAGAGCGGATGGAAACCCAGTCGTATCACCTAATTGAACCGATCACGAATACTAGGAAGCGCATACAACTCGCCAATCCGAAAGCCAGAAAAGGCCATCCGAAAAAGACAGGAATCCGTTGTCGACCATGCAGTCCGCTTCAAGTGCACCTCTGTCGTCCTCTGGCAGGACGCCCTTGCCTGTAGCTCAGCTGGCCGTCCTCATGATCGTCAGGCAAGTCGCGCAACCCCGCTTTTTGGATCTTGTATGATCGTAAGCTTTAGAGGGCAACGCACAAGCTGACCGGTGTGGACGATTATTCCTCCGGGGGCATGTCGGACTTGTAGGTTGGCTGAACCGAGTACGTCTTGCGCCCATCCTGCCTTCGCGCTCCGGCTGTTTCACACACAATGACTGTGACCCGAAACATGGATGGGAAACACGCTAAATCCACGCGTTTCACCCTGTGTGCCGCACTAGTCTCGTACACCTCCCTCTTTCCCTACATCAACCAGCAAGTCGGCGAACTTGGAATTGCCGAAAACGAAGACCGTGTGGGATACTACAGCGGAGTAGTCGAGGCCGTCTTTGCGGGCGTACAGGTTTTTACGGTATATAACTGGGCCACGCTGTCCGACAAGATCGGCCGGAAACCCGTCATCATGCTTGGCTTGATGGGCGTGGCCATCTCGAGCGCATTGTATGGATTCTCGACAAAGTACTGGCAGCTGATCGTCACTCGGAGTCTTTCCGGAGCCTTGAATGGTAATGTGGCCGTGCGTAAAAGCTTTCGAACGGACATCAGTGAGAGATGGTGGATGGCTGATGGCTGTCAACGGATCGGGTCGTTGATCCAGGTCGTTCGGGCTGCCGTATCAGAAATTACCGACGAGTCGAATGCTCCCGATGGTGAGTAGCATCGACGTCATCCTTCTTACTCTACTCATCAACGGTCTGGCCAGCTTTCGCGCTCTACGGTCTCGTATGGATATTGGGATCCGTCTTCGGTAACGCCATCGGTATGTTTCCCCTAGATTGGAAGCGAACGCGGCAAATCCCTTACTGATTTCAACGTCCTTGTATGCGTGAACTTTCGCCGTTCAGGAGGTTACCTGTCCCATCCGGTAGAACGGTATCCCCACCTGTTCGCAGTCGGCGGAAAGCTGGAAGAACATCCCTATCTCTTGCCTTGTCTCGTCACGACCGGTATCACGTTGGCTGGATTGCTATTCACGGCGCTTTTCATGAGAGGTCAGATCCAAAGTAGGACCATCGTCGTACGATGGCAAGGTAGAACTGAAGAAATCCCTTTTCTGTTCAGAAACTCACGCAGGGTTATTGTACCGTCAAAGCAAATCCGACAATCGACCTTCCGCGGCGACTTATAAACCGGTAGAATCGGATGAGACCAAGTTGGACTCCATGAACGGGGACGCTCAGGACGACGACGATGACACACGAACCCTTGTCGGGGACCCCGACTCGCCGACCCTCAAATCCCCCCGGTCGTTCTCGGATATATTAGACGGTTTCGACAAGCCAGGTGAAGAGGTGGACGACTGGGATCCAGACGATCAGGTGCATTGGGGATTGAAGGAGCTATTGAGCGTCAAATCAATCCAAAGGATGCTGTTGTCCCTATTCCTATTATCGTGAGTTCATCAACGTGCCCGATGCGTGAACCAGTGCTTTTGCTCACACTCCGGAATCCGCAGTTTTATTGGGGGTGGATGGGCAGCTTTGATCTTGCTGTACGCTTACACGCCTACTCGCTCTGGGTGAGTTTAGAGTCTGGTCACATAAGAGTTCTCGACTTCAACCCTAATCTGAACCTTCGCAGCGGTCTTGGGATGACTCCCAGTGCCATCGGCACGGCCTTGAGCATTCAAGGGTTATGGTCTGTTGTCTGTCAGCTCACTTTCTTGAGCAAGATGCAACGTAAATATGGCACGGTGCTCGCATTCCAGCGGTTGAATGCTGGCTGGGTGAGCGTTCGATGGCGTCATTGGGTGCGGGTCGTTGTTCTGACCAAGATTATCTTCTAGGTCTTGGTTTTCCTGACATTACCGTTGGTCCGGGTCGTCGCCGTCTTTTCGGAGGGTCAACATGCCGGAGAGAACGGCGAATCTCGAAGCTGGCTCATGTGGATCGCTTTGATGGCTTGGTTGGCATTGTCAACATTTATTGGTGAGAATCCTTGTTCAAGGCCCTTGAGGACGAAACGCTCAGACAATGTGTTGGTCCTGCACAGGCATGAGCCATTCCGTCAGCATGGTTGTGGTTCAGTTGGCGTGTCCCGACAAAAGGGCGATCGCGGGTTTGAATGGGGTCAGCACGTGTGTCCAATGTCTTTCCCGGGTCATCGGCCCCTGGTTGGTCAGTTCGGTAAGTCCCACCGGGCATACGTTTCACGAGGAGAGTACGACGGCCAAGATCATCGCGCTTCCAGGTTTTTGCACTATCAATCGATCAAAAGGTCTTGAATGGGAACCTCTGGTGGATCTTCATGGCGGTGATTTCGATCATCTCCGCATTCGTGTCTTTGCTCCTCGAGGACAAAAGCCGATCCGGTACAACCTTCGAGATGGGATCTCGAGTGTCAACCGCTTAGGTGAACCCGATCTCCCGTGAACCGGATTCGGCAGTGGCAGTGCTAACATTGGGATAGATGCACGATAGTTTGTAGAGCAAGCGTATGACGCGACTGAACGAGGTCTGAAAATACACTGTAGCGCATTCCAGAATCTAGTTGTAGCCTGACTTGTATCTTTAGGTCCTATAGCCTTCCATACATTATACATGCGGTGCAGGTTCGATCGTCGGTCATGGCCAACGTAACAAGGATGAAACGAAGCGCTTCCCGGGCTATCGGCCGGACGGACTCGGAAGCAAATTCGAGTAAACACTCGCCGAAGGGACATGTCTTCAAGCTTCTTCTAGCTTTCAACTTCTAGCTGCTCGTGACATGTGATCGATGGCGATGTTCCCTTTGCCTCGTAGCTGGTCATCTCCATCTACTCATCGCCGTAGCAATGACGATCTCTGACAAGCCCAAAGTTTACATGCCCTCGGCTTTCCATGAAGAGGTGAGCATCCAAGAGCACGAAACTACCGAGTCAGCTCATACTCACCCGTGATAGTAACACACTCTCAGGCGATCAAGTACGCACAGGAGAAATTCCATCTGTATCAGCCGGGAGACCTACCAGAGGAGCAGATCTTAGCACAGGTAGATGGCATCTGTAAGTCCCTATCCGAGATCACTTTGCTTTGTCGCAAAAGGGCGACGAGCTCACATCGTTGCAGTACTGAGACAGGGAGGTCTGACACGAGAACAGCTGCTATCCGCCCCAAAGCTGCGGTGTATCGCGCGGAATGGTACTGGCGTCGACTCGATCGACAAGGCTACCTGTTTAGAAAAGAAGACGGCAGTTCTCAACAATCCCGGGGGAAATGCGGTGCCGGTGGCTGAGGTATGCTCGCCTGTCCGACTGGTACAGCTTAATGCTGACACACTTTCATTTTCGTCTCCGCAGTTGGTGGTCGGGTTTGCTTTGACCCTACTTCGACGGATAGGCGAAATCAATACCCGTCTCAGAGCCGGGGAGACTATTCCCTCGATCACAGCCTTGGCTCCGGGACTTTATCGCAGAACGATTGGCCTGGTCGGTATGGGTGATATCGCCCGCGAGACGGCCAAGATGTTTCACTACGGGTTCAATTGCAAGATCATCGTCTTCTCCCCTACAACGCCCAAGAACCGCTGGACTTCAAGGTCGACTGTGGCGGGCGATTCCGTCATTCCCCATGAGCGGACATCAAGTCTAGAAGAGTTGCTGCCTCAAGTGGATGTGTTGTCGCTTCATTGCCCTTACACTCCTGCGACCCGACATATGATCGGTGAGCGTGAATTGGCGCTCTTCCGGCCATCGGCGGTGATCATCAATGCGGCTCGGGGCGGGATCATCGACGAGGACGCGTTGTACCGAGCGCTCGTCGACAAGACCATAGGAGGTGCCGGAATCGACGTATGGGAGCAGGAGCCCCCACCAAAAGAGCGATACGCCAAGTTGTGGGATTTGCCCAACGTCGTAGCCATGCCTCACTTCGGCGGCTCGACCGATGAGGTGACGAGGATAGGCTGCAGGATCGCAGTCGACGCGCTGTTTGATTACTTGGCCGACAAAGAAATTCGCAATAGGGTATACTGAAGATCTTTGGAGCCCGCGATGGTATCACCAAGGCTCAGTCTCACTTAGCGGATGACAAGGCGGCGGAATTACGACGATGGCGGCAATGCCGAGCCTCGTCGATCCGTTTGAGTCGTCCACTCTCTCAACATTTACACCAGTAACGTTGAAGGTGTACAACGGGGTGTACAAACGATGTACCGCCAGCATAATACAAAGGATCGTCTCGACAGTATGTGACAGTGCCATCTAGCCAAGTCACGATAATTTGCACGGTAATCGGTCATGATAAGCAGTCATGCACGGAGGAGACGAGGCGATGTGATCGAACGAAGCATGTATATTATTAATCGTTGCCCCATGCCACCCGTTGTAGGGTTTATTACAAAGCGGCTGTTTGACTGAGGCCTGATCATGATATGATGATCTCGCGAGAACATACCTCGAGACGAATAACATCCTAGATAGACCGGTCATCATATCGAGAACGGTAGGTCAGCGTGTCGCTCTCTGAAACCATGTCACACGAAATAGAGGAATGGGGCGAGATCAGACATCCAAGGAAGATAAAACCTCAAAACTGGCGTCACCTATGCTCCATCAACCCGGCCTGCCGCGCTCAGCTTGCACCCACACCGAACCGATCCGTCAAACCCCATCGCGAACGACGAGGGAGAATCGACCCGGCACAGGCGGAAGCGAGCGGCCCTCGACCCCTTTCGAATGGGTTCTAATCAATCTACTCGGGGGAAGGATGATGCGAAGTAGGGGAGAAGCATAGACCGGTTCCCAAGGAGGGATCCGACTTTCCGGCGAAAGAAAGGACTGGCGTTGTTCAGTGGAAACTGCGTATGGTTTGTACAAAGACGTTTTCATCCGTGAAGAGTAGGAGAATTGGGAATTGCAGACGGTAGGGCAAAGAGGTGACCGCTTACCTCTTCGCGGGACAATCCAGACTTCTTGCAAGAGGGATCCAAACGACATCCGATTAACACTGCTGTCCGTGGCCTGCCCGTGATGATCCTGCGAGCGACAAGGAAGAAAACGGTCACGGTAAGCGATCAATGTTCTCCGTTGTCGACTCGACAGAGCCCAGCACTGCGGAAGCGAGTATCAATATCGAAAGAAGGTGGATTATGATTCAGACAAAATAGCTGGCAAAAGCATTTATGTAAACTCGAACGGGACGGATCCCACTCGAGCCTTTCGCGACACTCCAGCGACGGAGGCGCTTGCTCTGTTTCGGCATGGTCGATGAGACGGGGAGAGAATAAATAGTTGGGTCATCATAAGAAGAAAGGGAGGGGGCGATGGAAATGGAAATTGCAATGTAGGCAAGAGGGGACGAAGGTTCGAGTCGTCCAAAACTCGCGATAAAGAAAGAAAACTTACTATTCCATGTTCCGTAGGGACTTGGCTTGTGACGGTCCCTACCTCGTCGGTGTGTTTAGATCAAGGAAAGTGTACATCATAAGGACGATGAGGTCGGCTGTGGTGAAGACCGGATTATATACGAGGAGGTAAGGCGAGTAGGTCTAGCAAATTTTGCGACGTGAGCTGGCTGGCGCGTGGAGGTGAACAGAATCTCTTCACAAAGTCACGTGATTGTGAGCCAGGGTGTCGATGCGCTTATGATGAGAGACACGCACCGGGGGACGCGCTTCTACCCCGTCATCGTTCAAGTTTTTCCCTTGAGACCCACCCGTTCGCGACCGAGCGCGGCTCCGGGGTCGATCCCCATATCGACAAATTACCCTCGAAAACATCGCAACGTTTGAACACGACCTGTTCGTCTCTTGTTTCACCTTCGCCGACTCCGCCCTCCATCGTCAACGTCGAGTTCTCAGCAAGATGGTAAGTACCGCCCGGATACTGGTCCAGGAAGCCGTACTGAGTAGCAAGCTGATATCGTTCGCTTCTCGCAGACCAAAGTACGTTTACCCTCCCTCTTGGCTATCGTGCCTACACTCCATGGCTATGGATGTGCTGACGGAAGGTCCTTTGATGTTTATCACTGATTGATCTGGTCATCCGACACACTTCGCTTTGCAACTCGTACGGAACTTCGACCGCGTAGGGAACACCCTCTTTCGGAAAGGCCCACTCCAAGTCGCACACTTTGTGCAGGAGGTGTGGACGAAGGAGCTTCCACAAGCAGAAGCAGTGCGTTAATGCCATGACGTGAATGTCGGGCTTGTGGGCTGACATCGGCTATAATCTCTTTCCGCCGGTTTTTCTTTTTGCAATTCTACTCGCGAACAGCACCTGTGCTCAGTGTGGATACCCCGCTGCCTCTGTCCGAAAGTACCAGTGGGGCATGAAGCAAGTATCCTCTTTGCAGCTTCATGGCGGTGGAGCATGTGATCGCTAACCGATCTTGTCATTCCGCAGGGCTATCCGACGAATGGGTGCCGGCTCCAAGCGTGCTTCTCACTTGAAGTCCGTTCATCAGCGATTCAAGAACGGCTTCCGGTAAGTCGTCTTTGATCACATGTGTTTGCTCGCCAACCTAAACAATTTCCACCCCTGTCTATACTAGTGAGGGAACTGTTGCTACCAAGAAGACCAAGAAGTCTTCCGAGTAGACTTGCGCTCTTCGCTCTCGAAGCAATTCTGATTGGCATTCCTTGTAAACGTCATATCAGTATGCGCTTTATTCCATCCGGAGTTACCCCAAAACGCAATCTCGCCTTGGCGACCAATGGCGTCGAAACAGGTTCTTGTTTCCACTGCTGTCGTACGATTCTGTTCGCGAATGTCAGACATTGCTATCAGACAACGCTGACGTCGATGCCGATTCCCAAGCTGGCAGAAGGCGTGCGGCTTCTATCAGCAATATTCGGATGTTCTTCCTCCCGGTTCTGGCCGCAGAGATGTACTTGTGTCGGTATTCGTCTAGATCTGTCTAGACAAGATCTTGCGAGAGCAACATCGCACTGGCCTTCTATCCGAGAAAGAGGCCATGGCGTCGGGACAATATGGGTCATGTTACGTTCAAGTAGAGAGCTGTTAGGGACGCGGTATTTTCCTTAGAGACGCGGTATTGCGGGGTAGCAGGCGTGAGAGGGAGGGGAATATTTCTTACGCAATTTCCCCACAAATCTTCTCTACCAAGTTCGCATTTTTACCCATGTTCGGGTACAGCTTTCACTGGCAAAGATGGCTTCTGAGGAGCGGATTTTTTTCATGGCTAGATACCTCAAGGTCTGAAGTCTCTCAAACTGCTTGCAAAACACAATTTGCCCAAAGTTTACCTCTCACATCATGCTCGCAACAGGAAGACTTGTACAGGAAAGTTCCCTTCGATAAATTACATCCGGAATTTTGCTTCCTTGTGCTCCTGTGCCACAGGAAATCCCGCGTCTCCCAGGAAAATACCGCGTCCCTAACAGTTCTTTTCAAGTACCCATATTCCATTGGCTGTTCCTACTAATCCAACAAGGTTCCAACAGAAGCATTCAGCAACTGACGAAAAGCGCAAACATCGCAGTATTCCTTGATCAAGGTCTTGGCTGGCATTGCACTCGGTAGGAAAGCCAGGACCGGGAATGTGCTGAGACTTAAATCGCCTGCCAAAGATGGCTCGCGGCTCGACCGTCTCCAAAGTGATCTTTGTTACGTTACAGCAAGGAAAGTCATTCTGCAAATCCTAAGGCAGCGCGTCATTCTTGAGGAGTACTAAAGACCTGTTTCGCGGGGTGTTCGATAATAATTACAACTGGACTCGTGGCGGTCACTCCTCTTTTATAGGCCACAAGGAGATCTTACATCTACACATATTTCATATTTCGTTCTCTGGGCTATCATTTGGCACTGTATAACTAGTTGTCTTGCCTCAGATATACTCTAAGATGGGAGTCTGTTCCAAAACCCAGGTATGGAATACAATCGAAATCTGTTAGGTGTTGAGAAGGCTCCAGGGAAGTCCAAAGACCGGCTCTATGGATGCCTGGGGGGGCATATCTAGGAGGAATGTAGAACGTAGGGTTAGGGTACATAGATGTAACATCAGATGAAGAAGTATATACTACAGACAGATGAAATGTAATATGTAGAGTCGGCGTGCCGTTGAGAACGTGAATGGTGCGCATGAAAACACCATTGGTTTGCTTCCGTTATTGAATGTGAATGTTAGACATCGACACGGTCGAGACGCAGGGCGCGCCGAGGCGCGTTTCGACGGGCCACCCCGAGGGCGGGCTCCGCCGTATTTGTTGTTTACATTCGAACATTGTATTATCACTAAAGACCGGATGCTGGGCATCCGTTATTACTATATAGATGTATACTCCTACCCTCGCCTCTCTCCCGCTCACTTGTCTGGCGGACCAGCCCGGGGCAGCAGCCCGGCGGACTCGCCGCCGTAACAGTGAACGTAATATCTGCCGTAAGCGGATAACGTGAACGTGAAAGTGAACGGCGATCAGGGCTGATTTGCACGCATTTGCCGTTTGAACAGCTGAATGGCTGAACGCGCTGCCGTAATACTGATGTAAGCGACTCAACAGGAATACTGATGTAAGCGACTCAACAGGTACCAATGATCGGCTCAAACAAGCAGGCGGTGCAATTGGGGCAAAAAGCTAAGAACGAGCTTGCTACAAGGATCAAACTGTGGCTGCTCAACTGGCGGCAATGTCTGATGTTTGAACATTAACATGCTACCACAATGTCAGAAGCTAAGATCTGCCTTTCATGTCAGGGGCAATGGCTCCTGTTTTTGTGCCGTTTGTTTTCATGTGTTCAGCCATTCAGCTTGAACGACCCGCCAACACTGGTAATATGACATAGTATGCTCATCGATCCCTGATTGTATTAAGCTTGCCAACCAGCCTGAGATAGTATCACACCTAACTAGAAGGTGGGAGTAAGGAAACAAATGTAACAATAGATATGGTGCAACAGGCAATACAGTACAGAAAACACATAGGGGGGTGGTATCATGGAGGAGGACTAACAGTCTGTGCAGGGCTAGTGTTATAGCCGTCACGTGACGCAACATGTAAGGCCCGGGAGTGGCCCCCGGCGGGGGTCCCCCTGGACAGGCTGACGGGACGCAGGAATGAGGCAAGGTACGGGTAGACATCTAAATGTAATAACGGATGTAGAGCTATTACAGAGGTACTAGTTCTACATCAAAACAACAACACCAAAAAGTGCCCCCGACGGGAGTCGCATACGGGAGTCGCGTACGGCGCGTCCGACGCGTCACGTGATCGCTATAACAGGATCCCCCCCCTAGATGCGGACTCCGAACGCATCAAGCGTCGGCGTACTCCTGTCGACCGGGCTGCAGTAGATGGGGGTAGCGCTTGTGGAACGCCGCGACGACCTTGTCGTCGTGATCGAACTCGGCGGGGCTGACCCACTCGTTCGACTCGTCCCCGTACCCTTCGAATCGCACCAGGTATTGGGTCTTCTTCCCGGACCTTCCGGATCGTAACGCCTTCGAGTGTACGATCTCGGACACAACATACCCCAAGTCGCCGTTGTCGAGGACTTCGGGGGTAGGTGGCTCAACCACCTCTCTTCCTTCCAGCTCGTTGGCCCGATAGGGGATAAGCAACGACACGTGGAAAACGGGATGTACCCGGCGTAATTGCGCGGGGAGTTCCAGCCTCCTTGCCATCTTGCTCTGGCCGACGATCTCCGTGATCGGGAAGGGCCCCAGCGTCTTCATCGAGAGCTTCTGGCTGGGACGCACCGATGTCAAGTTCTTGGTGGATAACATCACCAAGTCCCCTACGTTGTAACCCTCGGCAGGGACGGCGGTACGCTTCCTATTTGCGTACTTCGCCATGTCTTGTCGCGCTTGCTCCAGCGCCTCCTTCACCGACTTGTAGATCCCATCGAGTCGGTCTCGATACTCCCCCGCCGATTCCACCGCCTCCTCCCTAGTGCCGGGCACCGGTAGGGAGAAGGTATGTTCCCTTCCTTCGGACGCCATGAATGGCGACATCCCAATGGCAGAGTGCTTCGCGTTGTTGTACGCAAACTCCGCCATGGAGAGTAACTCCGCCCAGTCGTCCTGGAGGAAGTTGACGTACGACCGTAAGTATTGCTCCAAGGTGGAGTTACTTCGCTCGGTCTGACCGTCCGTCTCCGGGTGGAACGCCGTGGAGTAGCTGTTCTCCACGTTCGCCATGCGGCACAGATCTTTCCAGAAGCGCGAGGTAAACAACGTACCTCGATCTGAAATGATCTGCTTTGGGAACCCATGCAAACACACCCATCGGTCGAGGAACAACCGCGCCAAGAATGGGGCGTCGTTATCCTTTCGACAAGCGATAAAGTGCGCCCGCTTGCTGAATCGGTCGACGATCACCAGGATCGACTTGGACCCCATCGACTCGGGCAGATCCGTGATGTGATCCCAAGTGATCGACTCGTAGGGCCCTGCCGGTACCAGTAGCGGCGCTAGCTCGCCGACAGGCTTCATTCGGGGTCGCCGGTTGCGCTGGCATATGCTGCAGCTAGCAACGTACTCCCCGATCCACTTCGCCATCCCAGGCCAGTAGAAGTCCCTACTGGTCAGCTCCACGGTCTTGTCCCGCCCCCAGTGGCCGGCGGCCTTCCCGTCGTGTAGACGCTTCATCAGCTCTACCTTGATATTCCCTGCGTTGGGGACATACACCAACCCGTTGTACAGGAGAACCCCAGTGGGGCTCAAGCTGTATCGCTCGTTCGCCAAGGTTCCCGCCTTGAGCTGCGCTACGAGCTCTTTCGCCACCGGGTCGTCCTGCGCCGCCGGTATCAGCGCTTTCACCATCCAATCGCCCAATGCGGGGATGGTGCCATTCAACCGCAAAGGCGGTCGCTCAACCGGACTACACCCCTCAGAGGGTGCGTCTTCGACAGGCCGGAGCAGAGTCTCCGCTCGCTTCGGTTCTGTCTCCTCCATCAACTCTTCCCGCCGACTCAACGCGTCGGCCTTCCCGTTCTCCGTTCCCGGTTTGTACTCCAGGGTGTAGGAGATCTGGTTCAACAGCTGCGACCATCGCGCCTGCCGTTGAGACAATACCTTGTCCCTCTTGAAGTACTCCAGGTTCTTGTGATCCATGAGGATCCGAACGGGGTACTTGTTGTCGAGATAATGTCGCCATATCCGACTGCAATAAACGATGGCCAACAGTTCCCTGTCGTGCACATCGTAGTTCCTCTCGGCGGGCGTCAGACTCTTCGACATGAACGCTACCGGGTGGAGCTTCCCATCGTCCCCTACCTGGGACATTACCGCGCCGATCGCTCCAGAGGAAGCGTCGGTCTCGAGCACCACTTGGCGCTCCTCGTTGTAGTGCGCCAGTATAGGCGCCTGGGTGAAGGACTCCTTTAACTCCCGGAACGCAGCGTCAGCGGCTGCCGTCCAGGAGTACTTCACCCCTTTCTTCGTCAGGGCCGTCATTCCCTGAATCTTCTTGGAGTAGTTCTGAATGAACCTCCAATAATAGTTTGCAAATCCTAAGAAGGACTGCAGTCCCCGAATGTTCTTCAGGGGGGCCCAGTCCAAAACGGACTTGACCTTAGAGGGGTTCATACTAACCCCCGTCGGGGCAATATCGTA